CGAGGGCCAGCCGGGTACACATGCAGGCTGGCCGAGTCCAACTATTGGTGGGCAACCGGCGAGATTTCCCGCTGGCAGAGAGAATTTCCCCCTCCTCAATTTTCGTACACAGCAAGCAGAACCAGGGGAATTCTCTCTCACATCCATCCAAGGCAGCATCATGATGAGATAGTAGTATTTTTCTCTTCCGAACATCGGCTTATCAATTGATCAATGAGAGAATGTCTTGATTTTCAAATCTCTATCGAGCAGCCAGAAAGAGCGAACGTTGAGACCCCCACTAAACCCTTTTGGGGCACTCGTGATTTGCATGTGATCGAGCCTCTCAGTGACGGGCTTCAATTCTTAGCGATCCTCACGCTCTCACTTGCTACTTATCCTCCTCGAGCCCCCACTGTCTCGTCCACACTAATTCCTCAACAGCTGCCAGATATGGCGGGATTACGCTTCCTGGGAAGCTTTCCAGTTCCCCCGTCGTGTCCAGCGGCGTGTTTGCTTTGTTTCCCTGGCGAAGGCCATGGAAGCCCTCCGGTGAGTTACTTGCCAGTTCCTATATCTTCCACCTGTTCCCCCCAATCCTCCTCGCGCTTTCCTTTTTTTTTTTTCAGCGCTCACCGCAGAAGTGACTATCTGACACCTCATTTATTTCCTTCTTTCTCCAAGACTTGCCATCGCGACTTAAATACCCCCCCCCTTAGTCCTCCCTAATTATCTACCGTCGACCGGTGGTCGCACTTTCTCCTCGCCCTCGTACTCCCTCCCACTTCTCCGGCTCTCTTTCCCCCCCACGCGACCCCCACTTACACAATGACCATCATTGATGTCACCAAAGACCTGTCAGCCCTGTTTTCCAAGCAGGTGCAGGCCACTCCCGATGCGCTGGCGCTGGAAGACGATAAGACCACATATACCTACGCAGAATTAGACCGGGCGGTCGACGAACTGACTCGGCGTCTGCATCACTACCGAGTCGGACGGGACACCCTGGTGGGCGTTCTGCTCCCGCGTAGCAGTGAATATGTCATTGCCTGTCTGGCGGCGCTCCGTGCGGGCGGAGCATTTCTGGTGCTCGAGTTGGCCTACCCACCCGAGCTTCTGGACGATGTGATCCGCGACGGGAACCCCGCCGTCATCATCACCTGTAGAGCCGAAGTCGGCAAGATCAAGGCCGACGTCCCCCTCATCTCCTTAGATGAACCAGCCACCGAGACGAATGGGGTGTCGGATTTGCCTCCCCCGCCCGCAGATGACGATCTGGATCGACTGGCCTTCGTGTCCTATTCGTCCGGAACCACGGGCAAGCCCAAGGGAATTGCCAACCCCCACAGAGCCCCGGTTCTCTCCTATAACCTACGATTTGGTGTGCAGGATCTGTCCCCCAACGATCGGGTCGCGTGCAATGTCTTCTTCATCTGGGAGATCTTGCGTCCCCTGCTGCGGGGAGCGGCGGTCGTTGCGGTGCCGGACGATATCAGTTACGACCCCGCCGCGCTCGTCGATCTCCTCGCTGCCAAGCGCATCACAGAAACCCTGATGACCCCGACCCTCCTCGCTACCGTCCTCGCCCGTCACCCTCACATCGGCTCGCGTCTGCCGCATCTCCGCACGCTGTGGTTCAATGGTGAGGTGGTGACCACCGATCTCGCCCGTCGCGCCAGCCAAGCCTTGCCGAACACCCGCCTCCTCAATTGCTACAGTGCCTGTGAAACACACGAGATTGCCTGTGGGGACATTCGGGAGATGCTCGATGAGCAAGCCCTGTACTGTCCGGTTGGGCCCCCGATTGACCCCAAGAACACCCACATTCTGGACGAGAACCGGCAACCGGTGGAGAATGGGGTGAGCGGGGAGCTCTATGTGGCTGGTCCACTTTTGGCTCGCGGGTACCTCAACCTTCCCGAGACCACCGCCAAAGCGTTCACGGAGAACCCCTTCGATGCCACCCCGGGATCCCGTCTGTACCGGACGGGTGATCTCGCTCGCCGGCTGCCTTCGGGCCTCCTCGAAATCACCGGGCGCGTGGGATCCATGATCAAGCTGCGCGGCTACTCAGTTGTGCCCGCCAAGGTGGAGTATGAGATCACCAAGAACCTCGCGGTCCGCCACTGTGCCGTGGTGGCCCATGGCGAGGGCCTGGAGCGACAGTTGGTGGCATACATTGTCCGCGACAACGACCACGCCACCGACCGCCCCGTCGTGGAAATCAATGAGGCGGGCAATAGCCCGGGCGCGCGTCGTACCCTCGTCCAGGTCCTGGCGCACTACATGATTCCGTCTCTCTGGGTGGAGCTGGAGGAGCTCCCCACGCACGATGTGACGGGCAAGGTTGACCTGAAACGCCTGCCTCCCCCGCGCACGGCCGATCACGTCAACGGGAACGGAAAGCCCGTGGAGAAGGACCCGATCGGCATTGATCAGGTGGCCGCCATCTGGGCGGTCGCTCTCAAAACCGCACGCAACCTCTTGAAACCCAGCGATGATTTCTTCGATCTGGGTGGACACTCCTTGTCGCTGGCGGATCTCTCCTCGCGCATGTCCCGACACTTTGGCTTCCGCGTGCCGATCGCACGGCTGGCGGAAAATGCGACCTTGGCGGGCCATCTCCAGACCGTTCGTGACATTCGCGACGGCCATACGGCCGCGGTGCAAGCCGATCTCCCCGCGGTCCTCCGGGCCGACGCCACCCTCGACGATGATATCCGACCGTCCAAAGCGTCCATCCGCTCTGTCACCGACGCCGACACGGTGCTCCTGACGGGAGTGACGGGATTCCTTGGCGCCTTCCTCCTGCACGACCTGCTGGAAAGCACCTCCGCCCATATCATCTGCTTGGTCCGATTTACGGACCCGGCTGATGATGACCAGCCTGGTGGTGTGGCCAGAATTCGCCGAAACCTCTTGGACCTGGGATTGTGGCGGGACTCCATCATGGAGCGCGTTGAGATCCTGCCCGGAAACCTGTCGCGGACCCGCTTCGGCCTCTCCCCCGAAGCCTTCGACGAGCTCGCCTCCCGCGTGCAGGTCATCGTTCATGCTGCTGCCACCGTCAATTTGGTCTACCCTTATGCTGCCCTTCGCGGGCCCAATGTCGGCGGTACGCGAGAAGTCCTCCGCCTGGCATGCAAGGGTGGTGCGACCGTGCAATATGTGTCCACCAATGGCGTGCTCCCACCGTCTGGAGAAAAGGGCTGGCCGGAAGACGCCATGCTCCCGGTGGACGACGTCCCTGACAAGCTGCTGGATGGATACGGCCAAACCAAGTGGGTGGCTGAGCAGCTGGTGCTCGAAGCTGGTCGTCGCGGACTGCCCGTGAAGATTCACCGTGCCGGAACCATCAGTGGCCATAGCCAGACGGGTGCCGCTAACGCCTGGGATCTGTTGTCGGCCTTGTTTGTCGAGTCGATCAAGCTCGGTTACGCACCTGAAGTGGAAGGCTGGCGCGCGGAGATGACTCCCGTGGACTTTGTCAGCAAGGCTATTGTGCATCTGGCCAGTCAGACGCACGCTGAGCAAACTGTGTTCCACCTCGGCGACCCAAACCCGGTCGATACACGGTCGGTTTTTGCATCTCTGAATGAGCTCGGCTACCCGACCAAGTCCCTGGCCTGGGATGACTGGGTATCCCTATGGAATGAGAAGCGCAGTGCGGTCAAGGGTGGGGATGGTGGTTTCACCGTCGATATCCTCCGCAGTGGCATGCCCACCGTGGACTTTCTCCGCGGCATTGTCGTGCTGGACAATGCGGCCACTCGTCCCTTCCGGGCGGTTGTGGAACGTCCCAAGGTCGACCGGGCTTTGCTGGAGACCTACACGCGGCACTGGTTCGCTCGAGGCTGGCTGCCGCGGCCGCCGCTTCGCCAGCAATGTCCCAATGGGACCGCGAAGCCTGCTATCAAGGGTCCGCTCAGCGGAAAGGTGGCCGTCGTGACGGGTGCCTCTTCTGGCATTGGAGCTGCGGTCGCGGTCGCTCTGGGCCGAGAGGGTTGCCATGTCGCTCTCGCTGCTCGGCGTCTCGACGCCCTTGAATCGGTGAAGGGCCGCATCACGGCCCACGGTGGCAAGGTCATTGCCCGGAAAACTGATGTCACGAGCAAGGAGCAAGTAGACGCGCTTTTGCAGGCTGCCAACGATGAACTCGGTCCCGTGGACATCCTCGTATCGTGTGCCGGAGTGATGTACTTTACCATGATGGCCAATGTGCAGACGGAAGAGTGGGAGCGTACGGTCGACGTCAACTGTAAGGGTCTCCTCCACTGCCTGTCGGCCAGCGTGCCCGGCATGCTTTCGCGTGGCGCTGGCCACATCGTGGCAATCTCTTCCGATGCTGGACGCAAGGTATTCCCCGGCCTGGGTGTCTACTCGGCCAGTAAGTTCTTCGTCGAGGCTACGCTGCAGTCCCTGCGCCTTGAGACCGCGGGCATGGGTCTGCGCGTGACCAGTGTACAACCGGGCAACACGGCGACAGACCTCCTGGGCATGTCCACAGATGCCGAGGCCGTCAAGAAGTACGGCGAGCCGTCCGGAGCACAGATCCTCGAACCGGAGAATGTGGCCGACTCGATTGTGTACGCGCTGCGCCAGCCGGCACATGTCTCGGTGAATGAAGTACTGATCGAGCCGCGGGACGAGCCGATCTAATTGATTGGATGTGGTGGAGCTTTATGGCATCTCATATATGACGATTTAGAGTTTTGTTATCATCTATAGACCTAGACACTGTCCTCCATGGACATCGCTATAATCTACATGGTTGAATAATCTCTTTGAATAAATATTGCTGCATCTAAGAAATATGACTCGATGTCATCACTCTGCGGAGTGTTTCCTACGATGATATACGTTACTACTACCCCTTCCACGGATTTAAGTTCTAAAGTCTGCCATGATGAACCTCTCATTAGTAGATTAGCATTACCGTTGATGCAGCAAGAATATATATTCATAGCTAAAACATATTATAGCATCAGATCTAACTCTGCTGGCTGGGCGTTTATTGTCCTTCACAACAATAGCATTCCACCTGTACCACTAAGAGTACACCCTGTCATCCACCGACTTTCCTCGGAACACAGAAAGCTATTGCCTGTCAGTCAACTTACCCCAGCTCATATTCGTGATATCTTGCTGAAAACCACTCACCTGACCAACGAGACAATATCCTCCACCTCTCCCATACGGGCCTCGGCGGGAGTAGCCTGAATCATGGACTGCATAGCCTCTTTGAACTCAGGAGCACTGTTCTGAAATTGCTCCGTCGCGATGGGTCCCGGACTGACCGCGTTAACCGTGATACCATGAGTCTGGCCCAGTTCCGTAGCCCAGACGCGTACCAGCGCCTCCATACCAGCCTTACTGGCAGCATAGACGCTGGTCTGGGCGACGCCCATGCGAGCCGCAGCCGAGGTGATGAGAATGATGCGTCCACCACGGGGCATATATGGCACCGCAGACTGGGTAAGGAACAACGGAGCTGCGGCATAAGTTAACCAATCCATCCATCCATCAAGGTGTCTCAGTTATTCCGGAGTTTCAACTACCCTTTAGGTTAACTGCCATCAATCGTTCAAACAACTCCTCAGTCACATCCTCGAGCGAACTGTCTTCCCCATCCGCCGCATTATGGACCAGCATATCGATGTGACCCGTCGGACTCGCTTGCACTGCAGTATCAATGAGAGTTTGGCGATCAGTAGCAGAAGTAATGTTCGCCTGCACCAAGACACCCTGACCACCAGAGGAGGCCTTCACGATAGCTTCCACAACACTCTGCGCTGCAGCTTTAGACCGCTCGGATGTATATGTGATGATCACCGCCGCCCCGCGACGACCCAGCTCCAGGGCGATGCCAGCACCGATGCCTCTACTATTATATCAGTCGATACCACTCGCTTGAGACATGACATATGTACCTGGAAGATCCAGTGACGATAGCTGTCTTGCCATGGAGATTGGCAGCTAGGCTGCGCTGGGTTGTAGTAGAGGTTGGGGAATGCATAATGGTTAGCTATCGATGAGCGGGGTAGCAGAAGGCACAACAATAAGATTTACACAAGTCTGGGGGTGAACATCAGACTCTTTAAAGATGTCGAATCCGGACGGTGGCAAGGATACTGCGCGAGGCTTGCCAGGATCATGCCGAGTAAGGACCATGCCAAGTGCCCCCCGAAGAGGCTGCTGGAAGTATGGCCTATTTTGGCAGGTCAGGCAGCATGAGGTTCACCACTAGCATGAGTGAGCATGACATGGCCTCAGCCTCAGACTGGGCAACTCAACATATGAGAGTAGAGAAGAGAATCTCAGGTCACGGTGGCATTGATGTATGGAAGGACTAGACCCTCTCGTGGCTCTCTTTATTCGTCAGCCAGGTGGTGCCCCAAAAGGCATTGAGGAAACCCCCATCTTCTCCATTTTACCATGGTCTACTCGTAAAATATTGCAGATGCCTTAGATTCAGTCTACAACATGGACTTGTACAGGCCAATATGGTAAGGATGATGACAGCATACACTATGGACAGGTTTACCTCAGGATTCCCCACTAAAAGTCCCGCGGCCGCTCATTTTCCTTGAGCTCCGGGCAAAGATGATAGATGGGATCCATCTGCTCCACGTAACCACAAGCTGGCTCGCTCATGGCATAGCCCATAAAATCCAAAGTCTCCCGGTCATACCTGCGCGCGACATCCGCCGGCACCGCCAGGAACTGGTTCTCTTCCTGGCGCAGGTAGCCTCGAACAACGAACGAGGCGAAGACTAGCCTGTACTCGTCTTTGGTGATGTTCGAGCCCCCTCCATGGAATGCCGACGCCAGCATGATGAAGCCATCGCCTTTTTCCATATCAGCGAAAATACATTGCTCGACCTTTGGAGGTGTAGTGCGATCTGTGCCCCTGCTTTGTCTATCAGACATGACTAAACGCATTGGTAGTCAGGAGTCATTCCACCCACCAGAGATGGCTGCGAGGAATAAACTGCGTTCCACCATTCTCCCGGGTGACGCGACAGCCAGCTACAAAGAGACCAACGGCAGACTCGCGCTCCATATCCCGCACATCATCCCACTGGCCAATTTCGGCATGATAGCGATGGTTAATGTAATCATCGCGATGCAAGGGCTGCGCCTTGGCGCCGGGGCCAATCCTCATGGCCGTGCAGGAGTGCACGTATGGCTTAGACAGAGACATCTTCTTCTCTTCTCCCCACCAGTACCATCGTCGGGAGGTTAGAAAATGGTCGCAGACTTGGCAAAACAGCGGATTCATAACTTGAGTCTTGGTGTAGGTCGGGCTGTGCGCGATCAGAGACGGTGCGCGTTGAGTTTGTGCTGATAAATGAGCTGCGCCGGTCCGAGACGGAACAGCAAAGAGCAGACTCACCCGGAAAGAAGGAGCCATTCCATTCCACGTCTGCGTCCAAACGAGGTTTGGCTTCTTGGTGAGCTTGGTCGACGTCTGCTTCTGAAATGAGACCCTTCACGAATACGCCCCCATCTCGTTTAAGTAGATAGATGATTTCCTCCAGAGAGTGTCCTTGGACACTTTCTGAACTTCGTCGCTGTACTTGCTGGGATTGAACGGCATGGTGACTATGTGGTGAACAATACAAGGCATATGAATTTACTATTAATTTGACAATGATGCAGGGCCTGATTGACCCAGCATATATATGATCTCACCCGAAGCTCGTTTAAATATGAACCACGCCACAAGCGGAGAGGGTCCCCGCCCGGCGGTGGGAGTTGCCCGATAGGGAAATATAGCCAGCCGGGCCTTCTGCGCAGCCCTTGCCATGAGTCAGCAGGCATCATCGATCCCCTGCAGCGAAATCTAGCTGGAGCAAACTTTGGGATGCGTCCAGAAATAATGTCAGAATCAAGGATAGGCTTAAGACAGTCAGAATGTGCGGAATGCTCTGCATCACCAGCATGCAAGGGACAGCATTCCACAGATCGTGTAAACCTCGCAGAGTTAAGGAGTTCTCATTGTAGGATATAAAAGTGAGGACTTCACAAGGGACAATTGTGAGGCTCATCGTAGCTTATTGCTTTCTTGCATGATTAATATGTGACATGTTTTCAGAAGCAATCGAGACAGCCACCACAGACAAAGTGATCGCCGCGCCCGATCCTGATCATGGCGTGGGGTACAGCTCCACGTCGAAGCACAAGGATGACGCCATTGTCCATGCTCATAGGCATGTCCAACCCATGCCTCGGCAATTCAACTGGATCTCTGCACTTGGATTGGGGTTCTCCATTACGAACTCCTGGGTTGGTTACTTGGTGAGCCAACTATTGCCAAGAGCACTGCGAGCAGGTAACCTGTTCTAACAAATCCTTTACGGCTAGAGTTGCTTCGGACAGAACCTGGCCTACGGGGGCGCCCAAGCCTGCATTTTTAGTCTGGTCGCGGCATTCATGGTGCAGGTGATTGTCACCTTGGGGCTTGCGGAGTTGGCATCTGCCTTCCCAGTACGTCGTGCCGGTGGTCCCAACGACGTATATGTTGATAATGTCACAGTCGAGTGGTGGCCAATACCACTTTTGCTACATCCTTAGTCCGGACCGCACGAAGCGGTATAGTGCCTTTGTTGTGGGATGGCTTTCGATTCTGGCGTGGTGGGTGGTCACGTATGTTTCCCTACCCTCCTTCGAGCCTGTGCGAGGTACAGCAACTCATACACTGCAGCTGCTCAGGCCTTTCCCTCGTTGCCGTTTGCATCAATGGAATTGCAAATTTCTATCATCCAGTATACACCGCCAGTCAGTGGCAGACGTACCTGATGTATCTTGGTGCGTCCGTCGTAACAAGTAGGCTTAATCAGGATTCGATTCTACACCAAGCACTGATCCATCCCACAGTCATGCCCGTATTCGCAGCGCCGAAGAGAATCTCCCTTGTCACTCAGTGTGCACTGTACCTCACACTTGCGGGGTATTTGGTCTTTTTCGTTGTAATACTCTCCATGCACCAGCAGGTTCAGCCAGGCTCATTCATTCTCTCCTCGGCGCAAGGGAATAGCGGATGGAGCAGAGGCACAGCGTGGATACTCGCGATCAATAATTCCATGTATGCATACGGCAGCACAGATGCAGGTAAGCGCTTCGTCTCCTCAACAAGAGGACACTGACCTAGGTAGTGATTCATATCTGTGAGGAGCTCCCTCAACCAGGACGGCGCGTGCCGCAGGTAATGATCATGACCTTGGCCATAGGCGCGGTCACTAGTATATCATTATTCGTGGCATTGATGTTCTTCGTCGACGATATTGATGCTGTGCGAGATGCTTCTCTTCCGAGTTTGGAATTGGTCTATCAAATGTGGGTCTCAACCTGATCCTAGTTGCTCCCGTTCTCATCCAACACCAATAGAACTGGCAACCGCAGGATCACACTAGGACTGTCTATTATTCTCGCGATAATCTACGCCGGTGGGTTTACGACCTCCTCCCGGACAATAAGCTGCTCATATACTGATAAAGCAGCATCCCTCCCCTCACAATGGGTAACATGCGGACGAATAGCGTGGGCATTTTCTAGAGACGTGAGTTACCTCAGAATCCTATCCCTGTCAAATCCACATAACAGCTATACAGAACGGACTCCCCTTCCCCGAATACTTCTCCCAAATCAGCAAGACCTTCAACTTTCCGGTCCACACCACTATCGCAGCCTTCCTCTTCACCAGTCTCTACGGCCTGCTGTACCTCGCCTCCACGACCGCGTTCAACTCCATCATTACATCTGCCGTGCTTTTCCTCAACATTACCTACACAGTCCCTCAGGGTATCCTGCTTTCCAGCGGCAGATCAAGCATGCCAAAACGGTATCTGAATCTAGGCTGGGCTGGGTATTTCTGCAATGGGTTTGCCGTTGTGTGGATTGTCATTCAGGGGGTATTGACGTGTCTACCGCCGGATCCTGAGGTTACCCTGGGATCGATGAACTACGTGTGTGTGATTCTGGTAGGGGTGTTTTTGGTGATTAATCTACTATGGGTTGCCGTGGGGAGGAAGAGGTTTAGTGGACCAGATATCGACTGGGGTGTGGTCAAGACCGGGCAAAGGGAGTGACTTAAAATTGTAGCGAACATAAATGATAGAGAAAATAGAAGCCAGTAATGCAACCTCAGTAGCCTCCAGATGCCTCCGCCATTGGCTTAAACGCCACCTCAACAGGCTCGTTCCCTATCCCACGCTTCTTGGCATCCTCCAAAATTGCCACAGTAGCCGTGGCTCCAATGCGAGTAACACCCAAACTCATGACATGTAGCAGATCATCCAACGTGCGAACTCCACCGGCAGCTTTGATTTGCACCTTCTCGCCAGACTTCTCCCTCATCAACTTAACAGCCTGTACCGTGGCACCCTTGTAATTATACGAGCCATCCTGCTGCTTGACAAATCCATATCCAGTCGAAGTCTTGACAAAGGCCACTCCAATCTGGGTACATATCTCACACAGACGAGCAATATGCTCAGAGCGCAAGTAATCGTTCTCGAAGATGACCTTCAAAATTGCCCCATTGGCAACCACAGCATCGTTGATCTGGCGAATCTCCTCCGCCACATAGTCCCATTCCTCCCCGAGAACCTTGCCCACATTGACCACCATGTCGATCTCGGCTCCGCCAGCCTTCGCGGCAGCGGTGGCTTCGAGGACCTTGATCTCGGTGGTGCTGTTGCCGTGGGGGAATCCAATGACCGGACAGACGAGAACGTCTGATCCGGCGAGCTCTTTCTTAGCTAAGGGGATGGCGTAGGGTTTGACGCAGGCGGTTGCGACGTGGTTGTCGCGGGCAATTTTAAGGCCGGCTATGATGTCGGCGTCGGTCATGGTGGGGTGGAGGAGCGAGTGGTCGATCATCTTGGCCAGCTGGGGCAGGGTGACTGTGATTTTGTGCGCCATGATGGGGTGCTTTCTGGATAAGATTGTGTTTGCCTATTGTGAGTAGGAATGTGCGAGCAGGACTCCTCGTTCTTATACCTGCACCCCGCAGATGGCTCCGGCGGATGACCTTCCCAATTCGGTAATTCATTCCACCGGAGCGACCAGTATCACCGTGAATCTCGAAGCATAGGAATGCTCGAAGGCTCAAAGATATCGAACCACTACTCGTGGTGTCGCAGTTATAGTAATACACCTTAGGATACTTATATATCCTGGTTCGGACCCGCGTATTCCCCGTATAAAGGTGCACCCTCTAGACCCCATATCCAGCTCTGCTCTAGGATCGGAAAGCCCTCCGTGGTGGGCCAAAATGACGGGTTTTCCGAACAGCTGTCAGACCCTGCTGAAACTCGAGGAGCATAATTCGACAGAGCTATAGAAAGTATTAGCACAGTTTGGTCAAAGTGTTAGGGAGCAATACCTTGATCGAAATCTTGAAGGGCAGCCGTTAGAGCAGGATCGTGCATGTATTGGGCAGAGCCATCTTCAGCTGGGATATCGAGTGCTGGGATTGCCGTGGACACCTCGATAGGATCAATAATATCATTTCTAGCTATTGATCTATCGGAGACCTGACCCGATGTTCTCTGAGTTGATGGAGAATCCGTAATTGTCGCCTCGTCTGATCGCGCAGTGGTTGTAGAGGTAGACAATTCCATCATCACACTAAGTTCTTTTTCCAAGACTAATTTCGCCAGCCGCTGAAGAATGGATAATCCCTGCTGTGCTGCGACTGAATGTGTTCGGAGCTTGTCCTGAATGCCGATCAGTTTGCGGAGCCCGGACTTCGTCTCAGCAGACTGTGGGCCCAGAGGATCCATGCTGCTGAGAATGCCAAGGGTTACACCTGCTGTAAATGTGTGAATGCTAACGAATGAAGCGGCATAGGTTTCCGGAACAATTTCCAGTAGCGGACTAGACAGGATCTCCGACATGCTGAGCGCTGCATCACGACAGGCGTTTAAGGAGGCCCTGAATGGGTCGACCGAATACGCAGCCTCGCCATTGTACTTGCTGGTTCGCTCTCTAGTGGCAAGCGTGTAGGAAAGAAGAGGACGATGTGTGAGGATGCGTGCGTTCTGATAGGCAAGCCACAGAGCGAGAGCTTGGAGTTGATAAATGTGATTCTCGAAGCGAGGCCCCGAGGCTCCAATAGCGCGATCGACTTCTTCAGCGGAGGCATAATGAGAATGGTGAGAAACACAGCGCCACTGGAGTGGGGAAGGGATCTCTGCTTCCCACTGGCGGAGTCGGTTATCGTAGTCGGCGACCTTTCGAACGATTCTTTGGATATCCGGTGAATTTGTATGAGATCGGCTAGCTGGATGTGAGCGAACGCGATACAGATCATCCAAGGCTCCTTTAGTGATGGTGGACAGTTTAGTTATAAAGTACTTGTAGGAAAGTAGCGTTGGATCGGACGTCAAGGGTTCATTAAATGAACCCGGAGACTGCATAGTCTGAAGCTTGGCTGATGGATCTAACGGTTCTACGTCGCAATCATCATCGCGGATACTGTGCGGATAGCCATATGCCACAGCAGAGAAGGTTTCGATCTCATACACTGCCCACCAGCATCTTTTGCGAGTCTCATTGCGGGTTCGGAAATCAGTCGATTGGACGGGGTGCTGTCGGCGGTGTAGATGTAGAGCTTGGGCGATACGAAGCCCACATCCGCATACCGGCCATGCCAGTCGTGGAGCACCATGATATAAATAATATGTACCCAGTAAAATGCAGGTTTGGACTGCTTCTAAAGAGCCGAGGGACATTATGTCAAGAAGCCCCGATCTCACAGTAAAGAGGATGCGATCCCTTAGGTTGATGTCGACCCCATGTCTCGAGAGAATCCCTTGTCGGTAAGGCCCGGCGTACTGCAGCCCGATGGCGATTACGATCAGGAAGGTGCTAAGAAAGCCGAGGTGACGGTGGGCGTATGTTAGAGGCCTCTCAGTAGAGCGACCGTATAATTTGGGCCACCGTTGACGGAACTCATCTTGATAGAAGATCAACATGAACCAGTGCACTCGATCAAAATACGTATCTACGAGAAGGCTGGCCGCATCAAAGTTGGGCAGTAGAGACATCAAAACATTCAGAACGGAAGAGGACGGATCATAAGGCGCGAGTGCAGTTGAGGAGGGAAGGTCAGAAGTCTCAACCTCAATGCTGGGGGAAGCAGATCCTGGTTCACGCAAAGGGGCTCCCGGGAGTGCGTTGGTTGCAGGAGGCCCCGGTGCGGCCACATTGTGAAGGCTGAATGCCTATTCGAATGATTGTTAAAGTGGCCCATGGTGTGAGTGAGTTCAGGGACCTTACTCCGCCTAGAAGAGATATAGTAGAGCTTGATATCCAATCACGATCTCTTCGGTGTGAAGGTGATCCTGGACTTGAAGCCTCGGGGGGATGCTGGTCAGGATCGAGGACGGGGGGGGAACATGCATGGCGTGTCGAGGCACTTGCGTTTAGCGTTCCGACCGTTGGTGATGCAGGCTTATCCTGCGGATGTCGATAGGGTCGCCATCGGGTCACCGAACCGGGAAGACAGCTGACGCCGGCGCGGGTGCAGAGGGTACAAGGCCGTTGGATGTCACACTGGCGAGAAGTGAGCAGATCGATCGGTTGTTCCAGGCTTACTTGTTTCAGCGGACCTTTAGCTTTTGGCGTCGACAGCGCTGACATGCGCTCGGGACTTTGATAGCAGGACTGGCTCTCAGAGACGGGCTATCCGCCATGCTAGAGGGGTATCAGATACTTGGAAGACGTTGTACAAGCTGAAGCATGAAGGATGAAACCAGAAAAAGTGGAAGAGTTGCCGCGTGGGGCGATTTGGTCCACCGGAAGAGGTTTCCTAATCGGTTACGTACACGTGATTCATTTCTCTATGAATCATGAGAAGTACATTTAGAGTGGTTAACGGCCAGGTCAGGTCAGATTAATAGAAAAGTCTATACCAACTGTCAAATAAACAATGAGGTTAAAGGAATTTTTGTATCTGGCTGTAGTATAGCTAAATATAAATAGCGTATCATTTTTTCTGTTTTTGGTACCAAGACCTACTTGCCTGTTATGTTTAATTAAATCTTAATATTTTAGACATGGCAGGACTCGCCCGCTAGCGTCGGGTGGGGAAATCTCCTCCTGTTATCTGATGTGTCAAATATTTAGGATAGTTAGATGCACCAGATAAGGCGTACTTAACTGGCTGTAACAAATAGCCCTGAATCTATAAGTTTTATTGAGCAAGCTAGAGCTTAATCTAACTACCAGCGGGCCCGACCCTGATGCAGATCCTGTCCTATATTCTTCTTTTTTACCCCTGCAGTAACTGTCCGACGTGAAGAACCACAGCTATTGAAACCAGTGATATTCCATCTGTTATGTACCTATCCACTGCTCGTCTTCTTATATGCTCTGGGAAGTTGATCAGAGCCTCTTTCCTTACTGGAAAGTGTCAACTCAGCCGGAGTTATATAACACCACCACTGTTAAGGGCACTGGAGCAAGACGAAGGTACTTCCGCATTTTCCGCCACAACTATACGAGTACATTGTATCACTATTAAGATTGGATGAGCAGAGATCCCCGTCGAAGAAGCCAAGCTATACCAATACCAACGCTATCGCTGGCTGTCCGTTCTTCCTTATCTTATAAGCTAAACTTCTTATTGTGAGCTGCGCAGCACGATCGCATATACTTTCAGTCCGGCCTGGAATCAAGACCAGAACAGACCAAAATTATTCTACTACAGAGTCCAGGCGGTGGACTTCGGCCCAAAGGGTTCCTTCCTCTGGGCGGCATGGTTCTGCGTGAGCACTACGAAGAAGCTCAGAGACGCAACCGGCATTTCAGGAACGCGTTCATTGCGTTGGGGGAGGATGCGAAACAGAGGGAGATATTCGCCAGGCTTGGTCGTACTCATAAATGAGCTCCCCTAGGCTAAGGGATAACAGGACTTGGTTCGCAAATCAATCTCCATAGAAAAAAAAGAAGAAAATGAAAAACAAACCACTTCTAATTATTCTGAAGTAGACAGATCAGTCCCTATACGCCTTCCACACAAACCCATCACACCGCTCATATCCTCGTACAAGCCCCGGGACTGAATAACTCAGCAAGTCAGCCAGCACATCCTCATCACTGCAACAACGAAGAAACTAAAACGGCCACACAGCCTCCATCTCCTTCCCATCCACCACCACCGGCCTTGCCTGCACCATTACCGAAGTCAACCTAGCCCATTCATCCGACGGATTCCCCCACTTGTGCATGGTGCCCCTCTGCACGACCGTGTCGCCCGCCCGCAGCGTCACCGTGGACCCATCGTCCGTGCTCAGCGTGACTACGCCTTGGGTGACGGTGATATAATCGAGGGTGATGGAGCGATGCATCGGGCCCTCGTATTTCGGGGGCAGATCGTAGGTGCTGAAGACGGAGCCACCGGTTGTCGCGGCGGTCGGGTTGGGCTGGATCTTGGTTGGGTCCTGGTCGATCGTGGCGGGGAGCTCGTCGGATGACCAGAGGGGGTTAAGGTACGTTCCGTCCTCGAGGGCGGTGGGTTCTTTGTGTTCATTGATGGCGATAGTGGCGGAGCGGGAGGCGTTGTGGGTTGTGATGATGCGGCGGGTGTTTGGGAGAGGTGGAAGAACTTGAGGTGAGGACATTTTGGAGGGGGAGCGGGCTTATGAGCTTGGTTTGGGGTTATTGATGTTTGATGAGGTGAGGGGATCTTGTGAATAGTCAAATATGCTGTAAAGGAACTATATAGAAGCAATTCTTGCAGGATACATTCTGCGTAGCGTAGCCGTGCTTCGGTGGGTCGATGATGATGACATCTTAATTCCGATTGATGAGGACCTTGTCGTTAAGTCCATGGATATCTCCGTCTTGGCCCAGCAGACGCCAACCAGTGGGGCCCGCACTAAAACCACGGTTAAAAAGTCCTGTATTCTAGTTATATACACCGTACCCTAACTCGTGGTCTATAATCTTGGCGTTGACGATAGAACAACTAAGAAGAGTGGAGAGCTCACTTTGGATGCGACCGGTATGTGGTTGTTGCCCTGCATCTGATGCCGTGGTTCTAGCGTGCTGAGCCAACGTGCCGACTAGGTGGGTTGGGAGAACACCCAGGACAAGCAACAACCCAGGAACTGGAAGATAGAACGTAAATGGATGGTTACCATCATGGTTCCCTGTTACATCTTCATTTCATCCATATCATCCTCGATGATGGCTCCCGGTCTCGGACGAATTTCCACGAACTTTCGTATTGAGAATCAAATCGTGTCGCAACTTATGCTGTCGGTATTCATTCTTGCCTTTGCCATTGGCCCACTGTTTTTCGGTCCCCCCTCGGAAGTGTACGGCCGTGTCCCCGTCCTCCCATGTGCAAATATGATATTTCTTATCTTCAATATCGTCTGCGGTGTGTTCAGACCAAGGCCCAAATGATAGCTTTTCGGTTCTTGGCAGGGATCGGAGGCAGTGCACCACTAACAGTAAGAACCTACAGATCGAAAACGAAGTTCCATGTGCTGACCGTCGGAATTGCTTTCTAGATCGGTGGGCATATTGGGAGACTTGTTTTCCCCGGAGCAGCGTGGCAAATCCATGGCAATCTATACGTTGGCACCGCTGCTGGGACCGGCGTTGGACCCATAGCCGGGGAATTCATCGTCGCGAATATCTCCTATACCACATTGATCGCTGATGGTCTCCTACAGCTTGCATTGTTTCCTCTACTAGGAGGGACCCATGCACCTAAGCTGCTCATAGCCAAGGCGCAGGAAAGCTTCGTTTGGTCTCTGGAAGCTCGGCGCGCGACTTCGCGCTATGAGTACTTATGCGGTAGGCTGAAGCCATTAATGTTGCGTTTCTTATCGAAACTAGTATTCAGTTGGCACGCTTTCACAATTTACATTGGTAGACAATCTCGGTTGCATGGGCAAGCTCTGGGGAGCAATCAACGCAATGATGATCTCAAGCGCCCGGGAAGTGAAACCGAGTCCCCACTCTCGGGAAGCCAATTCACTTCCTATTACAAAAGTCAAACGACTACGACACATTGCGGCTTTTGAGCTTAAGGCCGATAATTCCGGTGCTTTGCTGCAATACTTCTAGCGGGAACCGCCCATTCGGGAAATTCCTGTTTTGTTCCTGCTTTCACTCTAGCGCACTCCGGTAATCACCTTATTGTTCAGCGGTTGTCGCGCCATGGCTGATCGAGCAACCACCCTCGCGCGCGGAAATGGCAAGCAGAAGTCGTGCGAAGCCTGTCAGAAGACGAAGGTCAAATGCGATTATAAGACGCCATCCTGTGGTCGGTGTTCTCGAAGGGGAACTATGTGCTTGTACAGCCGTACACCTGGGACAAGCAAATTTCGGATCACAAAAGGGGAGGCCAGTGCCCCATATACTGTCTCGTGGGCTCCTACCCGCTCCAATAGTTTGTATTGTGATTGCGTAGTCACTAATCCGCGCAGAAGGCCATGCTCAGATCCGCCATTTGCCCCACCCCGAGAAGACATACCGGCACAGGGCATCACAATCCACACAGTGGCCTCAGCAGACACGGGCTTCCTGGGGCCGACCAGCTATCGGGCCGAAGTGCAACACGCCGCACATTCGCACATCATTGTAAATACTGCTCAAAGTATGGGACATGAGGGAGCGGCGGACGCTCAAGGAACCCTGACGGTCGAACTGGAGCGCCTGGAGCAGGGTCTAAGGATCATTGACTATCTGAATGCGCACGCCACCTTGATCCGCAAACTGGTCGACCGGATGTATACGCTGGGCCGACTTGTGATCATCCCGAAAGTCATCATGCGAGGTGTACTAGATAGCCTATGGGAGGCACTCAGCGAGGATCCCGTCCAGAGCGATGCTTTGAATTCGAGAAGTGTGGTTCACATCTTTGAAAACTCATACAAGCCCATGCCCTCGGGCAAGCCCATTGGGGTGGAGCAGTTTTGCTCCTTGATTACTGGGGTCAATGTCCGGTGGGAGACTATTGGGAACGTCCTAGTGATGGCCTGCTTGTGCTTGTGTCATATTGCCGAATCGGAGGCGACACTGTTGGATCCGTCAGCTAGCTCCACGCCGGCGCAGATTCTATCTCGACTCCGAGAAATGACGAATCGGGCGATATTTCTCTGCAGTGGACTCCCACTGTGCAATGAGCTGGTGGTCTGTCTGAAATATAACCACATGTTGCTTATGTCTCAGCTCTGGGGCAATACCGGTGTGTGGCTACCGGCCCGCCATCTGAGACACTTCTGGTGCTTGAGCTGACTTCGCAAAATGCCAGATCAGCGAATTTATTATGCCCTTGGGGAGCTGACGTCTGCTGTATATGCCACGGGCATGCACCAGCACAGGGGGTCTGGTGACAAATATCCCAAATTTCTCAGTGCATGGCGCCAGAGATGTTTCGCTATTGTTTATTCGATGGACAAAATCTTTGCCACCTTCTTCGGGAGACCACCATTCCTCAATCGCCACTACTGCAATATAGAGCCAGTCGTTGAGCTACGCGGCGTGATAGAAGATCCAAGCCACCCAACACTGGAGAGGCTCGACGAGGTCTATTGTAATGAAAAGAGCGGGAACGATCAACCGGAGCCGCCAGGCTACCTCCGTGTTCGTTACCTCCTGTCCATTGTTCGTGAGGAGATTCTCGAACTTCACCTCGGAACAGCGACTCACGACGTTTCTGTAAAATCAGAGTATGATTTATTACCGGTCTAGGCTCAACCACCTCGCTTTCGTTACTACTAGTCCTCTGGATACCGCACTAACAGTTTCGCAGACAGTTAATCCGCAAGCTCCAGTCCCTCTGGGAGTCCTGCTCCCCTCGGTTACAATATTCCCCGCAGCTATGGACAATACCCATGCCACGTCAAACCATCTGGTTCATCTTTGCTCTCTACTTGGAACATCGCTACTCGTTGTTTTTAATTCAACGGCTCCGGGCCCAAAAGTGTCCCTCCGAGTCCCCCGCTCCGTTGCTGTCTGTAGCCAAAGATATCCTGTCAACCATTCTGGTGCTTAACAAGGAACGCGAGCGCTTGCGAGAGATCCGTAGTGACTTGGGCAGTGTGGTGGGTTCAAATCACAATTCTTCGCGGCAAAACATGCTGATAGGCCGCTGCCAGCTTCTTCCCTTTGGACTCCCCACCGCAGAAGTACTATTGCAAGATCTCCTTCATACTCCCGTGGAATTTCCGAGCATACCGTGTGGACGACCTTCCCGGTCGGATACCATCCGCGACCTCATTCTGTTCGTCTCGTGTCTCGAATGGGCTGTTAAGCCGGAGTCGGGTCATTTCGAATTCGCGCAAACCATCCAAGAGAGGTTCACCCGACTGCTCGATGCGATCCTTGACCCGCATCGTAGTAGACCAGTTCAGGTACCTGGTGGCGCTACAGGTGCGGACTGGCCTCCTGAAGACAGCGGATACCTTAACTCAGAGGTCGATGTTAACCACTTCGTCGATTGGGATTTTACTAGTACCCAGGGTGTCGGTTTTGATTTGTTGAGCGGGTCGATAATCTGAGCGTCGCAAATAGTAATTGTGGACCAAAACAAGTACGCAGTGCTTCCCAACATATAAAACGCATGAACTTGACAAGAACACTGGGAGATGGATGATGGATGAACTTAGAGTACGTGAGGAAATCTGAGGAACTAGCTAAGGCCACCAAGGTGGGCGCTGAGTGTGCAGCCTGAGACCGCAGAGCCGTCAGAACTTTGAACGACTTGTCATGACATGATTATGAGAAAATTTATGGGATAGTTTTTAAAATAACTAATATTCTTGTTTATTAATGGTCTAAAGTTGTAGTTTTTATACTAGTTTTTATCATGACATTTGCGCTTAAGTTACTTAAACAAAAAATCTATATATCGAATGAGATCTAACATACAGCTGACATAAATTATCAAAGGCACAAAGTAGGAAAGAGTTCTGCTTTCTTTTTTCTCTTTTCAAGATCGAGTAATTTCTACAGTACAGATAGACTAAGCCAATCACCTGTGTCATAAATATAGGATACAGAATTTTAAACACCTATCAGAATTATCGTTACTGCACCTAACCCAGGTATTTTGGATTAGGCTTAACCCACCCGCTACAATTTCAATTCCGACCTGCTAGATCCAAAGGATTCCAATTAAGTGGCCCACCTAGCTTAAAACGGGAACCTTGAACGAGTACGGAATTTCCTCATATAGAAGCTTTGCCCATTCCCCCCCGATCCTGGCCGCTAGACACCAAAGTGAGTCTATTGGCGAGCCGGGCGAGCTTGGCTGTCTCTTTCGCCCACAGATGCCGTCATGCTCACAAATTGTCAGTCTTGGACTTGGACTCTCAGTATTTATAGATTCCCATGAGACCCGACCGCCTAACAGTCTAGGCGATCTAGTTGTTCGCTTGTCATCCTCCTAAGTACCTACACCATTTCACGTCATCAAATTATGGCCTGCGACGCCTGCAAGTCAGGGTTTCGTTGGCAAGGAACCCCGGTGGGCTCCGAAATCACGCTGAACGGCAACCCCACGTATGTGACTGGCGACTCCAAATCAGCCGCGATCTTGATGATCCACGATATCTTTGGTTGGACATTGCCTAATGTGCGGCTTCTGGCTGATCACTATGCTCAAGAAGCGAATGCCACCGTCTACCTTCCGGATTTGTAGCCTACCCTACCTCCCCATGATCATTCACCTTCCCCCCTCCACCCAAAAGTATGTGTTCACCAGGCTAATCCGTGAACTACTAGTTTCGGTGGCGAGATTGTCCCACCCGAGATCTTAGACGATCCAGAGAAGAAGGAGGCTTTCAATGTGCCTGCTTTTATCGAGCGTAACTCGAAAGACCAACGCTTCCCGGACATCCTCGCGTGTGCCCAAGCTCTGAAATCCGCGTATCCCAAAGTGGGCGCCATCGGGTTCTGTTACGGCGGCTGGGCCGTCTTCCAGCTGGCGGCACGCGGTCCAGAGTTGTTGAGTTGTATCTCCACGGCACACCCAACCTTTTTGACCGAGAAAGAGATTGCTGCGGGACGCGTCCCTGCCCAGATCCTGGCGCCAGAACATGATCATCGTTTGACTCCAGAGCTGAAGGAATTCTGCAACCGTGTAATCCCGGAGCTGGGCCTGCCCTATGAATATGTCTACTTTCCCAAAATGTCTCATGGATTCGCAGTCAGAGCGGATCTGAACGACGAGTTGCAGAAAGCGGGGCTCGCGAGGGCAAAGCGAGCGGCGGTTCACTGGTTCAATGAGTGGCTACACTAATCAATGGGCAAGCTTCGTTTGGTGGTATCCGAGTCTAGCTATAGCGTCTCGGCGTTGCCCGACTGGATGGCTTCAAGGTCGGTCAGCTGTTAAGATGGTTCCTGACAGTGGGCTAGTGTAGCATCGCATTGTTGTACCAGACTGAGTGTGCAGAGCTAGGGCGTGATATAGAGCTGTGATATATAGGACTGTAAGGAATCGTGAAGGCGATCGGCATAAATTCGGCAGTCACATATTGCACAGTTTTGACATTATTTTACATCTAACATCCCCTTTTACCAAGGCTAGCGTTAGGTCTTCATCACAGCTACGTAGACTCATGGACATGCCGGTCTAAACTCCGCTGGCCATCTAGAAATGCTGCTGCATGATCAAAATACATAGTGGTCATAATAGATCATTGTGGTGAGCTAATGAGAAGTGACTAGTCTTATACATGGACCTGAACGAACATCTCCTCCGTCATTCCCGAGCTTGAACATAGCATCGGCAGTGATCAATGCCAATACTTTCGTACAGGGTCTTGAATCACTTGCCAAGCGTGGTCGATGGCCTCCACAACATCATCTGGCAGGGGACCCTTTTCCAAGTCCACCAGATTTGATTCCAGCTGATCAGGCCGGCTAGACCCAATGATCAACGCGTCCCTGTCGTCATTCTTCAACGCGGAGTGGTGAGCCAGCCAACGGTATGTGCACTCGGACACGGTCAGGGAGTGACGTTTGGCAGCGTCTTCGATTATGCTGACAGCGGCGAAGCACGGTTTGTTCCAGTATCGCGCATTCATTGTCGAGCTCGAGCCGTTATCGGGACTGTAGCGCGAGCCCTGCTCGAAGTCGTTCGTTTCAAAGTGGTATCTGCCGGTAAGAAGACCGCCCGCCAAAGGTTGGAAAGCATACAGGGCAATCTTGTAGAAACGTAGGCAGGGAACAAGCTCGTTTTCAATGGCTCTGTGCAAGGGGTTGTAGATCCCTTGGTAGACAGAAGGCCGCACCCAGTTGTTCTGCTCGCATAGGTCACAGGCGCGAGCGACCTCCCAGGACATAAAATTACTCAGTCCAAGCCGCTTGAATTTGCCCTCCCGATACAGCTCATCGACTGCCCGCAGAGTCTCTTCCAACGGGGTTGTCCTGTCCGGAGCATGGAGGTACCAGATATCGACTGACTCGGTTTGGAGGGCCTCGAGACTTTGAGAGAGAGCTTGGCGCAGATCGGCTGCCCTTAAGGTGTATTTGTCCCCAGGCATGCTTGTGTTGGCTGTCGGGTAGATTTTGGTCGCTAGCTGGAGTCCCCGGTTCTGCCACTGACTCTGGCCCAGGAGCTCCTCAGAGGTGCCTTTCGCATATGCTCGAGACGTATCTACTTCAGTATGTCCGTGCTTCTGGAAGACATCGAGGACGGCCTTGATTTCCGCTTGATTGGTCTGGCGGCAACCACTGAGGCCTATAAGTTTGCGATTAGTATAGTAGTGGTGAGGGAGGACAAAACATGTGCCACGATGCACTCACCGGCCTGGCCCACGGTCATGGCGCCAAAGACGACCTTAATGTTGGTGGAGGGCTTGGTACTCATAGTCGGCAACAAACTATACAGCACGCAGTAGATGAACGTAGACAGAGAATGCAAACGCTTAGCAGGGGATCTTAAATGAACCGTCACAAATTAAGCTGCGATGCTAGGTGAGGAAAGATCAGGGCTATCTCCGGTAATCATCCGAGGAACTGCCAAAACCAGGCCACACCGCGCTGGTGATGACACTACCGATTCGGAAGCTGCGTTTCTCTTGGTACAGGCCCACTTACTGAATTCGGTAATCGAGACACCATTCGTACGGCAAGATTACTGTATACGGCAAGTCCTCATCTGGACGGTACCCTACCTTGCACCTGTGGCCTACCGTATAGTCCCAGTTGCTTGAACAAAATTCCATCATACTGGCAGCTATACAATTTTCTATCAACCTGAACTGACCGGGCTGTTAACCACTTCAGATATCATATTCGCACTTTCAGTCATTTTTTAGTCATATTCTTTTCTTCTTTTATTCATTAATTTCTTCTCATAAGTTATTATGCTACAGACCTCACAGAGTCTTCATTTTTCTGTTTCTCTATTTTTACTTCTTTGATTTGATTCAAATCTTATTAGTTAGTTTACTATATCTTTTACTACACTATATTTTTTTCATATAATATAGTGAATACCATCTTCCGAAAGAGGGAACATAGCAGCGTGCTTACCTGAATAACCTTGTTAAGAAGGAATATATAAGGTTCTACTCTGTTTTTTCTTCTAATACTTGTATCTTCCATTTATATCTAACATTATAATTAAAATATCTTGAAAAGAATAAACACCAAGATCCTTCTCTCATTATAATATCTAATGCTATATCCTTCCTCCCTTAGCAGTGTTTTACGCCCTGGACCGAGGCGAACGTACCAACAGTAATGAGATGGACATGATTGAGTCATTGCAAGCTTCAATTGTGAGTGGAAGGGATAGAATGTGCGAGCGTCTAAAATCCGTTTGACCCCTTGTTCATCAAAGTGTTCAGAGCCTCGATGATGCCTGGCCGCGAGTCGTTGGGACTACTGCTGCTATAAAACTCCAGTGCTTCTTGGTAAAGGTCCAGCTCCTCCTCGTAGTATTCTCGAGCATCCTCCATGATCTGCTCATACACGGTAATGTTCCATTCATGGTACAGCCCTTCATCGGTGCAGTGCCACAACGTCAGCATGCCGTCCTTGGCCTCCCCAAAGATGTTGTACCGGGCATAGATGGCGTCTCCATATCGCTGCTCTGCAATGGCAGTGCAGTACTCGGTGGCCCATGGTTCCACTAGATCCCCGGATGTTCGATTGAGCACTTCCGCGATGTGCAAATCGAGGAACAGCTGCTCCGGGAGGGAACTGTGTCCGCCAGCTGTTACCCTGGTAAAGGTGGCTGAAATCAGAAAGAGAAGTTGGTGGTGGAAATGCATTTCAGTTGCAATGCGAAGGAAGTGAATCAACTTGCATTCTGAGGCAAGTCTAGAAACTCGGCTTTGCGACCGCGGAATTTAAGCCAAGCCAACATTAGGCTGCCACTGGTGGTTGCCTAATCGTATGTATTCTTGTCATCGCCATACCATCCATCGTTGATTTAGTCTGTCAGTTTGACCATCTTGACCCACGAGCCTGTTCAGTCCGACACTTTGCCGCTTTTGAAAGACTAATCATCAATGTAACCAGTGAATACCACCCTTGACACACACAAATTTCCGGATCCCTTGCCAAAATGGCCAGAATGCCCTGGACTGGGAAATGAATGTCTATGATGCGTGACTGCGCCAGGACAGTGGCACTCAAAGATCCCTTGGCTAGCATTTGCGAGCCTAGAGTCATTTTCGACCAAAGCAGGGCCAAGGGAAAGAACATTTAGCCCGAACGTGCCCTGGACGCGGCCACATACCGACCACGAGCACTCAAGAAACACAACATTCCTCAGGCTTTATTTAATGCCTCGTGTCTCCCCACAATTGCGTGCAGGGTAGCTATTCCCTGCACATCTTCCAAATTTACACTGAGCCCCTCATTATCTATCAGCCATGCGCATCGTTGCCATTGTCACCGGTCTTGTGTCCCTAAGCATCCTGACGGCGGCTCAGGGGGTCGGGGCCGAGGGCCCCGATGAGTTCACTGCGCTCGGCTGCCCCGACACCACCAAACCGCAGGCCTCCCAAGCCGAACAGCTCGCCGCCTGGGACGACTTTACCAATCTGCTCTACACCGAGAAGCGCCTCACTGACGCCTTCACCAAATATGTCGCGACCGGCTATATCAATCATTCGCCCCTCGTGTCTGCGAACGGCATAGATACCACCCTGGGCGAATTGTCAGGCATCGTCCCCAACGTGGATTCTCAATTGCAGCATGTGTTTGTCGGATGGGATAAGAATGGCACCGCCTATGGAACTGCTCATACCAAGGTTACTGGCAATGCGACCATGGGGATTCCCAACTCCGCCTTGGTCGACATGATCCGCATGGTGGGGACATGTTTAGTGGAACATTATGACGTGCAGCAAGCCGTGGATGGAACTGCCCCGAATCCCATCGCGTTCTTCTAAATGCAGAAGATACATGGACCGGAGTGGGGAGCCACTGATTAGCACGAGAAAGATGGACGCAAGCGCAAATCTCTGTATGAACACTCACCGTTATGCATGTATAACAGAACTAGTTGAGAGAGGTGGACGAATCCCAAGAGTTATGGCTATTACTTATGAAGATGGAACTTGATGTATAACATTATCTTTCACAAACGTGTTCCTTCTCTGTAACAAGTGTGGCGGTCTGTTTCAACAAATGGCTGGCTTGGATGATATCAGCTCGGATTTCCTTCCCGAAACCCGAGCACATCAGCAACTGCCTTGCTTCACCACTTCGGTGAGTCAGAACAGGTCGTGCTTCGCAGTGTTGCTGTGCTTATCTACCAATGTCCTCTTACAATCAATGCTTCACATGAACAGTCAGCCAGGCAGAAGTGCAGCTTCAGGAAGGGGAAAGGATCTCCCATCCATCGTCTCCGGTACCCCGCGCGGGGTTGTAGTAGCAAGAAACCCTCGGCTCTTCTCCTTCCCGAGCCTTAAAATCCATGGGTCTCTCTTCCCAATCGGATCCATCTTCATAACTTCAGATTTATATCCCCCCTTGTCAAAACATCATGGCAGTCGAACAGTGGGAGACGATTGTGCAAAAGAAACAGGCCGACGCAGCCGCTAAGATTCCCCAGGCATGGCGGCTACCGGCTGAATTCACGGCGCATGTGTCCGAAACAGCCTCTACTAATGTGCTCGATGTGCCTCGCAAGTGTGGCTTGTTGTCTGCTAAGCAATTGGAAATTACTGAGAATTATGACGCCACGGCCTTGCTCGAGCAGATCCATTCCGGAAAGTTGACTGCTGTTGAAGTCGCCGAAGCATTTTGCCTTCGGGCGGCCATCGCACAGCAAGTGGTGGGATAGTAACTCACTAAATGACCATGATCGTCAAACTAACGGTCTGATATAGACGCGCTGTCTGACTGAGACATTTTTTGATCTTGCTTTAGAGCGAGCAAAGGAGCTGGACGAGTATTTTCAGTCTACCGGAAAGGTCCGGGGGCCGCTGCACGGGCTGCCCATCAGTCTCAAGGTAGGCATTGCAGCCACGAGGTATAAGGACATGGATATTGATGTTATCAGGACTGCTTCAATGTCGCTGGTGTTCCAAACACAATTGGCTTCACTGCCTTCATCGCCCACGGTCCCGTTAAGAACAACTCCTCTGTCGTCCAGATCCTCCTTGACCTGGGCGCGGTTCTCTATGTCAAGACCAACATTCCCCAGACAATGATGGTATATCCCCCTTCTTATATTACAGCTGCCGAATGCTCATCATGACTAGGCCGCCGACTCCCACAACTACGTCTTTGGTCGCACCCTCAACCCCAACCGAACCAAACTCAGCGCCGGCGGCTCCTCAGGTGGCGAAGGCGCCCTGATTGCCATGCGCGGATCAATCCTGGGTGTAGGCACCGACATTGCAGGCTCCATCCGCATCCCCGGGATCTTTGACGGAACATATGCCCTACGCCCGTCTATCCATCGCATTCCCTACGGAGGCCAGACAGGATCCGGCCGCAAGGGTCTAGCGGGCATCCGACCCTGTGCCGGCCCACTAGCCACTTCCGTGCGAGACCTCGGTCTATTCATGAAAACAGTCGTAGACATCGACCCCTGGCAATACGACTCCTCGACCATCTTCAGCACCTGGCGAACCGCCCCTCCGAAAGAGACCCTCCGACTCGGCTTCATCCTCGAAGACCCCCATTTCCCCGTACACCCTCCCATTCTCAACACGCTGACCCGCGCAGTCGATGCCCTCAAAGCCGCCGGCCACGAAGTCATCAACCTAACCACCCCATCCATCAGAGACGCCCTCCTTCTCGGCTTCCGAACCTTCGCCATGGACCCGGCACGAACCGCATTCAGCCACATCACTAAGAGCGGCGAGCCACGCATCCCTGCTCTGAGAACTACCGATCTGCCAAACGCAGATTTGCCATTTGAATGGGCCCCGCATACCCTCGAGTCCCTTTATGATCTGAATGTGCAGCGGGAGACGCTGTGCGAGCAGTTCCGACAGTTGATCGTCCAGAACAAGATTGACGCGATCATTATGCCGGGGTATCAGGGCACAGCGGTGGCACATGATCAGGTCGGATGGGTGCCGTATACTGTTTTGGCTAATGTTTTGGATGTATGCCAACTCACCCCTGGATCATGTTAAGTCGACTGACAAGTGTAGTATCCGGCTACGATTATTCCCTACAGAAAGGCGGATAAGGCTGATGACGCCAAGTATGTCAGGGATGTGACTTACCGACCGCCTTGTAAGTTATTCTCATGTATACTCTCTTAAGACTGTTCTGACGCTTTGCAGATGTTGCGGACGACGTGGAGGGCGCGCCGTGCTGTGTGCAGCTTATGGGAAGAACAATGCACGAGGAGGAGCTCCTGCGGGATACTGCGATCGTTGCCAGGGTCTTGGGGAAATGAACCGATTAATCAGTGCAGGGCTATACGATGCTTAGACATAGTGTTATGAGTGTATGGCTGATGGTTGTGAGATTAGCAATGAAATAGGCACGTCTCATAGTAGTCATTATACGATCAAGCTGGCTCGGAAACTAAACTCCACTACTTCCTCCTATTTTACAATGGCAAATAAACTCGGACCTTATTGTCTTCAACAATGATAAAGTGTAATCGTGAACGTATATTGCGTCCAGTAAATATTATCATCAAAGAAAGCTAGAAGTAGAGTATATCATACACATGCGCCATCAAAAATAACAGCACTAGTACAGGGGCAGCTTGTACGCATCAAAATCATAAACCCAGGTCTTATACGACGCCTCATCAAACACGCAGTCCATGACGGTGCCGTTGTTCTTCCACAGGGGACGCAAGGGCCACGCGCACAACTGCTGCTGCTCACCCTCACGCTCACCAGCCAGCACGGTGGCATTCAAGCGGGTCGGGAAGACGCCTCCCTCGACCCATTGGATCAGAGTCTCGAGGGTAGTCTGCGGGAACGGCCCATTAGGCTGGGTAGTGCTAGACGCGCAGTGCGCCGCACCAGGGATCAGATACAATCGGTTCCATTCATTCAGAGCCTCGGAGCTCTCGTTGAACGACATGCCGGGGTACATGATCTGGCGGACGGACTCGTGATAATGCACGGACGAACCGGTCGGGATACTGGGGTCGGACTCGCCATGCACGTGAATAATCTTTCCACCGGCTGATTGGAACGGGGTCAAGTCGGGCCAGGTGGTCTGGAGGCTGTCCTCGTAGCGCTGCCAGCCGAGCTCCATCCACTCCTTCAGGGTATCGTACGTGACGTTGTCCAGGCTGGAGAGATTGTCTGCATCGCGCAGCTCCAGGAAGCGGGCGACCCATTCACCGCCCAGGGAGGTAATATCCAACTCCCATTTTCCGGTGTCGTAGTTGTACTGGGTCTGGGCATCGTCAAAGGTGGAGGAGGGCTGGTACCAGATGTAAGCACGGCGGCCGTCCAGGGTGCGCAGGCCGTCGAGCATCTTGCTGGCTGCGGCGGCACCGATAGCAGAAACGGTGCCGTTCTGGGCGGGGGTGGTGTTAGACATCGAAGTGCGCTTCTTGAGGACTGTCGTGGAGGTAGAGGCCGGGCAGGAGTAAGGGGCACCGACGGTCGAGTTCACGTTGAAGTGCAGCTTGCACAGGTCGGTACGAGCCACCACGCCATCGACACGGCCGTCCAGGGCATCGCACGCCGCAATGGTCAAGTTGACGATCTTTTCCAATTCGCAAGTGGGAGGGTAGTAGCCCAGAGTGTGCTCAACCACGTCGGGGTACAGGTGGTTCACTTGTTGTTGACCGTACCGGAAGGCAGGAGCACCGATAACGGCTCCATCCCACTGGTCTGCATAGCGTTGCACCTGGCTCCAACCTTCGCGGCCACCTTCCGAACAACCTTGGTAGTAGGCGTAGATCTTGGAGTCACCGACGCTGTAGAAGTTGCGGCTGAAGGCTTTGCCGACGACAGTGAGCTCGTGATGAGCGAGGTAGCCAAATGAATACAACGCCTCGTAGTTGATGGTACCGTTGGCTTCGAGGAAGACAGCGTCGAACTGTGTGTCGAAGCCTCCGAAGCCACCATCCGTGATACCTGCTGCAGCTCCATACATCACACCACCCGGCAGGGAGCTGGATCCAGAGTTGATGGCAAAGCCACCACCACCTGTGGACAGCCACCGGTTTTGGTAGTCCTCGGGAGCGGGCAACCAGAGCTCCAACAGGAAGGGGGTATCAAGACCAGGCCGAGTGTACGAGAGGGTCACGTTGCAGTAGCTGTAGGAAGCAGCCGGGAAGAAGTAGCTACCCGATGTGGAAGCATTGTAGACAGCACCAGCGGTGATGGATGAAGTGTCGATCTCGAGACCTTCAATCTCATCGCTGCTAGGCAAGGACGACTTGGCGTGGCTGGTAGTACAGACATCCGCCAGACTGGCTGCCTTGGATAGAGCAATGGTCGTGGCCCCGGCCAGGACCCCGAGGGCGGTTCTCATAGTGAGAGAGATGCTCAGGAGTTGCAAGAAGAGAAGAGAAAAATGGTTTGAGAAGTGATTCTGGAAGTTCGCCTGTCATACAGAAAGCAGCTGAGATAGCGTTGGCGATGCCACTACTTATAATGTTCACGATGCTATCGTTCCGTGATCATCTCTATTTTTGTTCGGAAATTATTGTTTGGAGTAAACGGCCAAGGGCACGAATCACCATCAAGCAAGAGGTGCACGAGAAGGCCGATCTCTCCTGGTTTGGGCAACTTAACATGTAGATCTCGTGTTTCGTGCTATGTATCGAACCAAGCTTCAGTCGGAGAATTTAGACTCGAAGGGGTGACGTTGTATGTCCTGCTCCTCCCACGCCATCTTGGACACTGACAAATTAGGTGCTCGGGACGATTTGCGGGAGCCACATTCAATATGGCATTAGTTTCTTCAGGTTGGCACACTTCCTATCGCCTAAGAAGTCGTTCATTTCAGGGTGTTACTCCACTCAGGTTGATTGCCAAGATACAGTAACCATCTTGAGTGAACAGCTGCGATGGTGGGTGCTGCTGGAAGATTGTGCCAGCGGGCCAGCAACGGGCAGTGCGTATGCCCCTCGGCCGGGTCTGCACGAAGGATTGCAATATAGGAGGATCGACAGAGCGACGGGAGAAGAGTTATCCCCACAAATCAAGGGAGTTGATTTACATCTTGGCAAACTTTGTCGGGGGATGGCTACAAATGTGGTTTGTGGTGTTGTTGTGCGGGTTCGGGGAGAAGAGCGTGACATGATCTTGTAGGTAATCTTCACGCTGTCGAGAGACGAGATTGTGAAGATAGTGTAGACATTCCCCAGGGCGATCCGTGGCTAAGCGAAATGAATAGCAGTCCTTGCGTAAGCCTGCAGAAAAGACCCCTGGATGTCTGCAAGCCGACGAGGTAATGGAGGCAGTCGGGGGAAAATGACAGGAGGGGGAATCTCCGCCGACCTCGGCTTCAGCTGCCCCGGGCGGTGTCCAGAGCCGGACCAATCCTGTGATTGCGGGTGGTTCCTCCGACTTTCGCTCGCCGTGTCGGTGCCGATATTCCCTTCTCATCACCACTTAATGACTCAATATCCTCACCCCGAGGTACTCCCGTCCATCTCTTCATCGGCCCGTCCCTTAATAATCTCGCATTTCATCCCATTCGGTCTCGTCTCGAGTCCCTCTATATCTCGTCCATGAGATTACGCAGCACTATAATGTGATCGCTCTCGACCTGTTGAGCTTAGCAGTCCGGCTCTATTCGGCCTCACACTGATTCCATTGCCCTCCAATCAGTGCTCTGGGATGCCGCGCATTCTTGCTGGCTGGCGGCCCCGCTTTCAATCTTGTTTACTTTACCATGGTGGATCCGCGTTGTCTGACGCCGTGGAGTGATGCCTAGAAATCAGTTTCTGACCCCCTTCAGAATTGGATAGTACCCCACGCCGGTTGAGTTAACCACAAGGGTTCGGCCTCCGACGAGCACAGGCGACGGGCCTTAGCACGGCCAGGGTTCTTTGCTTGGTCTCGGGGCTGGTGTTTATCAGCCGAACACGAGTTTTCATGTTGGTCAAAGATCAGGAGTAATTCGCTGCTAAAAACTCTGACACCATCGGCCAGATGTTGCTCTCCAGCATCGACTTTGCATTATGGTCATTCAGGCTCCGCTTGTCAGGCTGAAATCCCCAGTCCCCGCATTCTACATCTTTGAAGTTTGGGGTGATGCCAAAACCTGCGATGGATTGCGGGATTTCAGGGTAAATATATAACCACCCCGCCTGAAGGTATATTGCTGATGGAGTATGGAGTGCTAGTGGTCCACGCTTTCAGCAGGAATTGGTCCCTTACTGACGTCATTATATTTTGCAGCCAGTCATTCCTTCAATGCGGTTATTTACTTAGTATATACGAAGCGCTCGAAGATTCCTCATTCCGAAGTACTCAATATCGTCAACATCTCCCGTTTCGGCTCCGTTACGTAACCAACATGCCGGGATTGTATACTAAAGATATTGAAAGGCTTCGGAGTTCTATCATTATTTGTCTAACGCCGTCTAAATGAGCAAAAGAGCAAGGTTATTTGTGGCCACGAATGCACTTGTAAGTTGCCTCCACATTCACTGCGAACGTTCAGGCTCGTATATGGCGCCGATCTCAGAGATGCAGTCACAATCCACATAGATCCCAATAAGCTTCGAATCTTTCGGTGGTTTATAAATTTTATCTATTGGTTCCTGCTCAAATATGTCGCCTGCAGTCTCAACGTTGGCTGGTATATCTCCCCAGTAAAGATGCCGGTCACACTGCGATCTCTGATCATTGGGGATTCCGAGGCTGAGACATCGCTGCGTCCCGTCCCGTTCGACCTCGAATTGAATCTTCAATAATGCAGTACCGGACGTCTTCACTGACAAGCCCATAATAATATCAGTATTGGAAAATTCCACGACCTGACGGGTCATACCGCTACGGGTATCACCGACGGCCGCTTGATTGCGTGACTGATAAGTGAATCTCAGTCCAGAGATTTCATCCCCATAGATACAGGCTTCTGCCTTGACAATCTTCCTTCCCCGGGAAGAGCCGTCTTGTCTCTTGAAGTAAAGCTTCCGTACACGGTCATATGGCGGAGACAAGGTTGGCATGAGAGTGCGCGATCTCTGGCTTCCGTATGGGGACATGACTGCGCGAACCCTATCCGACTCCGCGCTGACTACCCATGAGATAGCCGTCAGCTCCTTGTCAGCGTCACGTAGATATTGAGACTGTATGACTGCGCCGGACTGGAAGATTGGAGTGGAAAACCTCGCCCTGTGCATCCCCGCGTCGATCCATATGGCTGCGATGTTACCTGTACTCAACTCAGGGAACTGGGAAATGAAACTATCGAAACCGACCCATACAGTAATCGATTTGATTTCCTCGCCTGGATCCAATTCAAGGACTTCACCGTGTAGTGGACGTATCCATTGTCCAACAACATTTGGACTGGGGTGATTATAATACTCAATCTTCAAACCAGTGATCCAATGCCTAGAGCGAGAATAGTGCGTATTGCCTGTAGATGCGGTGATTGTGCGAACTCCCTTGAGAGATGCATAAGTTTGGTAACATTTCATATCGTTCTTCTCGCTACTATTGTGGTGCAACATCAGATCATATTGTATCTGATCCTCCGGTACCCGATGACATTCGCGGTCCAGATTGTGCGGACTCGCGGGTAGGGCGATGCAGAATTGAGAATGAATTCGGAGTTGTTCGAAATACTTTCTGTATGCCTGTCTTTATTCAGCTGCTGTTTAGACGGATGGAGAGGGTTCTACATACGGCTGGCTGGACAACAATTCCAGTGATGGTATGCCGAGGTGGCACACCTGATATTGTTCGGACGGATGCATTGAGACGATGGAAGAGGGGGGCAAACGTGGCGGTTCGTCCATAGTTGGTTGAGACCTAGACCGCGGTCAGCATGGTGGCGAAACCTTGGAGACGATGTAGAACGGACCTCAAGCCCGACCAAGCGAACGGCTCGGGTATGATAGCGGTTATCTCTCAGAACCCTTATTTGCGTGATACGCTCTCCATTCGAGCTATCTAAGAAAAAGGACATCACGTTTTCGCCAACGACACCACACTTCACAACATTGCCATGAGAGTAGCGTGCAACCATCCCAACAAGTGGATGGCGGTGAAATCTCAAATGGAATTCAAGAGTTGTTAAGTCCCTGAGACGAAGACCCCTTCGGCTACCGAAGTCAAAATTCAATAGCGGATTAAAGGGCCCAGAGGCCCTGCAGGGGAGCAGGGGGCTGATGAATGAACTCATGTGCAGTGAAACAGGTGGCATCCACAGATGAGAATCGGCACGTGAAGGGAGGGTGTTGGCCGCGGAAGAATGGAGTGGTTTCGGAGCATGCTTATAGGGTTTAGCCACTTCGCCAAACCCAAGTGCAACAATTTTGAACCGATCCAAACCTGCTAACAGATAGTACGGCTCCTTTCCACCTGGAATGGACAGTATGCCGCGAGCTGTTCCTTTAATGTCGGGGTTGCCAACCCAGTGAGACTCTCCCAAATTAGCGCATAGTATCCTAATTGCCCTGAGCCCTTCTGGGGAGAAATGTACTTCGAAAGCCCTGATATGTGAGCCCCTAGGTATGTCAATCCATTCCTCAGTGTCTGGGTTGGGATAGCCAATTGATTGACTGATTCCACTTCTATCACCTGCCGGGAACAGTTTGATACCGGATATGAATTGCCCTGAACCAAGTTTAACAGTCGAGATACCAATTCGGAGTTGACGACGATTTCGCAGAGCCACCAGCGACTGAGCCTTTCGGTAAAGCAATAGACATTCATCTTGCAAAGGACAATGTGCCTCGGCGGATGTTAGATGGCCAGAAAAATAAAGCATGACTTTTGCGCGTAGGTGATCCCGCGTGGAGATCGCTATATCCACCAAGACAGGAATATTGCGTCGAGATTTCTCCGGACGATAGCTAAAACCTTGCCCACCATTCCGTTTAGTAGGCTCTAATTCAACTAGAGATGCAATATGCTCCAATCGCTGGCAGATTTCCCTTCTATTGGTTAGGGCTCGCGAACTGCTCCTTGAATATACTTTTGTACCGGCGTAGAGCTTGTACCAGTCCCGTGACGTACGGAGGCTGGGGAAAATGAAGTCAAACTCCTGGCCGAGCATAAATCTACTCCGCCAGTAGGACTGAGGGAGCTTGGCCTTTCTTGCCCGCCAGTTTAGATATCGGCATGTGAGTCTAATATTTTGGACCTGACGGTAACTTAAATATGTAAGGACCTCAAACAGCATTTCATCCGGTAGCCTGCTAAAAATATTGTACCCAGACTCCAACACACTTACTTGAATCCAGGTGTTATGGCGTAAATGTCGCTCGTCGTCACTTCCCGGCTCCATACCTCGTGGCGGAATAGTGCCACGCTCGTCGCGCCTTATGCTTTCGAGTTGATCCAGAGAGAATATTCCACAAGGGTCAGCAAATCCAAAGTACTGACTACTATCTTCTGGACCAGGGGCTTCGGGGGCAGGACTGTAGTAGAGTTGGTCGAAGACCGACCTCAAGATGGTCGCATCGTCTATGAAGGCATTGCCTTGGCGGAGCCTCGAGAGAAGCAAATTCCAACATGAATCGTGGAATGCGAAACACCCCCGATTTACTGAAAAGTCCCGGATCACCCATAGGTCCAGGGCATTAAAATCGGCCACGTCGAAATAGGCTTGATCCTGGTCGACTGATGCGTGAAGGATATTGTGGTTGCGTATCACGCCGACCCCAGTGACCGCGATTCGGCCCGTGTCATCGTCGACTGCATAAAGTCCCCGGACTTCCGTGGACCATAGGCGAATGCCCCAATGCGAGGGATTTGGGACATTTCGCAGCCGATCTTGATCGAGAAAGGACCCACATAGCGGGCAGACGAGTCTGGACACCATGATCTGGTTGATAGTAGTTCAGTGAATGTCCCGGGAGGGCCTACCAGACGTCTAAGTAGGTTCCGGGGAGACCTCAGCAGATGAATGAATTGAATGATCCCCAAGGCGAGATACAGAGGTTCATTGAAAGAGAGAACTTCGAGGCGAAAAATGGCAGGAAGAGGAGTATTTAAAGTGACTTGCATCATCATTCTTTTCTTCCTATCGAAGGAAAAGCCCAATTTCTCCGTTCAGTTCAGCCGGTTGTATTCGTCACGGCCTAATCACTGCCTAGCCATGTCACTTGAGAACGCTCTCACAGATATACCTAGGGTCGGAAGTTTCATGGCTATCTAATGCCTTTGGTAACCACATGGGCTTGAATACACTCTTCGCCAACCAATAAGTGACGTTGACCGGGCAGCGCTTGCACTTCATGAAGGAAGGTTGCGCGGTTCCAATAGTCAACTGCGGCAAGAGACATGCATTGACTTGCGAGCCGAGTATCCGAATACACCGACAATGTCTGATCCCAAGCTGCGGCAGACTCCGCATGAAGATGATTGTTTGAATTATCTCATTGCTCCATCGCCCCGGCGGCTACCAGGCTACAAGAGGCCCGTGCTGACGGATGCCTATCCATCCGCCATTGATGCCACTATGGGTAGGTCAGTAGCTATCAAGCGCCTTGGAATGTTTCGTCTTGTTCTCGTTCATCAATACTGCACTGCCTGACTATACAACGGACGATATACCGGGAATTTCGATGCTTATGTCTGTTCAGTATCATGTCCACTTCTTCCCATACGTCTACACTGACCAACCTCGATTACCAGTATGCATTGCACAAGACCGAAAGCAACAGCACCGATGAGAAACCTCTGGCATCTGGCAGGCGATAACATTAGACTGGCTCTTCCTCAAACGCAACCACGGGTATAGCTTTCAAGACTCGGCACCCGAACATAATCACATGAAAGGACTTGACATTATCCAAACATTTCGCCCAGAAAAACATGGGGAATTTTCGGCCTGGCCACAAGTTCTAACTTTCAGATGTAAGGGCCTACTGGCAGGGGCTCCAGACTGGTGAAATGGTATAATGGTGCATGAATTTGTGGAAGACCTTCGCTGTACTGCGAAGAATGAGTCGGGAAAGGTATATGCAGCATCGGCTATCAATAAGAGTGTGAGAGTCTACCGTTCCGACGCTATGCCCACACCCGGGGAAGAGCTAATCTCACTTCAAGAGGGGACCTTTCATGTGAGCAGGGAAGAGGATCTTACCGAGATAGAGAGGATGTTGAACTTGTCATGCATAACGGACTGCAGTGGGCTCGGGTGGTACGAATATGCTGGATTAGACCTTGACGGCAAGATCCGTTGCTGATTCAATTATGATATTATGACTTTCCATTGGTCTGTACGGCTCTGTCTGTCCGGGCCAGAAAACGGGAGTTGTCCATAATGGAGGTACCCAAGGCATAAGGATCCAATACATGTCAAAGTTATGGAATTATGCAGTCACACACATACGAAAAGTTCCTGGATTTTCCCACGCCGAACTACCGCTCTGACTCCCCAATCACACTCCTCGGCATATGCTCGTCTTGCGAGCGATCATTCAATGACGCCTCGTACTCCACACCACGACTGCCACTCTTGGTGGGTTCCAGGTGCGTCAGAGGCATCTCACTCTCCGTATCCCGCATCCGTTTGAACGCCGAGCCCGAAGCACCGGACTGGGCTCCAGTTTGCGACGAGTAGGCGTTCTTAGCGGAGGAGAATACACCTGGAAATGCTGCCTTGAAAACAGGACGCATCATGGGCACACAGGCATTGGTAATGGCTAGTGCGGGCTCCGTGACACTCCAGAAGGCGGCCCAGATCATGCTGTATGAGAGGTCGGTGAAGTCGACGGTGGTAAGGACATGAATACGAATGATGGTAATAGCCGAGATGCTAATAACAAACTATTAATATCCACAGGTTTCTGCGTTCAATGTTCACCGCATCGGAAATACTCACAACAAACCCACGCCGAAAATACCGTAAAGCGCCACCTTCGTCCCAGTCGACATCTGCAGTTTCCAAATATGGTGTACGGGCAGGGCCATGATGAGAAGATCGGTGACGAGGTTGAAGGCCCCAATGGTGGAAAAGGCGACGTTCATACTAGCGCAATGGCCAGGCAAAGTAGCATCCCAGTTCTTCGCGAATGGTTGACAGATGAGGAAGACCTGCAGCATACTTCCGAGCCAGTAGGCCCCTGCGCAGCCCATGCACACTCTAGCGGCCATGCGAAATCCAGGTGTCACAAAGATGCGAAGATAGAAGAACAAATAGGAAAACTTGGCGGTGACCATGGCGTTGTAATAGACGATTTGGTAAACGATAAGCATCTAGTTCGGTTAGCGGGGGGATCAAAGCGCAGGACAAGCCTTCACATCGAACCTTAAAGATTAGGATCGTGTTCATTGCAGGAAGTTCGGTAACGTGGTGGCGCATGCCGACTCGTGCATAGTGGTACTGCATGGCGAGCATACCATAGGTGTGCAGCTGGAGTGCGAGTCAGTCCCAAGCATGAGTCACTTCTTTCGTTCCACAGGTGATCGCACCATAGACACCACAATGAATGCATCATCCCACCAGAATTTACTTTGTCTAATTTTGCGCGACATGAACCGCAGCCCGATTGACACCGTGCTCAGGGCCACCAGCACGGTATTGGCGATCAGCTGGTCGCGCACAATAGGGTATGCGAAAACATTGTAGAATTGAATCGACATGCCGGTATCCTGTCCCCGGGCATCATGGGAACCGTGACGGGGAAGAAGTTCACCAGACAGGTTGGAACTCATCCTACACGGGCGTGCAAGGCTGGTGGTACTTGAAGGAGTCAGCAACGCACAGTCCAAAAAGCCTTGCTGGTCCAGACAGCGACGATCCGGCTCGCGATCTTCACCAAGTTGACTAGGCTCGGAATTGCGCTGTCAATTCCAGGCTGGTCAGTGAATTTAGTGTGTGAAGTGGGACCCGCCAGGATCTTTGGCGTGACGGCGGCGCTCTGTAGTGTTGGTTAGTAGGGCTAGTCCGCGCTGCTAATCGACTAGTTCAAACGGCGGCCGCTGTCATTCACTCCACCACGGCCAATCCAGCAATCTCCAGGCCAAATGCCGAGCCAAAGGCCGTTTGGGGGCTGCTCTATCTGCTCCACTGTGGCATTGCCAATCCCAATCTACCGTTATCTCTTTTGGTTCAAGACCCGTCAGTGCACTTGCCCCATCGAGGCAGGAGTCTCAAACCGAAGCCTCCTATTTCATCCCGTGTGGCCCTGCCGACCTGCCTGTTTCTCCCCTTCCAAACACGCCGACTGACATTTTTCTCACCATGACCGGCCTGAAATCCTACGACTACATCATTGTTGGGGCGGGAATTGGTGGCCTGGTGCTCGCCTCCCGTCTCACCGAAGACGCCGATGTGAGGGTGCTCCTTATCGAAGCCGGTGCCAACCGCATGGGGGATCCTCGCATTGAGACCCCCGGGTTCCTAGAAACATTGTATGGGAATCCGGATTTCGACTGGGATTATATGAGTGAGCCGCAGGTAAGGATTCGTCGTCTTAGCCTCAGGCTTATCATGCCGGCACTTGTCTAATCCCTGTTACAGGTGCATGTCAACAACCGACAAATTGCGCAGCCACGTGGCCGTGTGGTCGGTGGCAGCTCCACCATGAACTTTTCCGTTATTATGTATCCGTCTGAGGCCAATTTCGCCGCATGGAAGTCGCTGGGCAACGAGGGTTGGGGGCCTGAGGACATCGCTCCTTACCTACGCAAGTTCCACACCTACACTCCACCTTCTGAGGAGACTGCCGCTTTTCTCTCTTTGGATAAGTACATGAAGCAGGAGAACCAAGGCAAAGATGGACCGATTCCTGTCACTTTGCCTAATGTATATGGCCCCTTCAACCAGGCTTGGGATGAAACCTTTGGTCACCTGGGCTGGCGAACTGACGTGGATCCCATCTCGGGCCGTAAAATCGGTGCATTCACCTCCCCTTTATCTGTCGACGGAGCAACTGGTCGTCGCGGTTATGCTGGCGCCTACTTCTCCCCGAAGGTGGCAGAGCGACCGAATCTGGACCTGCTGGCTGAGACCATGGTGGAACGAGTCCTACTGACCAAGGATGCCGATGGTCTCGCTACTGCGACCGGTGTGCAAGTGAAGACTAAGGGCGAAGAGACTCGCGAAATCGTGGCAAATCGCGAGGTGATCATCTGCGCAGGTAGTCTCAACTCACCGCAGATCCTTGAACTGTCGGGTATTGGAAAACGTGACCTCCTGGAGAAGCATAGCATTCCGGTGGTCGTTGACCGGCCGGGTGTTGGCGAGAACCTCCAGGACCACTGCCTAGCAGCCGTCAGCTTCGAAGTTGCAGATGGGCAGATCTCGGGAGATATTACGCGTGATCCCAATGTCGTGCAGTCCTTGATCAAGCTGTACGAAGAAACGCACTCTGGACCGCTAGCAGGAATGCCTGTCAGTATGGCTTACCTGCCCCTGATGGACCACGACGGCAGACTATCAAGCGAGAAGGTGGAAGAGCTCCTCACGCAGCACCTGGATCAGCACATAAAGGATGCCCCAACTGCCCAGCAGCAGCAATACGCACTCCAGCGTGAACTTCTTCAAGAGGGCCGCAACGCCTCAGCACAGTACATGTTCCTCCCTATCCAAGTGCACATGAACCCAGGCAAAACCACCATGTCGGACGTCCTTGCTAAAGCTCTCCCGGGAAATTACATCACAATCTTAGTCCTGCATAACCATCCCTTCTCCCGTGGTTCCGTACATATCCGTTCCGCCAATGCGGACGACAAGCCCATCTACGACCCGAACTACTTGTCCCACCCTCTTGACATTGAGATTCTGGCCCGCCACGTCCAATATCTCGACCAGATTGCCGCCACTGAGCCCTTCGCGGGTCTACTGAAACCTGGTTCCCGACTGCCTGAGCGGGCTATCGATCTGACTGACCTTGAGAAGACCAAGGAGATTGTCAAGGAGCGTCTCTTCACCTGCTTCCACCCGGCGGGATCGTGCGCTATGATGCCTGCTGAGTTGGGCGGTGTTGTGGACTCCAAGCTGAAGGTGCATGGCACCCGGAACTTGCGTGTTGTGGACGCAAGTGTCTTCCCCTTGGAGCCGGCTGGCAATATCCAGGCTACTACGTATGCCGTGGCTGAGCGGGCGGCTGATATAATTCGGGGGCTGTGACCTGGTTGATAATATTGTTGTACATAGGGCCGAAGGAGTAGCTTGACGTTTGAATGTGATTATGTGTAAATGGCAGATTTGAAATATCAGGTAGTGTTATTTGGCTGAAACTAGTACCAGTAGAGGTTGCAGGATTTCCAAATGGCGACTGGATTTGTGTTATTAGTGTCATTTCGTGCGGAATGGAGAGTAACGAATATATACAACCACAAGGTCTTGTTCTTGGTAGTAGTATTTGGCCTCTCCATATCCCAATGACGGCACAATCCCATAGCGATACTATTTATTATCCGAACAGGAAGCAAAAATGACATTTGGGAACCGAATTGCCATTCTGGTACCCTTAGAATTGATTCTATGATACAGATTCAACTTCCTGTCGAGATGGGATCTTCGGCATCATCTTCAACTGCGTGGATCAGATTTAATTCCTCGGTATTCTAGTTGCGAGGAAGCGGATCTTATGGGTTTGATCTCCGCAGTCGTGACTGGGCCAGTCGTGTCATAGCTCTACGGTCGTTTCTGAGGTGATATAAGCATTCTAAGGGGAGCTAAGCCGTCAGTGAGCTTTCAGGGACATGCAGCCGTTGCGAATCTTCGAGAATCTTAGTCAATGAATTCCTCAGATGTGCAGATAGTGTTGTGGCCGAGGAGATGAATTCAACCAGAAAGGTGAGTGTCATGGTATACAGCCTGAGGGATGCACAAGCACGGTTACTCCGAGCAAGCCTATGCAAAAATACAATAGATCATCTGACAGACGATCCTTGCCCTAACAGGAAGGAGTAAATTATTATCGTAGAGTTTCGGGCCTTCGCGTTGTGCAGCATCGGGAGGCAGGAATGTAACTCTATCGATGACATTATGCGGAGTATATCTCCGTGTACTGTAACTGAAACGTGGATACAACGCTCATTGAATACCCAGCCGGCCCAATTCAGGAACAAAACATATTCTTGTGGATATGATAAAGAACTTCATCTTACATGCTTGGGTGACTCTATGACTCCAGTCATGCCCATCACACACAATGCCACCTCCCTATATTTGCGTCACTTGGCCTTTCATCCGCTCTGAGAGAAAAGAGGTCGCGGGGCGCTATTCACCGCCTAGAAATTCTGTTACTCCGCAAGGGATAATGAATCAGTCCTGAAATCGTTCTCCTTCCTGACTTTTCCTGCACAAGCAGTCGATAATCTAATTCCTACAGGTACTGCGTTCATCGTTTGACAATTCGCACATTTTGCCGTTTCCACACAAGCCCCAAGGCGAGGAACTGGGCAGCTGAGAAACCCCCAACCATCTTCATCTGCATGCTATACGCTTCAGCATAAACCTCCCGTACCTGAGACTGCATACTTGGTGTCAAGGTATCGATCAGTTGCGTGGATACGGAAAATGCATCCACCTCATCTGACGGTAACAACGCTGAAAGTCCGCTACGAGTATGGCTGTGTAAAATGGCCGTGGCTGCTGCGATGCCAAGTGCCCCGCCCAGCATGCGCAGCTGGAAGCCTGTTCCCAGCGCAATGGACTGGTCCGTGACTGCTACCACCAGTGGTAGCATCAGATAAAATACAGCAACCCCAAGACCAGTGCCCAGCCCCGATAGAACGAGATAGCCGAACTGGCCAGGCCATATGTGGGTTTCTGGTTTGATTTCAGAGAAGAGGAAGAACCCGACAACCTGCATGATCACACCGCCAATGCCAACGTAAACAAGAGGAACTGGGAGGCGACCGGTGAGTATGGAGCAGAACATCATGCCAGCAGGGACGCTGACAGCAAAGGCGAGAAGTTTGACACCCGCTCCGATCGGTGAGCTGCCATTAACGACCTGGAATCGCTGTGGTATTTCGACTATGCTCACAGTCATGCTGAGGCCTGTGGTCAAGGATCCACTGAGTATATCGAGTCCACTGGTTAGTATATCACCATTCATGAGACGCGTGAAGCAGGCCAGACATACAGTATAGTCCCCATGAACAGGCGATTTGTCAACAATCGCCAGGGCAACATTGGCTGGCAGGTAAGTTCTCGTCGACTTAGGAGCCACTGCCATAGCAGAAACAAAGGGACACATATACCGGAGAGAACAAAGAAAATGATCACTGCACTGGAGTCCCAACCAAACTCATAGTTACCTTCCTGCAAAGCAGCAACTATAAAGACCGATGCTGCTAGTACGAGGAATGCCCCAAGAAAATCAACCTGGCGAATTAACGACCATTGTTGTGACCAAAATTGAGAAGGCTGCGGTGCTGGAGCCTCTATCTCAGATGTCGCTGGAAAGTTGGGTGGCATTGAAAAGAAGATCAGGCCCCAGGACACAGCCCCGGCTGGAACACTGGGGAGCGTTAGTGACAGATTCTGGATTGTCCCGTACTTTGTTTTATTCCGCACTTTAACAGAAAGACCCAGCGCCAGTTCCCATCTTCTGCAATCGCCCCTCCGAATAGGGGGCCCAAGACGAGGCCAAGGGAGAATACAACCCCGGACAAGCCGGTGACGGCAGCATAGTGCTTTTTGAACACCATCCGAATCAAGGAGAATATGACCAAACTGTAAATACCTGCAGCTCCAATGCCTTGAAATGCTCGGCATATGATTCTGGCCAGTAGTCAGCATAGTCCGATGGGGTACTGTTTGGGAAGGGTAGATCTTTACAAGTCTGATAGAGTACGTGCACGACTGCAGCCACCGGAGAACGCCGTGAAAATGGCCAACGAGACGAGCAGCATAGGCTTCACTCCCCAAATGTCACCAGCTTTGGACCAGATCATGAGAAAGCCTGAGTACGAGTTGGTAAGTGCAAGAAGTACGAGAGGCAATCCTGGGGTATAAGATCCTTACCCGCATACGTTAGAAGATAGGAGGTGATAATCCAGCTGCTTCGGCCAAATCCTCGCAGGTCATCTGTGATGGCAACAAGTGAGGTACTCACGATCGTGCCCTCGAGCCCTGTCAGAAAGAAAGACACATAAAGCCTTGCCCATTCAAAACAATTAGTTATAGACCGAGAGGTTCGAAGTGGGCACCGTACCCAGTTCCCCCAAAGAAGAGACGAGCTCCTTTCATTCCACCGTCCCAACCCTGCTCATCGGAGTCAACATCTGACTCTGTGACATCGTATTGGCCCATTGAAAGTAGCTATGCCCAGTTAATGGGCAATTTGTAAAGGAAGCGAGAGTCCTCGAAAGTGAGACAACGTAGTATGAAAGCCTTCCGATCAACAGACAGCGCGGTTTTGGAGTCCACCAGGGAAGTGCAGCCCTGCCCCCTTGTTGTCCCAGATCTAGTGGTGTTACCGTTTTCCGGTTTGGGATTGTACCAAAAATGACCCTTGCATACCATCTCATGAAGGTACCGTAATTCCAGAATGGAGACCCTAAAGAATGAGACCCGATACGGCCACGTGCATAAAGCGCGAAACATGAATAACTTGCTTTAATGACATATTGCGACCATTGCAGCATCTGAAATGTTCTACTGATGTGAAGGGACGCAAGGGCCCTCATACTACGCTGCGGCTTATCACAGTTACGAATGACATCCATTTCTTCCCCTCATATACTTGATATCATCACAGCAACGAGAAGGATATCCTCAAGATCATCAATTCACATGTTCTGCATGGCGTCCCAGTGTAGCAAATTATTCATGCTCCGCCGATCGCCCGGTGGATCACATTAGCAATCTGTACTACGTCCTCTGCCGAAGTAGGCACTTTGTGGCCCCCTTTATGCACGAAAATTGCCTCGCTCTTCTTCCTGTAGTACTGAGGAGCCAGAGATGCATTGTGACCCAGGTAATCTGTCGATCCCCAGATATGTGCTGTTGGAATGGAGATTATTGGACGGGGATTCCATGGCTCAATCCGACCCTGACGCAGTGATTCCATGTTGAAGGGTTTCTCGGGGTTGGAGAAAAGAATAGCAACCTTGAATGGAGGTTCTTGCGTGCCTCCTTTCAGAGCATGGTCGACCAGGATGGTGAGGGCCAAGCAGGTTCCCATGCTGAATGCCATCACCCCATCGTATGGACCTTTCACGCGAATGTATCTTTCTAGGTCGTTCATCGCCTGCAAGCATGATTGTGGTTGGTGTGGGTCGCAATACGCGAAGGTTGCCTCCCCCGTTTCGATAATAGATTCCACAGCTGATGAAGTCAATCATTGATATCCAACTCTCTCAGGTTGGGGTTGATCATCTTACAAGCTTCCCATGGAAGGGTGCCTTCAAGGAAGTCGAAACTGTGTCTTTCGCCTAGTTCATAGCGCAGTGCCGCTATGATAGTTGCTTATGGTGAGCATTGTCTTCGAAGCCGTCTCTACCAATTACAGAGGAGGACTGGCTACCTGTTTGTTGCTCGAAAACCTGTAACATCGTTAGTAGGCGCGAGTGTCACCAAACACGCATGTCAAATATTCACGAAGATTCTACTTACTCGTGAATTGCTTCCAATCCCATGTAAACTTGTCAAAGCTCAGCGTCAGTGGCAAGAAACAGCGCTTGAAAGATGCAAGGATAGATCCTACCATAGAAACCGCATCCTGGCCAAAGTCAAATCTTAATGACTAGATCTCGATATAACACTGTCCTTTGTGGTTCTCCTGCGCTGCAGTCTAGTAAGATGACATGGTCTGCCCACAAAGTTCAGATACTCGTAGAGCATAGTATTTATATGCTCTTGAGCTACATGTACATTATCTACACCTGGTCTCGCTCGTGAACAGTCAATGCTAGTCGTGTGGTGCATTATGTTGCGTAAGTAGCCCCGATGATCCTGTACATCTTCTGAGCGTTATCAAGGTAACAATTTCTCATCCCTTACAGTCATTGACATTTCTACGTCATATGGCATTTGTGTGAAACCAATACCTAATGCTGCAAGACGTAAAGAGTATGACTTTTAAAGTTATGGATAACTTCGGATGGACTTAGTTTGCGCCAAGGTGTTGCGATACATGATTAGCAAGTACCTTCCATGGCCATAAAAATTTTTGAGGAATGAGAAATGCCGCATGACGACTTCGCCACATCTAGCTATCACCACAGGGGTAACTGGAAAAGCCTTGACGTTATCTGGACTGGGATATGGACACTTATAAGGACCATGGTACCATGCCATTCCTGGGCATGGACCTATAGTATCTCTTAACGAAGATCATTGAAAACATATAGAAAGCTATCATCTCATCTTGTCAATTCTCTCCACCTCTTCTTCGTGCATACCTCGAGTAACATGGAAGGGAAGCATTTAGAACCCCTAGCAGTTGTTGGCATCTCTCTCCGCTTTCCCGGGGAGGCTGTCACACCTGGCGCCTTCTGGGACTTGATCCTTAGTGGCAGAGCTGCGGCAAAGGAGGTTCCTCCAGACCGATATGACATTGAAGCATGGTACGATCCAGACTACAGTCATTTGGACCGGGTGTCCCAGCGGAAGGCGAACTTCTTGGAAGGGGATATCGGCCATTTCGATGCAGGCTTTTTCTCCATCTCTGCTGCGGAAGCCGAGGCGATGGACCCGCAGCAGCGGCTCGCCCTCGAAGCAGCGTACCATGCCCTCGAAAATGCAGGATATCCTATTGAGTCTATTACTGGGTCAAGGATGGCTGTTTTCACTGGTGCATTTGGTAATGACTATCAGCGTCTTCACGCAAAAGATCTTATGACCTTACCAAAAGGTCATGCTACTGGGACATCCATGAACATGCTCGCGAACCGAGTCAGTTGGTTCTTCAATCTCCGAGGCCCAAGTGCAAATGTCGATACTGCATGTTCAAGTAGCCTGATGGCCTTGCATCTTGCCTGTCAGTCCATCTGGAATGGCGAATCTTCGATGGTCTGAATAAGCCCTCCTGCGCCGAGTCATCCGTTGCGCCACTAACTCTCCGGCAGGGAATGGCAATCGGCTGTAATGCAATTCTTGGCTTAGACACCGTTATGGCTCTAGACAACCTTGGGATCTTGTCCAAGGATGGCCGCTCGTACAGCTTTGACCAAAGAGGCAATGGATATTCGCGTGGAGAAGGAGTGGGAGCTTTGGTAGTACGTCCACTACGTGAGGCTATTAAGAATGGCGACAGCATCCGAGCCCTCATTCGGTCCACTGGCTCCAACCAGGACGGTAAAACACCGGGTATAACACAGCCAAGTATGCAAAGGCAAGAAGACCTCTATCGGGATACATATGAGAGAGCTGGCCTAAGCTTGGATGTTACTCGATATGTGGAGGGCCATGGAACAGGTACGGAAAACAAATAGTACTTTTATCACAAAGAAAATGCGGACAACCCGTGTCGCTTTGCTAATCATAATGGCGAAGTAAGGAACCGCCGTCGGCGACCCCATCGAGGCCCGAGCCATTGGCAATATCTTTCGTCCACATCGCAGCTCAGACGACCCGGTCTACCTGTCAGTATTCGTGATGCCCTTCCATAGGGAATATTCTGACTAGTTTTAAGTGGTTCCGTGAAGTCAACCATCGGCCACCTCGAAGGCGCAAGCGGTATAGCTGGGGTTCTCAAGGGCATCCTAGCGGTAGAGAAGGGAATAATTCCACCTAATACAGACCTCCAAACTCTGAACCCTAGAATACACGAGGAATTTCTACACGTGAAGGTCTCAACCGGTACACACATACCCTAATATAGGCAGCGCTGATGATGAACAGGTCCCTCGGAAAGCTATTCCTTGGCCTGTCGATGGCACCCGAAGGGCTTCTGTGAGCTCGTTCGGCTTTGGAGGCACCAATGTCCACATAGTCCTAGATAACGCGCCAGGTGGGCTCGTGAGCGATGATCCTGATAGGCAAAGGAATATCAATGGGCCAGCTATTTCCACGCCTGGGAGAACAGTGATGGAGTCTTCGAATGTCACAAGAGTGCTTGTGTGGTCGTTCGCTGACAAGGATGGTATCACGAGGTTACCGGAAACTTGGAAACCTTTCTTTTCTGGCCTCAATATTAAGCCAGATGAACGCTCTGATTACCTCGCCCGTCTAGCCCATACCCTATCGACAAGAAGGTCATGTCTTGAATGGAGAGCATACGCTGTTACTCAACCCAGTGACGACTGGGCAACGATTCCTGACAACATAGTTTCCCCAGGACAATCTACACCCTCACCCAATATAGCATACATATTCTCTGGGGTAAGTATGTGCAATAAATACCCCTACAAGAGAATGTGACTCTAACATATTTTGTACTACATACAGCAAGGCGCCCAATGGTATGCAATGGGCCGGGAACTGTTAGCGGCATACCCGACCTTCCGTAACAGCATCCAAGAGGCAAACGATTATTTGCAGACTTTAGGGTGCCAGTGGAACCTTTTGGGTAAGCTTGGTTACTCGACAACAGTCTGTGACTGAAACTCATACCAATCTAGATGCTCTCCAGGAGAGTGAACTAGAATCGTCAGTTAATCTTACCGACCATAGCCAGACATTATGCACCGCATTACAGGTTGCGCTTGTTGACCTTCTTGAGCAATTAGGGATATATCCCAAAAAGGTCATTGGACATTCGTCTGGAGAGATTGCTGCAGCGTATGACCCGAACCCGTTTGGTTGATTAGATTGCAGTCCTAACTCTGGTTGCAGATACTCGACTCGGGCAATCTCCCGGCGTGATGCTTGGAGAATTGCTTTCTACCGAGGCCTCTGGAGCAGCAATCTGGAGAAACATAGCTACGTTCAAGGACGTATGCTTGCTGTCGCACTGAACGAGAAAGAAGTCATTACATACTTCGACAAAGTCATCAAAAACCATATCCTTCTCCGGCTTACCGTAGCCTGTATCAACAGCCCCAACAGTACCACGGTGTCCGGCGAAGAATCGCAGATCGAAGATCTAAAATCTCTTCTCGACGCCGATCAGATATTTTGCAGGCGATTAAAGGTTCAAGTAGCCTACCACTCGTTCCAAATGCACGAGATTGCAGCTCAGTATGAGGCTGCCATTGGCCCACTTGAGAAAATGACCGATGAACTTGAAGGCTATGGTACATGCATAGTCTCATCTGTTACAGGAAATTGAATAACATCAGACACGCTGCGGACATCAAAATACTGGGCGCGTAATTTGGTGTCACCCGTACGGTTTTCTGAAGCACTGGGTGTGGCATGTGCTTCTGCTGTCTCACCCCCCAATAAACTGGATGGCAGCCATTGTAAATCACTGCAGATCCACCATGTCGTCGAAATCGGTCCACACTCGGCGCTACAAGGACCAACCAAGTCCATACTTACAGCGTTGAAGCGCACCTCGGTGCACTACCTTTCCGTACTCAAGCGTGACGTGTCAGCTACCTCAACCCTTTTGGACGCAGTTGGATATCTATGGGCAAGTGGTCACGATGTTGATTTGGCCGTTCTCAATCAAGTCTCGCAGACAAAGTCAACAAAGTTAGGGAATAAATCTCTCTGCCTCAATGACTTACCGGAGTATCCATTCAATCACACCAAGTCCTATTGGCACGAAAGCCAGATCAGTCGCAACATCCGCATGCCGCCGTTTGGCAAACATGAACTTTGGGAACGCCGGATCCTTCCTGGAACCCACATCAACCCCGTTGGAGGCACATTATCCGTACTTCCAGTATACCCTGGGTTCAGGACCACCAGGTACTATCCTCATTTTCTCCACCTTGCAATGGACCAGAAACATACGGCTGACAGAGACCTATAGGTGAATGGGTCAGTGGTGTACCCTGGCGCCGGAATGATTCTTATGGCGGTCGAGGCGGGGAAGCAGCTATGCCGGGACGGACGCCAGATATACTCTTTCGAGGTACTGGATACTACTCTGCATGCAGCCATTCAAATCCCGGGACATGGTGATGTGGAGACGAGTTTCTCTATGCAGCCGGTGAGCAGCAGGCGGGCCAAGAATTCCGACTTTTTCGAATTCGGCCTCTATACTGCCCTAGTGTCATCATGGACGACAAATTGCACAGGCTCCATCCGTGTGACATATGAAGCTCAAGAACCAGACCCCATCAAGAATAGCCAGGTTCACCAAATGCTTAACACGCAACATCAGCAATCTCTGCTGCAGGCCCAACAAAACTGTGGATCAACTATGGATATCAGTACGTTGTATAAGAACCTGAGACAATGCGGTTACGAATACGGTGAAAGCTTCCAGGGGATCACAGCTCTCTCTTACAATCCGAAAGATACTAAAATGGTTGTGGGTGCTGTTCATCATCGCCTAATTACACCACCCTCAACACTTCACCCGACAGCTCTGGATGCAATGTTCCAGACATTGCTATGCGCCAATGCAGGATGCGGAGACAAAACTGTCCCTACGTATGTCCCAACACATATAAAGAGCCTACAACTTCTAAAGGATGGGTTGCCTGACGCATCAGAAACGTTCCAAATCCTGGCAAAAGGGGACTTTGCGTCCTCAACGGAGGTAGTCGGCTCGATTACTGCGTTCGGGGCCGATTCTCGGCATCCCCTCGTTCTTGTGGATGGGCTCAAATGTACAATGCTAGATGGCGTTCGGTCCAGCAGTGAAGTGGCCACAACCGGTGGGACAATCTGCTCTGAAATTGAATGGAAGCCGGATGTTCGTCTTCTTGAAAACGCGGCGGTCGAGGACTACTGTCGGGGGAAGTTAACAGAGAGCGCCTCTCATAATCTTCTCATCGAGCTTGATTTTGTTGTGCTTGCCCGGGTATTAGAGGCCTACCGGTTGTTCACTCTCCAAAAGAAACAACCTGCAAAGCCTTACTTGGAGAAATACCTCCAGTGGGCCGCACACCAAAAGCATCGTTTGGAGCAGAACGAACTGTTGTACTCGTCGGAACCATGGAAGAGTCGATTACAAGATTGGAAGTATATTCATGACGTGGAGAGTCGATTGCTCGACAAGGCACCAATCACCAGGCTTCCGGTCAACGTTGGCCGAAGCCTGTTGGATTTCCTCACCGGTGCCCTGGATCCACTGGAATTTTTCTTTTCCGGTACTATGGTCGATGACTACTACGAAGGCACTGTGGGTACACCCTTTATCCCCTTTTCCTCTTTGGTGATCCACTGACCTAGAATGATAGATGGCTGTGGCCGATTTTGGGACATCACTTCCAAGGTTTATGGACCTTATGGCTCATACAAATCCTGGGATGAACATTCTCGAGGTAGGTGCTGGAACTGGGGTTGCGACAGGTGCCTGCTTAAGAGCCCTGGGTGCTTCGGGGCATACATCCGGCTCTAGGTATACTAGGTGGGATTACACTGATATCTCCCGCTCCTTTTTCGGAAAAGCAGCCACCAGGTTTGCAGAAGAGGGGTCTCGGATACAGTTTAAGAAGTTGAACATTGAGGAGGACCCCGAGGAACAGGGGTTCGAAGCTGGCAGTTATGATATGATTGTTGCCGGATGGGTACGTCGACCTACCGTGAACTCCGAGCCTTGCAGGTTGTGCATGCGACCCATAATTTGCAACGCACGTTGACTAACATCCGTAAGCTTCTTAAACCGTACGTCTGCCGGGACCTCGGATACAGACTTTCTAAATAACTGACAATGTTGACATATATAGTGGTGGGAAGCTCGTGCTGGCTGAGGTGACGAACCCTTTCCGTTCTGCGGCGTCCTTCGGGCTTCTCGAAGGGTGGTGGCTGAGTAAGTTCCTCGTGCTTCTTTATTCCACGCACTTTTGACCCCAGCATGTGATGTAAGTGACAGCGCTGATTGTTGAGACAGGCTCTGAGTCCTACCGTGTCTACGGGCCTTGCGTTGACAGAGCACGCTGGCATGATGTACTGCGAAGAACAGGGTTCACCGGATGCGACGTCTATCTCCCAGACTTTGACGGCCAAAGCTTCCAAGAACATGCTGTCTTTGTCTCAACTGCTCAGGAGAGCCATGTGCCTTCATGCTGGAATCCTAGTATCGAAATCGTCTACGAACCAAATGAGCCAAAGCAGGGCGAGCTTGCTAGGTTCCTCGAGCAAGGATGTCAGTCCCTTACGAAATCACGCGTGGCCCGTGTGTCTGTGGACAAGGCGTCCACTGATACTCAGGACATGCTCCGCATCTTCACTCTGGACATTGAGAAGTCGTCACTGTATAATATGGGGCCCACTATGTGGCCCATGCTTCAGAAGCTTTTCACCTCTTCCGCAACTACCTTGTGGGTGAGCAAAGGAAGCGATACCCTTGTGACCAACCCGAATCTCCATCTGATTGAGGGTATATTCCGGGTCCTAACTCACGAGGACGGCCGCAAAATAGATATATTCTGTCGCTAGAGGGCACGACAAAACCGGAATCGATCTACACAATGATCCAAAGTATTCTGCAGCCAACAGCACAGGGATTGGACACCGAATACGTTGTGCGAGACGGAGTGATTCTGAATCCGCGGCTCATTGATAGCGCACAGCTTAACCGGGAGGTGTCACTGCAGTTGGCGGAACAGATTGAGCGTGAACGAAAATTTGGAGACATTCTACTGTGCTTGGACTCGAGTAGCTCGAGCATTGCTGACGGCTTCCGGTTCATAGAGGCCAAATCAGCCCCGGTGCTCAAAGATACAGATGTCGAGCTTGAGATCCATTGTGCCGGTCTAAACTTCCGTGACGTTCTCTTGTCGTTGGGGCAGATCCCTTATGCTGAGGCCTGGCAGGAAGGGGCCGGCGTCGTCACCAGAGTTGGCAGCAAGTGCACCAGATTCAAGCCAGGTGATCGAGTTGTAGGTTTTGTTCCCCAGCCGTTCCAAGCTCGAACCGTGTTCCGCGAAGACACTCCGGTAGTGCACATCCCTCCAGGCCTGTCGTATGCCGAAGCAGCGGGAATCCCAACAAGCTTCCTAACAGCATGGTTCTCCCTCATAGAAGTGGGGCGCATCAAAACCGGCGAGTCTGTTCTCATTCATTCTGGCGCTGGTGGAACAGGGCAGGCACTCATTCAGATAGCCCTATACCATAAGCGGAGATATATACTACCGTTGGAACAGAGGAGAAGAAGAGGTTAATTATGGACAGATACCCTATTCCCGAAGACCATATCTTCTCTAGTCGCTCCACTGACTTTGCACCCACGATTATGCAATTGACTGACGGAAAAGGCGTGGACATTGTGGTTAACTCTCTATCCGGTGAAGGCTTAGTACAGTCCTGGGAATGTACTGCGTCCTATGGACGGTTCGTTGAGTTGGGAAAGAAGGACATTCTGGCGAATGCCAAGCTACCCATGAGGCGGTTCTTGAAGAACGTTACTTACAGTTGCTTTGACTTGGCACTGCTTCAGCAGAACCATCAACGCGGATCCCGCGCTTCCTTAGAGACGGTTATGAGCCTAATGAATGAAGGCAAGTTAACCCCGCAGGATCCAACTCATGTGTATGGTGTCGGTGAGATAGAGAAGGCGTACCGACACATGCAGTCTGGGAAAAACTTTGGTAAGATTGTGATCGAAATGCGTAAGGAAGACATCGTCAAGGTATTTGCCACTCTCTAGCCCATCAATATACCTAGCTAACAGATTGCCGTCGCAGACATTGCTGAAATCGAAGCCGAATTCTTCCTTCGATTCTAACGCGACGTATCTGGTTGCGGGTGGTCTAGGCGGACTCGGTCAGAGTATGCTTACCTGGTTGGTGAACAGGGGAGCTCGTAATCTCCTACTTTTATCCCGTTCAGGAGGTAAAGACGCCGATGCCCAAGAGTTCCTGAGTCAACTAAGAGGAGACGGGGTCAATGCTCAAGTGCGTGCCTGCAATGTGGCGGATGAGGGTGCTGTGCGTGCAGCAATTGACGACGCCGCCTTAAATATGCCCCCAATCAAGGGCTGTATCTAGGCTGCTATGGTATTGCAGGTAAGTCAATGACTCTGTTCTCGATATTGCGCACGGCTAATACTTTGATCTCTACCAAGACGTCGGGTTTGAAGACATGAGCTACAGTGACTGGCAAACCGCCATCAACCCGAAAGCCCAAGGATCCTGGAACCTGCACAAGCTTCTCCCCCGCGGGCTTGACTTCTTCCTCATGCTTTCATCCATGAACGGAATAGTTGGGCACGTAGGCCAGGCAAACTATGCCGCAGGGAACACATTTCAAGACGCACTAGCACACCATCGTGTACAATGCGGTGAAAACGCTGCCTCCCTGGACCTTGGTCTCTTCACTTTCTCAGGACGAGTTGCACGAGACCCCAGGCTTCTCAAGATTATGCTCGATGTCTTCCCGCACAAGCCTATCACAGAGCCCGAGTTCCACGCGCTTTTAGACGTGTACTGCAACCCAACCCTCTGCAAAGAAAAGGGCCTTCCATGCCAACCATCGTTCGGTATGCGACCGCACGAGGGCGCAGCAACCAAGGCCTACTGGCTCGAAAGACCTATGTTCCGCTACATGGCTCAGCAGCGATCCTCGGAGGGTAATCGTGAGCGGCAGGGCCAGTCCATCAATCTTGCTTCTGCATTCAGAGGCGCAGAGTCACTGGCTGACGCAACCGCTGCGGTTACTAAAGCTCTAACTGTCAAGCTGGCGAGGACATTGTCCGTTGAGGAGGGGAGTCTCGATGAGAATAAGGCTTTGCATCAATACGGGGTTGACTCGCTAGTGGCTGTGGAGCTGCGGACGTGGTTCTCCAAGGAGGTACAGGCAGATGTTGCTACCTTTGATATTATCGGTCGCGCGACTATTACTTCATTGGCTGGGGTGGCTGCAAGCCGGAGTAAGTTGCCTCGTGGTTGGTCCTGATTGAGCATATGTCGCTGCTATCTGGTCATTAGCCAGATTCGGGGGGTAGATATTAGGGAGACTGTTATATTCTTATTGCAATGAGCATCACATTATGCTACCGCCAGTTTACTAGGAGTATATGGTAATATAGCAAGCTCAACAACTCATCCTGTAGCTGCTTGATGTAAGAACCAATATAATAGCTGGAGCATGGCACCATCTTGTCTCACCTGATGGTCGCATCGTTTCACTCACTGATAGCCCTAGCGCGTATGATGCTGGGGCACTCACTAGATCTTTTTCTCCTCCACTTATCCCAAATTTTTATCCACAGCGGAGAGCATATACCGAAGAATATTTCTACCGTATAGAACTTTTACTTCATAGCAATGCTATGCTGTTAAGGAAAGTGGGCCATCATCCCTATATTTTTCTTGCCGCTGGCCGGTCGGCCACCTCTTTATGATTCTGTTGATTTGGCAGTGCCACTGTGGTTTTAATCGAGCAAGTTAGTCTTTTCTTGATATAAAATAGATTTCCTATCACCGAGCAGTTCAATATTTTGATAGTTTCTCCTCGGAACCGTCCACACTCTCGCGCAGTAATAGTCACGCCTTGTTATGCCGTCCTCACTGGATGCCAAAATATATACTACCGTCCCCACACGACCTGCGAGCCTCGCACCACAAAGAACCTCTGACCTAGTCTAGTCTGTACCAGATGATAATTCCTGCCAAGCTTCGACGCGAAGCGTATTGAAATGCAGTGCCTAAGATTTTCCTGGGATTTTCTAGGGAGTAAAAAAGTAGTGTACACCCTAAACCTTCGTAAAGTGTAAGGGGTAATAGGAAGTGCTTGTCGCATTTACAGGAATGTACAGAAGTGTCTAATATGCTGTAGATATTCAGAGGATTCAGAAATTATCTGTTTCAAACATATGAATGTCTTTATTCATTAAAACGTATACAGTATCATCTAATGCTTGACATAATATACAGATCAAGTCGTTGAACAAGAACGATATCTATCGCGTCTTCCCACTACCGGTGGGGTTGATTATATATACAACTCAAGACCGACCAGACTAATGGCCAGTAACTCAAGAGAAAGCAGCAAAGCAAGTGCTGTTAGCCTGAGAATCCTCCCAGCCAACACACTTCCAGCAGCTCAGCAGACCAGTAGGGTCATACTTGTGCTTGATGGAGAGCAGCTTGTCGTAGTTGTCTCCCCACCAGGCCTCCTGCCAGTCGACAGTGAAGGCATTGGCCTCGTTGCTGTAGGCACCACTGCCGGGGGTGATGCGCTCCAGGGTAGCGGTCATGTTCTGGAGGGTGGCGATCTTCTGCTCACGGGTCTGCAGGGTGCTGTTCCAGGCCCAGCTGCTGCCGGAACCCAGCTCCCAAACGGACTTACGCCAGGCGGGGGAAGCACTGGTGGAGCCCTCGGTGTAGTTGTACAGGATGGGGGCGACGACGGGGATGTAGGGGGTCTGGCCGTTGGCAAGGATGAGCTCGAAGAAGTCCATCAGGTTGGAGCGACCCTCGGCGGTCTCGAAGACGTCGGTGGGAACCAGGCGACTACCAGCGAAGTGGGTGACACCAACGCTGACGGAGCTGGAGGTGACATACTTCTGATAGAAGTCATACCAGGAAGAGAAGGCCTCGATGACGGCGGAACCACCCTGAGCCTTAGCGTAGGCGGCGACCTCGGCCATGGAGGCACTGGCTTCAGCGACAGAGAGCAGGGGGGACACGTTGACAAGAGTGTCGCCAGTGACGTGACCACCCCAGCCTTCCTTGGCCCACTTCAGGGTGTTGTTGACAACGATGTCCATGAAGGGCAGGACGTTGGTGGAGTTGCTGGTGAACTTGATGATGGCGGCCACGAAGCTGATGGTGGACTCGACGCGGTGAGTGCTCTCGAGGACAACACCAAAGGTACCACCACCGCCACCACGCAGGGCCCAGAAGAGGTCCTGGTTCTGGCATTCGTTGGCGATGCGCAGCTCGCCATCAGGAGTGACGACCTTGTACTGGACAACACGGTCGACACCAAGACCATAGACGGGGGACAGGACCGAGTGGCCACCGTTCATGACCCAACCGCCAGAGAGACCGACGGTAGGGGAGTAACCACCGAGGATGGTAACATTGTTCTGGTGAGCAAACTCGTAGGCTTCATCGAAGTTAACACCAGCACCGGCAGTGATGGCGTTGTANGAGGCCTGGCAGCCATCGGGGACAAAGGCAGGGCTGTAGCTGAGGTTCTGCAGCTTGCGAGTCCACAGGGCCAAGGTACCCTTGCCGCTGCTGCGGGTCAGGTAGTCATGACCACTGTTCTTGATGGACAGACGGGTGCCAGAGCAGTTGGAGAAGTGCAGAGCGTGACGGACATCGGTTTCATCCTTCACCTCGATGTAGTAGGAGGGCATATTACCCTGACGGCAGGTCTGGTTGACAAAAGCCAGAGGATCGGTGGGATCGCTGCTGTCGAGCAGGCATTGATCCTCGGGGTTGGACGAGCACATCTCATCCTGATTGTTCATGTAACCATTGGGCGAGTTGGTGCGAAGGTAAGGATCGGTGTAGTTATCCTGGATGTTGGCACAGGCGGCATCGTTGGGGGTGACGGACTGGTCGTTGTAGTTGGAGAAGCAAGGGAGGGAGAAAGGAGTCAAGGGCTGCACACGACCCTGAAGGGTAGTGTTGAGGCTATCCAGAGTGCATGCGCAACCACAGGCGGAGCCAAGTCCAAAGAATTGGACGGCCAGAAGAGCCAACGAGGTCTTGGAGGGCGAAGGCGTCATTTTTCAGGGCTGCCACGCGAGCGTGAGACAAACTTGGCGGAAGGGAACGGGGAAACAGCGCCGATCGCGACCATTTGAATGAACGGTCGGGGCCAAAATTAGGAGAATTTTTCTTACCTTCGGAGAAAACCGAATGAACGGACCAATTCAGTGTCTCATACGATGCGAGACTATTGAAATTCGAGAGAGGAATGTTGTGGGCTGTGGAGGGAAAATTGCTTGCTAGCTGGAGAGCGAGATACGAAAAGTTGCGCGACATACGCCGCAACCGGGCCCGGAGCTGTGCAGAAACCCCAAGGAAGCTGCATGGAGTCTCAAGTGGGCCCCTACTCCACCATGGTTGGCTTAAACTACCAAAAATTACCAATCACTGTGCTTAAGGTGTGGAACCTTGACGCAGGTCCCCGTTGGGACTTGTTGGTAGTGGAGAGAGGTTTCGGTCGACGTCCGAAGCTTTTCCTTGAATGCACACCACCCTGCCCTCACACAACATCGGGGTTACCTTCTACACCCTATGCTAAATAACTGCTAGTACTACCACCATACTGTACTGTGCAATAATCGGACGATGTGGACACCATCTGAGACCAGCGTCTCACGTTGATTGCACCACGTTCTCCCTCGGGGTTTCTTCGCTCGGTAACCGAAATCCTGCAGAAGAGCCCCTGAAGCCATCGCACGGCATGCCGGCATAGGCCACACGAAGGAATTTATCCACACCGCCGATGATCCTTGCCAGGCCTCCCCTCAACCCCCAGAATCCCAGCTGATGCATTGCTGGGGTTTTATCACTACTACATATACGCGCTGATCGCAGTGGTACGGGCCATTCCAGCGGGACGCACAGCGCATTGAACACGGCGGACAGAAGATCGACCTCTGAACCACGGTCGCAATTAAGCCACCTCGATCAGTTAACGCCGCTTACTGAGCGTCATCTATTCTGGTCTCAGTGCTGGCTGGTGCAATCTAGCGGCGGAGAAAGTTTAAAAAGTTAAAATTCGCCGAGCCGTGGAAATGAAAGCCAATAAAACCTTCCTCCGGCTCAAATAGTGTTGCACAAATGAGCGGCCGCCTTCCCAATTGTTATCGTAACTCCGGCTGGGCTGAGTCTGAGTTAAAAGAATCCATCCCTTGCCCTTTAGGTTTTGGTGGCGACGACAGCCCTTTCGTAATATTATCCATTTATTCGGATCCTTCCTGCACAGAACCACAAAAGACCGCGAATTCCCCTCTTCCCCCCTCCCTGAAATGGGAAACTTATATGGAATCGCCTGACCCGCCTGGTCGCTGCTCCCCTGCATCGCTGACTCGTATCGCCGGCCGTGCAGGATGACTTACGAAGAGAATCGATACTGGAAGAATGTTCTGACCATCGTGCCCATCATTGGTGCTGCCCTGGCCACCGTTTCGTATGTCCTGCGTCTGTATTCGCGGCGCTTTACCACGGCCGGTTTGAAAGTGGAGGACTGGTTGATGGGCGTGGGCCTGCTTCTTTCTTACTGCGCAACCGCCTTTGTTGTGGACAGTGAGTTGCTTGCACTTCTTTCTTATGCATAGCTGGCCGCCCGGGTGAATACTGATTTCCCCTGTCATATAGCTGCATTCAATGGCGTGGGTTTACCAGTTAGCTCTCTGCCGGCCGATGAACGGCAACGTATCCAATTCGTATGTTCTCAATGGCAACACTTGGTTCTCTGTGGGCACCCACTAATGTATGCACGAAATTGATACAGGGTTCATGGATGATACAGAAGTTTTGGGCGCCATCGGCTGCGTTTGTGAAGATATCGATCGTCGTGTTGCTGAAGCGTCTACTGGGAACGGTGCGCGCATATGCAATCATCTCGAACGTTCTGATTGCCTTTATCGCCTGTTGGGCCCTGACGGCACTGTTGGTCAACATATTTCAATGTACGCCGGTTCAGTATTACTATAACAAGGATCTCAAGGGACATTGCATGAGCGGTCAGCGATCCTTCTTCCAGGCAATGGGAGCGATTTCTTTGGTTGAGGATGTCATCGTGCTGTGTCTACCCACGCCTATCGTTTGGGGCCTGCAGATTACTTTTCGCCAGAAAATTGCTGTGACGCTTGTGTTCTCGCTGGGCGGACTGTAGGTTATTCCCATGGAAGACATGCAATCTCGGCGCTAACAACTGAACAGGGTTTGTATATTCAGTCTGATGCGTTTGATTGAGTTCCGTACCTTCGTGACCACTGACTTAGCTTGTGAGTTATACCTTTTTTTGTAGAGCACCATTGATCCTCACGACTGACTTGTTACAGCCTCGAGTGCCAAGGAATCCGTCTGGACTTGTCTCGAACTCGATGTAGCTATCATCTGTGGCTGTCTCCCACTCATGAAACCGCTGATTCAGGGCTTCCTCGGTAAAGTGCGAAGCGGAGTCTCCAAAGCCCGTTCCCATCCGTCATCCGGCACGAAGCTATACTTCCCCAACGGAACTACCCACAACAATGATGGATTTCGCCAGATCAACGATCCATTGAGCTCCCTGGCCTCCAAGAATGCTCATATTGCGGCCAATGAAAGCCGAAGAAGTTCAGACGTTGAGCTGCAGGGCATCGCGGTAACCACCCGGATTGATCAGGATGTTGACCGCCCGCGTACCGGAAACTCGACAGATATCTCCGCCGACCACGTATGGCCACGGTGAAATGTACCGCTAGGATGATCGTCGGTTTCGAGCCTACAAACAGTGCAGCCTCCTCCCGGATAAGAAGGGCTACCCAGCGCGGCTGGACGAAGGGGTCAGCCTGCATCCCGACCCCAGCACCGTGCACTCATCAGACACAAGGGACCTTGCATGCGTTGTCCATGCAGGATCGAGGAATATGGTGTCTTGGGATTTGGTTCCGGCCAGACATCTCCGCGGTAATAATGGAGATGAAAGAGTCTACTGCTCATCTGCGACGCATCTGAAATAGATGCGATAAGCCACGCCATCGGCATAAACATCTACGAAGTCTGACGAATAGATATAGATCGATAGAGTAAACCTAATGCAAATAATACTACCCTACTATTGTGCTGAAACAATTATCACTACAATCACAGCAATTGTAAACTGGTACTTTGCCATATGTTATGTGCCTTTAGATCGTAAAGTCAGAGTGGATCCGAAAATCTCGTTCCACGGCGATGAAACGAAAACTTCCCCAAATCCCTGGACATGTTCGCATCAGCACCTGCGGACCCGCGCGAAACCCTGGACTCAGCACCCTGCATATCCCTAACCGCAATTCCGAGATTTCTGGAAACCGGGAATAACATTTGCCGAAATTGCATTGATGAGGCCTGTATATCCAAAACCATGGAGCGGAAGGATTTCCCGAGCGGGGTACACTTCCTCTACATCTTAATCTAGCTGTGCCTCAATTTCAAAGGCAATTAGGACCCGAAGTACTAAAACAACGCCATATTATAGCTGGCCAAGCCACGGCAATCTCCATTGTCAACATGACTCGAATGGTCTATCACACACTATATTGATCATGAATTATTATGAAATACGCACTAGTACATACGTTGAAGGATCCACACCACAGCATATCACATCATGTCAGGTAAGCCGATCCCCCGTTATTCACACCCAGTCAGGGAATGATCACTACTATTTAATGTCTTAGCCCGCGGAAAGTTTAAGGGACAACGGCCGTCGAAAAGAATTAGTCTGTCTTGAAAGTATCCTGGAATGGAGATTAGAATGGGGAGAGAGACCCAGACCGACGATCCTAATAGACTGTTGATTCTGATACACGGGCGATGCGGTGAAGTTAGCGTGCGATCGGCAGGGGGGCATCCATTTCCATCACTCACAATGTAGAATCTATGGAGAATAGATTGTTGATACATGAGTCAGTCTTTTGTCTCTGATGTGCGTGTCATTTAATTCAGCGGAGATTATCTCTGTGGGGTGGATGGGACTCATTTCGGAAGGTTTGTGCGACCTGAGCAGGTGAGGAGAGGGGAAGAGGGACCGAACAAGATGTGATGTGACTACAGTTATTCATTAGCTACAAAATGTTTTAATGGGCATAAGCCAGTATTACTGTTACTATGTTAAACCAGCATATATAACGGATTTAGTCGCTATCTGAGTGTTACTTTGGGTTTCATCAACTTGCTAAGTGCTATCATAGAATAATGCCGGTGATGCCATTCACCCAAACTGAACGATTAGTGAAGGAATACATCAACGTAGTGAAGGCTGATTCGGTGCCTAGCTGTGTGCTTAGAGATGTTTTAATTTGTGAAACAATCAGGCTCTATTATGGCGAAGTAGAGAGAGCGATTGATCTGGTGAAGCATCGAAGCACGGCAAGTTCCGGTTACACTCATGCGTTTGCATTCACCACTCGTTTGCTTTCACTGACGTCCCAACTTTCTTCAAATTTTGTTGAAGAGAGATTTCCCTCCCTCTTCTCCCACGTTCATACTCGTTCTCATTTGGAGCCCTCGTTCATCAACAGTTCAGTCATCGACTAAAAAGTCACACCGACCTCATAACTTGAACTAAATCAACCGCCAACATGGAGTGCCATGACACCTCACAGATACCCAAATACATGGAATTCCTGGAGGAACAAAGACAGATCCTGAAAGATGTCCAGTCTCGCAAGGGCCAGCCGGCCAAACCGACAAAGTCCCGCGACGAAATAATCAAGCGGTTCATTCATTACTACTTCGCGGAGACTAGCTCACCTGTAGACAAGAACGCTATTCGCACCTCATTCGTGCCTCCTGCGTACCCACCCTCCATTGAGGCGTTGAGTGATTTGAAGAAGGCTCTCATTAAGGATCTCACCATCGAGACTCATCATCGTGGCTCTTACACTCTGTTGAGAGCAGTCACTCCAGCATTCAGAAAGACGGGGATTATGGCCGTGGTAGAAGATGAGGAAGGAGACGTTCTTACGTTGCAATTGTATAACCAGGATAGGGACCTCGTTACTGATGGGCGGCTCGTTGATGGGACAATCATGCTCATAAAAGAGCCTTACCTGAAAGTAATGGGTGATGGTGATTATGGACTGCGGGTCGACCACCTTTCTGATATCAGGTTCATCCTGGAGAATGATCCTCTGGTGCCCGCTATCTGGAGGGACGAGTCAGAAGATCGTGGCTCTGCTAACTCCTGGAGGAAAACTGGGAACAATCTCTACGAGCTTAAGGAATACCATCTTGCTCTCAATTGGTATATAATAGCCCGAATCTGAGAATACTAGAAAGCAACGCTGACCAAGGCACAGTTATTCCAAAGCTCTAGATTGTTCGACGACTCCTAAGGATGAGCTTGCCCTAAGGCTCAACCGTGCTCAGACATTCCTCAAAACGAATCAGTTCGACGCGGCCCTACGTGATGTCGAGCACATCCTATCCAAGGACAAGTTCGTCGAGAAAGCATTGTTCCGCAAAGCCCAGGCCCTTTACTATCTTCAGAGATATCAGCAGTCCTGTGATGTTTACGTCGACCTTTGCAAGGCCTATCCAAACAACGCCACTGCTAAAAGCGAGTTTGCTCGAGCCACAGCACGGCTTTTCGAGCAGCGGACTGGCGAATACCCATTTAAACAAATGCAACAAGAGGCAACGAAGCTTAAGCCCCCGCATTTCGATCTTGCAACGTATATTGGCCCTGTTGCGGTGAGACCCTCGACCCATGGACGTGGTTTGTTTACAACACAGGCGGTCCGTGCCGGCGACCTTCTCATATGCGAAAAGGCCTTTGCGCATGCCTTTCATGACGACGGCGATAATACCAACGTTTCGATATTGGTGTACGCCGACACAAACAGTATGAAAGTGGGAACCCAGGCCGAATTGAATAGTCTCATCGCACGAAAGCTGCAAAAGAATCCATCGTTGATTCCAGCATTCAATGACCTGTACCACGGCTCATATACACCGGTGGGCGTCTCTGAGGTCGACGGTTCACCTGTCGTTGATACGTAAGTACTTCCCCTCGCGCAAGCAACATGAGACTAATATTTCCAGTTTCCTGGTTGAGCGAATAATGTCCCTCAATGGTTTCGGCTGCTCGACCACCTCCCGTACAGCGCATATAGCCAGGGTTAATGCTGACAACAGGGAACCTCACACCGAGGAGGAACATTTTTATTCCAGTGGAGTCTGGCGTCTCGCATCTTACGTAAATCACTCCTGTTACCCGAACACCCACCGTGCATTCATCGGGGACATGATGGTAGTTCGCGCTACACAGGACCTTCCCGCAAACACGGAGCTCAAATTCTGGTACCGAACACCCGTGGATGATGGTACTGCAGAAGACATATACCAGAAATATTGGGGATTCCAATGTGACTGCGTTATCTGTAAGGATGTGCGCGAAACCGGGGAAGGCAATATGGCGAAGCGGAGAGAACTCATGGCTGCTTCGGACTCGTCTATGAATATCGTAGCTAAGGCCTACGGGTCCTCATTCAGCCTCCAGGAACAGAGTGTTGCGATTACTATGACAGAAGCCGCCATTGTTATGATCGAGAAAACGTATCGGCGATCACCCTTGGAAGTGCCTCGTCTTGGGATCTGTAAAACAGGCTTGTTTTTGGCAGAGGTGCATGCCACCCACGGCCGTTGGCGGAAAGCCATTGGATACGCTATCAGAACGCTGGAGTCGCTTGGCTACGTGATTGAAGGTTGGCAAGTTCCGTATAAGGAAGGTAGAAAGTTACATGTCAAGCGGTGGGGACTGGCGATGGATGTTCTTGTTCGCTGCTGGATGATCCTTTGCCGCGCGTATGGTGAGGTAGCACCTGAGCTTGCTGACCAAGCTGAATACTACGCGAGAACAACGTACAGAATATGCATTGGTGAGGATGAAACATTTGAGGATACTTATAATCGGTCCTCTCACCGAGTCGATGGAATGATTGTGCACGGTAGTTGAGTCTGCAAGCAGTCCGCTGCTGGTACAATCGGTACTTTCCAGGCTTGTTCTAGATAACACGTTTGTACCAGTGCTTTTTGCCATCGCGATAGTCTAGTTATGATTTTGCATATGACTGATCCATTGATTGGACATTCGACCATGGATGGCCCACTGTGCAGATGTTAGTTCGGCCATCACTGGCGTTAGTGTACGTGTACTACATAAACATGTCGACAGATCGTAAATAATCTAGGGTCAAGCCTGGGTGCCTTCTTGTCGCGCTACTCGAGTTCACTCCCCATCATCACCAAGGGCCCAATATAATTGTCAAGTTGTCATATCGACTATTGTCAGGCCTCATCAAAGCCCGGAAGCCAATAGAAAGTGGACCGGGGATGATGCGGATATTAGGCGAGTCTCTTGGATGCCACTATGCATGAGGGTCAATCTGGCCTTTTAACGTAATTGGTTTGTAGCCGGTGGAAAAGTTATATAGCAACGCATAAATTGAGAAGCTGAAGGACGCTCAACTTGTGGAAATGTGGAAATGTATTCGTATATATGCAATTCACTAGTCTCTCCATCCAGTTGTCCCTCTGGCATTACCGCCTCAGGCATCACTTAATGGCCTTAGGCCGTGGCCATAAAACTACATGGGTTTCTGATACCGATCTTTTTGAAGCATCATTTACCATCTGTTTGTCTTCTTTCGGTAACTAGCGAGGTTTCGTACAACCTAATGCTCATTTTAGTGATATCCATGGTCATCGTCAAGTAAACCCGAGGATAAGCGACCCGGGTGTACTTCACATGAATGCTGATAGAAACCCTGTCAGATCGTACAGGGATCACTTACAGGGATCAGAGACTCGCTACTACGCTACGCCAGATGACTCATTACTAACATACACAACGGCAACTAGGTACTAGGCTGGATTCGCCGTCTGAGAAGCCCGCAAGGGTGACTCAAAGACACGCAAACTGTGCTTTGTCCTCTGTCATCCCTCATCCGTCATCCATCATTTAGAGATTCCAACTCCACGAACTACTTAATTACTGTTCTTCCTGTTCCAATTGTCATATTACCTTTCGAGTCAACGAAAGTTTTGAAAAAGGAGAACTATGGCTCTTCCTGTGGACATCGACAGCATTTCTCTGACGCAGCAGCTGAGTTCACCACCCAAAGCATCATTGCAAATACTCGGGACGCACAGTGTCAACCAAGACAACAACTTCATTGATTTCGATATCTGGGTTGACTGCACGAAAATATACGGAATCGAATCTGCCAAGTTCCTGACAGACAGAGAAGTTGAATCTCGCTCTTGGAGCTACTCGGCTGACCACGATAACGGCGACCCCAAAGTTATATTGGGCGGATGGCTTGATGATTGGTTAAATTATAATAATACGGACGATCGAAGGTCAGTTCGGTTGATGACTTGGCCCCAATTGTCTTGTCCTATACTGACAGAACATGTCGGTTTCCAGCTGGGCTCTTTGGAAATCAGGTCATTTCCCCGATGAGGATTGCACTGCCCTGGAAGGTCATCTCGAGCGCCTGGCACGGAAGACTGCCTACGGCGGGACTGTAGAGGTGTTGTTCCATACCCCCTCAACGGAATTCGAAGCAGGAAAGAATGCCTCGAATGAGAACACAAACATTGCAAATATTTATGTGCATTGGACCTTTGAGTGCCCTTTCACACCGATCGATCAGGTGTGGAGCGAGCTGGTCATGAACGCGATGGTGGACCATAAGAAGGGCTGGATCGAGCCGCATCTACCGAAGCCCTCACACGGGATGTCTCCTTTTCGGAGGGCAATGAGAGCCAACGGTACTTCCCGTATTGTATCGCAAGAGCAGGATTCTAATGAAGTAACGCGCTCGGTACGGCAGTTCTCATCATGGGGTTGTGACGCCTCAGTGTAAAAAGAATAAAAACTGCAATATTGTCGATTTAGCAATTCACGCTCATTGCTCTGACATCGACCTGGCTGTTAATGTTTATATTGTTTATATTGCGCTCTGCGTCTCGTCCCATCAAGAATATTGCATTGCATTAGCCGTCGTGGTCTAGACTGTCGAGCGTAAATGCCCCATCTGGAACTAGTGTGGGGTCAACTGCACAATTTAATAAATCACCTAATTCCTGCTTGTTATATTCTATGTGCTCATATGTATCTCATTACACGCACATATAATTAGGTTAGCAAATTCTTGTATCCATGGTTGAGGTCGCGTCCCCACAACCGATGAGATCATAGACTCTGGCGGATAGTATATACGCGCCAGGATGCATAGCGGAACAGGAAACTATCCCTACCTTCAATTGCGCGGTTTCCGACACATCTACCTTTACATTTCCTCCATTGTATATTTTCCTTCATATCAAATCACCCGTCATGACTGATTATATTGGCCATCCTTTGGGGCTAGTAGGATGGTTTGCCCGAACGATCCAAGCCATCAGCTCGATCATCGTCCTCGGAATTACAGCCTGGGCTGTACAAGAGAACAACAAGACGCTCAGCGTTATTTTTTCTCTTGTCATTGTAAGTAGTTGGTCAAGTGACGTATATAATCAGATCTCGTTCTCACCTTGGTACAGGCTACAACGAGTCTGGTCGTCTTAGCTGTAGCTGTAGGCATTAGCTGCCTCGGACGTCGGGCCAAATGGCACATTATCCCACTACTTGTCACTGACGCAGTCATATCCTATCTGTAAGTAGCTATCGAATGGTATAGGTAAGACTTTTCAAGCTAAATGCATACCACTGCAGATGGCTCACCTCGTTCATTCTGCTCGCTCTGAACTTCAACCGGAGGACCTGTCGCGTGAACCGCTGGATCGGAGAAGTATCTTGCTCCCGAAGCTATACTGCCGAGGCATTTAGTTTTATTGCATTGTAAGTGACTCGGAGAGACCCCGTCAATCTTCTTTGTTGACTTGTTACAGTTTCACTACTCTCATGGGCCTATTCTTGGAGACTGCCTACCTTTACTGGGCGAAGCCCGATAACGTCCTGCGAACAGAAAAGAGGCCACACCAAGAACGCCTTTCTGAAAACCTCAATGCGGCTGGACTGACATAAAGGGATAAGCTACGAAGCCCTATTATGCAATTTGCATACTGCACCTATCCAGATCGTCTTATTGTGAGCTGTACCATAAGCCGCCTTGTTGTTCCACCTGTCTGTCGTTACCTCAATGTCTGTTCTGACATGCAGAATTCAAGTTGGATGTACAAATTGCATTGATGCTGAATTGCCTGTTATTTTCATCTCTGAGTTTCTAACGTCAGTTCCCTGCAAAAATATTATCCGGATGAACTTCAATGAGCTTTGTGTAAGTGGGTAGCTTCATTATATTTCGACACAGGGTCTATTTAAGTCGTATATATGTTTAACTGAAACGTTCATTTGTAACAGGATACTTGACTTCATCGCAGAGCCATACGCTGAATGCTAATCAATCACAACCAAGAAGCTCTCTGGTTTCCCCTATGGAAGTTCCTTTCTCAGTGTAGATGCTCCTGGAACTCGAAAATACTATAGATACCCCAAGTGGACCGAGAACAACATAGCGCAGGTGTTGGCGATTTAAATGGATGGTACAAGCCTGCCAATTCATTGACTTAGTATGACAATGTGGGGTCAGTCGACCATCAGAATTACCTACCTTACACTCTCCATTCCAAGCCTCAATGGTATTGTACAACATTGGCAGACTCCACTCCCCTGGTTTGAGCTCTATATACCAGGGTCAGTGAGGCCCTCTATAATTAATTCTATCAATTCGGTTGTAGTATGTCTTACCAAAAATCGAATAAACAATATCCCTGGGCCGAGTCAATACGTAGGTCGCATTCTCCACAACAATCTTTGCACCCTTCCCATGTACAGCAGTATTCACCTGCTACCGTACAATCTTCATCTGCCCGTTCTCCTAATGGAAGGCTAGCCGCTGTGACATAACCGGCGAAAGCGGAAATTGCGATGAGGAAGGAAGCTCTCATGATGTAGGAATTTCTTTTCGGGGGTTCAAGTAAACAGAAGATTCTAAGATCTAAGGCTCCAGGGTATTGCGACGTGGGATGTGCACTGAGGGCTAATTGGATATGTGGCATTAATGCAGCACTGCCTTCTTATATTCCCTAGTTTACCTGTACTTGTCCAAAAGCGACAAAAGAAATAATGTTCAGCGGTGTGATCTATGCGCATCTGATCACAAACCCTCAGCCTTTGCTGATCGTTCTTGAGTCTCCACCGTAACTGGGCATTGTGCAGGGGAGGATCATCCAGTTGAGGATAAGCTGTTAAGCCTGAAGGCTATGTAGTTGATGTCTACTGAGAAGACACAGGGGGATCAGTATCCTCAGCCGCATCAATCGCCGAACTACTATTGCGGGTGGAGACAGTAGATCCCGATGAGAACCAAAGCGGGACCCTTTTCTCTCCAATCAGAGAACACTGTGTGCCCGAGTGATCCGGTCCATTAATGAACCAACCCCGATCGTCGACTCTCCCAGAGGTGGAGAATCGGCTTGTCCGGCCATATGTGTAGTTTGATGTCAATTTCAGCTGACTCGATCAGCAGAAAAAGTAAGCCGAAATGCAATCCCGGGATTTCGATCTTATTCATATCGCCCAGGATCACCCGGCTTCCGTCTCGGATAGGAAAAGCCTCCATCGACCATGGCTAGACATGATGCAGATCACTTGAGGTTGCCATCACCAGGGACACAAAATCTCCAGAGCGTGCAGGGCCAATCAAAAATTTAGAAGCAACCATACTCACCCCGTCTAACCTGACGGTCCATTGTTGTAGGATCGACACAACATATTGTGATACGAGATCACAAGCGAGGATACCTGATCTCACCTTGCATATCACGCAATTCTTCATTCGTTATCTCCTCCCCGATCTCAATAGTTTCTCCGCTCCCGTCAATTCCACTACACGGACTTCCCCCATACCCCATTACGTTGCTTTTTCTAAATTGCTGCGCGTTCTAGTCAGCGGTAAAGAATTCCGTAGGGTATGGGGTATGGGGCACCACACAGATTGCGGTACTCTTTACACAACCACAATTGTCCCATTGACAATCTTTGGCTATTGGTCCATGTATCTTGGTGGCAGAGATAAGCAGATCCCCGAATCTACTACACTCTTCGTATTATCTATCACAGACAGGATTGTGTTAGCCTCTCTGGCAAATCCCCTCTGGCAAATCAAGATGCAACTCCATGCATCTGTTCACTAGAATTGCAGGTCAATACGGGCCTGGGTGGGTGGTTGTCACTGCAGAATGAGAATGTATGAAACCTTTGACGAGAAAGTAAAGTATTTACCCAAGAACCCTGACAAAGCTTCAAGCTACTACGCTTGTTTACTCTTGTTGTGATGTTGTATTGTAACAAGTACCTGCCAACAATCTGCCGGAAAGAAAATGCGGGCACCAGCTCCTAGCGGGGATAAATACTAGATACAGTAACGGATCACCGTCCTGCATCCATCCAATGTGGACATATGCAATCCATGATCACACAGCCCTACAGATGTAGATCAGTCAGAATTAGTATCTCCTGCTCCGTTATCGCAAATGACGAGCTTGGCAACACCGCCAAAACGAAAGTCACAAAGATTAGAGTACTATCGCAACATACACATGTCGGACTGATATCTAATAACTTTCTGTATAGCTCACGAAAGAGTTCTCTTTAACCAGCGGCCGAAGGACCGGATTTCAGAGCATACAGTCGATTTGAGCAACGTCTGGCTGGAAATCAAGCTAGCCAGCCACGCGATAGTTCCCAAACCCAGCTATGGATTCCATTAAACTGAGCAATAAGCAACGAGAGGCAGATCCCATGGGTATTCAATTTGACCCACTTCAACCCCGCACGCTTGCCTCATGATTGCAATCTCCCCCTTCACGGGGGATCGTCTAGTGCATACCAACCTCTCCAGACATCACACACGCACAAATTCATTCATTCATTCATTCAATAAGAAAGCATCGTTATAGATAGAGCAAACATAGAGAGCTCTAGCAATTCCAGACACATATAAGAATCCCCAAGGAACCCATTAACCTTTCTCCTCCATCGACACATCGCTAATCCTACACACCCATCTCTGTTTGCCGAGGACCATCTCAATCCTCAAGATGAAGTTTCTCAGTCTTCTCGCAATCACCACTGCTATTGGTGCGGCCAGTGCGGCCAGTGTTCCCCTGAGCGACCGCCAAGTTCCCGCTGGAGCATTATTAGGTCTTGCTTCCCAAGGTGGGTAGTTCCTCCCCCATAACCAAACTGACATGAAATAACTGGGTTGTAAAAGGCGATGACTGCACCGACCACACTGGCGAATACTGTTGCACATGGGAGGGTTGTCGATCATGCTGCCCTTGGGAGAAATGTGATCTGAGCATCGACGCTGCCCAGGGCAAATGCGTGCCTAATTGGTGAGATAATAGTATAAATGTAAGTCAATTCAGGACTTTTGGCATAATTAAGTCAGGTCGAGATCGCTGATGTTCTGGTTAGGTGGTGGTCGGGATTGGTAGGGCTGGGGTCTCTGTTCTCCGTCATAGTTTTCTTTCTTGCTAGGGGTTCTTAGACTATCGACAAACCCTACACTATGGGAACGTTGATTATGCTTAGTACGAGATGCTATTTGATAAATGACAGAGATATGTTGGACGATATGTCCTTCCCTTTCCCAGGGCAGAAGGATATATAAAGAATGCCACGTCGTCTTTGCTCGCAGCTTGCATAATATTTCGTAGAACAAAAGTTATGGGCGTAATAGAAGAATGATATCCCTAATTCTATAACGGCAGCTAAACAGTCTAAGGATCATGGTAAGACCTAGCAAACAGCGGTGGCTGTTCACAAGCTTCTGTTTCTTGATGGGGCGAAAATCCTTAGCAAATACTAGTATGATTGGCTGGAGCGTGTAAGAAGAGCAACACTATGCCAGTCTAGGATAAGCGTGGTTAGCTGCCTAACAAATCTATTCTTGGCATCTGCTCGTATATTTTCGAGGATTGCCAAGCATCGGGCCAGATCCCTCCTACTATTCAAGATCACCACCAGAATGGGCTTTTATTCGTCTGCCTTGCAGACATGAAACAGGTTGGCTCATCAATTGCATGCCTGCCTGATGGCGAGGCTCTGTGCGAGGCTCTGTAGGGTGCGGAGTGAGGTGTATATAGACCTAGATCGTGCCGCATCTCGGCCAGTAGATCAGACATCGAAAACAATTGAAACTTGGTCAAGACCCTTCGCCATGAGTACAACAACAACTTCAATCGCCTCTGCCACCAGTGCTTTGGCCTCTTCAACCCAAACATGCACCAACCCCAAACCAGGGAAGAATGGCTACCTGCCTCCAGAAGCGTGTGACAGTATCCTGCTCTATGTTCCCTCTCTAGCTGCCGCAGTATTGTTCTGCGTGCTATACGGCCTAACCCTCATCTGCCACGGGGTACAAGCATATCTCTACAAGAAGGTACGTACAAGAAGCCTCTCATACAGACACTTAATCCCAAGCGACTAACAACCACCTCCAGCGCTACGCCTGGGTCATCATGATGGGCGCAACCTGGGAACTACTCGCCTTTATATTCCGTGCTCTCCTTACACGACAACAGAACAACTCGAATTGGGACACCGTCTACACGATCATGTTCCTCCTTGCTCCGCTCTGTATGCTCCCTCCCTCTCCCCTCTCTCCCCTCCCTACCCCACTAACCAACCTCACAGGGATAAACGCCTTCCTCTACATGACCCTCGGCCGACTCATCTACTTCTTCACTCCGGACCAACAACTCGCCGGCATCACCGCCCGACGCTACGGCCGACTCTTCGTCTGGCTCGACATCTTCGCCTTCCTCGTCCAGCTCGGCGGCGCAGCCATCACCACCGAGACGGGTGTACCGACCAGCAGAATCATGCTAGGCGTGCATATCTACATGGGTGGAATTGGATTGCAAGAGTTATTCGTCCTGATCTTCACTGGATTGGTCATCCATCTCCATCGGAAACTCATCCACTATGAACAGGCGGGGATTTTGAGCCCAGGCGGTGTGGTAGGCATGAGCATGAGCAGACATAAGCCCCTCCCGTGGCGGTGGCTATTCTATGTGATGTATTCTGCGCTGGGGATGATTACCGTACGTTTTCCCTTTATCCTTCTACTCTTTCTCAGAGAATTTTACTAATGATCGGACGGTACAGATACGTATCATCTTCCGACTGTGCCAATACTCACAAGGCACGGACCCGAATAACCCCGTCCTGACGCATGAAGCATACGAATATGTCTTTGATGCGGTGCCGATGTTCATTGCGCTGGCGTTGTTGAATGTGGTGCATCCGGGGCGGGTGTTGCAGGGCCCGGAGTCGGAGTTTCCGAGGGTGAGTCGGGCGGAGAAGAAGAGGTTGAAGAGGGAGAAGAAACAGTTGAAGAGGGAGAGGAAGGAGGCGAAGAGAATGGAGAAGGAGATGAGGAAGGGAGGGAAGGGTGGGTGGTGGTGGAAACGGGGGAGGGAGAGTGAGACGTTTGAGATTATTCCGATGCAGGAGGAGGTAGAGGGGAGGGTGTAGATGATGTGCATTTGCTGGTGGTGCTGAAGAGAGGTTTAGATTTGTTTAAAGAGAGTATGGGTTCCGATGAAGTATTTTTATGCTAAGCAATCACAATTTATGTACACTATGTAACATATCCACAATCTATATCGTAACGCACTCTTGCCTAGCAAAGTATAAATGCAGACATATCCTCAAGTTTTGTAAGGAGGGACCGAAGACATCACAGTCCCTACCCTCTTAATCCCAACATCATCAAGCCGCATAATTCGCCGCCAAGACCAAAATATCCTCTAAGCTCTCCGCACATTCCAACCCATACGACATGGACAACCTCTCCAATGTCGGCGACGTGACTCCAACCGGCGTCTGCACCTGTCCAGTTCTTTCAGTCGACCCCCGATCCACAGGCGGCCATCCCTGGCTCCCATCCCGCGAAGCCGTTCGACTCCTCTGCCAGCGGCCCTTCTCGCAGAAACTTCGAATCACTCCCACCAGATCCAAGTCCCGATCTGCATCCTGCTCCGGTGAGGGTAAATGTTTCGGACTACTACGGTCGCGCTCTTTCGCTAGCAATGCCTCGAGCAGATGCACCCCGCGTCGGGCGATCATGTTTGATTCGCTGTGCGAGAGGATTTCCAGACCGTCGTTGATGAGTTGGCGGTGGTAGGTGGTTTCCGGGTCGGAGGTGGTGCGGTGGAAGAGGTCAAGACATAATATTATCTGTTATTTTATTAGCCAATGATGAAGTGACTTCGGGGTAGTAAGTGGAAGCGTACGCTAGCAGCAACACTAAAGGCCTGGTGAATCCAAAGCACTGGTCCGCCGTCATGGATCGCCTCTTTCTGCTCTTTGATGATTGTCCGGGCGGCGGCAACGCACGTGCGACGTGTCCTGGCAAATACAGGATTTGTGAAGCTTAGCTCGAGGAACTTCCGATGTATCATAATGATTTTATGCGACGAGCTGATTGCCAAACTACGTCTCGCCCAGAGGACATATTTCGGCCACTCCGGATGCTCCTCGACAGGAACATTCCTCAAGTAAAGTGGGAGACCCTGGGTAGCTAAGCTGCGCAATCGACGATCATGTTCCAGAACCTGTTCGTAACGTGTATACAACGTATTCGATGCAGCCATGCTGTCCTGCAACGAAGGCATAAGAGCTGCAACCTGGTAAAAGAACCTGGAGTAGCCCGCGACACTTGGTTCATCATCAGGCAGCTTCAGCATATCTTCGTCGCGACAGTTCCGAGGACGTGCAGTATTCAAGCAAGATCGTGGGATGAGGTAGCTTTCGGAGAAGGGGATGGAGAACCAGTCCTGGATGCAGAGCTGGCACCATGCACGACGGCCGATTTCGCGGTCAATCATGACAGGAGTGGTTGCCGTTTCTCTTTCCGAGCCGAGACGGTGTAGGCCCAGCCCTTGGGCGATGCGGGTAGCGGCTGCAAGTAGCACGGAAAGACTGTTAGAGAAGCCGAGGAGATGAGCAGACATGGTAAGAGTGGCAATGGCCTGGACGGCGTAGAGCGAGTGGACAGCAGTAAAGTCGGCATGGTGTAGACAGGTCGAGACAGCTTTGAACCACCTCTGTGCTAGAGTAGTCTGCTCCCATTCAGAAAAGCCCCATGCCTGAGCGGCCATGCGAGGAGCGCAAGCGAGGGCGCCGGTAAGGACAGAGAAGAGAAGCGCGACCCATTGCAGGTCGACGCGGGGATGGGCGATGTGACCATTGGCGAGCCGGAAGAAATCGTCCAGTTCTTCTTGAAAACGGACAGAGTGAAAAGAGCCGTGATACCAAAGCACGCAGTCGCAATGGTAGGAGACAAGCTGCTGCATGAGCTCGCGATCTGGGAGGAGGAGCTGGAGATAGGCTAGTGCGGAGGCAACCTCGGGGTTCCGCTCATCGCCGCTTCCTTCGGCCGTCACGTCGCCAGGGGAATGATGCTCGACACCATCTCTGCGAGCTAGCATATCGTGATAGTCCGGGTTCTTCCGTCGGCCCCAGGCAAGGAACTCGAGTATGGTGGCGGCGTCCGCCATCTCACGTTCGGGGGTCTCCACCGTCTCGGAGACAGGAGTATTGCTGGCATTGTGGATGATCTCAGATTTGGGTAGAGGACTAGGTTGAAATTGTGGATCAGTGGCCTCCTTCAGAGCAGCTTCAAGCTCCTGAACACGGGCCTGTAATCGGTCCACCTCATCATCGGTACCTCTGGCGCGAGAGCAGGTGATGCCCCTGTCGGAGTTAGCCGATGTCAGGAACAGATTGGGGGAAGCTTACCTCCTGGTGCAATTGCGACATGGGACAACCTTGTCGCAGCGTATTTTGCGCCGGGTGCACTCCACACAGGCCAGGCGTCGACGGATGGAGCTCATGATGGGGAGAAAAGTGGTTTGTTGTTCGGCCGGGTTGGGGTTGGACCAGCCAGTGATTGATAAGGCGGGGAAGCGGCCGACATCGCAGTTCCCCGCTGATAAGCTCGGCCGAGCTGACGGTCTTAGCTTCATTCCTTATAACTATACCCTGAACATCAACACCATCATAGTATCATCAAGCTGAATGCAATTTTCAAGCTACAAAAATGGCAACAAGATACGTTGATCGTCCCATCCCCCGCATCTCCCTGCGCGACTTCGACCACCGCATCGACGAAATCACCGCTGAGCTCGTCCACGCCGCCGAGAACGTGGGCTTCTTCACCCTAGTGGACCATGGCATTTCCATCTCCGAAATCGAGAACATGTTCTCCACGGCAGAGCGCTTCTTCTCCCTCCCGGACGACATCAAAGCAACTGTCCCGTGGAACGCCAACAACGTAGGATGGGAGAAGAAGGCCCAAGTACGGCCCTCGACGGGCCAGCCCGACACTAAGGAATCTTATCAGTTGCAGTTTGGCGAAAACATGACCGACCTGTGGATGAGCGACGCGCATCTTCCTGGCTTCAAGAACACATCCCTCACATTCATGCATCGCGTACAAGAAGTCTCCGAGCGGTTAATGATCTGCTTCGCGCGGGGCCTCGGTTTCCCTGATGACTTCTTCATCAAGTGTCATGATGTCTCACGACCAAACGAACAAACCACCATGCGACTATTACATTACTACGCTCTACCAGACCAACCCGACGGGAAGACCTACCATCGGGCTGGAGCCCACGCAGACTGGGACTTTCTGACCCTCCTATTCCAAAAGGAAGGCCAAAGCGGACTGGAGATCTGCCCCGGACGAGAAGTGGTAACAGAGTTCGGGATCGGTGATAAATGGACGCGAGTCGAGGCACATACCGGCGATATAGTGTGTAATATTGGGGACTTGCTGATGTCATGGTCGGATGATCGGTTCAAGTCGACGTTTCATCGCGTCAAGGCGCCATCCGAGCCAGGTGATTATTTCGGCGATCGATATAGTATCGCTTATTTCAATCAGCCGTGCAAGGATGCTTTGATCCAGGGGCCGAAGAAGAAGTATCCGCTTGTTACTGGGGAGCAGTTCAATGCGAATGCGATGAAGCGGAATTTTGCGGCGTTGCAAGAGAAGTTGAAGATGATGGAGCAGGCTGCTTGATTGATTTCACCTATTTGTGGGATAGCTAGTATAAGCAAGGAGAATTATGAGCGTGTGTTTAAACATTATAACTTGACATATTTGCTATTTGTAAACATTGATCCATAATTAGTCAACAGATAAAGTAGTCAATAAGTGGACCTCAACTATGGCAGCACCGTATCAACCTTCTCGTCCTCCTTCAACACCAAATTCAGCAGCACACCCACCACTGCAGCAATGATAAACGGCGTCTCAACAATCAGATTGATACCCTGCTCAAACCCCTGCAAATGCACATTCGGCCCGCTATACGCCAACACAGAACTGAACCAGCTGGGGGAGACAATATCCATCATGCCGATTCCCAGCGACGCAGTAAGAATGAATCTATTGCGTCGAGTGAATTCCACCAAACCAAGAACGCGCACACCAGCCACCACAATCGTGCTGTACAGGAATACCTGCATTCCTCCGAGGACAGAAGGGGGCATGGACCCAAAGACAGCGCCGAATTTCCCAAAAATTCCCATGAGTAGCAGGAATGCGGAAGCGCACCATCCTGCTCGTCGACTCTATAGTCATATAATCAGCATCTGAAAAAGGTAAAGCAGGGGGGAATACGTACAGCACACCCAGTCAAAGAAATAACCCCATTATTGCCCGCCTGGCTAACCATCGGCAGCCCAGTGCCCAGCGCACTAATCAGACTCCCCAGTCCATCACATAAGATCCCACCCTGGATACGGCTGTGGAACTCCCGTCCCTCGATATCGACACGGGAAATCTCCGCTGTGGCCAGAATATCCGGCATGCAGCTGACAGCCTCGCAGACGAACATGATAAGCAGCGGGAGAACGAGTGCCCCGTCAACAGACAGTGGGAAGGTATGCACCCATAAAAAGGTACCCACTGGCGCAGCGTCAATCTCGTCGCGAGACCAGTAGCCTGTTGCCCCGGAGATGGCGCATCCCACTGCTAATCCTAGGATGACTGAGGCGGATTTCATTAGTGGGGAGCCGACGAATTCGACGAAGATGATGGTCGCGAAAACGCTGAAGCCGAGTCCGATTAGTTTGGGGTCGCCCCTGGGATTGTTAGCATTAGACATGACATGGGTGGGTAGGGACATACCATGGCAGTGGTCTCGGAGCATCCACATTAGGACAAAGGGCATAATATCCTGTCCCACCATCACAGTTTGAACTCCCTCCCCAGTTCTCCATTCCACTCGAGATAAGGTATACGCCAACCAAGAGCAGAAGGCTTCCTGTGACTACTTTGGGAAAGATGCGATTCAGCACCTTTGGCGGCACCAGTGACATGAGAATCTGGATCCAGACCGTACATAGGCAGGTGCCCAGGACTGCGCCCCATGCTTCAGGGCAGGGGAGACGAGAGCCATTCTCGTCAGTCGGGCACGAGCCGTTGTTGTATCTGGTGTCGGCGTAGTTCATGGCAACAGCGATGACATCGAACGTGGGACCGACTACAGAGAGCAGTCCTGTACCAATCCATAATGGTGTTTTGAACAGGTGCACCCTTGTTACCTGCAGAGCTGTGGCAATGCCGGTGGTGATAAATGCCGCAGAGACGAGATATTGCGACTGTTCAGAGTTTAGGTAGAAGGCGCCGCTTGCGAGGGCCAAAGGAGGAGAGACCACGGAGCCGATCATGGTCAAGGCATGTTGGAGGCCGAGGATTATAGTTAGTAGAATGGGGACCTCATCGTTGAGGCCATAGAAAGGCGGTTCGACACCTTGGTAGCGCTTGTTGAGGGGGTATATATTGGGTGTAACCAGGTACATGTAGTCCTGTATACATTAATAGGGCTACCGAGAATAGTAAGTAAACACCTACATAGTCACCAATCCAGCCATCCCTGCTAGTAAGATAGTGCTTCCAGTATCCCCACTTGGATGAAGCGTGCAGAACTTCCCCAGTTGTGGGGGACGGGGACTCTTCAGTGGAGATAGGGCTAGACTTGGACTCCATAGCGGGATCCGATGAAAAGAATAGTGGTCCCATTCCCATCACAAGCAGACCTAGCTCATCTTGTATAGTATTCTCAATATCACCGTTATCGGTGATATCAGATAACGATAAGCCGTGGATGCACGCATTGACATCGGCAATAACTGGACCCTCGGCCGAGGACTGCTTATCGAGATCGACAGGATTCCCACATCCCCACCAGAGCTACAAGAGCTCCCTCGACTCTTCATTCTATTCACAGTCAAGATGACTTCGAATCCTTCCAAAGGAACATTATTCACCCACGCCACCATCATAACCGTCAACCCCGACCGCAGCATAATCCGCAATGGCTACATCCTCGTCCGCGACACCCGCATCGCCGCCATCGGGGCATCTCCCTTCCCCGCAGACCTTCTCACCCCAGACACAACAACCATCGACTGCACCGGCAAGATCATCCTCCCAGGACTGATCAACATCCACGCACACCTAGTACAGTCCCTTCTCCGCGGACTAGCCGAAGATCTCCCCCTCCACAACTGGCTCTGCGATGCAATCTGGCCCCTCGAAGCATCCTACGCAGATAAAGACGGCTACCATGCTGCGCGGCTCACCATTGCGGAGATGCTCAAGACGGGGACGACATGTTTCTTGGACCCGATGGTGACCTACCGAGCGGGATGGGAGAGTGTCTGTGATACTGTCGGTGAGATGGGAATTAGGGGCTGCCTGGTAGACATATCTACCCCCTCTACTTCTCTCCCATCCCAGATCAATATTTACTAACATGTGATAATGCAGGGCAAACTCATCAAATTCCCCGAAACTAATCGCCAACTATCCATCACCGACCCACGCGACCAAGACCTCCTCGCCATGTCCATTCCCGGGCTCCTCTCTGCTCACGAAGCCCACCACGGCACGCATAATAACCGACTGCACGTCTGGGCTGCAGCGGGAACTCCCCGAGGTGCGCCAGCCTCATTATACAGCGAGCTGGGAGAAACCTGCGCAAGGCATAGCATCTCACTCACCATGCACTGCGCTGAGGCACCCAAAGACCGAGAGATTTACCACGATGTATATGGTTGCAGCGCGATGGAATTCATTCGCGATACGGAGCTCTGTCCCAAGGTCCAGGATAAGCAGGGCAAAAGCCATAACCTCGTGCTAGCACATATGGTCAACCTTGATCTTGAAACCGATTTACCTCTAATTAGTGCAACGCATACGTCCGTCGCACATAACCCGAGCTCGAATCTGAAATTGGCGTCTGGGGTGGCGCCGGTACCGGCCATGCTGGGGCATGAACAAGAAATAAATGTGGGATTAGGCACAGACGGCGCGCCGTGCTCGAATCACTACGATATGTTCCAGGAGATGCATCTAGCTGCGATTCTGCATAAGGGGGTATGTCAGGATGCAAGGGTAGTTGGGGCGGGGGCGGTGCTGGAGATGGCTACAATTAATGGGGCACGGGCGCTGGGGCTGGAAGATGAGATTGGGAGCTTGGAGGTGGGAAAGAAGGCGGATTTGGTGGTTCTGGATCCGTATGGCAAGGGTGGGATGGGGGCTGCGCCGTGGCATTGGGAGGACGAGGACGGGGCGAGTGTCATCACCACGGTGGTTCATGGGTGTACGGGGAGGGATGTGGATTTGACCATGGTTGATGGGAAGATATTGGTTGTTGATGGAAAGTTGGTTGAGGGACTGGAGGGGGAGATTATTTCGCTGGCCCAGGAAGCTAGTCGGGGGGTTAGAGAGAGGTGTAGAAGCAAGCAGTCAGGTCTATGATATACTGGGTTCTATATTTGAAGTGATATATCAAGAAAGATTACTCTTCATTTATGTGGACCTTCATGGAAGAAGACCACCTGCACAGTCACATCATCTCTTACCCGCCGGGAAGCCGGAAAGCTAAAAGCAAGCCGACCAGCTATCATCTCATGATGATTCCCTCCAAGAGAATTGCGCACCAAATGCACAGCTGCATTCTCATCCTGAACGGCAGTCCGTCCCTCGACAAATCGCCAATCCACTCCATTCCAAAACCGGCTAAAATCAAATCGTCCAGGAGACTTCATCCCGGGCCTGCTGCTCTTGTCATCTCCCTCCAACCACTTCCCCACCAAATCGACGGCCTGCTGACTAGACATCATATCCCACAGTCCATCCGTCGCCATGATCAGAAACGCCGGCTCTCCATCTCCTATTCTAGTGCTAGTAACCACCGGCTCCGCCGTCAAATAGGGCGGCGTGTGAACCGGATATCTCGGCGTCAGCAGCGCCGGACCATAGAACCTTTTCTGCACATCCTCCTGAAACTCCAACGGCCATTTCCACTGACAATCGCCGAAAGCGCGCGAGACCGCAAGACCCAGCACGCGGCCACCCTTGACCACGTCATCTTCCCCTGGATGTTCCGCCTGAAGTCTGGCAATCTCATCTTCATTCTTGCCAGTCTGGTCCACAGACAGAGGGATGGCTTCCCATTTCCCATCAGCTCCTTTTCGAGCCAGCACCGCACGTGAATCACCAGTACATGCGACATGCAGCATGCGCGATGCAGGATCATACAGCGAGAGCAAAGCACAAGAGCCTGCATAAGCAGGAGCAAGTCTCTTTACCTTTTCTGCCAACGACATCTCACTCTCCGGCAACTCCATCGCACCCTTGACAATAGAGTCATCGAGACTCACAAATCCATCCATAATGGCACGATGAACTGCCTCCTCACTTACATCACCTCCAGTAGCACTCAGCAACCCCAATCTATACCGCACAAACCCCAACAACCTCTCCCTCAACACCTCAGCCATCTGACCTCCCAAATGTCCATCAAACACCCCCCACGCCATCCACGGCCCCTGACTGGCATCACCCCACGGCGCCGCAAACTTCCCATGCACGAACCGGTCCTCGCACGGGTCATTCGAACCCACCTGCACGCCATCATATCTGCTCACGCCGGGGACATTCCTCACGGGAAAAGAGTACGCATCTCGCGATATAAGCCGCGTTACTTCATCTTCTTCCGAGAGACCTGTCTCCGCGAACCAGTGATGTGCTGATGGTGGGTGGTGAAGACATGGAGCATCATTGGCTGTGTTTGTATTGGTCGTTGTATTGCCATTTTTGTGGCTAGTAGGTGGTGTATTACTCGTGTCTGTGTTGGTAGTGAACCACCATACTGCAGGCGCACAAAGTGCACTAGCTAATGCAATCCTGCGGGGCTTATTGGATGGGGTGGATGATGCGCCTTTAGTCGAGTAGTGGGAATGGGAATGTCTAGGGTGGTTCTGGTTCCGTGGGACTAAGCCTTGGTGACGGATTGGTGATGTTGTGGGCACGCGTAGTAGACGCGTTCGCGCCCCACCAAATGAGGTGAACATGGGCGGCACTAGGCTGATGGTAGTGTAGATTAGATGGTTGGTGGCTGTTGATGGAGCGGCAAAGGTAAGATTAAAGATTAGCATAGTGTCAATTGAGGAAGAATTATATACGCCACATACCTGTTGGAATTATGTGTCGGTCATTAACAAATCAGGTAGTTATCATCAGGTACAATGGCTGAGTCGTGGACTCTGCGTGTCGGGGGTTACATTCCAGGGATGGTCACGTGCTACTTTGCTTGCTTTGTCGTCTATTTTTAGGTTTCGAGAGGATAGTGAATAGTAGTATTAGATGAGAGGTATCAGTCTCTGCAAAGCAAGATAAACAAGCACTTGCATACAACTTATTACTATGGAACTACGCCTCTCTATTAGCCGGTCTGTTCATGCTGCCATTGTTCTCATTCCCGTATCCTCAGCCCATTACCTCTGGTCTTGCAAACAATTTATCACATCACTCACTCCTAGGGTATCCATCCAATAAGCACTCACATTACATACACCTTACTGTCCTTTGCCTTGATCTTCCCTCTTGTCTTATGCTGTCGCCTCCTGGGATTTGGGAGCGGTCTCAGAGGTCTCTGCGTGGCGGGTTTCAATCTTGGACTCTATATCCACTTGACCGTGCTCCAACTGCTCTACCTGCCGGGTCTTCATCGTGGTCTTCCAGGCCGGTGTGCCAATGTACTTGATGCCGTTGGGATCCTCGAACATGGCTTCGGTCTCTTCGAGCGTCTTTCCTGCAGTCTCCGGGAACAGGAACAGCACGTGCAAGAACATGGCAGTGTTGAACACCCCAAACATGATGTAGGTCTTCCAGCGGATGTTCTCAAATGCAGTGGGTGTAAACAGCCCCAATGCAGTGTTAAACGCCCAGTTACCTGAGGTCGACAAAGCCACTCCCTTACCACGCAGCCGCAGCGGATACAACTCAGGGGGGTACGTCCAGGATACAGGACCCCAGGTAGGCGCATACGACGCGACGAAGAGGTATGTGCAAGCAATCAAACCTTTGGCAGGAGCGCCGTGAAGACGCATGGACTCAGCTGCAACCCCATTGATGCCCCCGGGCACCACAACACCATGAACTGCCATGATCGCACCATTGGCATACATCAAGATGGCCATCAGAGCCGCGCCAACCAGCAATGGCATGCGACGACCCCACTTGTCCATCCAGATCAGTGCCGGGAGGGTCATAAACACATTGATAATATACTGAATGGAGGAGGCAAGGAGGGTGGAATCGCCGGTGTATCCGGCCATAGAAAAGAGATACGTGATGTAGTACACTGTCAAAAGTAAACATCTCGTTAGCGCACAGTTATAATAACCGACTAGACGGGAAAACGAAGACGTACTCATCACATTCATGCCGGTCAGCTGAGACCAGATCTGCATGAAAAGACCGATCAACGTGCGGTTGATCATCCTCGGTTTGAACAGGTCAAGGTAAGTGACATCATTGAACTGACGTTCAAGCTCACACATATCCCGAATGTCCTGCAACTCTAGCGCAACGAAAGGATGGTTGAGATCCCCCTTGGCGTGGACGAGAGCCAAGACCCGATGGCAGTCCTCCCAACGATCCTTGCGCGCCAGCCAACGAGGAGATTCGGGCAGAACCAGCATTCCAAGGAAAAGGAAAACAGCCGGCAGCATCTGCAGGCCCCAGGGGACTCGCCAAGAAGCAGTGCTGTAGTTGTAGGACTTCTGTCCCCCGATGAAGGAGCAGCCATACGAGATACTGAATCCATTAGTTCAATTCCACTAGAGATCCTCACGCGTTCACTTACTAGAACATGATGAGGATACCCCATGTAATGGCCCATTGCTGCATACCCACGAACCGACCGCGCTTAGAGGGTGGCGAAAGTTCACTGATATAGACGGGGACCTGAGCAGATTCGATGCCCACCGCGAGACCGTTGATGACCCGCCCAACAACAAGCATACCGATGTTCTGAGAAGCGCACATAATGGTGGAACCAATCAGCCTAGGCATTGCGGCAGGGTTAGCAACCACCGTCACGGGCTCCAGAGTATTGACCTACCAAACGACACACCCGACCATGATGGACGTCTTACGCCCGATGCGGTCGGAAAGCGGACCTGAAATCAAAGCACCCAGCCAAGATCCAGCTGCCATGGCTGCCGTGATGCCACCCTGGTTGAGGGAGGTAGGACCAGAACAGTCCTCATCGTCAGTGAAGGGAGGACCCTTAGGGCCCTGGTTGAAATAGCATAGATAGGAATTCTCGCTCAGCTGAGCGGACATGGAGGAAATATCAAAGCCAAACAAGCCGCCGCCGACGACGGCGACGCTCGCAATCACGTAGATGTTGCCAATCAACATGATTGCGGCAGTCGATCAACAACGAAACGTGGCTGCTCCGGGAAAGGGAAGGAGAAGGGAAAGTCGCAACGTAGGGAAGCGTGGTGGTAGCTTAATATATACTACCGACTCATCAATGCGTCAGCCGCGAGTCATCTCCCGGGGGAAAAGGGCGAACCCCGCATCATGGGCGGAAAATTGTCTGGTCAGAGCTGCGTCTGGAGTTGGAATTTGGACCAATCGTGCCACCGGTCAGGAAGGTACCGTTGTATGTGGTCGGGCCACCCATCAACCCCAGCCAGCCCATCGGCGCGTCTCGTGGCGGAGGTAGCGAATCGATGATTGGAGAACGAGGTCAAGTGATGATCCGACGAACCTAGCTCGAGGCATGGAAGGGATCAAGATCCCGGTCCACGCACGGCTTGAAACCCTCTGTAGGAAGTCAAAAAGGTTTAGCGGCAGTATGGGCCAAATTGGCGAGGACCAATCCTGGAGGAAAATGATGGGTGTCAGCAGGGATCGATGGAAGGATTCGCGAGAAAGTTTGAGAAGCTGAACGGGCGACTGAAAGCCACTGCTTGGTCTCTACCTGACGGCTCCACCTCAATACCACTCAAATCCCACTTCAGCATAATGGGCACCACTAAGATGCGCCAAGGGTCAGCCACATGGAAGAAGCTTGTTGATGGTGATGTCGGAGGAGGCGCAAGGACCCGAGCAGAGCAGAGGAGACCACCTACTAGGCCCAAGCGGTAACCAGGCTTAGGTGAAGCTTTCCCATCGCAGCCAACGACAGAGGCATGGCGGCCTGGGCCCATGGCAGAGATGGATGGTGAAAGCTGGAGATGAAGTGGATAGCAGACGGAGCAGGGGTTCTCCTTTACTTCCCCGCATCTCCCAGTGTACTTAGTCTTTCCCAGCGGGGACCCCAGAAGTTACCTGCAAACGATGGACCGAGTCTAGTGGTTACTGACTCTGACGGTAATTTACATTAGCGCCGCCCAGGATCTTGTATGGTTTTGTCACCACCCGGACTGGTGCCACCGCAACGCCCTTCCCGGCTCCGTTGATTTGAAGTTCCTGCAGGAGCTGAGCATCAAGTTTTCCCCCGACTGTGTACCCTGTTGCGGCTCCTCGCTGGGTTTTCACTTGTAGGGTCCTTATAGGGTCGTGCAACCCACATCTTAGGCTGAATTATACGCTGGTCAGTAACACAGAACAGCCCTCGCAAAACAAATTTCAATTCAGGTTCCTTGTCCCATTATGTCTGGCAGCCGTTGCTTCTCTTCTCGGAGCTCTTGCCACGAGAGGACTTAGTAGTCACTCCGTGCTGTCTGGCATCATCTCGCTTGTGTGGGGGGGTCCCATGTCGGATTGGTCCGCTGATGTTCACCCAGAACCTTTCTTTTGTGGAATGAGCTGGACTGAGAATGGTTGGTTATATCCAGATGTAGATCTTCGAGATTAAAACTCCCATGCTTGCTCAGGAGGGGAAACTTGTGATGTATAGCGAAATGAGTTGACGGAACGCCGCTCTACGAGCATGCGAGGTGTTAATCACACCCCCTATGAGCCACAAAAGGATATAGGTTCTGACAGCTGTGGCTGGAAGCTTTTCTGGAAGCTGGACAGCACCTACTCAATACTTTGTTCACTTTCATAACAAAATGGCCTCGACTATGCTGTGTTGGTTTGATATCAAATGAACCGAGCCCATAGGTAAGCGCTTTCCTGTCTTCTTACCGATCCTTTACAGAGTCCCTGGTAACAATACCGGTGATTACATAAAAACGTAAGTTCGGGGGCAGCTATAGCCAGGTTCTGGAGATCAGTTAATATGCACCGTCTGACACCACCAAAGAATTAAGATCAGCATGGACTATACCTGTTATGACTCGGACATGACCTGTCCGATGACTAAAACTGGACTTCGCGTAGCACAGACCTGAAGCGTCCAATGTTTGAACCCTCGGTGTCTCATTATGCCGTGCGATCCGACCCCAGCTCATCGCATGAGGTTGGATCCAGGTCTTGGCATATCACAAGATCGGATTTGCCAGCGAATGGCACTTGTTTTTCCTGTGGCTAAATGCCCGATGCTTGGCTAGTCTACGCAGTAGTTGAAGTGGTGATTGCACCACTTGACAGCCAAGACATATCGCGTCGTCAAACGTCGACCTCCCCATTCGGGAAAATCTCCGAAAGTCATGGCATCTTGCTATTACCACGTGTTGCGCGCCAGAGGCACGTTGACCGGAAAGGGCTCCGAAGGCATGTTCCATGTTCATGTCTTACTTGGTTTCTTGAATCCAACCAGTTATGTGCCTGCACCGTTGGCCTGATTGGGAGAAGAATACTAGGCCTGTTAGTGTGATAGGATCGTAAGGCTGGCCAAGTGGTCTCCTTAGCAATAATTTGGTCCCTTGGGGGAATCCTAAAGGTTCTCTCCTTATTGTCTCAGAACGTGTTGCCTGAGGAGCATTAGCCCCGTGGTCGTGTGGATATGTATGCCGAATTGGCTCATTTACCTGGTTCAGTTATGTCGTCCTTAACATGAGTCTTTCCCTTCCTACCAATCGGGTAGATGGTGCTTTGGCTGCGTATTTTGCAATATGCAAACTATAGTAAGTAGATGTAACGCAGTAGTCTTACCTTACATGATACCATCTCCGTCACGTTCATAGATCGACATCACGGGATTCCGAGGAATACGAACTCCTCCTCACCACCCCATCTTCCCATCATCAAATTTCGAAAGTATAAATCTTCAAATTGGTCTATCACAACGCTTCTATTCATATGCAAATGGATATCATACTATATACCCAGCCATGCTAACTCTAAGGAGAACATCATCAATTAGTCGACGAAGAATTGGTCCTCTTGGACGCCGCATCATAGAGACCCTGGATATCGTCCTTCCACTGAGTCTCGTTCACTCGCTTGACGCGCCGATCGTACGTCATCAATCCGTTCACCTCACCCTCAACATCGACAGTTTGAGTCCATACACCAACACTGCAGGCATACAAGCGGACCTGATCCTGCAGCTCGGACAGCAGAAGGTGACTGCGGTAGTTCCAAGCATCCACGTCCGTATCAATTTCATAAGTCTGGTTGATGCTGTTGATCGCTTCTTGGTTGTTCCAAAGACTGTGGCTAATTAGTCTCGTTCCTTCATTTAGGGTCCTGTCAAACTTACTGCTCGATTGAAACGTTGTTTCCAAGTCCACCAAACTCTCCTTGGATGCCAATCCGGTTGGGGTCATACGGGCTGGAGTCGATAGAATAGAACGGAGTGCCGCACTGGGGGTTCGCATAGTGGTGGTTGTCCTGAAAGTGTTAATTTATCGTCTCGGGATCACTGCGGGTGTGGCTTACGCTAAAGTCGCCCGCACCGTGGTCATGCCAGCCAGATGTCGCATCAACCAGTCTAGTGGGGTCAAGTTGCTTCACAATCGACGTCAGGTTAAATTCGGGGTAGTAGCTGGTGATCTGGCCCCATCCTTCGTTGTAAATCACCTATACAGACATGAAAGGTCAGTCAACGGACGGGGATATTATTCGAGTAGCTGCTTACCCAGGCAAAGATGCTAGGATAGCTCTTGAGCTGATTAACAAGAACCTCCAGTTGCCTTCCAAATTCATTTTGCTGGTCTGCATCTGGCAATATGGTTACAGAAACGCCGTTTGCGTCGACTGTGGTCTCCAGCGGTCGGAGAGATGGCATATCCTGGATGACCAGAAGACCCATTTCGTCACATGCACGGTACCAGAGCGCCGGTTCAACTTTGATCTGAAAACACAGTTAGCCCTGCTTTGAAAGTCTGAGTTGCTTTACTTACATGCTTGCGGACCATATTGAAGCCCATGTCTTTAAGGAACTTCAGGTCATAGACCATGGCCTCACGGTTTGGTGGAGTGTAAAGTCCATCTGGCCAGTACCCCTGATCCAGGGTACCAAAGATAAAGCTGAAGTTTCCGTTCAATAGGGGCCGGACAACACCATCCACAGTACCCTTCGAGATTGTGCGGAAACCAGTGTAACTGGAGATCTTGTCTTGCCCCATGGTGACTGTCACGTTATACAGATTGGGCGAGTCCGGAGACCAAAGCTTGGGGTCGGAAACATTGAACAAGAGAGGCCGATCGGACAAGCCGCTGGCAGATCCGACCACATCATCGCCATCTATCACAGAGATATTGACTGTTGTGCCATTGCCTATAAAGCTGTGTACGGTGGCATTGACTACATTGTTTTGTTAGCGGCGAGTCGGGCCGAAAATAAGGAACGTACGCACCTTGGCCGTGCATGTCGGCGCTAAGATCAAGTTGCGTCACATAGTTTGCCGGAGCAGTTTCGATCCATACGCTCTGCCAAATTCCACTGCAGGGAGTGTAGAAGATATGCGACGGGATTAATCGCTGCTTGCCGATGGGGATGACATAGCCATCGCTATCGGTCGGGTCATGCACAAAAACAAGCCTAGTGCTGTCAGTATGAGGTTTGACACATGTGGTATCCAATACTAACATCTCGTTAGATGCCGAAGTGTCGACATATTGGGTGATATCGACGGTGAATTCGAAATAGCCACCACGGTTGAAACCAGCCTGCTTCCCGTTGACGAAAACAGTAGCTTCATAGTCTACAGCTCCAAAGTTCAGGAGAACGCTCTCTCCATTCCAAGAATTTGGAACTGTAAAGTTGGTCCTGAACCAAGAATATAGCGTGTTTGTTCCCTGGATTCCTGCCTGGAATTAGCACAGAAGGAGATTTCAGAGCAAGGGTGTACTAACCAGAGAGTCCACTTTCGAGGCACGAGGGAATCAGGACCTCTTGAGCCAGATCTTGTCCGAAAGGCGGGTATTGGCTATCATTCAGGCTGGAAGCACTCTGATACTGCCATATACCGTTCAAATTCTGCCACTGACTCCGCGCCATCTGTGGACGGGGATACTCGGGCCACGGATTTGTGCCGACATCCTCCGTCCAAGGAGTGTCCAACGGCGGCTGCTTCTGAGCATACTGTGCAGTCGTACGAGCAGTGTGTTGGTGTGCATTACCGACGCTTCTTGCGAAGGAGCAAGTCAGGAAGAAGGAGAGGCAGGCAAGAGTCCCATACATGTTGGCGTTAGAGAGGACTTACAAATGGGTATAGTCGTCTGCAAAACCCGCTACCGTCAGAAAAGAACGGCAATGAAGATATTTATATTTTCATCCTGAAAACGGCCCACCAACTGCCGAAGGCAAAGACAGATGTATGGAATGTCGGGCCAGCATTCTGATCCAAAGTTTGAACACCGCAAATCTCTGACTCTCCGCATTCGCCATGGCTCGTTGGCCCACAAATGCAGGCATAAGGGCCATGGCAGCCCTATAGACTGTGATTGATGGGCCGCCGCCCAGAGGTAGGAGGACATGAGACGACTGTGATCCACCGGCGTCCGCTTGGCACATTAGTGGTGCATGTGTGCTCCGTTTGGCGGAATGGAGATTCATCGGCGCTACTGGATTGCCACTTTCCAAATTTGAGCATTGATCGAGGATCAAATCTCCACGTTCAACTTATCCATTAAGTTCAGGTACTCAAAATCTTTCCGGTTCCCTCGGGACGTCCCAGAGGCAAATAAGATCTTGCGTGTGAAAATTGGCAGCCCCTGGCTTCTGACTCAGCACAATGCCCAATCATCGCACCGCCCTGGAATGCAACCACTGGAACAACAGAGGAAGAAAAGATCACATTGTTCGGAAATCCAATAGGAACAACGGGCTTCTGAGAATCCAAGATTCGGCGTTACATTCAAACTCTATCCTTCTTTTTCCCCTTTTTCAGAACGTGGTCCGATGCCTCAACCTTGGAACCGTTGGTAGTAATCTACAGCGCCGATACGCATATCTGCCGAGCCCGGCAATGTCACGATGCATGCAATTTCATACTCATACGAGCCTTATCATACCCAGGACACATTATTGACCCCGCATATATTTTGTATGCTGCCTAAAGGCTCGACTCGGCGTCTATATCAGCAACAAATCATGGACAGAGGCATAATGCGGGGTTGCGTCAGCCAAGTCATGGGTCATGCGTTGTAGCGCTTATCGCGCATCGTGATTTGACAGCCATCGCGCTGCTGTCAGCCCTGCCAAGGGCTTTTTGATATAGCGCCTTCCCTCGGTAGCAGACCAACGCATCCATGGACATGGTGTGTAGATGCGAATCGGACATCTGGGGTGACAGTTGTCGCGAGTTCATTACCACGGAACAGTAGCCTGCCATATGTACATCTATCCTAGAATTGATGCTAGTGACCGTTGGCTCCACTCGGCCATGATCAGCGGCAGCTGAATTGACAGAGCGCGGCCGAGATTCGTCGGATTTCCGGGTTTCCGGGGGCCTCCGGGAATTCTCCATCCACTGTGGAGTACTACACAGCTCCGTGTTCGGACGAGTGCCCAGCAACAAGACCTTTCTGTGGCCGAGACTGTTCAATTGTGGTTCTAGGTGTACAACAAGGCCTTGGCTGATTTTAGCGTACCCGTTCCAGCTGAGCATAGCCACTCGATTCCTTGTCTTGTGTCTGTGCTCTTCTATGGCGTCCTTACCGCGCTCATTAATATGGCTGTGCCACACGCGGAAAGCCACATCCCAGCTCCTCATGTCATGTGAAGTGGGTCTCAGGCCTCAGCGGTTATAGTAATTTGATAAGGTTTTGTAGAAGGTTTGATGGATCCTAGCCATTTTCTGGGCCTAGCCAGCTGCCGTTGAAGTGTTTCCCTAATTGCTATGGTATTAACCAATATCAACGTCTAGGTACTACGCTATGGATGGCAATTAGTGAATTGGCATTTTTTTCTCATATATTCGCTATTGAGAGTGAAAACCACCTTGGGACTAACTCTGCCGGTTTTTCCATGGGAAGTAACAACATATCTGAAAAACAGTGTCAAATCCCATGACTTCCAATCCTTCAAAAACGGCAAAACTGCGTATATTACAGAATACAATGTTTAAATAAAGCAAGGCACACTCGACTGAGGGAGGGGGAAATAGTCAAAGACAGATTCCTAGTCTGGGTCTGGTTCAGACTCGTGAAACCCTGATATCTGCAAGGAGATCGATCCATGCTGTTCAATGTCGCCTCTCCCACCGGGAAACACGAGAATAGGGCTGTCAACTTGACACCGGCTCAAGCAGATAGTCTTCATATCACTCGAGAGGATAAACCCCAAGTGACAAGTTACTCATCATTGTCTCAGCCTTTTTCATTTTGCGCAATTCATCTGAGCACCATGATATGAGGTCAGGCGATACCGCCCTTGAAACAGGTCGAGGCTCCGCGAAGTTGGGGGAGATACCAAGGAAACGATCTAAAACTTTCTTATTGTACTGTGCAACGTGGAAGGCTGTCGAGCGGTCTTCCCCACTGCGAAAGTAAACTCTGCTCATGTCCTTCAGGTTGATTTGGGCTCAGGTTGTAGAGAGTGGCCCCAAAGGTTAAAATACCACCCACGATTAACTACAGCGTCCCACACAAGTATATTACAGGACGTCCATGAACTTACCAGTGCGTTGTCGGTGGCTAACAGTTCCATCTTTGGGCGGCTTTTGAAGAAGTTTCGGCAAGCCAGGTGGAGCATAGAATTCTGGGGCTACTTCTAGAATAGTGAAGACGGGATCAGATCGGATGGTGCGAAGAACCAGAACAATGACATGATAGCAAGCAAGCTTACCGTGGATGCTCCCAGATGCCTCCGTGCCCATTGATGAAGCAGTACGCTATGGTGAGGGACACCTTGCTTCTGCCAGCAAACTGGTGCCGTACTCTTAACGGCTACCAGCCTGTTAGAACCAAAGCAAATAACAGTGGAAAGGGGATAACTCACGATACTTATCACGAAAATATGTGCTCACCAAGTAGATCTGCTCATGATCGCTCCAATTCTTTACGAGAGGTAGTCCCCAAAGGTGTGCATGGGAGTTGAAGATCCCCCTCCTCAGCATCCTTGTATATGGTCCTACTGAGGCTAGCCAGGGATAAATGCTGTATGATCGAGTGGATATGAAAGGGACGGGTTATCCGGACCCACTCCTTTTATGATAAGGGAGTACAAACCGGTGTCTTTGCAAATATGCTGTGAAACTCTTGTCGAGCCTATTGCTGTCATCATCAATGAAATAGCACATATTCCTATGGAGGCATACCATGTCCTTCAAGTTGCGCATATTCCAACTACAATTGGAAGGTGCTTATGTAGAAATTGGTTTGATGACTTTTTTTTTTTTTTTTTTTTTTCTTGTTTTTCCCTTGAGGGCTGGATGTCGTATATCTGCTAGCAGTATGCAGACAAGCTTATTGCAGGGTGTGAACAGCATTGCTATTGATAATCATCAGAAATGGTTTCCTTAAAGTGTATATATATAACCTCGATCTGACTGTCTTAGTGGCGAATAGCACAAATGAAGGGATTGTGTCTAATCGATACGTATGAGCTATCTTTAAATCACAGATGAGACTTGGGCATAACAAAAATTCCCATTGGGCCTTGGACGACAAATAACTGTTACTATTAGTACATTCCAGTACTAGCAGACATATCGACGCGACTACTACCTATACCGACCAAAACGCTGCACTGGTGAGACGCTATTATCCAGTGATGACGCTAGTAGCATTGAGTGGAACATTATACCGTATGATGATATATATATATATAGCTCCTACCGGTTCTACTTGAAAACAAATGTTGGTGAGTACTAGTAGTGATGCACCTTTAAATGACTTTAAGGTTATTTTGATATTGTACCGAGTACTATTATTATGACAGAGACAGATACTAAAACATACAAAGGATGATGGATGCTTTCGTGTCTATTCGATGCATTTCCCTGCCCCCTCACGTGACTATTCCCTGGAAGGTTCAAGTGGATCCCACCGACTAGCAAAGTGGATATTTGGGCCCGAGTCCAGACAGTAAAAGCCGAATTCTTCCCTTCCATTGTGGGTTTGCAGCGTGTCCCGGTCAGCCCACTCTCAACAAAGCCCCAAGACCCTACATCGGAAACCCTGCGCCCGCTAGTCCCGAAGTGGTGCCCTGTCTGGCCCGCTATTCGCCAGATGAGTCCAGACGGAGGTCGATGCCTAGCCGATTCGGCTTAGTGCCTGAGCCCTGCCCAGACTGCCGCCCCACCCAGCAGACCCTGACGAACCAATGGAGTTTGCGTTTTAGGCCCTGTCAGCCGCTGATTGGGGGAAGGACGGCCGCCGTGCGCTTTCTGATGGGCCAATGGGTGGGGAGCCACTGGCCTAAACGGGCATAAAGGCAAACATTCAATGAACAGTCAGTTTCCCCCCCCCTGGCGCAGCCCGTGACCCCCACCGACTACGCAAATCAAGAATTGCCGGCGAGATCCAAACGTCGATCGTCATCCTCGCGGCCTCTTCTCGCCGTTCGTCTCTTCCTCACTCCGCTGCCCGCTTCTCCTCCCCCTTCCTCCTCCTCCTCCTTCCCTCCCCTCTGTTTCCCCCTCTTTCAATCTTCTACCTCGCATTTGTCAGTCGCTAGGAAGGTTATTTGCAGCCTCCGCCATGTCCCTCCCGTCTGTCTGCCGCATCACCCATCTTCAGAGATGAACCCGTTCCGTGACCTCGTCGACTTCCGTCCATGAGCCATCCCTTGGGCGATGACACAGCATCCGGTCCGCCTCCGACACCGCCGTTTGCCCCCCAAGGAGCATGCCCCTCAAGCATGTCCCGGGGCCTGGAAAACAGTCTGTCCGATGTCCGGCTGTATATCACCAGTAAGCCTGGCCCTGCCATCTCGTGCTCCTTTGCTGGCTGTCTACATGTCTTCCAGCAGGACTGACCCAGTTTCATGCCTTTAGACCGTCTCGGCCTAATCCGCGCCAGCCTGCATAATGGAAAATCGACTGCTTCGGGAGGATGGCGGCCCGTTGCCCTGCGTCCCACCTATCTCTGTTGGATTGCTGCGGTCATGTTTGCGATGCTGATCACGCTTGAGGTACTTCGCCGATATAGCGATCAGTACGGGGGTCTATACTTTTTTCCAGATACCGATACCGTGTCCGACGCGCAATCGTTCGCCTACAACTATCTTCCCATCATTGCTGCCCTCATTCTTGTCACCCTGTGGACCTTCATCGACTATGACGTTCTCCGCCTCGAGCCATACTTCCAAATTTCTCGTCCCGAGGGTGCGCCAGCATCCGTTCTCTTCATCAACTACAACTTCGGTCAGTCTTTTCTCACGCCGCTGACCTCAGCCAAACGAGGCCATTGGGTTGTATTGCTCGTGTCGATCGCTACTCTTCTCATCCGCGTGCTCCTTCCGGCTCTGCAGAGTACCCTTCTTGAACTCCGTGAAATCACCGTCGTGAGCAACGAATACATCAAGACTTGGCCCCAGCTGCTGGACCTACATACCCAGGCTGTATGGATAAAGGCGCAGAAGAGTAATGACACCCTAGCTCTCGACTCCGTCCTCACGGCTCGTAACAACCTGCATAGCTCTCAGTCCGCCAGCTACGCAGTAGCGCCCGTCGAAATCAGCATGGAAGACCGGCGGGAGAGTACGGTTTGGACGCTCAATCAAACCATCTACTGGGCTCAACTGGAGTGCCGGAAAATCGTAGCACATGACCACCTGTCTGTCTCCATCAATGAGACGTCAAACGATCCACCGATTCTCTCGTGGGATGTAACGGGTGTGCAGCTGCAGGATATCCCCGGGACAAACGACACATGCACATTGGACTTTCACTACAGTAATATTTTCTTCCCGACCACCGATTATTTGCAGGTCCGGTACTGGGAGCCCGTGTGGAACAATCGGTCACAACCCGCCTTCAGCCGTAAAGAAGCATTTACCACTCACGGCTGCGATGATCCCTATGACCTATATGGAGTCGTCATCTCGGTCAATGCCACGGTGGCCGGAGCTAATAGCATCAGTCAGTTGGGCTCCGAGTTTACTTCATCTGCCGGCATCTTCGGCTGCAAGGTTGAATATCGACAGGCGGAGGCCAAGGTGTCGATGCACGCTAACAGCTCAATCACAAACATTTATGGCTATCCGAATACCGAGCGGGAGTTAGGAACGGATCAGTTGAATATCGACGCTTTTCAGGATCTCTTGTCCCAACGAGCACCATATACGGGCGATATGTTGTTTATCGAACTAAATGAGACCACCGGTGATACCACCGTCACAGAGCTGCCTGTGATTAGCCAGGACCTAGGCGACCTCGAGCCGCTTCTGGTTTTGGATGCATCAACCGTTATGACGACGGACGAATTCGAGGGAAAGGTCAAACGAAGTGTAGCTGAAACGTTCGTGCTTACAATGAGTCGGCTCTTTAACCCCGACCAGGATCCCACAGATGCGCCGGCCCAACGGGAGTCCACGCAAGTCGCTATCTCCGTCGTGTCGTTCGCCTCGTTGTTTTCTGAGGTGATCTTGGCGATCGCCATGTGTCTCACCATATATCTTATCTATTTTTACGGAACACGCCCTAACATCCTACAAAGCGACCCGAGTTCTATCGGTGCCATGTGTAGCATGTTGACTGATGTCTTTGGACCCTACAACATCCTTGCGAATCCTCAGCCCGACTTCCACCAATTCTCGACGCGGCAGCTACGTCAGGTCTTGCGGAATTGTTGGCTTCGATGGCAACATGGACCCCTGGGACCCCGACTCGAGATTATAACTGGAGACGGTCAGTCCATATCCTGCAATCCCTGGACTGCAAGCTAACTAAAGCAGGTTCTCCCGTCACCCTCAGTGAGCAGCTACGGACACGTGTCGACCCTATGCCACATTTCTTGGTGATTCCCATCTTCATCATTGAATTCCTACTCCTCGCCGCCGTCATCGCTGTGATGGGAGTGACAGCAGCTACTCTTGCCCACGACGGAAGTTTTCAACATCTCTCCCAGTCTAGCTCCAGTTTTCTCCAAGTCATAACCTCCTTTCTCCCTTCCGTTGTCGCGTCTTCCGTGGCGGCTCTGTGCAACTCGATCCTTCGCAACATCAGCATTCTGGAGCCGTGGGTCCACCTCCAGCGCGGTATGGCGGCCGCTCACACATCAATATCTATGAATTATGCGTCACAGAATCCTTGGTCGATCTTAAGAAAAGCCATCCGGAACCGACATTCCCTCTTAAGCCTTGTCTCACTTGCTTGCATCGCCAACATCCTGCTGACGGTTGTTGCCGGTGGCCTGTTCACTCAGAGACTGACGCAATCCTATCTGCCGTCAACGTCGCTGTACGTGAACTACAGCAACTTCCACTTTCTACGAACAGACTTCGCTCCGGACTTCACGGAGTTCGATCTCATCCAGAACAGCGCCACTAGCGGTGTACCATTATTGCCCTGGATGTCTGCGAACCATTCATTTGCTCCGATCAAGAATACCGACTCGAACCCCGACCTGATGTACGGGGCGACGACGCTCGGAATAGGTAGCGATCTGGACTGCAAGACGTTGGAGACATCCCAGAACTTGAGAGAAGACGGCCAGGATATCTATTTTGTCTATCGACCGTCCCATGATGTCAGCCGGCAGTGTAGGGTTAACATGACGTCGCTAGTGCGCCCCAGCGAAGCCATTGCCCTCTCCATCCACTTTCTTTCCCCGGTGGCGGACTCAGACACGGATTTGTGTCAGATGTCGACGGTGCTGGTGGTTGGACGATGGAATTATACTTCGGAGTCACCTTTCACCGATGACAACACCATTGCGCTCCAATGTGAACCACATGTGCAACTTCAAAATTTCTCCGTGACCTTTGACCGACGGGGCCAGATATCCGACATAGATCCGATTCCTGGTACGGAAACCACGTCAGGGACCATGTATGAAAATGCGACGATGGCTCTAGGACAATTCAACAAGGTCTTTGCCGCCATTCCTCAGAGCTTTGTAGGGGAGGAACCGGGGCGGAACCGGTCCTATGTTTCGTCATATGACTGGGCAGGGTTTCTCGTGGCCCGTCTCTACCGGCAGCACGAGAAGATTGTTCCACTCAACGCCTTGGAATTGATGACACAGTCGCAGATTGTGTACCAGTGGGTATGGAGCACCTACTTCACGATTTGGCGAAACATGTATCTGGTGCCCCTGGATGAGGTGTTATGCGCCGGTAATGCCACGGAGATCTCCAACACCTGGACCATGGTCCCGTCGGTGCCCTCGCTGGCCATGGCGTTGGTGATCATTGCGCTAGACACGCTGGTCGTGCTAGTCGTATTCGGCACCCGTCGCGGTCGGTTTCGAGGGCCCCGGATGCCACGATCCATTGGAGCGATCATCCCCTGGGTTGCACACAGTCGCATGCTGGGTGATTTTCGCAACACCTATTCTTGGACTAATGAGAAACGGAGAGAGCATCTGACTCGGCTGGACAAGCGCTACGGGTTTCGGATGTTCCTGCAGGCGGATGGGCGGTGGCGGTATGCTGTGGATGAGGAGGCGGTTGGGCTGGCAGACAAACCACCGGATGCAGCAGCCGATGCGGCGAAGGGGCCCGAAGTGATCGAGATGCAGCCCATTGGGGAGGCCAGAAGTGATCCTGGGCCTGATCATCATGAGTGATGCGATATGATTACGGATGTACTATTATACCACAAATATTTGGCGAATAACGGGATAGACTTGGGGATGGTTCGGAGTTTGCATTATGTACATATATCTGAAAAGAAATTTTGACTTTACCTTATCTATACCGCATCTTACTCGGTCTCCTCTCACTTCTCTTGTATATCCTCCGAGTCGTGTTCTACTCTCCCGACGACTTCGGACTTGTTCCGAGCGGGGAAAACCACCCCCGCATTTCGCTATCGACTATTTCTCTTAGTACGATTGGCATTCCTATTGCTACTATTACTCACCTGTCATCCAGTTCAGCCTCCAAGTTTATCTTCGATCATTTATTCCTCATGGCCAGTCAGGTTGATGTCCTTCTCTATGGGCTGGGAGCGTATGCAAGATCTCCCATTTTCTGCGGAGCGATGAGTCTGACTAAATCGCAGCATCGGTTCCTTCTACGCCTTCATTCTACATCGTAGTAACAAAGTTCGTCTGACCGTTGTCGCCCGGTCCAACTACGCAGCCGTCAAGGAGAATGTGAGTCCCTCCAATAGCTCTCGAACGAATAAAACTCACCGCGAAACAGGGCATCCTTCTGAAAAGCGCAAACCACGGCGAGCATCGATTCTATCCAGACCACGGTAACACCTTCCTCCCACTATTCACAGCCAGGACCACCAACTAACACGATCGCAAAGTGGTCCGCTCGCCCTCAGAACTCACCCATCCAGTCGACTATGTTGTCTGCACCAACAAAGCCATTGACCCTGCCAGTGCCGTCCACTCCCTAGCACCAGCAATTGGCAACGACACCACGATCGTGATCATCCAGAACGGCGTAGGGAATGAAGAGCCCTTCTGCGAGGCATACCCATCGTGCAGCATCATCTCCTGCGTTGTATGTCTATTCCCCAACCTTCAACCTTATTCACAGCTAACCTTCCTGACTTCCCTCAGACATGGGTCGGAGCCTCCCAGCCCACCCCAGGCACCGTTATACACACCACATCCGAAGATACCGAACTCGGTCTTTACCCGAACCCCAAGGTTTCAGATGCCGTGGAGGCTGAACGTCTCAACACGTTCGCGGGCCTCCTTGCCGCAGGTCAAACCCGTCACACCGTGCATGATCATATCCAACCGACCCGCTGGTCCAAAGTTATCTGGAACTGCGCCTGGAACACCCTGACGACCTTGACCGCTCTGGACACGCAGGCATTCTTGCAATCCTCCCCGGATGCCATTCCCTTCACGCGACGGCTCATGAGCGAGGCCGTGGCGGTGGCTCGTGCTGCTGGTGTCCCTCTCCCGGATGATCTGATCGACACCCAATTGGCACGGATCCAAAGTCTCGGGGCGGTGCGGACGAGTATGCAGATCGACCGGGAGAATAACCGGCCGATGGAGATTGAGGTGATTGTAGGTACGCCAGTGCGTAAGGGGCGGGAGTTGGGCGTTCCTACGCCTGTGTTGGAGACGCTGTATGTACTGTTGCGGGCTGTCGATGGAGAGACGCGTCGGGCGCAGAAGATTTGAGGTGTGTATTCTTGTTAGAGAGGTAGTCTATCGATAGAGCTAGACGAGTGGGATACTAGAGAGTGGCAGTATGTCTCGTGCTTCGAGTAGATGTATCCGCCTTCATGTTTGGATGTCCTTCTCAAACGGGAAAATTATCATACATTCATACCTTTCTATCACTTCCATATCTAGGATATTTACTCATACTTATTGACACGTGATCTTTCACTTCAATCATTCCATCCCACTCAGCCAGATTTCACTGCTTAGCATCCTACTTTTCACTCCCCAAATCCATCCTATATTCACCTTAGCCCTAGTTATATAAAGCTTCCCTCTCCTTCGTTGACGTCTCTCTTCCCTTTCATCCTAAACGACTACCAGATATCATTCCATCTGGTCGAAGATCCAAGTCTATATGTGCTGTCTCAACTAGCACTAGTTCAAACTTTTGATATACTAGTACTCCGTATATCTATTCTTTAACACACTCCACTTTCAGGGCATCACAAAAATGAAGAATATGTCTACGAACACTACAGCCAGCACACAGTCAACGATAGACCTCTCTAATCCTGTGTCCGATACCCTCGTCGCATAATAGCTGCAGGAAATCATCTATCACTTCGCCAACCAGCCACTGTGCTTCCTTTCCATGTGCCGCTGCGCATATATCTGGATGTTTCAGAAGAAGCCGATTACAAATTATTGATGAATCTCAATAATCTGGCTGAAGTATCCATTGTAACCTAAATATCAGATCAGATCATATCGGAACTGAGAGGTGAAACCCCGATATCAAGAGCCACATGTGATATGCGCCATGATCAACCCAATCCTCTCTTGATTGGCGATACTGGTTCCTACTCGTCAAGTTCTATTCCAACAGAATCGTTGCTTATAATGCCAATATGCAACCTCTCTGGCATCTAAGGGCGTTCTCGAGAGCAAGGCCATGGCACTTAGTAAACTCTAGCAATTTTCTATCAATTAGAAGATCGGGATCCTAATAGAGATTGTTCCAGGACAGAAGCTACCCAAGGCAACGAAGAGTCCGAGCAAAGGGCAGCGGACGATAGAGACTACGAAGAAACCTGAAGTCCAATCTATGCCAGGGACAAACCACGCCGCAGGCCCTGCTATACTGGTTTTCTTCTTTTCCCTTTCGCATGTTGCTGGGTTTAATTCAATCCTTGGAAGTACAATTTATTATGATATTTGCTATAAGTACAGGAAATAGTATACGAAGAGTTGGGGTTGATGGATATCATGTGGTATACCTGGTAGCCAGGCAACTGTTATATTGTCTACTTCTGCTAGTTGATATAGTTCAAGGTAAAATTTACTATCTTTTTGACCTGTGTAGACTGTTGTGATTTGGCTTAGAATTGTAATTGTAGTAGTCTAATCTAATATTCAATGAGTGCCTTCGATACCCTCTCTAATAACGCCGAGGTAATTTGGGTGTTAGCCACTTGCATTGGTGGCTCCTGATATGTTTGGAGCAGCTGATTGAGATTCATCTAAACATTAAAGCAATTGTAATAGCTAGCTTCCCCCTGTCGGCCATTTGCTGTGCTCGGTTGAGGAACAAAGCTCGCACTCATTTCCGCTCCATTAATTCAGCGCTCAATACCCGGCAGGAAGACACTCTACCAACACAACCATCACAATCTCTCCTTCTTGAACTCATTCTTGACCATGGACTTAGTCTCTGTCTTAACGAAGACGACATCAGGTTCGGCATCCCGCTTCCCTGTAACCGACAGAGAAGAAGAGATGAAGGCATTCTTATCATCCAACTTGATCTTCTTAGCCGAACCCATCGCAGACATGCATGTGGTATCAGCCTGTCGCTTCTTGGGGGTAGTTGACGGAGTAGTTGAGGTCGACTTGTTACCGGAGCTGCGGGCAGTGCTCTTGGTGGGACTGGAGTTACTCGCCTGGCGCCTGAGCTTTATAATCTGCTGCTCAATTGCGCATGCCGTACAGTCTGGTCCGGATTAGTTTATGTAAAGGTACAGATTGACCCTGGGGAATAAGGTACCGGTGCCCATGTGAGTGGCCAGTCGTTCGTAATCAAGCTTCATTCTGCCGCGCATCTGCTCCAATACGCCGACCAAGAGCTTTGTTTGTTAGTTGTATCCGGCAACTTTCGTGTATGTGTAGGATCTGTTGGCTTACCTTTGCGTTGGCTTCGCTTGTCCAGTACATTGTGTCCGACGAGTGTTTGTGATGAGAGATAGAGGGTGTTGATTATCAGCGAAGATATCTAGTTGGATGATGTTATGGGTAGGTTGGAGGGAGGATGGGGGAGACAAAAAGTAACAGTTGAAGGTGGAGTAAGTATTGCATCTGTCATCAGTGAATGTTCGCTGTTGTGAGTGTTAGTCTAGTGGTAGACAAAAGGCAAGGCTGGTCTCAGTGACACTTTGACGTCCGTAGTCAGGCATCCCTATATGGTCAGACAGAAGAAAGATATACGTGTTGAAAATCGTTATGGTATGTATGTGGCTCTTGTGTTTGGTGACGATATAATAAGCATCAACAGTGCCTCGCTGCCTGAGTGCCTGAATACCCATCATTGATGCCCCTTTTACCAGGCATGATTCCCGCAACGCGCTGGCCCGATCGGGGTAAGTTTTCTCGCGGTCTGTTACACCGCCTACTACTGCAGAACCCTCACCGCCTCCTAAGGCCGTCATGGCTTAGGCAATCAGTTTTGAGCAGAATTACGGGCAGCGCCAGGAACCCTGCGCTTCGGTAAAAATCCTTAGTCCACTGCGTTGCCTTGTTTCCTTGTATGCTTAATTGACAGACAGATTTCTGGAATTGTTCTATACAAATCGACTTGAATATTCTGACTTATAATGCACCTCGTCGAGCAGTCAAAGTCCACCCCTATCCGCGACCGCGCGACCGCAGTCATGCGATCAGCTCTATGATTACGTGATGCTGGGCAATGGTCTTAAAGCACGTGATTAGGCTCTGAGGTCACATGACCTTTTCCGAGCAGTTAAGTTTGACCCTTTCAGAGATCCGAAGTATTCTTGGTATTTCAGAAACTTCAGACCACCTGATCTCTAGGTTAGATGGTATAAATTCATTGAAAGGTAAAGCCCCTCGCTAAAAAGGAATGAGAATAATGAATGCATTTTTTACGAACTACTGCCAGTACTCTTTTGAATCATAAAAAGGGCCAGATGCAGCTTCTTTGATCTAACTGAAGAGATGAACTTCACCTGAAAGTTAATAGTGTTTGTATTGTAGTATACACTCTGTATACATTCGCTAGGGTCATCTGACTCTTCCCTCTGACACGTGACTGCTAAGATCATTAATAAGCAGGATACAGTCAAGCAATCCACTCAAAAATATGTAAGATAAATTTTGTATTTCAAGAAGTTTATTCTTGCTTAACCTTCTAATAATAGAAGATAATAGATATTCAAACAAAGAAATTCCTTGTAAGATATAGATAAACTTAGATAATATATATTAATTATATATAGATATCAGTGTACTTTCTATATAATAGAATCAGATATAGTAATAAAGTGTGTAATTTACCTGAAAAGGTGACTTGACTGTAAGATCGAATACTTGGTATTGAAAGTAGTGAGGTGACAGTATTTGATGTCTCAGGCCACAAGCAGGCATTTACTGTCAACGGAGGTAACTAAATTTGCTGTCTAGCCGATCTGTAAGCACTTCAAAGATACTTGGTATTATTTGTATTTCCAAATAAACATCCTACTCCATCTCTAATTCGTACGTTACAAAATGCTTCTGGACCTCCTATACTCCTTGCCAGATGGATAATCCCTACAGAAATATATTAATTACCTACTAATATCAGCGTTCCATGGGTCAAGAATGGTTGTATGTAGTAGTCAGTTCAGTAATCACAATGTAAAAGATAGGTCGACCTGAAAGCTGATACGTGACTGGGGAGGTGATTAACTAGCGAAATACGATCAACGGAGCTGAATTTACGGTTTAGCCGATCTGCAACCACCACGTGACGGAACTATGAACCTGTGCTAATAGTGAGTTACTGACGACTACATTCACCCGTGTTGCGGAACATAGTGTAAGCCTGTGAATTGGCTTGCGGAATGTCCATCTTCGACAATAGATTCTGGGTAGGAGCCTGGCCTTTGCTTCGTCTCTTTCCAGCATTCTACGACATTGCTTAAGGTCGCACAAAGTTAGGCATTTCGCCGTGTCATGTGATGCACCGAAGATTGGCTCATCTCCGACGAGGTAGAGTAGCATCATCATCCTTTGCTGCGGATTTTGCTTTCCTCGTTCTAATAGTTACTACAGAGTTCATAGCAGGGTGTTCGGACTGTGAAACACACCTGCAGTGATGACGGCACGATGAAAAGCGTTTACTATCAATATCCGAACGCAATTCTCACGATAGTAGCCTTGCACAACCCAGATTAAGACCCTAGTGTCATTAGGGAATAAGCAATGACACACTATAGGCCAACTCGGCCCAAGCGATGGTCTCGTTTGTGATGGAAATAAGTTACGTGGGTTGATTCATGATGCCAGAAGCCGAGAGATCCAGGCCATCCGAAGAAGCAAACGCCGAAGCCGCGGAAACGGAAAGGGGCAGAATGATCGACCTGTCAGCAGTGGACGTCAGCATGGCCTTATGCCTCTCGGAAGACTGTGCACCAACTACTTTTTCCAATGAAAGAGTGCCACCTAGTGCGGGGGCTTTCGGTCGCAGGAGTCGTACCCAGTAAGCGATCACCTCCTTTTTGCCTTTCAACCGCAGCACAGAGTTGCTCATCGCAAGGTAGCAGTATCATCAAGCCAACTATATCGCGCCACGCCAGGCTACAGTGTGAGAAACACGAGCTTCGCCGGCTCTGAGATGCTCGGAGAGGGTAGTGGGAGTGTAAGTCTGACCAGATTTGAACAGTGGTGGCAGTTTTAAGGCGCTCGTATCCAGAGACAAGAGGCAATATAGTGTAAGCCGTCCGGAAAGGAACGGGAGCCTGCGGAAAAGTGCAGGGATGAAGCAGAGCTTATTCCAAGGCCAGACCTGTCCGTCTAAAAATCGTCACCAGGGCCAAGATTCGTCTCTCTCATGAGTTGGGCAGCAATCTGTGTACTTCCGACAATTGGATGATTTCAGAGTGAAGTGAATCACAGCCACAATAGTCTATAGCAAACGGAGCAGGTTGCACAACAATACGGATGATCTGCGCTTCGATGGATCAGCGAGGGAATGGCTGGGCATTGCTCCTCCTCGTCCTATATTGTTGCCCTCCGACGTGCCCACGTCATTTATTGCACAAGAAACCTTGACTGGTGATAAAACTTAGAACGCCTTGCGATGCTGGACTGATGCTCCCGCTCAATCTCCAGATGAGACATTCGGGCGGGTTTGAAATGATGGGTCAACTCGCCTCACTGCCCGTTTGTCCGAGGGCTAAATTGAGAGGGGGCGAATGAAGTGAAGACTGGAGAAGAGTTGTGGCATTCTGTTTATGGAACTAAACATCACTCAATTCAAGTAACCAACCAGTCAAGGCAAAGAGGGAGGGAGGAAAATAAAAAAAACCAGTAATATTCGTAATCATGAGATGAAGGAACAGGGAAAAAAAAAAAAAAAGAAAAAAAAAGAAAAAAAAAAGAGAGAGAAAGAGAGAAGGAGGAGGAGGAAAGAAAGACAACAAGACACACACAGACACACAACGCACACAAAGATCAGTCCTTCAGCTACTCCGCCGTGTTCACGCAGACCCGGTCCTCCACAAACATTGTAGGTCGCCGCGGGGCTTCCTTTCGCAGTTTGGTACTATCTGTTACCCCATCACAGTCTTCCACGATAACCATAGCCTTGTGAGCAATGGAGGAGACGGACGTGTAGCCCGATCCTGCGTCTTTAGGCTCACTATGAGTGTATACGATGGCCGGCCGTACAACAAGTAATATTTTACGTCCATCAAAATCAGTCTCGTCCGCAAGACCAGTCTCGTCCCAACACATCATGTAGGGGCTACCGCACTTGTACAATGATCCCAGCTGTGGCAATTGCTCCATGCGGAACTGACCACCCACACGTGTTTCGCTATCACACATTAGACGTAGTGCCTCTTCAAAAATTTTAGCAAGACCTGTCCGCCGGGATAGCGTCTCCTCAGGACTCAAGGGCTCCCTGAGTAGCAGGCGGAATGGTCTACTGGCGAGAAGCCCATCGGCCAGGGGAGGAGCGCAACCCCTGAGGCGCTTGACATTCTCTTGACCAAAATCCAGGTCACCTGGCGCTTGACTCGCGGTTATCGAGTTGGCTAGTCGATGTGTTTGTTGTTTCCATAGCGTTGCAAAGTTTGGATTGGCTGGGCACATTTCAGTCAGTGGATTGGTGAAGTCCTGGGCCAGAGAACTACTCACTTTTAAAGAATCGATCGTAGAGGTACTGGAGTTTTGTGGCGAAGCTTTCATCTTCATCTTGATCGGTAGGTCCGGTCTTCCCATCAAGGTACTGGAACGAGCTGGGAAGAACCTTTGTAGCAATGGCTTTGTTGATTAAGGTCTCCAAGAACCTTCCTTCAGGTGCTGGCAGAGGTGGTAGGAGCCTCTGGAGAGTGGTCCAATCTTCCTGGATACAGTACCCATCCAGAGCGCCAATGACGAGGTTCATGTCTTTCTTTGAAATTGTTCCAACATCTTTAATTCCCCAATCGAAGACCCATTGGTAAATGAAAAAAATGTACAAGTCTTCGTAATCTTGCGAAATCTTGGTGAGCTCGGATTCCCATCCTCGGCTTCCCGACATGAGAAGACGATTCATGCCTTGAACCCTTTGAAGGTATTTTTGCTTCGTTAGAAAAACCCTCGAGTACTCGGGGTATAGAGTGTCATCCCCTTTCTGTGCCCCCCTAACGCGGGGGTTGAGCGTCTTGTCTTTATTTCCACGGTGTTCAGAAGGTCCGGGTGAAGGTGTTTCCTGAGCAGGAGCCTCAAGGGTTGGGGTGGAAGGCCGCGCTTCCGGTTTCTTCTTGGGATTGGATCGCTTAGTACCTGCCATAGTGCTGTTGTAACGTAAGGGCAAGATGTGAATCCGTTAAAATAGAGAAAAGAAGATGTGCCAAAGATTGAGCAAGAGAGAATAGTGGAGAGGGCAGGCTGAACAGTAAAAGGACCCAAGGAGGATAACAGGAGGACGGATCGCTTTGTTTGGGAGTGCTGAAAGGTGACACCGACAGTCATCCCGGCTTCATCCTCTCTCGTATCCCTTCCCGTTTAGGTTCAATGGCTGATTGGGTGCCGAGCCAGCAAAAACAAAGCATGCAGGGACTCTTTCCATCAGTCTCTTTCTTCGTTTCTCCTCTTCCTATCCTCTCCCTCATACTGTCAGTGGATCCCCGGTCTTCTTTGTTCGTTACCTTCTTTGTTCGTTGTATCCAACGTTCATTATCACCCTACCAAGACCTAGCCCTGAATATCCTTTTTCGCTATCTCAGATATTATTCCCCACGTAATACCAAACATTACATCAACTATGGAGCCCTCTTCAGGCCAACGAAAGATGATTGTTGGGATTGACTTCGGAACCGAGAAAACTTGTAAGTCTATGCTTCAGCAATCGTCCTCAATGAGTAGCCCCAGTTAACGCACCACGCATGGCATGTAGGCGTATCGTATGCTGCTTGGAACAGCTTCCAGAAAGAACCGCCGCCTATCTCCTCCTTGACCATCAACGACCGAATCGTATTCGCGTCATGTCTGGCACAAGACCAAAACGAAAGGATATTGTGGGGTCAAGAAGCCTACGATAGCCAGCAAGGACCCGTATATAAATGGCTCAAGCTATTTCTATACGATCCGGATCACCCAATTCTACAAGAGCCGGATGCACCGAAGTTGCCCGAGGGTTCCTTGCCCGAGAAGCTTGTCACACTGTACCTTCGTCAGGTCTACGACGCAATCACTGAGATGATCCGCATACATCATTCCGATTGCGATCAAGGGACTGACTATTGGTTTGGTTGGCCAGCCACGTGGTCCGACGAGAGCCAACAGAAGATGATGAGAGCGGTGCAAGAAGCAGGATATGGGAATGATTCGGATCGCGTTTTTTTCCTGACGGAGGCCGAGGCGGTCGCGTTGTTTTTCACGCAGCATGAGAAACTTGGCAAGGTTAGTGCGAGACCCCGGCAAGCTCCCTTTCCTAGCCCCCAAGTAGCCTTTCAGTTGACTGGCAGTCTGTTAAGTTGGGCGATGGCCGTATTTTGATATGTGATATAGGAGGGGGTACAACAGTAAGTCCCCGAGCTTTCCGAGTGCCCCCAAATACTTCAATGCGTTACTGATCTGTTATCTAAAAGGACGTCGTTGCGCTGCAAATACAGAATAGCGGCACAAATCCTACCTATGAACTGTTGAGTAAATCCTCCGGTATGATTCATAAAACATGTTTGGCAATCTCTGCGCAGATGCTAACATTCCACAGGCAACGACTGTGGGTTGGCGGCCATGGATGCTGCACTCCGTGGGCACGTCAGGGGTCTCCACGGAGTACCTTCCCAACAGCTTTTGGACAAGATAGGCAATTTGAAAAGGAGATTCACTGGCAAGGAGGATCGTCCGATATTTCTTCCTGGATCAGGCCAACGCACTGCTCTCCCAGGAGATATCAAGAAATGCTTAAATCCAACTATCGAAAAGATTCTCGCTTTAATCCTGGAAAACATTAATGCATCACGCCAAATGCAACTGCCAATCTCGGTAAGCTCTACCCTGTTCACCACAATTCATCCAAGCTGACAGATTCTCCAACTAGCATGTCCTCCTTGCTGGAGGTGGCGGGATGATGCCGTATCTCAGGAGTCAGATAGATAACAAATTACAGGGGACAGCCGAGGTACTATATCTTCAAGAATACGCGTACGGCAATCTTATCCCCTGTAGGAAACGGTATGGGGCTGACACTTCTATAGGCCAATATCTGTCGCATGGGGAGCGACTCTCCGAGGCGCCCTGGGTAGGGCTATTCCCCGCCTAAAGTTTGACAGGAGCTACGGCCTGGAAGTTACCTCTGAGGCCATTGTCCACGAGGAAGGGCTTGACACGTGGATTCGAAGGAAGAAGTCCACACCTCATTGGTTTGTGCGAAAGGTGCGTATTGGCGTGGCTCCAGCTCCCTCAACTCAGTCTAGACTAACACGTCCACAAACCCTCTGCAGAATCAGGAATACGCGATAGATCAGCAAGAGAGGCGTATTTTCAATATCTTTCACCGTGCTGGCGATCCGGCGACGAAAATAATCAACATTGTCGAGCATCCCGGAACGTGCCCTTCTCCCGATGACGGAAGTAAGTTCTCTGGATTTCTCCTTGGCAGGTGTCCGAAGACTGCATCTTCTGGCGCGCATCTAGCTCACATTGCAAATAAAAATAGTAAATTTGGTGCCCAAAGGAGTCTTCCAGTTTTGCCTTCGGTTGCAAGATCGCGATAGCATATTGCGCACAGGTGATGAGTGCAGCATTAAGGTGCAGATCGCTTGGACCCTGACATACTCGGAACAGCAGGCAGGAGTGGATCTCGTTGCCAGTGTGAAGGATGCCGAACTTGGACGAGAGGTTAAGGTTCTGGACGGACATGAAGTGGTACATTGAAGTTTCTTCTACTTCATGTCCTGTTCTCTCTTGCTGCTATTGATGACCTTTGTTCTGGTACTGTTGAATTTCTTCCAATCTTCATTCCCTGATGTTCATGTTTCGGGTCACTTCATTCTTAAAGACTGTTAACATTCCTTCGAGTACTTCTGCTTTTTTTTTTTTTTTTTTTTTTTTTTTTTTCTTTCTTTTTTCTTTTTTTTTCCTTTCCCTAACCTTCACTCTCTCTGTTTACATCTCAGGTTATTTCATTATTCAAGACTGTTAGCGTGCACATAGACTGCCTGTGAACCTCATATTCCCGCTCAGTCGCACTGTACTTGGAGTTTCGGCATACAAAAGTTCTTTTCGGTTCATGAGTCATGAGAAATAAGAATGTTCTAGTTTCACCGTTGTAGAAGCATGCACTACATCCCACCTTAGACAGGAGATCGTCAAGGAACATGTCAAGACAAATGACCATCTTTCCAGGTCCCATTACCTATCTGCCTTAATGAATGTTTCAAGGTATACCTCCAGCCCCGATCTATTGTACACGGCAACCAAGCTCTCCTCCTAACCAGGCACGGCCCCGATCATCCAGAGCCTACCTAGAAGCAACCCACCGAAGTAATTATCCGAAGCAATTTCTTTCATCTCTCAGATTCTAGACTGTAAGTACCTTCTGGACTAGTATATGTGATGGATCGCCTGGCCCCGCTGCACTCTAACCCTGACAGTATTTTGCGCCAGACACTGGCGGGTAAACATTCCACGACCGGACTTCAACCAGCACACCCGCCAATGATCATCCGTGAGCATTCATCCGACTCAGCCGGCTTGCCTTGTGAACCGAGGCAATGCAAGAAGTTAGTGTGTATTGGTCTGATGATCGGGTTCGTTTTGTTTCAGAAGAGAAGGGTTCAGTTGGCCGAGGCCGAAGTTTATCCACTACCGTACTTCCAAACAGTCCTCACGCTGAATCGCATAGCAGCAGCAGCAGCAGTAGCAGCAGCATTATAAGTGCCACTAGCACAAATCGCATCCTCTTATCATCATCACCTCTACCTTCTCGATTCTATCACTAAACAGAGAATACTACTCAATTGAAAAGAGAGACCACCCGACAACCACACTAACCCCGTAGTCTCGGAGCCAAGAAAGACTCAAAAATGGGCAGCCCTAAAAGCAGCCCGCGAACCGCACTAGACTAAAACCCGCGCGCGCCCGCCCGGACGCAGATTGATTAACACCCCAGCAAATCAATCTATCGGTGACAGACCCTGGCTTGCTCTGTGCATGACTGATGCCTAGACTAACTTCCACCATGGATGGCCGACACATAACGGTTCCTGCATATGATACCACAGGATTTGTCGCAGGCTGAGACTTGACTGCACGCTGAACCAACCATGGGATGCCATTCGGGGTTTTCTGGGAGAAATTCTGGAAGACTAGATTAGTGGGGTTTCAGATGTGGCTCCTGATTCCTGTTCCTGTTCCTGTTCCTTGTCCCTAGTTTAACCTTATTAGACTTTTGTTATATTCTTCATGCCGAAGTATAGACTAGACAACGGAGTAGATACCCTTTCCTGGGAACAAACAGCCTGGCATGGTGAAACGGAGGGGACTCCACACCGGGTGATCAGTCGATCCCGTTCAATTCAGATTCCCTAACGGACCCAAAAAAAGATCAGTCTTTAGTAAAATAACCCACGTCGCAGATGGATGCCGACGTAGTGTATATAAACCCTGCTTCAACTCCAGAGATTTTCCCATCCAGCAAGTGCAGTGCACCGCCAGTATCCTTACCTACCCTACCCTTCCCTCACTTGTCCATTCTCAGTCACTCGGTGAGCAGCGCTCCATACACTCGTTACACATACACACACACATCCACATCCACATCAGTATCATTCGTACTCAAAACCAAAATGAAGTCTTTCATCGCTCTATCCCTCCTAGCCACCGCCCTTGGTGCCCCCACCGCCACCCACCAGGCCCGTCAATTCGACCTGTCCTCCTTGACCTCCGGCCTCTCCGCCCTGACCTCCGGCTCCGCAGCTAGCTCTGGCTCGACTGGTAGCACCGGATCGGAAACGACCACCGGATCCAGTGGCCTCAGCGCTCTGGCTTCGCTGTTCCCGTCGTCATCTACTTCTAGCACCACGGGCAGTACTAGCGGAAGCGGCAGCAGCAGCAGCAGTGATGGCCTGAGCAGCTTGATGAGCATGTTCTCCAGCAGTGGTAGCGGTATGCCTCCCATCACGCCCCTTCTCCTTCGTTCCTACACCATTAAGTCATATACATAACGACCCGAGTAAAGAATAAAGGATACTAACAATTGACGACAGGCTCATCAACCGAAAACGGCGTGACCCAACACAGCGGCAGCTGCAAGAAACTGACCTTTATTTTCGCCCGCGGTACCACCGAGATCGGCAACATGGGAACCGTCGTCGGACCCGAGGTGGCTAGCGAGCTGGCTACATTGACGGGCAACCAGGTGACCGTGCAGGGAGTGAACTATCCTGCTGATTGGGAGGTGAGATCCCTTTTCCCCCTCCTCTTCCCACCCCATTATTACCACCGTCCAGGACTAATAATAATGGTATAGGGCAACGTATCCCTCGGCTCTTCCGGCGGCCCGACCATGGCCTCGTACGTGAAGGAAGCGCTCCAGCAATGCCCTAACACCAAGGTCGTGCTGGGCGGATACTCGCAGGGTTCGATGGTGGTGCACTACGCCGCGAACCAGCTGAGCGCGGACCAGTTGTCGGGTGCTGTGTTGTTCGGTGACCCGTTGAAGATGGAGGGCGTGGGTAAGTTGTCTAGCAGCAAGGTGAAGGAGTTCTGTGCTAGTGGGGATCCCGTCTGTGAGAATGGTATGAATGTTATGGCGCATTTGACTTATGGCAGTGATGCCAAGGAGGCGGCGCAGTTTTTGGTCCAGGCTGCGGGGGTTTCTTCTTCTTAGGGTTCTTTCGTCGTTTATCTCTGGGCTTGGTGGGTTATATTCTATCACTACTTATGTGGGGTGAGACTGTTATGGATGAGTATGGGTATGGGTATGGATATGTTTATGAAAGAAGGATTTATTATAGTATCTAGAAATAGTGCTATAAAAACAGACAATACTGACTCTATCTATCCGTCTGTCGACTCATTTAGAAGATCTTGTACCCTCCCGGCATCAGCCCCTGCCACACACCATTAGGATCATACTTCTTGGCAATCGTCTGCAACTTGGCCAGGTTCTCCTCTCCATATCCATCAAAGATATCCTGGAACCACGCAGCATCACCCATGTAGTTGAAGCTGTCATACAGGCCAGCCTCCAGGGTAGCATTGTTAATCTTGTAGGTAGTCTCAACCACCCACTCGCCCACAATCTCATCATACTCGGAGCCAATCCACTCAACGACCTCAGCGTAGCAGAGATACACCTGGTCCTTGTCGAGACCGAGAGCGTTTCCACCCCGGGACTCGGAGGCCTCGAGCCACGAGGCACCAATGGGCTGCCAATCCAGCTCGATGATGGAGATGTTGGCGGTGGGGATCTGAGCATACAGGGAGGGGAGCTGCGCAGCGAAGGTGCTGTTGATGATGCTGATACCGCGGTAGAGGTCGGCATAGGTAGTTGCCTTGATGGTGCCGGCGACGAAGATGTCACTGCCATGATCATTAGTATACATGTAGCGAATAATGTAGTGGGGATAAAGTGTGGAGGCGGGAGTGGCGCGTACTTGATATGCGGTGTAACCATCGCTCCCGTCTCAGCCGCAAACTCCGCCAAGGTCTTGAATCCCAGCGTGTTGCTCTCGGCCGGAATGTCGGTGAACGGCTTGAAGATCTCCGGGTAGCTCTCCGTGGCGCTGTCGTAGAAGAGGATCACTGAGCCGACGCTCGTGTTGCCCTCCGGCACGACGGCAGGGACGATGTGAGTCTTGGGGTCGGAGATGTTGGCCGCGTAGGTGGCGGATGCCTGTATAACCGTATCATTAGCATATACCTTCTCCATATATAGTAATGGTTTCCAAAAGAAAAGGGAAGGCATACCTCCAAAAACTGATCGATATACTCCGCCGCAACAGTGTATGTTCCAGCCCAGACCTGAGTCGACTCAATAGTCTCCATATCGAAGCGAGTCACCAGACCAAAGTTGCTGCTTCCACCCTTCAGCGCCCAGAAGAGGTCGCTGTGGCTGGTGGCGTTGGCCTCGATGATGGTGCCGTTCGCAAGCACAACCTCGTAGTTGATGACAGTGTCGCAGCCGAATCCGACCTGGTTACCGTAGAAGTTGATGCCGCCGGCGAGCAGCAGACCGGGGACACCGACGGGACCGAGACGGCCTCCGGCTACGGCGAGGTCGTAGGTTTCGAGGTAGTCGTAGACGGCGGCCCATCTTTTGACATTAGATTATGTTTTTCAATTGGTGGCATGGATAGGGTATGGGCTTACCTGTATGCCGGACCAACCGAGACAACGGAATGATCATCGGACAGTTCGAGGGTCGTCAGGTTCGACATGACGATCAGGACACCGTTGTCGATGTTGTTGGATCCCTATTGATTCCATTAGTTACTTCGCTTCCCATATAACTCAATTGATAGATATGCTGGTATATGCATACCCTGATTCCCATGTGTCCTCCACCGCGCACGGCAAACTGCGCCTCGGCGTCCACCAGCGCCTTGACACCCTGGCCCAATTCCTCAGCCGACTGGGGCCGGAACACACAGCCAGGAGACATGATTTCCGTGTTGGACCAGAAGTTCTGCGCCTCATACTGGTAGACAGTGGAGCTGGGCGCAAACACCGCGCTGGACAGGGACTTGTTGAGGGCCTTGCAGCCGGCCGAGGTGGCCTTGGCGGCAACCGTAGTGGCCGCCGCCGTCAAAGGGAGGAGGGAGGCGATGCGCATGGTGTATGCTTCTTGACAACAATGGCACTGCGGAGAGAAGGAAAGCAAAATGGAGGGGAAGAGGGAGCTTTAACTGCGGCCCAGCTGGAGTGGAGAGCTAGCTAGCCTGTGAGCTGACGTGCCTGGCGGTGGTGGTGGTGGAGATACACCGGGCAGCAGACTAGAAGCCCTTGGCAACGGGAGCCGGATAGCCGAGGAGGAAGGATTCGAAGAAGAACATGCCGTGCAGGATGGGGGGAGAGTGGCTGGCACCGGGGGGGAACTGGACGGCGGTTCCTGGCTGGAATCTGAGAAATTCGTCTCGGGCAAACTCCCGAGAGCAGACTAGTTGAAGAGGAGTGGAGACATTAGTGGTGGTTTAGTGAGGGTTAGTGAGGCTTTAGTTGGCAACACTAGGAGAACTTTTCCACCGATTCTCCGGACAATCAGTCCAGACCAGATGATACGGTCGCTTGTACATATTATGGCTGTTCAACGGTCGCATTATGTCTATAACTCGTGTATACAAAGGAAATTAGAAAGAAATTATGCCCCAGCATGTCTGGTGTCGACCACGTTGAACTCCACTGTTCGGAGGATCCTATCTTCCCCTTTACACGTTTCGGCCGGCAGGATGTTCTCCTCGCTTTCATTGTCGGCGCCACCCTGCAATCGCGTCGAATATTGCCGACTCCCATTATTGAAGTCAGGCTGGTCGCGAGGAATGGAATTCAGTGGATGTCCATACTTCCGTGATCCTGATTGGCCGTATGCGTAGGACGACAGGCCCAGCAGTCTGGGGAAGTATCGTCGCACAAACGGACGCATGGCCGTCATGCAGCCACCTGTGATACCCAAGTTTAACTCAACGGTGCACCACAAAAGAGCGTTGGTCGTGGCCCCTGATCTGTTAGCTGCATCGAGGGAGGGAATGGGTGGGCGACGTACAGGTTAGATCGGTGCTCTTCAGTAGAACATATAGACTTGCCAGTCGGATGCAACTCACGATGCCGACCCTGTCATTGTCAGATCCCAGCTTCAATTGTAATGAATGCCCAATTGAGACTTACGAACAGCCCATCGCCAGCATAGACCCGACGGCGACCTTTTGTCGCGCCGGCATCTGCAATCGCCGCAACCACGGACTATCCACCGTCAGCATCTATATCAGCAGCTTCTTGGAGGAAAGACATACATCGGCACCAACACCGTCGCGAAATCAGTAAAGATGCCCAATCCCGCATTAGCAAAATAAAACACCGGCCTGTTCATGCAGTGTGCCGTCAAGCGCAAGTCCCACGCTGCCGCGATCGGCGTACAGCTAAACACATTGGCCAGTACACTGGCCACATTGTAGCCCACGGCGACGAAAACGATCGACCACACGGCCAATCGGAAGCCGTGACTAGGAAAGATGCGCAGGTAGAAAACGCAGACGGAGACTTTGGTGAACCCTGTCCCGGCGCAGTAGATGATGGCCGCGACGACGTTGAACTATAGGGTGAGCTTCATCGAAGTCAACCAACAAACAAGGCAGGAAGTATATACCTTAAGAAACCAAGGGGTAAACAGTTCCAAGGGCACGTCCCACATATGCTTGCCCAAGCCAAAATCGAGCACTGCTGGTCAGCGGGGCCCGAAACCGTTCATGGCTATCGATGGGTCACTTACTCTTCAGAGTGACTCCGGTCATAACCGTCGACAAGATCTGCTATGGGGTCAGCTACGTGTATTCAGTACACTGGGCCCAAAATCAGATTATCCATACCGCTGCGAAGATCATCAAGTCTAGTGTTTAGTTAGTTTTGTCTGTTTGCCCAACTTCGCCCTGTGCACCTCTCTGTAGCACTTACAGTCATCCCACGCTACGCTCCGCACGACAACCACACGCGTCCATGTTCGCACCGCCAGCGCTATCAGCGCAATCGGTAGAAACACACAATTCACCACGACGAATTTGGCGCCAGAGTAGGGCGGATCCACAAAGTTGGAGACCTGGCCAGGAGGCGGCTCCATGGCCGGGATAATGGTGCTATTCGCCATATCGCAAAGCAGGGCTACACATGGTAGCGCAACAACAGCAGTAGTAGCAGAAGCAACAGCCCTCAGATCACTCCGGGGCCAGGACGGCGAGGAGAGCGGCTCAAATAACCCCAACAGGGAGACTCAAAATAGCACGGGCGTGATCCTGGTGGAGAGACTAATTACTATATGTAGGGTGGCATTGCATTAGGGAGCTGAGCTGAACTGACCTCAAATCTGGGACGCGGTTAGAAGGCGCATTATCCCCGAACGACGGACGCAAAGCTTAAAGTTTTGGGCAGGGCGATTGGCGTGTGTCTGGATTTGGTTTGACTTTGGGGTTTGGCAGTCGCGCAATCCAAACGGAGAGGGCCGGAGGAGAGGGTGGAGGAGAGGGGGAGAAGTGTCTAGAGCAGGAAACAAGATTTGATCATCATTGAAGGAAGGGCTTCTATGCAGGAAAAGATGATTCCAGTCCAGTTTGGATTCCACATCCACCACTGAGAAGAAGCAATCATGATGCCTGTCTGGGTATGGTGGATGATCAGTATGGCGCGGAGCAACCACTTAAACCAGTATAGTTAGTCTAGCTGATCGGACTTCTATTTGGAGTGAAAAACGTGAAGACGTGATTGTGTGCGATCGGGATTTCATGACGCTCAGGCCCTCCAGGTACGCGCTGGTATCGTGCTTCGTTCTATCCACTTCCTCGTGGATACTCCATACACCCAGGTTAACACTTGCAGGGCCAGGTTCACCCTGGCACTACTGCTAGACTCGCAGTAGCATGTTCCCTCGGGGTGGAGCCAACCAGATAACCGAGGCAAGTAGCCAGAGTATCTCCTCCCGCGAAGGAAAGAGTGATCGTCCATGATAGGGGTTGGTTGCCCCCAAGCTGTGCTACGCTCAGTGTACACCCTCGCCACCACTCCAACAAAGACATATCTAGAAGACGAAAGAATCCATTGTTTGGCACCAGTCATAAAGACGTGGAAGCAACTAAACAGAGCCAGACCCATGGACCTGGCACCCATTCATCTCGGCAACCGAGCCAATGCCGGGAATGATTTATTGCCATCGCCCCGTCGAATACGAGACAGTTGCCCCAAACCAACCATCGAAGTCAGCAAGCCCACGATTTATTTTAACTAGAGGATTAGATAATATATTAATTGAAATTACACAGTTGTTTCCTCGAATCATCATGGTCATTATCTACTCCATAGCTTTTGCGAGCCAGGTGCCAACACGCACTAAACGCTAGTTCCGAACCAACTAAGCAGTGGAGTGGAGCATTTTCGGTTCCTCGGTTGTGCAAAAACTTTAACACTTGTTTATCCCTGAATCCCTCAGGGCGCACATGGATTGATTGTCACTCCCTGCTGTTCCTGAAGAATTGATTTCAATAGTGCGGGGTGGATATATAGGGTCAAAGAGGGAGATATTGAACTTACAATGGTGATAGCTTCATCTTCTTTCAAAAGGACAAATGGTTGGCTGTGGGGTCCGTCTCATCCAATATAATAGACTTTGAAGGCACGGAAAGGAAATCTGGTCCGGAACAGATAGTCCAGTTCCTAACTATCTAACCCAACTAGATAACCTCCACTGAACCGAACCCTCCAAGAGACTTCTTCTGGATGACATTTCCGCGGCGTTATCCGGCCGTACCCTATCTATCCAGCCCCGAGATACAGAGTGGACACTCGGCGGAGTGACTCTGCGTCATCATCTTATTTCAAATGCCGAGTAGTCTTAACTAGTACATGATGGCGAATAAGACACAGACACCAAGCTAAAACAGCACTACTAATTAAGCGAAGGACAAGATCATAAGTCATAGCATCATATTCACAACTAACTAACTACCAAATAAAATGAATCTAAGACACTCCCACAAATCGTTTCATGGGCCCATACCGCCCCGTCAACTCGCGTAGACCAGCGCCCCAAAGAAACAATGGCACCGCCAGCAATACACTTGCCCCCTGAATCGCCGTCATCTCTCCAAACACCTTCGCGGCGCCCTGTTTCGCGATCCAATCCGCCGCATATAGCGACAACAACATACCGATCGTATTCCGGATCACGAAAATAATGACCAGTGCTTCGCCCGTGATCTAAAGGCAACGCCAACATTAGCATGTTCATGTTCATGTGCTCCCGCCAACCACGCTATACAACGCCACCATGCAAGGGGTAAAACTCACCGGCTTATAACAATCCAACGAATACGTGACCGCCACATTAGAAATAGCCGCGACCCCAAAAGCCTGCATGGCATATCCCACTGCCGCACCAGCCCAGTGCGTTTGATTCGCCACGCACAGTCCGAAGATGAGTATCCCCGCGGGTCCGATCGTGCCGGGGATGATCATGGCGGGGAGTCGGTACTCGGGCAGTCGTTGGCCCCCGCGCCGCCGGGTATAATATGTGGAGAGGATGTCGATGAGACGTCCACCCAGGTAGAAGGCTAGCAGGGCGCCGATGAAGCCGGAGAGGGAGAGGAGGCCGATACTGCCAGCGGGCCAGTTGTAGGGCGGGGCTGTGAAGGTGCGGGACGCAGTGAGTTGGACGACGATGTTCCTGTTTCTTCTATTAGATTGGGGCTTTGCAAAGAAAGAAAGGGGAAGAATAAGAATATGGCTTACCATCCTACGGAGATTCCGATGGTAAAGGCTGACCATAGGAGTTGAGGGTACATCGCGTTACGGAGGATATCCCATACCGTCTGGAGGAACGAGGCGTCCGGGTTGTATCCTCGTGTGATGGAAAGCCAACCCCAATACCTCGTCTTCTGGGAAGAAGCATGTCGCGCGAGGTATGTGGTTTCGCGAACGGTGAAGATGGCGACCACAAAGACCGCTCCGACTGCTATAGCAAGGAAGTAGCACATCCAACGCCAGTTCTCGTCTTGTACCAGGTATGCGTTGATGAGAGGGCCGAGGAAAAGCCCACCGGTCAGGGCAAGATGGAAGATCATGAGGTAGTGGCCGCGTTCGTGGGGAGCCACCATGTCGCTGACCACGGCAGGGACAGTGGCATCGGCTGCGGCTGCGGCGAACCCGGAGAGGATGCGTGAAGCGAGCAGCTCGCCGTAGCTGGTGGCGCGGGACGACCAGACATTCATCATGGAGAGGAAGAGCATGGAGATGAGATAGACGGGGCGTTTGCCGACGACGCGCATCAGTGGAACCCAGAAGATGTTGCCGACGCCGAAGAGGAAGACATTGAAGCAGACGAGTTCGCCGGCCTGGGTTTGGGAGACGTGGAATTCGGCGATGATAGCCTTGGTGGCGACGGTGAAGTTGCTGCTGTTGACATTGGCGAGGAAGGTATAGAAACAGATGGTCAGGTAGGTGGTGAGTTTGGCAGCAGTGGACCAGTTCTGAGAGGTTAGCAAGCATACCGAGTGGGTTCAGGATGGCGGAGAAGGAGATCATGGATATACCTGAGGATCATTAGGGGCAGGAGTGATAGATTCCTTGTCATTGGAGAGATCGGGAAGGCCATGTTCCTCTGCAGCGTGGTCGATATGGCCGAAGCTGGCTTTGTCGTCTTCCATGGTGACGATGGTGGAAGGGGGTTAGGAAATAGGGGGAGGGAATACTTCACTGTAGCCCAGTAGTTGGCATTGGTCCGGCAATTATGTAGGTTATCGTCACAGGGTAGATCCTGCGGAGTTCTTGGATCCCTTGGAAGACCCGGTGTCGGGATATCCGAGATGCCCTCGAACCTGCAGCAGCCCAAAGACCAACGAAACACCAACTAAACACCCCGGACTTCGCTTGGGTCCCAGTTACCCCGCCTTTTGCTACCCCGGAATGAGCGAGCTTGGCCTCTTGGCTCGTCTCTGTAGTTCTCTCTCGGATGACCCGAGAGGATGAGAACGAAGCTAGGGCTTACACAGTCACCGGGCAACTCGTTTAAGACTTGGACTGGCCACGACAATCTCGGGATTTGCGTGACACGAGCTGGGATTGTTGCAGGTGGCTTGAAAAGGTTGATGGGACATCACTGATCTGGGAAACTTTAGACAGACATCCTGTCACTCCAATTTATTGTTGAGTCAGTGGTGTTTCTCATGGCAGAATAAATTCCCAATGACACAAAGTGCATTTCCAATTACCGATCGGGGGTAAATCTCTCTCATTCTCTATAGCACAACTCGGATGTTGGAGCCTGTACATCTGAATGCAGCCTTATTCCTGAGGCATCAGTGAGGCAGCGATCGATCGGGCGCAGGTACACCCAAGACACTTGACTATTTCTAATACTATCTATGTTAAATTCAGTCTAGTCTTTTGTATATATTGCATATTCTATATGCCAGCATGCTTTGTTTAAGCCAAATAGAATAGAGTAAGTCACCTCGGCCTCGCCGCCGAATCTATCATAAATGTCTTGAATGAGCAGAATCGAGAAAGAGACATGATATAAAAGCTAGTCAATGGTTCCACACGCTCGGCGACATACAATCACCTCCATTTGGGGACATGCTTCGGAGTAGTCATTTGCTTGGACGGGCGCAAATCCAGGTTTATCGGTCTGGGGAGTTGAAGATGAAGGGTCTCGACGGGAGGCATCGCATACGGAATGGAATGCCTTTGAACACCTGAACGCTCTTATCCGCATCTACTGCGATGATTGTTGCTTAAGGGGAGGAAGGAGGCTGTGATTGTGAAAGACCTGGGTTCATTAATACAATATATTTGTGGCAAACAACGCCCACTGCTAGAATATCGCTCGGTATCCGCGTTTATATTGTATGTCAGAATTACTAGTATCCATCAGTAGGCGGTCCTGTTCAACATTGTTCAGTTATAAATCTTTTGTGCCGGTATGAGCACATCATTTTCGTATCTAGGACATGACCCCCAGCATTAGAAAGACGTTATGCTCACTTACTCTTTTCAGTGGCAGCATACTAATGATCACTTCAGGGCAATGTAGTAACAGCTGCAGTCTTCCCAAGGGACAGAGTACCTTGAGTTTCAACAAAGACGCGTAGAGTCCCTCAGTGCTCAACAAATAAATTCAATCATTGTATAAACAACTAATAAACACTATCTAAAACAATTAAAACGCTTGCAAACATCTATCATACATAATCATCAGCGTCAGCAGCATCAGCAGCATCAACAGCATCAACAGCATCAACAGCACAGGTCCGACCGTCTAGTTCGCGGCCTATCCACAGCATCTCTATGCCAAACGTAATACTCGCATAACGTGCGGCGTCGCCGACTCCGCTCGTCCTCGTGTACTTCGTCGGCCTGCTCGATCTCCTTGTCACGACCGCTATCCTTGTCGTGCACAATATGCTTCCATCCCTCAATAACATCGTCCACCTCCGCCAAATTTCCAACCCCGAGATTGTAGGGCCGATAGTCCGGGTCCCGCTTGAGGCGCTCAATCACACTGTAGTGCAGCTTGGCTCCTTGTGGCAGAGGTCGTCGCAACCCCCCGACATGCCATCGGGTCGATTGCACCCTTCCATCCGGTGCCACTTTGGGCCGCTTGATGGGCAAACATTCGAGCACTCGCCAGAACAACGTCTCTAGCGCCTTGCCCGAGTCGTACATGAGGGAATCATGCAGGATAGCTCGCTCGGCCTGGTGTATCACTTCTGGATTGCTCTGCTCCTGCTTTTTGAAGTCAAAGCAACCAAGCTTGTGTAACTGTTCGGGCTCGTAGGACAGTCCGGCATCGATGGATTCCTCCACCATCCACATAAGGGGGATCTGGCTGGCTACATAGTCTCTGCCCAACTCACGCGGCCATCCACCACCAACGTCGCTATGGTCGCCAGAAAAGTAGACCTCCTCGAACTCCGTCTCTGGAGACGCCATCAAGTCGCTACCCCAAAACTCAACGTCCGCCCGCTCAGCCCATGTACTGACACGACCGATCTTTCCATGCGCCCGTAGCCTCTCAAATAGCACCGGCTGGAATTTAATTCGGCGCTCATCAATGCTAACTGCATGTCGCATGATTCGCGGTTTCGGTTGGATCCGCATGTCTCTATGGTCATCGTAGATGTTGAACTTCGCCACGCTGTTGACTGTATCAAAAAGGCCAAGGAAGTGCACGCGGCCCACCGATCGGCACATCGTGTCGCGGCACATGCGGAGAAAATACTCGGCCTGTTCGGATTCCTTGCCACTGTTGGCAAACTTATACGATGTGAACGCTTCCCAGACAAGGGGCATGATCTCCTCGTTATCAGCTGAGATTAACCCGATAAAGTCAAGCATCTCGTTGAGGAACCGCGCCGTGTAGGCCCCGCGCGAGAAACCAAACAGGTAGATGTGCGATCCGGGGATCCAGCGACGAGCGAGGAATCGGTATCCATAGATAACATGCTGGGCAAAAGAGGTCGCGAGCGCCTCATCAATGATCGCGTTGGGGGCGATGTTGCTAAAGGGACGGACAGCCGCGTTGGCGAAGGTCCCAGGCCTGATGTCTTCTCCTATGCCGGCTACATGATGTCAATAATTGTCATTATAACTCGAATGAAGCAACATACGCTGGTAGTAGCAGTCTAGTCATGTCAGCGAGTGTTCATTACAGCTATCAAGGTAACTCACATCGGTTTTCCTTCTTGCGGTCTAGCATGCGGAAGATCTTGAGAATGTTGCTATCCCCGCCATCCACGCGGAAAGTGTTCCCTGTTCCATCAAAACAGAGCACTAGCTCTCGCGTCGGGCGGTCTGGCGGGCACAGGCAGTTGCACGAGTCGAGACTCATTTTGCTTCTAATTTGTAGCTGCTTGGAGAGTTTCAGGGACCAGGGCCGGAATTGGGCGACATTTGGTGCTTAAAAGGGCCGACATTGCCTGACAGCTCCGCTCCCATCCTCGGCTGAGGTGTTCAGAGAGTTGGCAGTGTCGAGGCACTGTCGATCCTGTGGGGATAACAATAGCCTGGCAGGAATGGCTGGTTGACTCACCGCATATGCAGGGCTTAGCATGTTGTAAGCCATGAAGTCAGCTTTCATGTATGAATTCAGCTGATCGGCAGACGAATGGCAAGAGATTGCTGTAGTTCGTGCTCAGACGATGCCAATCCGGGCACCCTGGGGTCACTTGAGGTAGAGTCAATCTCGAGAGACCATCCAATCACCACTATCCACACAGAAGGCTGAGCTCCAATCAGTCTGATATCAGCCCAGATTACCACCAGGGCACATGGTCAGAATCGTGGCGCAATTCGTGTTCCAGCCTGGTTGGTGAACTTCAGGCGTCCAGTAAGCGGGATATGACCAATCACAGAATATGATGTGATACTGCATTTTTATAGACAATATATGCATGCAGCGCCGTTCATTGCAGCGCCCAATCGGCAGATTTAGCGACCCATTGTTGACCAGAAAGGCAACTCGTGTGCCGAGTATCCTGCTTCTACGGGGGTCTCCGGGTTCACCAGAGCCACCCAGTCAACTGCTTCAATTTGCCTCCATGGGTTCATGGGTTCACGACAGCCGTGATTTGCCATTGTAAAGAGCTCCGAATGATTTACAGCCTTCAGCTCTTGGCCTACTCGCACTGGCAAGTTGAGCCAACGCCACCCTGCCTTGCATCTGCAAAAGGCCGCCTTCCGGTGCAAGTGCGTAATCAGTTTAACCATCTGCGTAGTGATATCACGACAGGGCGACCGAGCCTGTCCGTGAGGAGTTCTCCAGTATTGTCTCAGGCGTATAGTCATATGGCATAGTCGTGGCGAAGGAAGACAGTCTAGTTCGAGCCGTCGCAGTTGCCTTGGAGTGCTTCCAGCTGGCTTCAACTGGACAACGAAAGGACGACTTGCCTTTACAGCTGCTCTTCAGGGCTCACTTATATATATTGGGGTATTACTCTGCATGCGCATGTGCTAAGGGAATATGCCTCCTGTAGCTGTAGCTGTCAAGTTGACACTCAAATGTCATCGTGTCGGCTATTAAGTCAGAGCGACAAGTAGCACTCTCTGGATCGAATAGGCCATCAAATATAGGATGTATGATTGTCTCCAAGCACTATGTGCTAATGGTCCGCTTCCCATCAAGTGTAGTTAAGATTGTACTCCGTAGCTGCCCAATGTTATTGTCCCGGCTAATAAGCTCAGTTTGAGTTGGCTAGTTCTACTCCACTTTGGCGACTGGACCAAAGAATGGATGCCATGAATCGAGTGGAACACGCCTGTCGATCATTGTTTACTTAGTATCATTCGGTCCTCACAATCAGCTGCTCGTGGTATCCAGGCTAATCAGATGGACCAACTCAGGCGAGATACCTTGCCGGTCGCTGCGACAGTCATTATAGCGATATGGCTGCTATTCTGCCGCTCACACCATGTAAAATGGCTTGAAGTATACTGCTCGATGCAATGCCATATCCTAGGGTGACGATGAGAGCAGGAGACATAGAGTCAGGAGTAGAGGAGAGAGAGAGAGAGAAGGGAAGGAGGATGACGTTGACTCCTCAGGCACCAAGTGGACAACCTCCGCTGAACGACCAAACAGTGCAAACACCCACCACATCCTCGATGATCTCACCTCTTCCCATCTCTACCCTCTCTTCTTAAGGACCATCTAAATACCCCCAGCTGCCAGTGGGTACTCTCAAGGTGCTGCTGGTATAGATATCATAGGTGCGGACGTCACCATGGCATCCTTATCTGCAGCCAGTCATCAGCAGACCTTCATGCCAATGAAAGCGACCCTATCTTCTAGCATCTGCCTTCCAACTTATGTCGCGCTCTAGGATTTCCCCTAGTGTTGCATGTTACTAATGGTCATTAATCATGCCTTGCTGAAATGCCAGGCCGCATAACCGCGGCAGTTTGTATAGGCGTCTGAAGTGGATTCGGTGTGTTACTCCTACCCAAATACCCCATTACCCCCATATCTACTACGGAGACAATAGACACTGGATGAGCTATCTGAACTGACTGAATGAATCAAATGAATAGACTACACCTACCAACGCCGCTACCCCCACGAAGCTCCGAGACCTCTTACCTCTGAATACGGACAGACCTCTGCGCTGCAGCAAACGACATGGGCTGCTGATCAACAACCACCTTGAAATAGTAGAGAAGCCACCAAAGCGAATCGCCATACAGTGCAGATACTCACCAAGAAAGAGGATGTACGGGATTTAGGTAGTTCTTCTGAGATATTGACCCTAGTGAACACGCAGGTAAACCCGCAGGAGAGTCTCGCAATTTTCCAAATTAAGAGTCTGTTTTTGCAGGGTATGGGAAAGACAGAGGGCAAGTCAACGGTATGCTAAGCCATGACTGGTGACAGCATTGGGAATTCCGACGGTGATTTGACACCGGATACTATATCGCTTGGAGAGATAGCCGGTGTAAGGGAAAGTCACAGGCTGCCGAATGTCTCTCAGTCGTACAAAAAGCTGAGCATTCAGCGAGCCACCTGCCTATCTTACTCAGAATCCGCTTCGCCGAACGACAATCTAAGCAACAAGCAGCAACAACAACAAAACAAGGAACACACGGAGCTACTACCCAGCGAATCACCACCAACAGCCTCAACTAAGCCCAACCTAAAGAATAGAGTTAACCACAAGGTTAAAAGTCCAAGGCTTGGAAGGTACCCTACCGTCCCAAACCCAGCTAACCGGATACACTTCAAGAAAGCGCCCATAAGAGTTAAGGAGTAAATTTAACTATCAAAAATGTAACCCTCCTCTCCCTCTCACGATTGAAACGCGTTATGACCGTCAAATTAAACATAAAACCATAACCGCAGAGCTAATCCTACGGACATCACCGAGTAGAAGCAGATCCAACTAACAAAACAGGCACGCCTTAGACCAAGACTATGTCCCATGGTTCAATGAACCAGGTCCAGGGGTTACCAAACATAGAATGAAAGACCATAGGATTGTACCATTTTATCTGATGAGTTAGAGAAACTGAAGTAAACAGGTTCTGCATCTTAATCAAATATGTCAACGTAGGCAAACGCAACTAGCCTTGCCCATAAGGCTAACATCCTCTCCAACACAGAGCAAGCCACATAATGCCCACCTCGACCGCTTACCCCACCGCCAAAAGCGGCAGAACTCGTTCGACCTCGCAACGAAAAGTGTGGATATAGACGGCTATAGACGGATATATTTTTCATCCACCTCCGAAACGACGAGTCAGCATTCTGTACGTTTTCTGACCGCCTTGGGGCAGTGTGGCAGAAAATGGTCGCTACAAAGATTACTAGACAGTGAGTAGTGGTGGTTAGGCTTTAGCACGAACTTGAACTTGATAGTAGGTTTTTTGCAGAGATGGAGTTGGGTATTACCGTCTTGTTCTTGGTGGTCTTCATTTTATTTTGCGTTGGTAGGTAGTAGTGATGCGTTCGCCTTACTGAAGTAAGGATCGTACTGTGTGACGATGTCTTGGTAGTCATAGTATATATTTCACTAATAGAACAACTGAACAACACACAAGGAACTCAACACTGATATCTGTGTAGCTCTGATGGCCTGACTGGCCTTACTATTTATCATCTTTTCATCTAATATGCTCCCATAATATTAGGAAGTAACTATACTCGTAGTACAAAGAAACTTTATACTAGCGGTGAAAACAAAACCACCAGCACCACCATCGCAGTCTCAACCCCAACCCATTACTAATTAACGACAATATGACACCGCACGCCAAACCCCCATCCCGTGCATCTGAAACGGCAATCTTGCAGGAAAAATATCTATATATGCATGCATGCGGGATATATCTATGACGCAAGCTGCTGAAGATACTGCTAATGGAAGGAGGGAATGGAAGGAGGGGAATGGAGGGGCTGAGGGAAATAGTACTAGATAAAAATAAATAGACTTTGGCTTGTTGCATTTCCTATAACATAAGTGTGTATGTAAATATGCGAGATTGTCACCTAACGGGTTCTGCACCACCTGCAGAATCATCGAAGACAAAAAAGGTTATCGGCAAGGGGTTCAGTCATTATTGCATGGCATATATCCCCCCCACACGGACGGGAAATAGTCATGGCGCTCAGCTGTCAGCATGACACCACTAAGAAAGGTTCAATAAGAGATGCTTTAAGCAAGGGATCAATGGCTTCGTATCACATTAATTTATTAACCAAAATGAAACAGCTAGCCAACACTGGGATATCTAAGAAAGTAACAAAACTCAAACCAAAACGCGCACAGACAATATGACAGATCTAACGCCGAACAAAATAAACGAGGCATCAAGGTTTCGCCATCAAGGAGACGAACAGCGCTGTTCTTGCTTGGGCACGGCTTCAATCACAGACTCCATCCCCGGATTGTTGTTCCAGATACCGGTGATTTCCAATCCCACCTCGTCGAGCAGCTCGCGCCACTGGCGCTCAGAGCGCTCCACACCCGAACCGATACTCATCATCTGGATGTCCAACGATGACTGCAGGAGCGGGGCGTTCGTATCCGGCAGGACAAAGTCCACAATGATGATGCGGGAGTACTCAGGGTCCATGGCAGAAATAGTGTTGACCAGAATCTTGCGGCAGATGTGGTCTGGCCAGTCATGGAAGATGGCGCGGAAGTAGTATGCTCTTGCGCCTGTCCGTGTGTTAGCTTTGACAAGGAAACAATTGAAGGCCCGTGAGAAATATTGCATACCCTTGATAGGCTGTGGGTCCAAGAAGCTATATCCCATTCCTTCGACTCTCCCGCCAGGACAGCGAGACACCACCTTGGGCAAATCTTGTAGAATGAGCCGGCCAGGGACCTCGGGGTGCCTGTCATGGAACTTCACCAGATCATGACCCTGGTTACCGCCTACGTCGACGAGGAAAGCAGCGTCCCGGTGGTCCATAGCATCATTCGTCAATCGCTCGACGGGATACACATCAAACCAGGTCGGTTTGCCGTGGCGGCGACTCGACATGTACGAGTTGAAGAGCGCTTGGCGGTGCTTGTGCTGCGCAAGCCATTCGAATTGACTCTTCCCAACTGCCCATTGCATGGGTGAACGGGAATACTCCTTCGGGGAGGTGTAGCGGTGTTCCCGAAAATAGTCAGGAAGTTTAGCGAGAGTGGGGAGAGTAAGATCGTATCTATGCCGTCAATATTGTATGCAATAATGCAGGCATTCAAATTAAAGACTTACATGCAAGGAATGCCATCTCTTCCAATCGGCTGAGTAAGTGCGACAGTCTTGTCGTTCGCAGTATATACTTCAGATTCATGGTTTGCGCACAAGCCGAGTGCGGTCATGACTCGCATCAGGCGGACTAAAGGTATAAGCAGAGACCGTGAAGATTTTGGCAATTATCTTACCAATCAATCCCCGCTCAGCACCAGTTTGTGCAGCTAGCTCTGTAGCCGACAGTCCGCGCTTGCTATGCTCCACCAACAATGGGAAGATACCGAGATCCATAACGGTGCGGAGTGCTGCATTTTGTGGTGGCTGCATGCACGTTAAGCGACAGTCACCTGAGCATAAGGGGAAGAAGCAAATTACCTGGTAGATCAAGCGCAGGACCGTCTCCGTTGGAGTCTCAACTGCAAGACGCAGCTCGTCGATCAGGCCGAGCAGCTGGAAATGCGACTGTGCAGACTGGCATGCACCTTGGTCCTGCAAAGCTGTCTGCTTGATAGTCTCCACCAGGGAGAGAACCTTAGACTGGTCGACAGCCATCTTTTATCATACAGAGTAGTAAATTGTAAGAATATACAGAAAAATAATACTATAGCTGGGGTGGTATGAGAGTCGTGAGATGCAAAGATGTAGCAGCGGTGAAACAACATGCAGGTTAAGGGATTATATAGCACTTTCCGCGGAACTGAAAACCGGGCCAGAACTAGATACAATCAATAGTTCAAGCAGTCGATCAATCAGCAAGGATGGCAATAGTGCAATGATGCCCACACCCGGACTCCTGAAAAAAGCAAACCTGGCAGGCCGGTCGCATCCGCCGGGATCCCAAGGCAAGGATAGTTGCAGGACCCTTCAATCTGGGACTTTGTGTCGACGCTTTTCCAATAATTCCGAATGCGGATTGTCGGGCGAGGCCCTAGATCATCATGACACGATAGCAGTAGCAGACGCGTTGTCGCATGAGTCACGCCGCATGGGGTAGAGGTTGAAGATAGTCCAGCCGTATCTTCTCCGGCTATTCTCCTTAGACTTTGGCTTTCTTGGTTCGGCTGACGAACCTCCTCCCATTACGGGACGTCTAATCTATCTGTGGCAATGGCTTTCAATAGCCTGGGGTCAGTTTCGCACGGGCTTTGCTCCCCCTCCTCCCGATGAAAGTTCAATGAATCCTGGCGCATATGCAGAACTTTGTCGTAATCCGGACTGCTCCGCCCATTGTTGAAGGCACACTCAGTAATAGATTTTCTCGCTAGATAAATGCGCAGTACCACTGGGCTGGGGCATCCCGATTACCCTGTTCCTGGACCAGCGCCACAACGCCACTCCGAAAGTACTAAATGCTAAATGTCCGTCAGTCCCCGTAAGATGGCCACCGCTCCCAGCTGGCCCAAGCTCCTCCAGAGCCTGTATGTCGGTATGTATGTATGTACGTGTGTGATTTATGTATGAAGCTATGGCTCCCACTAGCTGTCTGTCCGACGCGGAGATCGCTGGGTGAGATCGTCTGGCCTGAGCATACAGATGTGCCCAACATAGCAACAAAGGAGAAACCCCTCCTCGGGGTCTGCTACTAGAGCCTATCGTTCCAACCATGCGCTCCTGCCGGATAGTGTATCAGGTATTCCGGCCGCTGTTACGATATTAGGCCATACGGATCCGATCCAGAAACCTGGGTAGATACCCGTATGTGGAATCCAATTGGTGTCTTGGTCTGGACTGGCCGCAAAATAGACTCCAGGTCCGTGCTTATCGACGTCAAGTGAGGCAAGCGTATCATCGTCTAACCAGAAGTCCGGGATGTGGTTTGCAATACGATCGACGAAGCTATGAATTCGTCCGACACGTTTGCGATCGCAGTCTCGGGTCCAAATGATATTGCCGCTAGTCCAGGTGCTAGTACCTCATGAGTATGGAGTGAGGCGGTAGTTTGATTGAACAGATACCAACAGCATGGAAATCGGCCGCGGTGACACCCGCGTAGATCATTTTTTACTCCCCGGCCCAGTCGTTCCACATTGTAATGTATAATGCTAGTTGTTGCTTTTTTTCTCGATGTTACTGTTTTGGCCCAAGCATCGGGGAGGAAGTGTGTACTTCTGCCTTGGCTAGTTGCATTGGGCTCTTGACAACAGACACAAAGGTGCTTATCTCTTGAATAACTATCCAGTCATGCAAGCTATAGGGTGGTTAGCTGGGCTAGACCGTCGATCCCTCAACAAATCCGCCTTACGTTAATATCCGGCTGCAATTTGGTACACGGACCAGCCAATCGTGACGAATTATCGCACTAATTCAGGAATAAAAGGCGGGAGATTAGATAGATCATGCGCTGGTAACCCAATATTAGTCATTTCTTTTCCAGCTCCCCGGCTTAGGGTGGCGGATCGGATAGCCGGCATTGTCAATAGGGGTGCTTGTGTAAGATTCGGTGAGCGGCTGAAGGCAGATGAGAGCAGTCGATAGGCCAGCCACAATGGATACTGACAGTATTGGCGCCTTCAGTCTGCATCTCACGGCGACTAGATCCCAAACCTGCAATGCTACCGGCGGATCAACCTCCCGGCCCTGGGTGCTCCACTTTGGACGGAAGTTATGGGTACATGCCTTTATCGTAGCGCCGGGGCCCCATCAGGTGGTACTATGTGCCAGGTGAGGTTCCAACAGCGGCAATACCCAGAAGGCGCTTCCCGGGTAGTCACCGAGGACTTTTGCCCTATCGTACAGGTCACATCATAAGAAGTACTGCTTGGTTTGACCCACCCGAGTTCAGCTCGTGGCGTTCCGATCGGATGGGAATTGAGACCTATTGATAGAGCAGAATCGATCGATGATTAGGCTACCGTGTTGCAGAATCTTCTAGCTCCAGTGGCAAGCATTGTATGTGAAACCAACTTCGGATCCAGAAACAATATCGAAATCATATCATATAGAGCGTAATATTAGGAGAAAAGAAATTTCAGCAGGAGTGAGGCGGAGAATTTGTCAATCGAGCACCTCGCTCCGGTGTTGCGGATATTCGCACGGTCCGCACTGGCCAAGTACCGGGCTTTGATGGATGCAAAGGAGAAAAGTACCAGCTGCAGAAGTCCGGTGCACGGGCCAGTTCGTCGACTCGAAGGGCGGCGATTATGGCTGGTATGACAATAATGACTCGACCCAAACTAACGAATTCAATTTCAAGCCATCTCGGGTGGCGGTGCAGAGCGTGAGACGAGTTCGCTGTCCGCCGTACTTCCTGACTGTGTAAGGGGTTCGGTTGTTTTCATTATAGACCGGATACGCCTCCGTTGAGACCGGGGCTGAAGTGTGCGACAGCCATATTTTCAAGGCCCCACCTCAGTAGACAGGTCAGAAACAGGCCATCGAGGAAGGTTGAACACGAGTACTCGGACATGGCTTTCTGCACGGGTACATCGTCCTTTGTCGGTGGAGCCATCATCCCCAGCCAATTTTGCTGTGACACTCTAATTTTGGGGGATGGGCATTTGTCAGCCTGAGAGGACGTCGGGTCTCGCCTTCCTTCCCCCAAAGTCCCAACCCAAGCCTAGGGAGCGAACAAAGCCGAGGAGGAAAAAAACAAATAAAGAGAAAAAACAAAGCAAAGAGGGGTTGTCCACTGCTTAGCTGTCTCTGTAAGAAAAGCTGATCAGCGATCGATCTTCCACTCCCGAGGGCGCGATCCAGGTTCCTGGGCCGGGAACCCGGTTACTGGGGCGGGACTTCATCCTAGCCTGCCCTAGTCCCTCGGCTGGATGGACGCTGATTGTTGACAATCCCTGCACTATTGGGGCCGTCCTTATGTCGCAGGATGCAACATTATGCAACCAGCCCATCATGCTGCGAACTCTGCTTCCGCTCGTGCATCATCTGCTGCAGTGTGACTGACAAATTTCACCGCACCCGCGCGCTGTCATCCACTCAGCTTGGACCATCGCACGGACAGGCAGGAGCTCTGGTGTCATCCGAGACCAAATCAAGCCTGTTCTGTTCCTTGATTTGACAGCACCTGATCGCGATCGTGCATCCATGGTCCGGCCAGATTTGGGCCCGTGCTGGCTTTAGGGTTCTGATTAACTTTAGGAATTGCCACAGTTCGCATACGTAGTGGCCCCTGTAATTAACTCTCCTGATGGTCCTAGTGTCTGAGGGGACGTCATTCCCAGTGGAGATCATCAGCCTGACAGTTTGCGTTTCCTAGTCATACACCGCTTCGTTTCGTGCAGGGATCGGAAACCCAAACTGTGGGAACCAACAGGCCGCGACTGTTCCTAGTAGGTCCGGACTCCGTGCATCTCCACCGACCTCCAGGCGAAATAGCAAACATGATCGATGTATGTACCCACCTCATCCTGGCTCCTGGACTTAAATAGGCCTTGGTTTCCCCCAACATCAGCATCTCAGGTTTATCTGATGTACAGCTTCGTCAACTTTCATCATGGGAATTCCTCAGTATGACGGGGTCACAGACCAGGGCCCCAAGCCGACAACAAACACCACAGACCAAGTTGTTGCACGCTTTGGCCGTCTTCATCTCTTAGATGACTTGATCCGCCTGCGAGCAGCTGATTATATCCAACATCCCATATTGGCTTATCCTAAGCCCTCTCAAAATGGATCCGTGTCCTATGAGTACTTCAACGGTCAGGATCTTGACTGCATGATCGATTATGCGGTCTGCACATTAATGGACTACGGTTTCAAGCCGGTATGTGATGAAGCCCTGCATTTCAATCGCAATGCTGACAACCTTCCAGGCCCGGAAAGAAGGAGCAACGGTTGCTCTTTTCACACTATCAGATCTCAACATGGTGATCACTTTCTTCGCCCTTAGCAGACTCGGATATACAGTCATGATGTTGTCACCACGCCTATCAGCCACTGCGTGTGTTTCCTTATTAGACACCGTCGGCTGTAACACGATACTATACGGCCAATCGCCGAATATTCGCGCCACAATGGGTGAAGTCCTTCGTCTAAAACTGATTGCATGTCGGCCAATCATCGAAAGACCCTCTCCAGAAGAGCTATCAGAAGACTCTGATGCTGTTGTGATCTGTCGGAGTCGCCGCCCCGAACTACAAGTTGAAAAGACTGCTCTGATCCTGCACTCTTCAGGATCAACAGGCACCCCCAAGCCTCTCTATCTAAGCCACAAAGCCCTGATGACACATCCGATGCGGGGTCCTGGGTTCACTTCGTTCAATTCACTGCCATGGTATCATCTTCACGGGCTATCCACAGCCTTGCAAGCCATGTACATGCGACGAACAGCATATATGTGGGATGCCTCTCTGCCATTAACCGCAAGTACGGCAGTTGCTGCGCTGGAAGCAGCACGACCGGAATCGGTTCAAGGAGTCCCATACCTACTCCAACTGCTTGTCGACAGCCCACGCGGGCTCAAAGCTTTGAGAGCTTGCAAGTCTGTTACATACGGTGGTGCACCATGCCCCGATGAGCTAGGTGATAGACTCGTAAACGAGGGTGTCAAATTCGGAGGTTCATTCGGGCTGTATGTATTCATCAGCATTCCCAGCTAGCTGTGTTGCTAACTCGCTCTTAGAACGGAAGCCGGCCTGGTCGCAGAGTCGATTTCTCGGCCAGCAGGAGATCCCTTTTGGAACTATATGCGCTTCTTTGACAACATCAAGCCGTTTATCTGGATGAAGCCTATCAGTGACGCGCTCTATGAGGTTGTCTACCTCAAAGGCCATCCCGCATTGACGGCATCCAATTCCAATGAACCCCCTGGCTCATACCACTCTCGTGATGTTTTCACTCCACACCCAACTCTCGCCGACCGATGGAAGTACGTTTCGCGTCTGGATGACCGAATCACGCTTGTCAATGGTGAGAAGGTCCTTCCTCTCCCAATTGAGGGCTGCATCAAGCAGAGCCCTCTTGTTCAGGAAGCAGTTGTTGTCGGCGTCAACAAGGCCGTTCCTGGCCTACTAGTTTTCCGTACGGAAAGCTCCCAGATGTTCTCTGATGAAGAGTTCTTGGATCTTCTTTGGCCAACGGTGGAAGAAGCCAATTCTCGGGCAGAGCAATTCTCTCAAATATCCCGCGATATGATCCTTGTCTTGCCCCATGACTGCACCTGTCCTCGGACAGACAAGGGATCAATGATCAGAGCCCAGGTATATGCGAAGTATGCTGAAACCATTGAAAACATGTATACAACACTTGAGCAAACAGCCGACGGGACTCTCAAGCTGGACTTGACCGCAACGGAGAACCATCTGATCAAGCTCTGTCACGAAGAGCTTGGATTCCCTATCTCTACCCCTAACTCTGACTTCTTCGCCGAGGGCCTAGACAGCCTGAAGGCAATCCATCTTCGTCGCTTAATATTAAGGGACTTCAAAGTAGAAGACCCCAAGGACATCGGCCACAATGTCGCTTTCGAAACTGGAAACATTGTTCGCTTAGCAGAGCATATCCACCTGATTCAATCGGGTCAAAAAGATATGGTCGAGGATGAGGTCTCCATGATGCCCGAGCTCATTGAGAAGTACTCCGTCTTCCAGAAGCATACACCAAGCCCCAGCTCCGCGGCAACGCGAAAGAGTGTTGTAAGTTCTGTACCTCACCAACCGCATCAATTCTCGACTAACAAGCGCAGGTCCTCACTGGAGCAACCGGTTCTATCGGCGCTCATACTCTCTACAAGCTCCTGAATGACGACAGTGTGTCTGCCGTGTATTGCCTAACACGGAGGTCTCAACCCAAAAAGGCGGTCATTGATGCCCTCGCACAGAAAGGCCTCTCGGTCCTTCCTTACCGACTGCAGAAGATCGTTGCACTCAACAGCTCTCTTGAAGAGCCTGACCTAGGAGTAGGTGAGAGCATGATGGCAGAGATGCGGCAATCCGTATCTCTCATCATCCACACCGCATGGCCTGTCAACTTCAACCTTCCGCTCATGAGCTTTGAGTCTCACATCAAAGGGCTGCAGAACCTCATAAACTTCTCCCTATCCGTGAACCTCCCTGACCCAGCAGTCCTCCTCTTCTGCTCCTCTATCTCAACAGCTCTCGGTGCCTCTTCCGACGTAGACGAGAGACCAATTGAAGATCTTGCTAGCGCTCTTGAGATGGGATACGGACGCTCAAAACTGATCGGCGAGAAGATCGTCAGCAATGCTCGCAGGGCTGGTGCACGCACATACTCCCTTCGGATCGGACAAGTGTCCGGTCACTCGAAGAAGGGATTGTGGAACGACTCGGAGGCCATTCCTCTGATGATCCGCTCAGCTCTGACACTGAAAGCTTTGCCTGACCTCGACATCACATGTTCTTGGCTACCCGTCGACAAGCTTGCCTGCTCCATGCTTGAACTGGCCCGTGCGTGTTCCTTCAACTCTCTCGAGGACAGCTGCGACGACGCAACATCTGGCAAGTGGGTCGACGACACCATCTACAACCTTTGCAACCCCCGTGTCTTCACCTGGTCATCTTTGCTCGATACACTCAAACGCAGCGGGTTCTCATTCGAGACCGTCCCGTTTGAGAATTGGCTGCAGATGCTTCGCGAAAGTGAAGCTAGAGGAGAGGAGATGATCAATCCAGCTGTGAAACTGACGGCTCATTACGAGTCAATGTACAGTGAGGATGCCCCGAAACCGGTCAGGTTCCTCACTGAGAAAGCAGAAAGAGATAGTATGACGCTGAGGAATGGTCGGTTGAGGATTGTTCAGGATGGTATCCTCACTCGGTATGCGCAGGACTGGTTGAAGCGATGGAAGTCAGCTTAAGGGCCCACGAGACTACGATGATCTCTTCATGTCGATAATTACCTGTAAATAGTTCACGATCTTCTAGATACCACAGTTGGATTTGGAGTTAGCAGTTCAATTGATCATTTTCACAATCTGAAGACAATGACACTGTAATACCTTAAGTTCCTGAAGATCAGAGAAGACAGAAGAAAGCATAGTCTTTATGATGGACAGATGAAGTCTGATGGTAGAGTTGGGGAAGTCTCAATCTAGACGCAGTTGCTCTTTTCGTCACTGCCGTCACATGACAAGTGATAATAGCATGGCGCAAGAATATTCTCCGATGTGCGCGATTTACTGCATCCCCTGGGCGAATGTTACGCCAACATAATCGTGGATAGTATATCGTATTCTAATTGATTAACTATCTAAGCTCGGTATTTCGAAGTATAGCCGAAAGAGAGCGGATATCGCACGCGATGGAAAGGTGTGGACCAGGGCGACAAGTGGGATGCTTCAAGCAAGGCAACCAGCCTATAGTACATAAAAAAACACTAGCTTGCAAACAAAGCCTCTATCGACGACTTGTAATGGGGAAGAAGCAAAATGAATGCGGGTAATCAACAAAAAGCAAAAATCGCCCCCTTAAGCCAACAAAGCAAAAGCAAGAACACTGAGGACGCTAGATGCACCAAGAGTCAACTTGTTTGCACCACCGGTGAAGACAGGTGTCGAGGGAGTAGTAGCAGACGAGGAACCATGGCCAGAGGAGCCAGAATTAGATCCGGAAGCAGAGCTACCCTGGGTGGCAGCGGCAGCATTGTTGGCAGCGGCAGCGGAGGTCGGAACACGGCTCGAACCAGTAGATGAGGGTGCAGTGGCAAATGCATGGCTAGACGAGCTTGGGGCAGGTCTACCGTACGCAGCAGCACTGGAGGGTACAGACCCATAGGAGTGAGCTCCGGCCTGGGAGCCCGACGAATGGCTGGAGCTGCCCTCGCTACCGTTAGCTTCCGCACTTGCACCACTAACGGAGGAAGGCGCAGCAGAAGAGCCGGCATTAGCGCCAGCAGATGCAGGAGTGCTCTCATTATCACCGGCTTGTGCGCTGGCGCCGCTCACATTGGATGCGGTCGCAGCATTGGAAGAGGCGCTGTCATTTCCATTCGCCTCGGCGCTTGCACCAGTGACGCTGGATGGGATGGAAGGAGCGACAGTCTTGGCCTCAGAAGAAGCAGAAGAGTCCTCGCTGCCATTCGCTTCAGCGCTCGCACCAGTGCTGCTGACATTAGACGGTGTAGCAGCAGCAGAGGCACCCTCGCTACTGTCTGCTTCGCCACTTGCACCAGTGGTGCTGACACTAGACGGTGTAGCACCAGCAACGCTGCCTGCTTCGGAAGCAGATGAGCTCTCGCTACCATTTGCTTCGGCGCTTGCGCCAGTAGAAGTCGAGGGAGTAGTTACAGCGGCAGAAGTGCTCTCACTTTCATTAGCCTCAGCGCTAGCGCCAGTGACGCTAGATGGGGTTGCAGCCGCAGGACTGCCTTCGCTGTTGCTAGCCTCGGTAGCCTCGGAGCTTCCGCCAGCAAGAGCAGCCGCCGCAGAGGAGCTCTCGGCAATAGGGCAGATAGTGGTGGTCATAGTAACATAGTGAGTCGAGGTCGAGGCAGAAGAACCGTTCTCATCGGCGGCAGAGGTCTCGGTAGATGCGGCGACAGTAGTGGCTCCAGCCATGGTTGTAGCAGTCTCGGCATCAGCGGTGCTGGTGACAGCAATAGTGGCAGCGGTAGTGGTCGCAACAACGGAGTTAGTGCCTTCCCTAACAGCGGAGATCGTCTCAGCAACACTGGCTGCGGATTCAACGTGGGAAGCGGAAGCGGAAGCGGAGGCTGCGACACCAGTCTGGTAAATCTTGATGTAATTGATTTCCCAGTAAGACTCCGCGAACGCCGTTGGGTTCTCGGCGACATAAGCAACGCAGCTCTTGAAGGAGCTGCTGCTATCGCTCACAGGGCAGCCCGAGGTGCTGTAAACGCCGCCAGCCCAGTCACCGCAGAAGGTGGTGTCGAAGATGAATTGCTGGGCTTTGAAGTGTTCGGCGATGCTGCACGAGCCCTCCATATGGGCCATGGGAGTGCCGAAAGCAGCAACATCGGGGTCGCCTTTGGTGATAGAGCTGGGAATCGAACCACGAGGGAAGAACCAGAACTTGAGGAATTCATCGGTCCACTGCATGGCGTAGACACCACCACCGTTCTCGTTGAACGGAGTGCCAGAAGAACCTTGGGTGCCCTCAACAACACATCCAGTGGTACCCGCATCTTCACCACATTCCGTAGAGGTAAGCGTGCCGCTCATCTTCTGGCTGGAAACTTGACAGGTGCCGCTCGTATGCAGGACAATCTCGTTCGCTTCGTTCTTATTGACGCCCTCGATGATATCTATTTCACCATCCGTCGGCCAGTTTTTGCCTGTGGACCAAAAGGCGGGCCAGGTACCGCAGACGCTTCCGGGCATGTGCTGAAGATCGATAATAAACAGTCCCTCGTCATAATACTTGTTGCTCCCAATGCGGACCGACTCCCGGCCAGGACCGTTGGTACTCAGCTTCGTTGTATGGTCGACACCCATGTAGAAGGTACCGTTAGAGTTGACCTTGACCAGCCCGGTGCTTTCGGCATAGCTCTGATTAGCGTACGTGACGAATCCATTCGTGGGGTCAGCGCCTGTGTAAAAGTCAAAAGCCGTAAGGAAGTCCTCGCCCTTCCAGGTTTCCACAAGTTCATAACTGCTGGCCGCGGCGGGCAGGACCATCGATGAAAGAGCGAGCGACCCTACGCTCCATAGTAGGGTTGAGGTAGGCATGGTCACTATGTTCGGTCAAGCAATTGTGTGGTTAGAGAAGGTAAGCCCCGAGGACTTGAAAGGATTAGGATAACCAGAGGATTTAGGGACGGAGGTTTATTTGAAAACGATCGACGTTTAGAACGAAAAGGAATGGAAAGTAGCCCTCTAGGCGTACAATGTGCAAAAAAGAAAGTAGCACAGAAGTGCAGAAATCAATCTGCGAGTCAAAAATAAGAAAATAGAGAACGTAAGTAGGAAAAAGATGGGCGCAAGGAGAAATATGTAGAGAATGTACACAACAATGTGGGAGCATGACGCAGACCGGGGGGGGTAGGCCGGGCGATATACAAATAATAACAGCAACACCCCGACATCAAAATTAGCGTGGCTTCTGCCCAGGTGGCTGCAGGCCACTAGCATTATTCTCAAGATCCATAGCAAATCAGCTTGAGTGTTCTTGTCGCCTGGGCCATTCACTGGGCGGCTCGTTGGCGCCCATTGGGAGGACGACGGTTCGTGCCTGGGAGGGGTCGGCAGGTACATGACGAATCAGAGCAGAAAGAAGGTTACAGACAGAATGCATCTTGATGAGTCCACAGCCTTCATTCTTTGGCCAGGCATGTCGGGTGGATCGGCGACAAAGAGTCAACACCGCGATGGTGGAGCCTGAAACACGACCAGAGAGCTCGGCGGGATGACATGAAACAGGAGAAGCCCAAAGATTCGACTAGCACAAGGATAGTGTTTTTCTTCACGTTGGACAAACCAGGTCCTAATTTTAACGGGAACCTGCTGCATGTCGGTTTTTAAACTCCCTTTGTGGACCATCAGACCCAGCGACCGAGTAAAAAGAGAATTGGTGATGTCCCTGCCACTATCCCGGCAACCGTCACATTCCCAACCCATCAGAGGCAACAAGTGACAGGTCGCGATCGCTGAGCATCCGGACGAGATTGCCGATCCGGGGCACCACTCCGTGGCCCGGGCTGTGGTCGGGGATGGAAGTACTCATTAGTGAAAGGCGAATTATTTTAGGAACATGCCTTCTTTTCCAGCAGAGTATGAGCCGACGTTGTAGGCTAATGGAGTCTAGACACTGGGTGGGGATGGGCTGACCACGCCGTTGTTTCTTGGTGCCGGCATGGCGGAAGTTGGAGGGTCACCTAAAGATAAGACGAGAATAACCGGCGGTGGATTAGCGACATCACGGCCTGCGTAAAGCAGTCGCGTTTCTATTCTAATAGTAACTAAAATGATGCTCTCGAGGACCGTTACTTTGGTCCGAAGAGTGAAGAGAAATTGGAGACAGAGGCAGGCGCATGAAGAATGAAAGATGGAATCCTGGAAGAATGCAAGCGGAGCCCAAAATGGACTAGCGCAGTCAGCCACGGGATCGCGCGCCTCTCCTGTGGCTGGAATGGCAAAGCCCATCGGCATGGGCTGAGCCCCCCCTGGCGACGACGACTTTATTTCCAAGTTTGTGCCGTTCTATGCGCTACGTACAGATTCCACGCGAATGGTTGAGCCGTGGCCTTCCCCATAACCCGCGATACTACTTCCATGGGTCGGTTGGTGGCGAACACAAGCCCTCCGATGCAATGTCCGCGCGGTGTCTTGTCCGCCGCCTAAGCATTCACCAGGAAAATGTGTGACGAAATATAGGCTTACGTATATCTCAAGATCAGGTCTGTAGAGCCAGGTCAGCCTCACAAACCCTTGCGTAACTGGCTTTCGTTGTCATTTCAACCAATTCCCGTCGCACAAACTGAATCTTCGCGGTATTCTCTTCCGTTCCTTGCTAGAGGAACCTGGCTAGAAGGAAATGCCAAGTAGCCTCCTCGGAGATATACAAATTTTCTTTTTCTTGTAGAATATCGCTTATATCACCTTCAGCTGCCGGTCCCTGCATCTACAGCACAATCTGAGCAGCTGAGCTCCGAACCTCTTCGAATTTTCTTTGCTAGTCTAAACAGCAAGTTACGGACATGTAGGGCCAGGTGTGTTGCCAATTGCCATAGGCTCCATGAACTCTTCCACGCAATTAGCTGCACGTGCATACCCTCGAGGGAAATAAATTTTTGTTCGATGTGCCTTTAAATATGCATGGTCATGTCATCTGCCCCGTCGCCCGGCCCCATCTGTCTGGTACTTGTCTCCACAGCAGCGCGTCCCTCTATGAAGACTTGGGCATGGCCAGAGGAACCTGGTCACGGAAATACTCCCTCCGTGATATTTATAAATATGGCTGCATGGTTGGAAATGGGTCTCGGGAACTCATCGCACGTATTATACAAGTGCATGGGACTTAGGTCATGGCGCCTTAGGTTGGCGGAAAAGTAGAGAAGATCCCAAGCCAGAAACCGTGAGTACGAAGCTTTGCATACTAGCATGTAGTACACCATCCGATATTGGTCCCGGTCGGAGTAGGTTGATTCCAAAGTCAGCATTTGCTGATCTTGCTAGCAGACACAAGTCCTTGTTGTAAAGCCACCGTCGGTGCGGCTGAAGGAGTACGGTGACCACGTAGTTGACATTACGTCAGGTGTAATTCGCAGGCTGGTAGGTCGGGCACAGTCGTTATTCGTGAAAATATCAGCACTGGTTTTAAATGAGAATGGCCCTAGCAGTGATGGATGGCAGGTGGGCTGTAGATCCTGAATGACTTCCTGATCAAGCGTAGGGATCTAGGTAAGGAAGAATAGTATAACCCATGCCCATCACTGTGGTAATAAAGAGAGGTGTGGCCATAGTTCCCACAATGAAATTCTCAGGAGCATGACAGTGAGCTAAAGCAACTAAGCAGCTATCCTTCCTGCAAGGGTTAACAGCATGCTCGCTGATCAGGGATACAGATATGGCTATCTCTCTTTCGCCATTCTTCCTTATGCTTCAATGGTCTGTCTTGCGAGTCGCTCGCTAAATCCCGCAAAAGAGATGTCCGGTGACCCAGAGGCATCCTCCGAGGTGTATGAAAAATCAGACTAGCTATGTTCATAAATCATGGTAGTAATGTAAGCCACATTCTCGTAAGATGCAGCCATTACCTCATCTCCATACACAGGTCTGGAGAGCGTTCTCCACGTCACGGCGACGGAACCCCGGCGTCCACCCAAGGCATATTGCATTTGCGGACAGTGCTACCAATAAGTGAGTATTTATGACTGAAAAGCAAGGAGCAGAATCAAGAAGGTCATACCCTGTATGAAACGTGCTGCATTGATCGCTGTTCCCTTGAGGCGATGGCGCGCGTGATCCATGGGAGGATATGCGAGAAGATGTACATCATGCTCCCGCAGGTATCCTTCCAGGTCACCCATGTCGAACCAGTCCCCTTCAAGCTTGGTCTGTATATCTTGCGGAAAGTGCGATAGTGATCGCACGGAAACCCACCGCACTCCAGGCCGGAATGGACGATCAGCTGCTTTACACTTCAGGGAAGATCGAGAGTAATGGGTTCCTGCGCCCCCCAGACTGAAGAAGGGTACCTCTTCCCACTCCTCAAAATATCTTCGACTCTCTTTCTCATTGAGCGCGGCTTGAAAATATGACGCGATACGATTCCTGTCCATAATCTGAAGTAGTAGGCAGAAATGCTTCCGTATCCGGTCTATACTGATGGATTCGTCACAAAGGGCGAAACACCCTTGATAGACACATGACATGTGGAGTCTATCTGTGAACACAGTCAAGTCCATTTCGGCTGTTTCAAGTGACTCGAAGAAGCGAGGAATGTTTCTGTTCCGCGTCTGCCTAAGCTCCAGCTGTAGACTAGGCTCTAAGATGGGGGAAACGCTCTCGTCCAGTTCCACAATCTGTGCTGATTGTCTGTGCTGTTCATGCGCCAGAAAATCTGGCAAGCCATCTTCGGTTTGGGGTGGCGAAATCATCGTAACCTCCTGAGGGCTATCATTGCTAGCCTCTCTGGCTAGGGTGAGACATGTCTGTACGGTATCGCGCAATTGCTCTGTCAGACCCGCATGTGATGCCAACACTCCTGACTGAACCAGCTCGTCACTGAGCGATAAAACAGCCGTGCTCATTTTTTCCACGATGCCTTCGAGTTCCGAGATGCGACCTTTCAAAGACGAGAGGTTGGCCTCTTTTCGTGAACGATATGCGCGTTGCGCAAGTCGGATCTGTCTCCGACGTCTCTGCTCAAGTTGATCAATGTCCCGGTAGTAGCGCACAAACGAACAGAGCCTCGCCTACCTCTTCTGGATCTTCATCTGCGGTGTCATCGACTACTTTTCGCGGTCGACCCCTTTTGGTGAGTGATGTTGAGCCGCGCTTATCTACGTCACTGCGAGTGCGTTTCAGAGACTTTACTGCCGGTTCAGCCGGTTGGGTGTCGTTATTGTAAAGAAGCAGTTGGTTTTCCGGTATGATTCCACCAAGAAGTGGGAATTGGGCATTTCGTTGTCTCCTGATCTGTTGGGGCACGGGATACGAGCAAGCCGAGAGCAGCGATGTTATCTGCGGGGCGGTCGAGTCACACTGAGATCCAAAAAACTCATCGTTGACAGTCTCCCAGGGGACTAAAGCCGTGTCTGAGTCGCTCATATTCATTTTTGAGAAGAGACAAAATATTTTATCATCATTCACCGTGATGGTTTGTTTGTACGGAAGAGCTGGTGGAGGTGGTGCAGAGAAAAGTCAAAGACAGAAGTGCTGCTGACATATCCTGTGCCTGCCGTCCTGTCGCCACACGTCACTGCATCCAACCCGTCCAGACCGGGTCCATTTATTCTTTGTTGGGGTGGATTAGCATAAAGTAAGGTTATAAACAGCTTAGAAACTTTACGTTATGCATGAATATCTCAGACACTAAGTGGATGATGTGCTTGTGAGTGTGTGCTGGTTGGGCAAAAGGGAGACGGAAAAGATGCCTCGGCTCGGGCTGTTCACTAATCAAAAATTTTGATCATCGTCTCATCCGCCCTACAACACCATAAACAGTGGGAACCAAGATTCCTTTTAAACCTTAATGCAAGTTAACTAAGTTAAGTGTTTTACAATAAATACTTATTTAGGCCGGTTTTCAGTTTCAGTACTTTTATGATGAATCTCAATGCAAAGCAATTCGCAAAAGAAAGCGCTTCCTATGTTAAGGTGGTCTGAGAAATACATGAATAATTCCAATCGCGACTTGGACCACTCGTATATCTGAATTGTATTGGTTCGTCTTTCTCATCCACTTGACATTCAATTACAATCAGCACATATATGTCAGCCTGAAAAGTAGTTAGATCTAAAATGGTCTTGATGATAATTCTGGTTTCACCGCCAAGACCTCAGGAAACGTTTACCGATCCACAGGCTTCCCTCCTTTCTAGACGACACACTCACAAGACACTTCCATAAGTATCATATAGTAATATGTAGGAGAACAATGATCGTCAATTTGGCCCCTTCATAACCAAAGTCACATCCCAGACATGGTTTTGAAAGTTTGCCCATTTATAATAGTCGTTTGGGTGTTGACGGTCTGCCCCAAGTAGCTCCATCTTTCTAATAACGTTTGCGTGAACGATTTCTCTTTCTCATCAGGGAAGGTCAATATAGCCATCTTATTCCCTGTTTGCTTCTGCCACTCCTTCGCGTCTCCATAAACTGACTGCGGGACAAGACACCCATCCTCAAACACCATGCCCATGTAGTCGCATCCCTCTAATGGATATGGATTCGACACCAGCTTAGCGGAAGCGGGGAGCCCTCCCAACTCGGACTCAAGAAATGGCGCCAATTGACCCCGGATACAGGCCTCATGAAGGGCCATTTCATCTCCGCCCTGAGTGAAGAACTTCGTGTAGGCTTGTCGGAGGTCACTCAGTACTAGTGTTCGACGGTTGCAAAATCCGTAATCCACGAGAACGCTACGGTGAGGTTTTGCATACGACAGGCGAGTGAACCGTTTCAACTCCCACACACTCTGGTACCCCGTTCCAACAGCGCTCAAAAGGGTCTCAAAGTTCCGCAAGTCTGCGATGGCATGGCCAAGACCGTACTTTTTGAAAAGATCGACCATCTTCGATTCTGCCATGGCCTTCCAGAACTCTTCGAATTCACATCTATCGACAAGCACCCTGTATAGCTTCGCCAATTGCTGGATTTCGTCGCCATCCCGAGCTGTGCAGAAACCAAGGTAAATCCAGTTATCCTCATCGGCGTCGGGGACATACCCATTTCGAATCTGGCAAAGGAATACATAGGCTTCGAGCTTTTCCCGGGGCTCCAACTCTTCATATGGAACCTGTTGATCTTCGCGCTCGAGTACATGTTTTTGAGTTGAGATTCGAACAGGACATTAAATAAATCAGTTATTTTGTTGGCAGCAAAGCCATCCTGCTGACTTATCCAACGGCTTTCAGCGTGGATCAAAGATGATGGTATCTGGGAGCTTCGAAACAGAATAAATTCCTTCAATTTGTTTTGCTGCCATGCCTCTCGAAGCTCATCCTCTTCCACACCCCACTCATTTACGAGTCTGCAGTACAGCCTGAAGAGTCTCTGTAGATCAGCCGCTGATGTAAAGTAGAGGAGCCCGAAGGCCTTAGCGACATCATCATCTTTGGGCAGTTCCTCTGTCTTGCATGCAATTATGAAATAGTCAACCTCGTCTATCGGTCGTCCAAGGCTGCAATCGAACTTATGTCTTAGCCAGTGAGTTGTTTGGCACTCTCTACTGCAGTAGAATGTTGAGCCGCATTTGGAGCAAGGAGTCAGATCCTCGGTTGCGGTACATCTGGCACAAGCTACTGATGTGGTTTTCGACGTAGGACGAGCACAAGGAATCTCTGGAGGCAATGCACTTTCCATATCGGAACTACGCGATATGTCTTGGGTGCAACAATCGGTTTTGTTCGCTCTAGAGTAGGTATCAATGAAATCCCTCTTCTTTTGACAAGACACAGAGCTCTTACCTGACATTGATTTCCCTTGGACTGCGACGTGACAGCCACTCTGATTCTCTCGCTTGGAGTTTGGGGTCCGGTACATGGCGAGAAAACGGTGACCAGACATGCATCTGTTCTGATGCAACTGGCGTTGAGAGAGTTGACTCTTTAACTGCAGAGATACGGTAATCAGATTGTAGAGCACATTCACGCTGCATTACATCCCGGAGGTTTCGAGCAGCATTGTCCAGTGTCTCATGGTACTTTTGCGGCATGACAAGCGATTTCGGCAATGTCCACTGCGAGTATACCTTTCCATGGTTATCACGCGCTTGAAAATGGGATAGTCTTTGCAGAAAGTGACCGCACATGAAACAGGTCTTCTTGCTAATGCCGAGATATTGTGGTGTTGGGGACATGCGGTCAGTACTCATGAGGTGTAGAGCCATCCTCACTTCCGCATGTACCCATTTCTTTTTGCGGAGGCACTCATCCAATCTCCCTCGCTCTCTGTTCGATAGCAATATTGGGCATAGTGAGGGTGATGGAGCTACTCTTTCAGCTTTGTATCCGGGCAGAAGCTCGATTTTCACCCGCTTGAAGTTCGAGATCTCGCGCGCTGCTTTATAGAATGTGTCAGCAGCGTTAAGAGGGCGACAAATAAAACCCAGCTCTTGCACTATCTTCTTTGCTTTTGGCACTACCTTAATCCTGGAATAGAAGTCGGTATTGTAGCAAATTTCGTTGACCTCGTTGACAAGGACATGTGACGAGATGCGTCGGGAAAGAAAGTCCTTTAACAAAGCGACCAGGCCGGTCACCCCTTCTACTGTTTTTAAGGGATCAATGAGTTGTTCGGCATGGTAGTCCAAGCGTGGGCTATAGTATTCGCTGAATTTCCTTTCCAGGTCCGGCTCAGGGCCCGGGTTGAAAGGATCTGAGGCCAATATTAAACCCAACGAGGGAGAAGACACATTTAATGCTCAAGCTTACCTCTCACTGCAAGCTGTTCCAGCGTGCTTGCCAAACTTTCTAGAAGATTAATGTCCTTGTCTTTCCAGGTAGCGTTCCGTGACGCGAGAATAGTAACCTCCTCTTCTCCTTCCCGTAAATACGTGCAAGTCACATAATGTGCATTCTTCTCATAGCACAACAATTCGGCCAGTCGATCTAGAAAGCACCTTTTCAAGTCCTTTGTACTTTCCGAAGCTAAAGGAGCGACAATGGCCGAGGATCCAAGTCCATAGTTGCCTAATTTCTCATCACTTGAGCTTTCTGCGTCTTCAGACTCTGCTTCGTCTTCGTCCTCTTTTCGTGCAAGGGGAGTACGCTGTTGGTGCTCGACCTGAATGATGGCAGCTAGCGTTGTGATCTGGGATTCTATCTCGTTTGGGAGATTCCAAACACCAGTCTCGAGGCCAGCTGGCGGGCGAGGCAGGTGGAGCTTCGTAACGTGTTTCATTCTGTTGTGAACAACAAGAGCTGCATGAAATAGAATCTATAATTCGGACCCTCGCTGGAATCTGAATCAGCGGATGGATTATAGCATGGTCAAAATTATGGTCAAGAGACAGATGTCAGTACTGGAGGCGGGGTTGTCGGGCGGGTGAATGCTACAACAGGGATGCTGCATGGAACGCTACAGAAACATAAACTCTTAGCTGAGTGGTCAGCCTCGAGATATTATCATGTGGTTAGCTGGCACCACGCATTTTACAACACATAGCGTGTGCTCAGTATGCCGTAGAAGGATATCTTTGCACAGCAAATCCATCCAGACCTAGCGCTATCAGTCTTGAGTACCAGCATCATATCCATCGCCTTACTAAGATATGCTATTCATGCCACCTCACCCCTAATCAGATTGAGTTCATCGTTGCGTATTGCTATGCGGAACATTCTATATTGACGTGACTACGTTGATAAAGTGTTTTGTTGGGCCAGCCATTCTGAATGGGTTGAACCTATTGCTGGTAAATGCTATGTCCAGGCTCTATGCGTTACCCCTGTCTATAACCTGCACCACTTGAAAGGTTGAATGATAACAGTGCTTTTGTTTCAAATATACAAACTCCACCTTTGAAAACTTTTTTTGGCGTTTATGCCGTAGCATACTCTTTCAGGTACGCGGCAAGCTTCTCAATGCCTGATTCGGGAATGGCATTGTAGTTCGACGCACGGATACCTTTACATCAAATCAGTCACGGTAGCCGACCACAGCTTTTAGTGTCACTTACCTCCGACGCTTCTGTGGCCCTTCAGGCCAGTGATTCCACGCTCGACAGCGCCCTTCAGGAAAGCCTTTTCGGCATCGTCGACGTTGCCACCCTGCGAAGATTAGCATCCGTCTCGAGACATCAGTTATATGGGCTGAGGGGCGTACCTTGATCACACGGAAGCAGGCGTTCATTCTTGAACGCACCTCCTTAGCGGGGACAACCTTGTACACCTCGGGGTAGGCGTCGAGCGTCTCATAGATGAGCTTCGCCTTTCTGTCGGCCACGGCCTGTTGTCCATCCACCTTATCGGGGAAGGCAGCAAGCAGCTTCTTCAAGACCTGGCCTGCAATATAGACACTAAATGCTGTCAGCGGGACCAACCCTGTAAGCTTGGTGGATCACTTACTCGAAGATCGGGAGAGTGTTGTACAAGCTGTTGTTCTTAGCCGCAACGGAGTAGTCGAGGATGGTGGGCGCAATCGGCAAGCCGAGCTTGCGCAGGATAGCAGGAGAGCAAGGGGTAGAAACAGGGGGCAAGAGGTCCTTCTTGATGATCACGCCCGTGATTCCGGCAACACCCAGGTTCTTCTGTCTTTTAGGGGTCAGTTAAAGTTTTGTCACGAAGATTGACCAGCCTTACGCTCCAAAGAAGATGATCGAGTAGTTCTAGGAATGGTCAGTATTGAACTGATTAGAATAACGGGGCTCGGGTACGTACCTGAACGGGGATACGTCTAGACAGGATAGTAGAAGAGAAGTCTCCAACGACAATGGGGTCCTCGTCGGTGCCCTTGGGCTCCAGAACCTTGGGGAAGCTGGGGAATTCAACACCATCGACAGTCTACGTGTGTAAGACGCGTTAGCGAGAATATCATGGTTGAGAAACTGTACACACCTCGTTCTCGCACTTGTAGACCATAGCAGCCTTGGGGCTCAGCTTCCAAGTCGACTCATCGGCGATCTTTCCGAACTTGCCGTCGTTAACGGTCCTGGAGTCGCTGGCGACGTTGACATATTCAGAGCCAAGAAGGCGAACAGCTTCCTGGCTGGCCTTCAGCGACCATCTGTGGGGCCATTTAGTATAGATTGTTCGATCGCTCTGGGCTTGGGTGACCATACGATCCAGTGACCAGGTAGTCCAGCTTCAATTCCGACTCGACCTTCTTGCGCAACTCGCTAATGACTTCATCCTCGCTGATATTGGCCTTCTCCTTGATAATCTGCTGTCTCTGCTTCTCAACCCAGATCGATACGAGGTTGTAAACGGTCGCATCGAATTGGCCGGATCCACCACCTTCAATCCATCAGCGAGTTGAAATTGCGAAGAGAGCTGAGGACAGCAATGTACCTTGCAGGAAGAGGATCTCATAGGTGTCGGGAATATCCAGGAAGTTAGCAAGGTCAGCCTTGGCGTTGTTCAGGATATTCGTCGCAATTTCGCTGCGATGACTGTGTTCTGCGACACCACTAGAAGTGCAGGTCAGATACGGTCGCAGATAAGATCGCACAGATCAGTGCCCCTCACAGTCCAGTGTCTTCGTAGTTCTGCAGCGCCTGGGCTGCTGTGGCGAGAACATCGGTGGGAAGACTGGCAGGGCCAGCACCCAGGTAGGTAATGTCTTCTCTTCTCATGATGATTGCAATTGCTGGTGTATTGTCTTGCTACAAGCGAACTGCAGAAGAATTTAAATGAAATGACGCGATCGGTGCTTGACTCATTAAGTCCGGGGCTACGCAAAGCGGCTTCCCGGGGGGTGTCTTGGGCCGGCCCTTCGTTTCCCCGGCGTGCCACAGGATTGCCCCTCGCCGGATAAAGAATGCTGTGGCATGTCAAGCCATCCTCGTGAGGCTTAGGCATGAGGCGCATGATAATGCAAATAGTAAGGGGTGTATGACAGCATTGGATATACGCAGGTGTGACTCAATGTGTGACTCAAAATAGTAGGCCAAAGATATGCTGTGTAATATGTGCGGAAAGCAAAAAAGGAAATCTCCCCGACTGGGAGTCGAACCCAGGTCTCCCGCGCTTGTTCCCAACTGGGATTGACAAGCGGAAATCATGACCGTTAGACCATCGAGGATTGTTGAGGGAATTGTCACAATTTAGACTATATGATCCTGCAAAGTATGAGCTACTGATACTGACAAGTAGGGACGAGCCTCTTAAGGCCATGCTCCTTGCCAGTAGAGTAAAGGTCCGTTGCAGCTGCACACCATAACTAAAACCTCGTCTAGTGTAGGTGCATATTTCGACACTCGGAGTCCTGGGTACTAAGATACATGTAACTACATTACACTACGATCCTGCGTGTTTCATCAGATCCGCTTACCGAGTTCCTGAAATCATCACATCTCTCTGCTGCTTTGTCCCTCATTAGCAATAGTTGGCTACGCCTGCTTTTGTATACAGTATAAATAGCTATAGTGAAATGTTATATGTGTGCTGATGTTGCCCTTCCTTATTTGCTGCCCACTCGGCTAGTTGGTCGATCATTAAATTGTCGGATATATATTCTCATGCAAACCTGCTGCGAAGTCTGACCTCATGCGTCCACTGAAACTTCAACATGCCATCACAGTATCGTCTGATAGTACTACTAGTAAGTAGTAGCACTACATGAACTTATTGCACAATCACTTAAACAGAAAGAGAGATGATGTCGCCCGCAAGGCGCTAGCAATGTAAGACACCGTGACACGCCTTTGGTCACTTCAACACTGGTGAACCTATCGACAATCCCAACACTAGTATCTATAGGTCGCACAGCACACTATAGACCCCTCTCAAACTCCTACAATTGAAAACCAGCGGAATATGAAATTTCAGCAAATTCGGCACTGCTGATAGCACTACGTGCTGTCACGATGTCAACAGTATCATCTATGGAAGTGGAAAAGCAGGACCCACCAACTTATCAAGTGGGGCCGGCAGCCAGCAGGGCCCGATTCTACCACTCCCGAATTTAGCCAAAGCATCCAGCTGCCAACAACCATCTTACTCTACCAGAACTCCTTGGGATCTCCAAATAAACACACCAAGATGAGCACGATTGCTGTGGCCGGTGGAACTGGCGGCATAGGGAAGACCATAGTCGAGGCGTTGCTGCAGGAGCCCAAGTATCGGGTCATTGTCTTGACTCAAAGTGTACGACCCCATTGACGATGCTTCGCGCGCACTAACTCATCGAAAGTCAAGAGCCCCAAGAAGGATCCCGTTCTCGGGCGGACGCAGCAAATTCAGATCAATTATGATGATGTTGACTCTATTGTCCAAACGCTGGAGAAGCATGCGATACACACAATCATCTCCGCTATCGGAATCTACACGGAGGAAGCCAACCAATCCCAGATGAACCTAGTCCAGGCTGCCGAGAGGTCTAGTGTTACGAAAAGATTTGTGCCCAGCGAATATTCAGTTATTCAAACCGAGGAGTATGTTCACCCTACTTGGTACTTACTAATGGCAAGTTTGCTAATGAAACAGTCTCCTACCCCACGATCCCAGCATTAAGTACTGGCTTGATGTAGCTGAAATGCTGAAGAAAACCAAGTTGCAGTATACTCGGGTCTGCCCCGGCGTCCTCATGGACTACTGGGGGATGCCTCGAGTGCGAACCAACATCCATCAACACGTTATCGGGATCGATGTAGCCAATTGCTGGGCCGGTATTCCCGGCGATGGCAATGACAAAATGAGCGTGACGTACTCATACGACCTGGCAGCATATATCGTGAAGCTGCTTGATCTTGACGAGTGGCCTGAATTCAGCGTCTTTGCAGGAGATGATGTTACCTACAACGAGCTTCTTAAGCTTGCTGAGGAGGCCAGAGGTATGTATTTCGAGCATCTACAAAGGAATTTGACTAACTTGACCAGGCAAAAAATTCGACGTTATCTACGACAGTGCCGATAAGATTAAAGAAGGCCAGGTCACAGTGCCACCGTTTCTCACCGGATATTCTGAGGCGGAGGCTCTAGAGATGACCGTGCTGGTGAGCCGACTCACCATTGCCGGCGCTTTCGATCTACCAAAGGAGCGTATGAATTCTATGTTTCCCGATATTAAGCCCATCAAGATGAGGGAGTTTCTCATTAATACATGGAAGGATGAGGCATAATCATGGATAGATCATATTGAGTGAATGATATATCTAGTAGTTTCTATGCTGAGACTTGGTAATTGCAGAAGAATGGTATATCAACATCACCTCCCCAGGCATTGCTCCCCACCCACACCATAGTAAGTAATCGATCCTATGGGGCGCATAAAATATCATCAATGGCCAGGAACCCAATCAAAGATCTTCGTCGTCATCCCCATCCATGGCTCCCTTGAAGGGGTTATCGAATACTAACACATGATCATCACCTGCAAAGATATTAGCATATCCTCCATCTACCACGTGCGTAGGGGCACAGCATACAGTCAATTGTGTCCGCATCACTTTCTGCATCAGTGATATGTCCAACCGCATTTACAATATGTGATGTCACATTGTTGAGGTGTAGCATATCTATCAAGGATTCCCCGTTCTCCTGCGGTGGCTGGCTCAATGCTGGTGTTGGGACTTGAGTCTCGTGTTCGGACATTGTACGATGTGTTTTAGTATTATGACAGTGTCTAATGCCGAGGTAAGGAAGTCTTTGAACAGGATAGCATATCAATAGTGGCTGACCCCAACCAGGTCTGCAGAACGTCAAGATTTATACCCATAACATCAATGACTGGTTGCCACCAATTATGCTGTGCAGTCTGACATCAGCGAAAGCTAAAGCCTGTTTCCTTCAAAAGAACTTGGAACATTGTTCGACGGATAAAGCCTTAGGGTTTATTTACTGTGCTATAAAACCAAGATCTTTGTGAAGGCTCTCTTGACAAATTCGGTAAGAGGGTCTGTGTTTAGAGTACATTTTATTCGTTCGTTATATGGAGAAGAAACATTATCGAGCACCAAGCGCTAACCCGGGGTAATAGCTAATCCGGAGCCACCCATAATATCATCACTGTCTTGTAACATAACCTTAGAACATCAGATAACTTTTCAATCGAAATCCTCCACATCCCATGTTGAATCCGGCGGTCCATCTGTGATACCAATTAGCCACCTTCTATCTTCCATCATCACAACCAACAGATAGCATACAGCCGTCTTGAATAGAAAGCAAATACCCAATAGTCTCAATCAAACTCGGCGAGTCCTCCGTAGGAGGGACCTCCTCGATGAGCTCCTCCAGGCTAGGAGAACTGTGATTTTGACCCCCAAGCTCAGGTTCAGGCTTCCTGACTTCTTCAACTGTGATGCCCATAGTATTCTTCTTAGATGTGGTGGACATGACGATGAATGTGCCCCCTTAGGGAGACTATCGATAGATAGATAGATATTAGAGAGAGACACTCAATAGTGTAGTTTCTCGGTAGAGCACTGTGTAGCGCAGGTACTAGCTACAACTCCTTCCCTCCATCACGCATCAAAATTCGCCATCACAGCCAACTTAAATAGCGTGCAACTACACCCAAAATATTAAGTCTTGACATCAGAAAGATAATCCATAACCTAGGCTCATTGGGCAGGGTAGACTGGTAGCTTTAATTACTCGCGACAAAAAAGGTGAAGTCATGGGATCACTAATGAACTCTCGACTAGCCGAGGGGAGCGTGCTCAATTTTGTGTCTGTCATCGGGTCTTGATGGAAGCTTGCTGGTCAATCTGGGGTAGCTGCCCTTGGTTTGATTTCCAGGATTCATGGGGCGGGTGGCCTGATAAGGTACGACCAAACCTAGTTTCAAACCGTGGCAGATCGACTCTGGGTACGTTCTAATAATCTGGAACCGATGCCAGGGGAGGAATATGGTTGGGCTTCTGAGATTGGGAGGAGCTGCTGATTCATTGAATCTGATCGTTAGCTGAACAAGAAATAGCTACTGGATCCGGATGGTCCCGAAGTGCTTGCTTCTTGTGTGTTTGTGGTGTCCACTCTTTCAGCAGCACATGACCTACCCTTGTGTACTTGGCTCACTAAACGTGCGACTAATTGGGTGTTCACAGACGACATGTCTTTCTAAGCGCCCGACCGGCGGCCTGATCAATACACACACTCAATAGAGCCAAAAAAGAAATAGCAAAGAGAACAGAACTTTTTTCCTGAGGAAAGAAAAACGAAAAAAGAAAGGATTCAAGGCCCGAGCCGCGGATCGAACGCGGGACCTCTCGCAGATATGCTTGGGTTTGTATCCCTAAGCGAGAATCATACCACTAGACCACCCGGGCTTGATATATTATGCTGCTCTGTTTTTTGGTATAACAATGGGAAGGATATGAATTCTTGAGCTTGACATTCCTCCAAGCTAAACAATAGACGGTTGCACCTGCCAAATACCATTCAAGATATCAACATAGTTCCTAAACCCCTAAATTCAATCATTAGATTTAGTCCTTGGGTAGTGTGCGGAAACAGAAGGGGTAAGTATGATGTCAAACCTTTCCACAAGGAGAAACACTCACCTCACAGTACCTTTTCTCCGTTCCATATCACACCCGGTAACACCATCAAGCAATCATGCAATCAAAATATTACTGTATCGGTGCAGGATTCTGCGGGACAGTCTGGACCCTCGCTGAAGTTGGTCTAGCCATCAAGCGAGAGGATGGCGGTCCAGACAGGTCCCTCGCTAATGATTATGCTATGAACCAGCGAGTTCTTCGGTGTCTCTCGCGACTGACAGACATCAAAAGTCGAAGATCCATTAACTACCAGGCATTTCCCCAAGTTCGGGTCTCACAGTGCCATCGCTTCATCCCCCCAAGCGATCGGTGGTGGTCGGAAAATCTTCCTCTCTTTCCATCGCAACACTCACCCTGCAATGCCATCGTCTCAGACCGCATCCCCCCATTTCCTGAGCAGACTAGAGAGCTCATTGTCAACAAATACTTCAATCCAAAGATACAAATGGAGATACTGACAACCGCAGCCAATAGAGACTGTCTGATACGGCCGTATCTGGGTAGGCGACGGACGCAGAGGACCGGAATCAGCAGACCCTCGAGATCTGCGACTTTCTCACTGCGAAACTACCCATACATGAAGACCAGATGGAAGACATTGGTATCTCGATCGAAAACATGCAGAAATATGCGCGAATGATGGGTGAAGCATTAGCAACTCTACACTGGCTCGGCGAGATGGACGGAAATGATATTGAATTTGTCCTGGCTCCTCTCCCTTTCGATGAACAACAACCCAACACCGACCTAATCACCGATGTCCTCGGTCAGCATACTATGTGGATGCTGGACTTCGATTTATGTCAGCCTATGCCCATGAGCGATGATGGGGTCCAGCAGGCTGTTACTGCTTTTTGGCGCAATGATCCCTTCTATCCCCGACCGCAGAGAGAGCTGTGGGATGTATTTCGCGAGCAATACTTGATAACTAGCGAGACCATCATTTCTGGGTATAATCAGGTCGATATTGATCAGCGACTGTCGCTTGCTCGAAGATTTATTGAATTGATTGAGACAAACTAGGAGTACTACAAAGTGGCTTCAGATCATGACAATCCAACGAATTTCATATGAACGGGAAATGGCCTTTTATGAGTATGCGGTGACACGTATGGCCGTGATGTGTTGTAGCAGGCTGCATTAGGCATCGGTCCGGATACCACTATTTACTGGGCGGTCTGAGGCCTAGAACGGAAAGCGACACGAAGCAGGCACGGATCAGAATCTGGCTCCCCTACTTTCCTGCATGCCATACAAATCTTATGCGAAACGAATAAGGCTGCAGATTTAACAAGCTCCAACAAGGCGTTTGCTCTTCGACATATGGTTATCTTGGGGCCGGACGACTAGGATGAAATCGGACTAGCTGGCTGCAAGGGAAGTAGATCAGCCCAGCTGTCCCTGCGGATGTCAGACGGTCAGTCGCTTGACTCAGAGGAGGTACCTGGATGACACAGAATCCAATAAATCACCGACCTTGTCAGGCGACGAATCGCGACCGTTCTCTCTGCTTATCTTCCGACACTTACGTGGACGTTGAATATCAACTTGACTCGGACTCCGATCGTGTATCCAGAGCGCGGACTAATCTATCAAGCAAGCGCCATGCCAGGATTTTCCCTTATAGCCGAGACTTATTATAGCGCCATGACCAGGATGCCTTCATGGCTAAGTGGGAACTGCACATATCAGAGCCACGAACCGTGGCACCACTCATGTGACGTAATGTCGATCCATGCGATTTGGGTGTCGCGGACCCGGTGACAGGGGTCGCTCCAAGTCACTCCAAGTCTGGGCCCCGTGTCCTGGAGGACCGTGTGTTGGCATTCCGATGGCGCGGGGTTTTTCTTATAACGGTGCTCGGATCCTTTCTCCCCTTCGTGTTGTTGTCTTTCTTTCTTCGTTAGACGCGGATTCTTCTTCAGAAGCTGGAATCCCGCTTCCTGTTCTTCTTGTCTCACGACATCAACCTATGGAAAGATTTCGTCGCTAGCAGGTCGCGCGGGTACGCTTCTCTTGCAGTACCGCAGCGATCTCCCTCCGCTTGAAGAGAAGAGACCTCTTCTCGATCGACAGGGAATGTTTCAAGCACTTCGACAGTGACTATAAACGTCTACTTCCTCGGTACCATAAGGGCAGTCTCAGGTATGCGTTTGCAAATGGCATCGTCAATGATCAAATCGGATAAAGACGCTAATGATTTTCTAGTTCTGATCAGCACCCCGCCCGACCATATTTGCCAGTCGACCAGTGGTACGAAGATACGATACTATCAGACACCTTGTCAAACACAATGGCACAGCCGGCTGAAAGTTCGGTGAGCTACGAGCTTACCAGGAAAAGCCATATGGGGGGAGAATGCATTCTGAAGCGCTTTTCGCAATGGTTTTGGTCGGTGTGGATGATCGCCGGGTCTGGGACCCACGATGCCCTTGCGGATCCCGCGAATCACCCCAGAGCGACAAACGGTGCCTCCACAAAGACGAACGGTTGTGCTGGCACAGCAAGAGATGGTTTGTCTGCCACTGGAGAATGCGATACAGGACTGCGGGAACGGTCCTCCGAAAACGAGCATAGTTATCCTTGCAAGGCGTGCCAGACATGGGGTGTTGTTTGCGACCAGCAGAGACCGCGCTGCTCGCATTGTTTGGATCAGCAGATACTGTGCTTCTATGTGGCACCTCTGCAAAAACCACCGAAGCGGTCAACCAAGTCGCGTTCCCGCCACGTTGAATTAGTAAATTCACCGCCACGTCTATTGGCAAATTGACTAGAATGAATCATGAGTGAATGGAGATACTTTGGTGGAACATTTGACGGAGCTCTTCTCTCTATCATCGCGATAGTTTATTTTCCGGCCGATAAGATAGGCATGTGCCTTAGATAGCTCTATCGCCCAGTCACCCCACATGCGGGGGAATGACTGGCATAAGGTTGCTCGTGGAAGTGACATTCGGGGCCAAATGACTGATCACATACCGTACATTCCCATATGCTGGATCCGGACGAACAGTAGCATGGTGAGGACATGGACGATTCGCCACCGTTCCCTATGGCGGATATCCAACGTGGACCAAAGCGACTGTTTCACAATCAAACAAAAGACCGTCCAAGCTTAAGATTTCACTGATCGGAATTAAATTAGTCGTTCCCCGCGAATCGTTGATTTACTTACCTCGGATACTTGTTTCCAACGTGTGCCATTGCTAGCAGTCGTCGGAGCACTGTCAGCCGATTCCCCCGCCACAAGGTAGCACCTATTTAGAGATGGATTCTCTACGAAAGCGCAAACTAGACTTTGGATCTGACTTCTTCATTCATAACAAAGACGCACAAGGTGTGTTTCAAGGTTAGTTGCCCTGCTTAGACAATCCCGCTTACCGTTCGTTTGTCCATCAAGCTGATCAACGTGAATGAGAACAGATGGAAGCAGAATACATTCGAATTGCAGAAGCAATTCAACAAGAAGCTCGCAAGAATGACAAGAAGCGGCTTCTCGTTGCCATAGCTGGAATACCAGGCTCTGGCAAGACAACCACAGCCTCAGCCGTCGCTCAACAACTCCGAGCCGAGTCACAACCAAACAAAATAGCCCTCATTTCCATGGACGGCTTCCATTTGTCGCGGGCGGCATTGGACACACTCCCTAATCGGGAAGAGGCATATATTCGGCGCGGTGCGCCGTGGACATTTGATGCAGTTCGTTTCGTTACGTTTGTTCAACAGCTACGACAGTGGGCGGATTCTACCCCGTTTCCCTCAGACGGAGGCTCATCGTCTGACGCTACTGTAATATATGCGCCGTCATTTGATCATGAGGCGAAAGACCCCATTGAGAATGGCATGGTTGTTACAAGCGATGCCTCGATTATCATTATCGAAGGCAACTATCTCCTGTTAAACGAAGAACACTGGCGTGATGTCTCGCAACTAGTCGACTATCGCATATTTGTCGATGCAGACTTGCAGGAAGCTAGGGGAAGAGTCGCTCGACGTCATGTTAGTGCGGGGATTGAGAAGACGCTGGAAGATGGTTTTCGTCGTGTCGACAGCAATGACTATCTGAATGCGCTGCATATCCAGGGGAAACTGATACGGCCTGATATGGTGGTTAAGAGTGTGGAATTGACATAGACACCATTTCGTGTACACATCTACAATACAAAGCGCTCATAATGGGACATCTTCACACTGAAAGGAAGCTAGATTCGGGCGATGATCGGAGCGGACTCTTTACTCCTTGATCTTGCTTTTGTGAAAAACATCTACGAACCAAATTAGTTATTGCGCACCATGAAGACAAGACAGACCAGACACTCACCCGGAATCTCCGGCATCCAACGAACCCTACTCTGACAGAAAAACTCTCCCTTCGGCGGCAACACTTCCGGATCATCCAATGTCCCTACACAAATATACCGGAAATCATTCTTGACAGCATCCTGTCCAACACCCATTAGCAGAGCACTCATGCCACTCCCACAAACGAGTCCCCTAGAGCGAAAGAACATACCCCATACTCGCAAATATAGCTCCCACAATCCCCACAAAATTCCCGATGTATTATACTTCCGGACCCATTATCACCCACGTATTCCTTAAGCTTACCGGATGTGATCTGAAGGGCATCTTTGGGGACCTTGGCGGTTAGACCGTAGTTTGTTCCGAAAGCTTTCTATAACCCCGAAAGGTGTTAGTCAATTGAACACCTTGTGGACAAAGTTTAGGTGTAGATCGTAGATCAGAACCGTGGAGCTATCTGGCTAACCTTGCAGCTGCTGCAATGGCAGAGGGACGTGCGGGCATCGTCGGGAGACGAGAGGTTGAGGTTATAGGTGATTTTGTGACAGAAGCAGGAACCAGGGTAGGATTGCATCTTGGTCAAGTATCGATGGGTTTGATGATATAGAGCGATTCTTCTTGGTATGTTATGTGCAGTAATTGAGTAAAAATCATTGTTGAGGTTATAATTGAGAATTCTGGGATTGTTGTATAGAGCGATGCGCCTGACGAATGTTGACGTCACGGCAGGACTGCCCCGTCGCAGAAAGACACTCATGATCGGCGCGGACATTTTATCTCTGGCAATTGGGCAAATTCATTTAATTTCTTATCAAAAATACGAGATAATAATGGAAAAGCACATGAGAGCAAGCTAATGGCCATGGCACAAGCTATATCAGCCCTCGATAATCATCGTAAGATTGATTGTCTGTCATGGACGCAGCGATAGCGTGATGTGACCATGACCGAATGAATCCCCTCATTTCTTTCGGCAGTTACCCGATCAGCTGACGCTCTGAGACTGTTTGTCCCATCTTTTATATACCCCGACTATCGCCGTCTTCTATTCATTCTTTTTTTGTCAAGAAACGGTGGTCCCGCCCCACGCGTATGCTGATCAGCCGAAAGGCTTGTTCCTTCTCTCTCTGTACATGCCGCATCGTACATAGAAGTTTCACCAGGCGTAGTTTACCCGCCACTTTCACAATGTCGCACAAGGAACAACCTCACGAGTCGCAACTTGAGAAGCGCGCTGTCGTTTCTTCATTTATCTTCCACTTTCCCAAGGGCCATTCTGAGAAACCTGTCGTTGCGCTGTTCAAGCGCAGCGATAAGGTGCGAACGTACAGGTTGGTTTACCCCGCACTCTTTGATTGCTGTAGACTTCCCACTGATTGTTGTGACGCAGCCATCATCTCGCTCCTATATCCGGCAGCATAAGTCGCAGCGACAATTCACCCCTCGAAGCAGCCTGGCGCGAACTAGCGGAGGAAACCTCCCTGGACGAATCTTCGCTCACACACTGGCGCACAGGGAAGCCGTTTACCTTTGAAGATCAATCTGTTAATCGCGAATGGACCGTCCATCCGTTCGCATTCAAGCTCAAAGACACGTCGGAAGGAGGAAAGGGTGAAAGCGGTATTAAGATAGACTGGGAACACGAGGGGTGGGAATGGTACGATCCGCAATCGGTATTAGACAGGGAAGAATTGGAAATTGTACCGCGTCTAAAAGACTCTCTGCGACGAGTCTGGTTTGAAGGAGAATTGAATGAGCGCGCAGCAAAGGCACTTTCACTCGGTCTAGAGCGTCTACGGAGCGACCATGAGAGTGGAGCACAGGAATTGACTGCCATCGCGCTAGTGGCCTTCCGGGATTTCATCGTCCAGACGCAAGACGAGATCAATAGTGAGGAGTGGTGGAAGACAGTTCGCATGGCAGCGTGGCATGTTATCAAGAATGGCCGAGAAAGCATGGGCGCGGCGACGATGAATGCCCTGATTGCCGTTCTAGACGAGATAAAGGACATACTCGGCGACGAGAAGACAAACTCGCAGCACAAGTGGGAACGGGTCCTGAATGTGCTCGATCACCATATCAAGTCTCGGAAGAGTCGTCAAACGCAAGTGAAGGATGCGTTTGCGAATTACATCCGATTTAAGTTTCTGCATCACGGGGAAACTTTGGATAAGCTCACTATTTTGACTGTTTCGGCTAGCTCAACTATCCGGGACAGTATATTGGAAGCTTATGCGTCGCTGGATATCCGAAAGCTGGAACTCCGTATCCTCGAGTCGAGACCACTATTCGAAGGCACAAGTATCGGCTCATCCATTCTTAGCAACTTCAAGTCACGATTCCTCGAAACCCCCGGTAAGGAACTGAAAGTGAAAATATACACAGACGCATCTGCTGCATTGGCCGCAGCCGACGTGGATCTGTTACTTCTCGGTGCAGACCGCATATCCGGCACGAAGGGGGTGAGCAACAAGACGGGGTCATTGCCAGCCGTGCTTTGCACAAAGCACGTCAGCCCTAATGCGCAAATCGCTGTCCTCAGCGACCTCGAAAAGATCAATTGTGTTGGGAGTATGATCGACGATGACCACCACGAAGACAACGATCCGATGGAGGTCATCAGTGCCTGGCGCAACGATGGCGTCAAGGCAGTCAGAGTGCTAGAAGATGGCATGAAAGGAGCTGATGCAGAGGGGTCGTCGACTGTCGAGGTGAAGAACATATACTTCGAATGGGTGCCGTTGTATATGGTTGATGCGTTTGTTAGCGAAGAGGGCGTCATGGATGAGAGCCGCATCCGGGAGAGATCAAAGCAGTTGGGGGAGACGGTTAATAGGTTTTTTGAGGACTTGTAAAGCTGCCATGGTGATTTGAGGTCTTGGAACGGGATAGTGTGTTAGTGAAGCGAAGCATATTATAATATCTACTATCAGAAGCTATATCCTACCATATTACTCTAATGCAAACAGGTCACTTCCTCAGAAATGTCAGCGCAGCCAAACACAACGCATCTACCCCCGTCCTCAATGTCGGCTGCACCACCGGCGCAAAAAGCGCCGAATGATTGCCCGGAATCTCCTCAATCTTCCCTTCCGCCGCGGCCCTATCCCAAACCTCCTGATCCACACCTCCAAGAAGCCAAAAGCAACTTGGAATATCCCGACAAGTAGCGAGGGTACTAAAGTCCTCGGCGATATTAGTCCTCGGCACATCAGGATCGAAATCCTCAAAATGCTCCCCAAACGTCTCCGCAACCCTCCTCGCCACAACCCCATCATTCACCGTCGGCGGAAACCTCCTCGTCGGCGTAAAAACCGGCGGCGCAGGCGACCCACTAGCTGCACACTCGGCCTGGACAATCCTTTTAATCCCCGCAATAATCTGCTCTCTAACCTCCAACCTCACAGACCTAAAATCCACGCCAATCTCTGCCCGATCCGCAATGATATTCTCCGTCTGACCCGCCTGCAAACTCCCCACCGTGAGGACCGCCAAATCCGACGGATTAATCTCCCTGCTCACGATGCTCTGCAATCTTACCACAATATGCGCCGCAAGCAACACCGGATCAACAGTCTGATGCGGCTGCGAGCCATGCCCGCCCCGTCCAAACACCGTGATCTTCATACTATCTGCCGCGGCCATAATGGCACCCACGCGAGACGCGACACTCCCGGCCCGCATGCGCATGACATGCTGGCCGAGCACCACATCCGGCACGGGGATGCGCGAGTAAAGCCCATCGTCGACCATGGCTTGCGCGCCACCTCCGCGCTCTTCGTCGGGCTGGAATAGCACGATGAGCGTCCCGCTCCAGGCGTCGCGCAGCTTGACGAGGGTTTCGGCCGCCGCGAGAAGACAGGTGATGTGCATGTCGTGACCGCAGGCGTGCATGACGGGGCGGTCATTGCCCTCTGTGTCGTGCATGGTGATGGTACTGGCGTAGGGGAGGTTGGTTAGTTCCTTGACCGGGAGGGCGTCCATGTCTGCGCGGAGCAGGACGGTTTGGTGGGGTTTGTCCTCGTCGGTGACATTGCGGAAGACGCCGGCGAGACCGTAGCCGCCGATGTGGGTGTGGATGTCGAAGACGCCGAGTTGGGTGAGATGCGCGGCGAGTTTTTCGGAGGTGTGTTTCTCTTGGCGGGAGAGTTCGGGGTGCGCGTGGAAGTATTTGTAAAGGTCTTCGTAGGGGGTGAGGTCTACGGGGGATGAGTTGAGGAGGGATGATATGGTGGTGGTGGAGTGAGTCATTGTTGGTTGTGGTTTGCGGGTTGCGGGTGGTTGTTTAGATGGATTGATTAGTAGTGGTTAGTTGAATGTGGCGGGGATGAAGAGAGATGGATGTCGGTGTAAGCTGGAGGTTAATGAAGCTAACTAGTCCGTAATGGATCTAGTTTGGTCACTAAAGTTGTAACTAATATTGCATGATAATGGAGTGGTATTTTTAGTCTTCTATGTGACTAACGGCAGATCTTTGACTGTATACAGAGTGCAAACTGCACATTTGCAAAGAGTTCAAGGTCAATGCTTAACCCCTCACAGTATGTGTTGCTTATAACGACCTTTATGATCTACTTCTAGCAGGCAATTACCAACTCGCCAACCAATCAATGCGCATGAATGTACTATCAATGTTTCTCGTCATCTAAATAAATCAAGGCTAACGCCCTCACCGCTTTTCCCCACAACTTTTTGCCGCTGTCACTCCACATTGACACTGGCTATCGATAACCAAAGCTCTCCAGATAAACATCGCTCTATTTTACAATATACTCACACAAGAAGACAAAAGAGGGATAAGGAGGGAAAGTTTGACCAAGGAAAGGAGAAACAATGCTGACTAGGAACGGACTACTTCATTCATTGATCACGTCCAGATTCTGCCTGCAGCAAGATTAAAGATCATAACAACCAATATCACAAGCTGTTAGGGGATTTGCAAGCGACACGTGAGAAAGATAGCACGGAGTGCCCATGCCGGACCCCGAATTTTCTTTCCAAGCGAGCCAGGAGTTTCGGCGTCATAACTTCGGTCCAAAACCAACCCTTTCAAATCATCGGCCATCTGGTACTCCGACGTCCGTGTTAGCCGCTCAAACTATGTTTAGATTTCCGCTCCCGAACGCCGAGCTGTAAGCCCCGAACCCCGTAGTTGTTATAGGGCGTCCAATAATTCTGCGACACAGAGATTCGACCTCATTTGAGATGCGCAGCATATTGGGCTTATTAGAGTTTTTTTTTTTTGCTTTTGGATACTAATAATTTATTAGAAATTAGAGATAAAGCCTGATACTAATTTGAACATTACTTCAGAAATCAATTACTGTATTATCCTATTACAGGTCTGTTTGTATCTGGATCACTTATCTGATTTTGTATGGATCATATGTTAAGATAATATTCTTCTTGTATGTACAGTGCTGTATTACTTCGTATTATTTAGTATATATTCTATGAAGTTGAAGTGAACTTATTGGTAGTAGTATTCAGGACTATATTTCCCTATCACGGACTATATAATACCTACATAGCTAGTATCTCGGAATTGTGTTGTCATTCGCGCCAACGCATTGACACGAGTTGTCGGAGCCGGTCTCAACGGATATGGACTTTCCGCCTGACGGAGCATGCAATGTAAATTTGCGTCTCTTTCAAGGGAAGAGATAGTGCCCTTCGCTCTGAATTGGACGCAAGGTCGGACGCAGGAGGGAATGGACATAACCGAGGCTAGTTACCTCCCCCGCCTTCCCACGGTCGGTTTTATTTCATCTACTATATATGCGGGGATTCGTTCTTCAAGTCGGATGGTAGGGTTTGCTTCTTGCCACGCTCCATCTCATCATCGCCCATCTATTGAGCACAAAAACTATATCGTTCAGAGATGGCTCTCAACAAATTTCTACAGACCGACCGTGAGACATACCCCTATGTCTTCATGAAGAATGTCGACATTCCTTTGAAAAGCTCTGGCAAAGGAGTCGTCCGCGGCAACGTCTATCTGCCCAAAGACGCCACCCCATTTGGCTCGCAAACCTACCCGGTGATCGCAACCTACGGTCCCTGTTTGTATCCTGCTAGCAAGTGATCCAATGCACCATTAACATGGTCCTAGATGGAAAAGACGTGCCGTATTCCGTCTTTAATCGGAGTAGCTTCGACGAGGTGAACCCGCAGCACAAATCCGCCCATTCAGCATGGGAAACCCCCGACCCAGGGTTTTGGACCCAGCGGGGATACATCGTCGTGAGAGTGGACGAGACAGGAACTGGGCAGAGTCCCGGACAATTGGATGTCCTGTCCCGTGCGACCAGCGAGACATTTTTTGATGTGATCGAGTGGGCTGCCCAGCAGGAATGGTCAACCGGCAAGGTCGGCTTGCTTGGGGTCAGCTACTATGCCGCAACGCAGTGGAGTGTGGCAGCCCGCAGACCCAAGGGGCTGGCCGCGATTATTCCCTGGGAGGGCTTCAGTGACTATAACCGAGAGGCTGTTCGTCATGGTGGCATCCTCGCAGACCAATTCATGGGTTGGTCAACCTCCCCCCTGATATGCCCCAACATTTCGCGATATTGACTGCACCGGCTGTTTGGGGCGCCGTACAGAGATTTGGTGGTCTCGCCAAGTACTACCCAATCAATATGGCACCCCCGGTCGCTGGGGTGACCCGACCCTCGAAGGGGACCTGGATTCGGAGAGCCGGGCCCAAAACCTGGCTGGCTTGACCGTCAACACCGTCCGGTATCCGTTCGCGGACGACGATTACAACAAATCTCGAGTGTTTGCCGTTGAGGATGTCGAAGTCCCTCTTCTCAGCGTAGCCAACTGGGTAAGTCATCAACGAGGCCTGCTATGAATCCCGCGCGTGTACTGACGTGAGGGCTAGGGTGGTATCTTGCTGCACCTGCGTGGCAATGTGGTCGGATGGACGCGAGCGTCTTCTCGGTACAAGTTTCTGCGCTTCGTTGTCGGCCGACATGATTTACCCTTCTACTGGGAACAATCGGCGGAGCTACAACAGTCATTCCTGGATTGCTTTTTGAGAGATGACGACCATGCGGGTTGGAAAACGAACCAGCCCCGGGTCTATCTCACTCTGCGGAACAAGGATTGCGATCCCAGAAACGAATTGGATCAGCCGGGTCGCCCCGAGGCAGACTGGCCTATTCCCGACACCCAGTATACCAAGTTTTTCCTTACACCCAAGCGTACTCTGTCTACCATACCCGCTGAGACAACAGGCACCTGTTCCTACGATGCGCTCCAGGGGTAAGCCACTCCTCTCTTGACACATCACTCCCTTATTGTGATCTGATTTCCGTCCAACATAGGGACCCTATCCAATTCCAATACAAGTCCAGCTCCTGCCTCGAAATAACGGGACATATCGTTGTACACTTGACCATTTCCGCATCCCGACTCACTCCTAATGATGCACCCCCTTCTGATATAGACATTTTCGTCACCCTGCGCAAGCTGGATAAGGACGGGAACGAAGTGTTCCATACAGGGACCGTCGGCGATCCGGTTCCCGTTGTCAAGGGTTGGCTGCGTGTTTCGCACCGCAAAGTGGATGAGACACATCCTCTGCACCGCCATTACCTGCCATACCGCAGTTACTCCCGTGCTGATGTGCTGCCGGTGGTTGAGAATAACAAGTATCCGGTTGACGTGGAGATGTGGCCGACTAACACCGTGCTGGAAGCCGGAGAATCACTCGTGCTTGAAATTGCGGGTCACGACACGCAGGGTGTGGGCTTGTTTTCGCATCAGCATCCAGAGGATCGCGCCCCAAGCAAGTTTTCCGGCCTAAACCATGTAGAGGTCGGCAGGGATAGTAGCTGGATTTCGCTGCCCGTCATTCCACCGCGGAACTAGCACCCGAAATTCATGGTAGGAATAGGAATGGGAAGTGTCGCCCGCCTAAGGTAGCGGTACTAATGGGAACCTTCTCAGCCCTTTCAATATATCGCCATCTACATGGAGCTGGTCGCTGAGGATGAGCACATTGTCCGCCGGGTGAGCGGCCATGTCTCAAGCCCCCGATGCAGTGATCTCCCAGGACTGTCTTGTCGATTGTACCCACACGTCTCCGTCAACGTTATCCGCATCCCCAATAGTATGTCCATGAGTGGCCTAACCGCTGTGGTAGGTCATATGGTCAACCTATTCAACGTTCAGTTGACCAAGTTCCTGCACTTGAGTGAGCCCATGGACCCGGCGAAGCCTTGGGGGCCCTCCACGCATATACCTGTCCTCTTCGTCTGGTCGTCACTTCATCCACAAGTGTTTTTCTCCTTTATCGTTTCTCTCACGGCGCTCGTGCAAGCTATCAATGGTAACACTGTGCGGCGCAGTGGTCATTTACGCCTCTATCGGCAACCTGACTACGGCCACGTACGACGCATCAGTCTCAGTGACGTCCCGGAAGACTGGAAGTGCACAAAAGCTTCGTGCAACTCACACAGAGTTGAGAATGAGCCCCTGAGAACAGTATTTGTCCTGACCAGTGATAAAGAGGTGAGATCGTTGCCCTTTACTGACTTTTGAGGTTTTATGTTGTGAAGTTATGTCTCTCGCTTGACCGGATTTCGTTGTGTCCCAAAGCGTCACACTGAATACTACCTTCATCACGCCCTTTGTCTGGTGGGTATAAACCTATACATGAATGCATTACATATGGTATCTAGCCTGTACTCAGTTCTGTTTTCTCTTCGGTCACTACCCGTGTAATACTTCGGCGCGTCGCCTAATTCCTTAAGCTCAACGGGCTTGGGGCGATATACACCCGCATGGTTAGCTTACTGAATTTGGCCAGACTATTTAGAGTTGTCAAATAAGACCGTGTGACATGTATTCAAGCTGTCACTCCTCATAGAGAAGAGTAGCTATCATAACTACAGTGAAAGTGACTACGTCTGTTTGCATGATCTGAAAATTTCAGCTTTTAGATACAGCCATCCTAGATTACGACGTCACCATGTATATTGGCACGATTGATGAGATCAGCTCGGAGGTTGAGATAAGTGCGCGTGGTATGATGAATCAGCTTTTGGACTTCTTCAACGTATTGGAGAAGTACCGTGCGTCTATTTTGGACATTCTAGACGAACAACAGACAGCTGTAACAAAGACTTTGTGGTAAACCACTAGTGCAGCCAGCAATATCAAACGGAAAGAAATAGCCGATTTTTTTTTTCCCTCCGCAAGTCTCAGTCAAGTTTCCTCGAGCAAGTCGGCGGTCGACCACCGGTCTTTTTCTCTGCACCGTGTTTCTTCTGCTCGTGCCTATTCAATCCCTTCTGAGATCCGTAGCTCTTCGAACACAAATTGCAACAAAACGACTTTGTTGACGCTGCAGGACTTGGCCCCCGGCTCTGATACTGCGTTGGCTTTGGCAGGAGTGGTCGAAAAGAGCCCTGAGCTCTTCCACTTACAGGAAGCGTGGAATCCGAAGTGCAGTCTGGGCTCCTGTAGGGTCAGTTAGTGAGTCACTACCTCTAAGTGATCAGTACAGGGTACAAACAAATAGCCGCTCGCAGGGACGGGCAAGGACGAGTCGGGGAGAGGAGGGCAGTCGTTATTATCAACTTCCGACGGGGCAACGAACTGATATGGAGGGGTAGGGTTGTTTGAAAGAGGGTCCACCGTTTTGGAAGAGTTGAGGAAAGAGTTGTTATTAACAACTTCCGACGGGGCAACGAACTGATATGGAGGGGTAGGGTTGTTTAAAAGAGGGTCCACCGCGCCAAGCAAGTAATGTGCCCATGACCGGTCTCCATCATACATATTTTGCGTCGTGCTCTGGTCGAAAGAAGCTCCTTGGGCATTAAAGCGGCTCTCGCGCCCGACCTCAGAACCAAGTTCATTATCAACACTACTCACAACCAGCATCAGCTCTCAACCATCCTCCACTGGTTGCTCCCTCATTCGAGTGTCATCAGGAGGATCGAAGAAGACTCCTGGCGGGGAGAAGCATAGCTGAACATTACGGGTCATAATGCAGCGGGACAGGTGGGGATTGTGCAATTGCATTGCCAGGCTGTTGCGCGCGCGTGATATAATTTAGACACCCGGAAAGGCGATTCCTGTCCCGAAGGTACCCCATAGGTAGGGTTGCTTCCCTTTTGCTTTCTCCCCGACTCGCGCTAGCCTCGTTGTCCTTGGCGACTTTTCCTGTTACCGGGACGCCTTTCCGGGCCGGACATTCACAGTAGATAGCCATGCTGATCCAACTGCCCCCAAAACATTTCTATTGCGGCCATTGGGAAGCTTTCATTCACGTCGCCTTTGGTATTGTAACCATTTGCCGCTGACTCGGTTGGGATATCTATAAAAACGCTGTCAGTAGGATCACTCACGAATCCGGGTAGGAGGCGCAGAAGTCGATGTTTTCTAAGTACTCGTTTTCTGGGTTCTTAGACAAACAATCAGCCCCGACAACGTATAGTGTAGACACGAAACCTACCGTGAACGGCATATTGTCCATTAGTGGCACCCCGTGAGAAACGACCGTGGTGGAGTTGAGTCAGCTGAAGTAAGAAAGACGATCGAGTATAGCGGCTAACTCACGCAGGAACTGACCAGGTGGCAACTAAGGGAACGGGAAGAAGTATAAAAGAGGGAGAGGATAAGGGTGATGATTTCAGCGGACAGGAGGAATCTCTGGGTGCGATTGGGAGCGTTTATAGCCTTGCAGATGGTAAGGGACTAGTCCACTTCGGGCAGTTATTCACAAAGTCATGCAGGACGACGCGAATAAATACCCAGGAAGATTTGACCAATATTATCATAGAGAAACGCACCAGGGCACATTTTAGCGATGCAACGGGTGGACCAATTCAATCGAGAATCGTGGGTCGGGCTTGGGATGAGGTCATCCTGCAGATGATGATTGCAGCATGGAAAGAGCGCAGACTTCCGATAGCCAATCCTGTGACTGAGAACCGAGCATTTCCAGTCTTGCTTAGCGGCTCAGCTGATCACGCGTCAGCGCGACACCTCATCAGCCTTAGTGGCTTGCCATCCTGCGTGATAGACAGTGGAAGTTTTCTCATGTCACCAATCTGATGTTCGACAATCGAACAAAACCTCAATTTCGTCGGCCATGTGACTAGAGCGTGTTCGATTTCGCCGAGTAATCTTGCAATAAGTCCGATTTTGGGCATCCTTGCGTTGATTCCCGTTCAAATACAGCTCGGGGTTCTGGTCATTGTGAGCCGTCTCAGGTGGTTTGGCATCGGCCGATTGTAGGAGATTTTCTAGGATTTGTGTCAGGCTTGGAAGAACGTACTGATGCCTCGAGTATAAGATGCTACTGAAATCCCTCTAACTGGCATATCTCCCGCCTTGTCATTGCCTCTACTTGTGGTCTCAGCCTGAGATACGCGCACTTGTTCTTCACTGCCACTGATCGCTCAGAAAGTACCGTAAGGAGAGGGCTTGACTGATGTCACTTACACGCTAACAGCATTTAGACACGATCGCGTTCGTTTCCCGCAAGATGCCCAGTGCAGTTCCCCGCCTGTTCTCACGCGCGCCCGACTGTTGCGGCGTTCAAATGTCTCGTCGCCAAACGAGCAGCGACAATCATGGCAATAGGGACAGATGGCGTTATTTCTGCCGATCTTGCAACAGCATGGTCTTCGATGACTGGGAAGGCATCCGAGAGGGGAACCCTTTGTGTCACTGCCAGGAGATCTCTCGTCGGCAGATTGAGGGTGGTCGTGTCTTTGTGTTCCGGTGCGCGAGGAATGACTGTGGGTTTAAGAGAGGGACTTGATGATGAGTAGGCTTTGGCTCTGCTCATGGGATGCAAGTGCATTCGGATAACGCAGGGGCTGTGGGAATCCGCAAAACACCCAACTGCATCTCCAATGAGATTGCCATAATGTTAGGCGTTTTTAGAGATGGAATATAAGACTCTGATGTGAAGGGGCCGCGTATTCGGAAAAGGTGTTATAGTGTAATCCTAGACAGCTGCTGGGAAGCCCTTGGACTAGTGACTTGATCGATTGGAAGGAGCTATGTTGGGTCCTGAAGGGACCGAAGCTCATACAAAGTAATCCAAATGTAATCCATACCTATATTCACCTTTCTCTATCATATAATGTACTCACAGACCCCAGTCGCAGTCATCATCCACGCCGGCGTAGGCTGGCACACCCCCTCCGCAAAAGCCCCAATCACAGGCCAAGGCACCCGCAAGGCCAGAACCGGCCATCCAGCCCACTATCTCCAAATCTCCGGGACACTCAATCTAAGTGCGGCCCCACACGGACGAATACACCGACACACATCTCCTCACCGACGAAGAAGACATCTACTCTCGAAAAGTACCGCGAGTCTCGAGAGACTCATCCCCCACGCGCCGCCGACATCGCTGTCATCGAGACCGGCGAGGCCGTCGGTGTAGCCACATATCTTATCATGGCGCCGACCATCTTCGGCCAAGGCACCGGCCCCTTCAATCGGTACTCGATGCAGCTCCTATCCATGATTGCGGACGCACTGAGCTCCGGTATCGTTAGCGGTATAGAGCAAGGAAACACCGTATGGAGCCATGTTCACATCAGAGACCTGGTCGGCTTGTTTATCGTGTTACTAAAGCAGATCTGCACTGGTGCTACGATCCCATCGGGCAGGAAGGGCATCTACTTCTGCGAAACAGGCGAGCATACGCACCGAGAGTTCTCGAAGCGTTTGGCTACTGCTGCTTATGAGCTGGGTGTATTGCCCTCCTCCCATGTGAAGGAGATTAGTCTCGAGGAAGCGGCAGAGAAGTTGGTGTTTGGCGGTGTCTCTACAGCTGAGCTGGGGTATGCTTCTAAGTGAGTTTGAGCAGTCCCTTTCTTTCAGAATGATGACATGTAAGTGGACGAAAAGATACTGACCTACTTTTCTTGTAGCGCTCGGACGAAGGCTATACTAAGCCGCAAATTGGGTTGGATGTCCTTGCATGGCGATGATTGGGAAGCCACTTTCCGTGATGAAGTCAGCGTGTTCATCAAGAGTCCTCCGGCTGAGCGTGATATCCCGGAGTTTCTGAGGAAACACTAGATGTACATACTATGTCCTCATACATGAACTTCTGAGGGCATCAGAGCACGAAGTACGTCAGCTGCAGAGAGAAAGTCACTTGAATGAGAAATTGTACATATGAGAGAAATGACTCGCTGGTGGTAACCAGCTCAATTATTGAGCAGTCATCAGTGTGATATAGATTGAGCTCATTACTACGCACACATAGCAGGCATGGAACTTAATTGCTTCTGAAAGTCGCTTAATCAAGTCTTATTCTTCCTTGACACCCATCCCATTCAATTTACCCAGCCTGCTAAATTCTACACCGACCTCCACTCCGTTCTATAATCTCATCCACTCCCCTCCCCGCCTCCCGTACATCCTTACCCAAATCATGAAACCACAACCACTCAAACCACCCAGCTTGCAACTTCTCCAACACCTTATGCATATCTGCCCCCGTCTCCGGATGCTCATAGTAAAGCATCATCGCCATCTCATGTGCCCGTTCCAGCTGTCTTTGTGCCCTAGGCCTCCTTACGGCATCATACCCAGCAAACCCGGCACAGATATACGGATACAAAAGCTCACCATCCGGAGCATGAAGGAAGATCTTAGCGAGCACGTTGGAGAGGACTAATGCATCCTCCAGTCCCTGGCCAGCACCGGCAGCCTGGAAAGGCAGCGAAGCATGGGCACTATCGCCTAGCAGGACGACGCGATCACGGTAGTATGTTGAGGTATAGCGGTGGTGGAAGAGGCCCCATCGGATTGGTTTTGCTTTGTGGAGGAGTCGACGGAAGCGGTCGTCGATGTTCGGGTCATTGAAGTCGGACATCATTGTCTCGTAGGTCACTTTTTGGGTGACTGCGTTGGACAGCTCCCAGGGCTTGTTGTCCGCTACGCAGAGGAGGAAGTTGAGTTCCTGGTTTTCCAGAAGAGGAATAGGTTAGTGTAACTGGGCTATGCGGTTGATCTACTAAACAAGTCGGACATACCTCTCCACCCGATATCAGATAATGAACACAACAGCGTTTCTCACCGAGGTACATCTTCGCTACGTCAGTCAGGTTGCCGAAGATCTCCTGGCCTTCAGCAATGGGTATCACGCCGCGGTAGCAGTACGAGCCAGCGTAGACTGGATCGACCTGGCTGGGGTACGTTGGTGATAGGACATGCTTCCTCACAACGCTTTTGATGCCGTCTGCACCAACCAGGATACTTGCCTCCGAGGTGTCGCCATCCGCGAAGTGTAAGACCACCTTGTTTGAATACTGTTCGATATTTGTTAAGCGCTTGCTGAAACGGACTTTCTCAATCGGTATGAAGCTGGTCATGGCTTGGAGGACATCATTCCGATGTGCCTAAGTTAGCATTAGCGTGGCTCAGCTTTGATAGTGTGTACATAGAGAAAACAGACAGCTCTGCGAATGTAATCCGGATGACCCCACGATGACTTGCCGTACCAGGGCTCTGTAAGCCCTGCGGTGATTTACAGTCAGCAGACTACTTAGTAATTTACCATAGGGTAAAAGATACTTACCAAGACCCTCCCTGAGAAGCATCCCTTCAAAGTAGATATTCTGTGCATCTTTAGGCTTGTTACCTATGCAGAAGCGCTCGAATTTAGGAAGAAAGCCCTCTTGGATCATGTCCAAGGCCAAGTCACCATTGGTCCCAAATCCTATGCCAGCGCTTTGACCCGTCAGAAAGACGAGCCGAATGTCTATCCGATGGAGAGCAGAGCGAAAACCTACCCAACAGTGGAATATTGAGATTCTTCTTCGTAGACCGTGAATGGCACACCCTGTCTATACAGGCCCATGGCGAGCGCAAGGCCTCCAATGCCGGCACCTAGAATCGGTCATCGTGAGTGATATGAGGTCAAGACATATGTTGATTGAACCCACCGACAATAGCAACATGCATGTCTCTAACTTTATCTCCAGCCATGGTGCTCGCTTTTCGGCTAGTACGTTTTCTGCTGTCAACGTTTCTGCCAAGGTCTCTGTTGATGATAACTCTGTCAATCCTTCAACAAAAGCAAGGCCTGCTGCTGCCTCGAGTACGGACGAATGGACAGCCTTGCGTGCGGGGTTGGCGGGTTGGGTCGGATGTACGTCGTCTGCATCTCGATAAGCGCGCTACGCGGGGACATGAATGGTACCCGTTTGTTTGACTCCAACGAGGTCATGATATTTCGAAGTTTAATGATAATCTCACTCATATAGTTTCGGAGATGACCGAGAGACGAAAGGCACCTAAGGTGTCTAAGGTCGCTAGAGAAAATCTACGTGTTTCCGGGTTCAAGATTCCTAAAGACTTGACACCATTGAAGAGCCTGCTAGCCAAAGACGGTCTCGGTTCGAAGACTATTCATGAGATAGAGCCTGGGCAGTTGGGATTTGGTTCCGATATCAACCAGCGCAAGTATGTCATGTTTCGTGCGCTGTCTCCACCAGACACAGAAATTCCGGGTCTACAGGACCAGGAAAAAATTCTCAAAAGGCACTGAATTCCCCAATACTTCTTCTCCGAGGTTGAGTTCCTACAGGAAGACTTTGCCATGATGAATAATTTCACTAGTCAGAGTCGGACACTCTGGTTTACACAGCACTTCGTATGTACGTGTGCCATACTGAATGAGAACGACCAAGGGAAGATCGAGCCCGCTAAGGTTTATGTTATATCTAAGGGTTCCAAGCGTGCGCTCGTGCTCTCTGACGGTGGTGATGAGGGAGAGCGGAACTCCCTCGGGAAAGCATCGTGTGTCCCTTGCTTGGTTCCTTGCGGATTCTGTTGTCTGCTCTTGTTACTCCACGCAACATGAAAATGCACTGCCCTTTCCGAACTAGAAGCCAGAATGATCCTGCGCTTCTTGCTTCAGAATTGGAGGCATATAAGGGTTGGCTCAATTGTGGCGAACTCAAGCTTGCCGAACTGCTCGAAGTGGCTCCGGAAGAAGAGGAGTCTGATGATGATTGGGGTTATAAGGGTGTTTTACCACCACTGTTTTTAAGATGTACCTAGTTGCGGCTGTGTCTGTTTGAGATAGATTCTAGTGTTGAGCATCCGTAAGTTCGCAAGGTTGATCCGGCTTATGCTGGGGTTATGGTGGTATCATGCGTTCTCAGGTTTATATAGAGTCTGCCGGTGTTTGTGCTCCGTTTTTTAGGATAGTGAAAGATACATTTCTAAGCTTTCTCACATGTTTCTTCCTTCGCGTACTTGCTTCCTTCCTCACGCGTTTTGCTACGCTCCTTGAGCATTCGTTATTTACCCTTCTTGTCGTCCGCATTCGACTTAAGTCAAGAAGGTCTCTGGAGGAGAGACTACGTTTGTATTCAAGATTGTGAAGAAGGTGGATCGAGTCGATGCGCTGGCTAGGTATTTTGGTATGTGGTTTCATCCGGATGAGATTCAGGGGATCGTGGGCTGCCTTCCCTGATTAGAGACAAATAGGACGGACTTTGACACTGAGACTACTGGGTAGATGACTGATCTGTTGGCGCTGCGATTTTGGTAGCTTTTGTTTTGTTCGGAACGTATTGACTCTGGATTACGTAGAGACGAGTTGAATCTCTTACTGTGAGCGTTTGAATCTTGCAGAGACAACTCTCTGAACCCATACATTCAATTGGCTGAAGCAGTAGACAGCCCTAGAACATGAAGATGCCGATGCCAAGAGTGCACACCTACACGTCCAAGACGAAATATCAATCCGATACGGTCCTCGTTGATTACCAACAGTGACTAACAATTAGCAATAACTTATAATAGGATGTGCAATCCATGCTTCATCAATAGAAAGCGATTCTCCACAGATTGTAACTCCGCCACCTAGATGAGCGTGACCCCGCTGAGTAATCGGGAACCAGTGTGCCCCTTCTACTAAATCCAAATGGAGAGGGATGGATACAGTCAAAAACCCTCCCACGTTAAATGCACGGATCTGCTACCGAAGAAGATCTGCAATGTTACTATCTCTAGACCAATTCTTCTCTGAAATTCTTCCCATCTCCTCCCCATCTCCTTCCCGCCCCAAACCCGCTCACCCGCACGCATGATGCAGTTCACCAAGCTAACGCAGTCACGACTAATAACCCTCTGCAAGTTCTCAGCTGCCGCGTCGCTAGCGGGCGTCGGAGGCTGGCAGTTCTGGACGGGTAAATGCTACTTCGAGCCTTTCGGGCCCGAGAATGATGCCTTATTTCAGAGCGAGTACTTCAAGAAGTTCAACCCAGGGAACCATCCATCGCTGAACGATTCGTGTGTGCGGAAAGTGCCAGTGTCTCAGATACCGCCGGATTTGGTGGAAGATGCGCTCCGAGGTGGTTCTAAGTTGACGGAGAGGTTTTGTGCTGGTGTGTGGGGTGGTTATGGTGAGTTAGCTACTATTATTATTGATTTCTATAGTGCTGCTATATGCAATTGTTTGTGATATCAATGTTGCGAGACGTTGCTAACGCTTGATATGCAGGATACTCCATCCAGCGAAATATCCTAGCTTTGGTTGGCCAGAATGAGGGAAATGCGAAGTCAATGTTGTGGGATAAGAATCAACTGCTGAGCAGTACCTATGAAGAAGGTAGGGGGTTTAATTTTTACAAGCTCTTATTGGTTCAACATTCATGCTGAAGACCTATACAGGAACGATAGTGACCGATCACTTCAAGGTGGTTGCAAAGAATCCCAGATCAATCATCATGTGGGGGGCCGAGTCTCCTTCAACGAACCCGGAACTTCGCCGTGAGATGGAAAATCTATCTGAGGTTTCTACCAACGTCGATACAGATAAAGGGGTGGTAGAATTCCGGCTGAAGAATATATTCTACAATGGCGTAGAGCGACTGACAGGGGATCTTTTCCCACCGCCAATCGTGTGGTTGCACTTTCAGTACTGCAAGTTGTTGGTTGAGGCAGGTGTGAGCCATTGCATGGTTTAGTGCTCGGGTGCTTGGTGGTTGACTATAGGTCAGCTATTGATCGTCGAAGAGGACGTTTGAGCAGTGGATCTTGAGTGCATGTATCAATAGTGTATTATATATGGAACAGGCATAACATTTTCAAAAGCAGTAGCTCTATGCTGAATTTTGGGTCTATGGTTGTGAGCTCCTATCCCCTTCGCGCCTTCGATGTGGCGCGCACACAAATGGCAGCAAGCTCCGTAGTAAATCCGTTCAAATACTGCAGGTGAGTGAGTTCCCCAAGTGCTAGGTGTCGGACAGGGACGCGATGGATTAACCCAGGAACATCTTGCAATAGCTCGACATTGTGATGTACATCAGGGCCATGCGGGTCAGAGATGGTATCGCAAAAGAGAGTCAACACTGCGGTGATAGCGTAGAATAGTATGATCCTATAATTCAGGAGAGGTCAGATCCTTCCAGCATGATGTATGTTCTCTGATGACGTACCAGAAACATTTCCCCTTTATAATGGGCAGCACTCTCTTGAGATAAGACAGCGTTGACCGACTGGCAGTGATAGACAGATTAATGCTAGAAGTTATGCCGCTCAGCCATGTACCTGCGGGGTCCAAGGCTGAGTTGCGATAGCGGTTTGCTGCTTGGTGGATTGAGGTGACGCAGTGATAGTATGCTAACCTGAGCATCACCGCCTGGGTATTCACATTGGCACTGATGTGTGTGTCGTCAGAAAAATACAGCGTGGGCCGAAAATCCGAGGGAAGGGACACCCTCCATTGCTCTAATGTTTCATCTAGAGCTCGGATACTCGATAGCAACTGAGATGCACTCTGATAGAGAGAGACTGCTGAATAAAGGCCCTCATATATTCTGGATTTTAGCATAGACAAACGAAGATCCCAAGGATAGAGAGGAATAGTGTTGTCATTGACAGGAGGCATGTCGTGCTGGAGGTTGATGTTTTGCAGCTGCACATAATCATCGGGCAGACTCAAGTCGCAGTGCGTGTCGTTTAAAGATGGTGGTTGGCCTGTCCTGATGCATATATCCTTGTCGAATGAATAGCAGAGCCAGAATAGATCTCGCAGGTGGCATCTGATGTCGCTCTTATCATAGACAGGGGCGCGAGAGGGGGTGGCCTTAGTGGGTAATATATGAGCACCCAGTGCATATAGAAGCCGTGTGGCTATTGACAGAGTAACACCTGCAGAGCGCAGGTCACCCAAGAAGTATTGGAGTTGAACCTGGCGAGTGATCAGTTGTGGAACTGTAGCCATGGATCAGACCTATACAGACTAGCATTATTAGGGATTGGAGCCCGTCAACCGTCATTTCCTCCATTACCGAGGCCATAAAGCTCTGTGCTGCCAACGCACAAGATCGGCAATCCATGCAATCATGGCTAGCGTCATCAAAGCCAAACAGAGACACAAGGGCCAGGAATGAATATACGCAAGATTTTGCGCTAGCAGAGCCTGGAGATGGGATGGGACTGTAGGCGAGATCTAATGTCCTGCAAAATGTGGACTTGCTGACTACAGGAAACACTAGACTCTGAAAGGAAGAGCTATACACTAGGATGTGCCGTTCAAGGACGGGTCTTGGAGGAAGGGATGGGAGTGGAGAGGGGTGCGTCGCAGAGTCAGCAAAGAAACGGAGCGGCTGGAACCATTGGAGTTCGAGAGCGAACAGTTTGTCGAATTCGATGCTTTCCCCTACCTGTGTTTCAATCCATTTCTGGCCTTCCTCAGGGAAGATGTGGTACCCTGTGAAATAAGTGACATTGTTCAGAAATGTGTTTGCGTGTCTCGGGGGTTCTATCCCCTCTGCTATGGATGGAAAGGCGGATAGTGCCGGTCGATCTAGTAGCATCTATTCAGTCTTTTTCCGATGATACACCCTGGAGGTATAACCCACCAGAATCGACATCAGGTCCGGGTGATGGGGAAGCCACCTGGCTACGGACACGGGGTTTAGCCGAGGATTCTTGATAAGACCCAATGTCAGACGGCAGCTCCATACCTAACGTATGTTGAACCCCGAAGTCTATTGTAGGTACAGGCCAGATTATGGTGCTTGCACCAATCGCATTGTGGGAAACTGGCATCACAACGAATCTAGATAGATCATATAGTTGGTTAAGGGGGGACATCGTGGAACAACCAGCCGGCTGCACCTGCACGTACCTTCTTCTTGAAACAGCTGTCGCATGCCCTTCGCTTTGGCTTCTGATGAGCCATCTCTGCATCACCTTCAAGCACTCCTAGAGACAGAAAACTAGTTGAACACCAACCTCGAATTATTTGCGCGGGTCAATGATGTCAGGTGAATTCGGCCAGCCAAGATCGACTCCGCTTAGTAATCGGCGACTAGAGACCTAGTCTTTGATTTTAAGGGTTTTGTTTTGGATCTAGACCACATGAAGTTAGGATTTATCGAGCTTAAATGGTAACATCTTCCTCTAGATAGCATGCAGCATATCGAATACTAATCTTTTGATGTGCTCCACTACGCTGGCTTGACCATCGGACACCGGTAGCGGCACAGAAGCCGAAACGAGAGACATGCGCACAAACACCACTGATTTAGTTAACCCCATAACCAATCCTGATTCAGCTCGGAATTTCGGCTATAGCTTCACAAGGACAGGACTAGAATATGCAAGTCGACGTGGAATCATGTTGCGGAAGTATTTACCTACCGAACCCTAGTCGGCTTCACTCCGCGAGCAATAAATACCCCCTGTATTATCGACTCGAACACTTTTCTGAGAACAATACATTGTCCAAAAAGTCAACTTCAAAATCGCAGCATTGCCTGGAGGATATCATAGCCTAATATGAGCCAGGTTATACTAGTTACTGGCGCCAGTCGAGGTAAGCGATATCCTGTTCTCGCGAGCTGCAGCTAACCCGGTGTAGGCATCGGCAAAGGACTTGTGGCACATTATCTCGCCCAGCCCAGGACTACAGTCATCGCAACTGTGCGGGACACCACATCCCCAAAAGCAAAGGAGCTCACTATCCTCCAAAAGGGCGATAAATCCCACCTAATTGTTGTAAAGCTCATAGCCGACGATCCGGTTAGCGCTACGGCAGCCACATCCGAAATTCGGACGCAGAACCTTAATCACATTGACATTGCAATTGCAAATGCGGGAATTTGCGATCACTGGGGCCCTGTTGTGGAATCTACAGAGCAGGACGTGCTCTCCAACTTTGAAGTCAATACCCTGGGGCCTCTCCGGCTTTTCAAGGCTGTAGCTCCTCTGCTGCAGAACGCTAAGACTCCGAAGTTTATTTATATTTCTACTCTTCTGGCTAGCATTGGTGGGATTGGCAACATGTTTACCCTTACCGGGCCATATGGAATGTCGAAGGCGGCTGGAAATTTTCTGGTCAGAAAGATCCATGCTGAATACGAGCATTTGACTACCTTGTCTATAGACCCTGGGTAGGTGCAGATCATTCATTCCACTATAAGCTTGAGAGTTAGCAGGCTAACATGGCTATAAGGCTCGTTCAAACAGACTTGGGTGATCGTGCGGCGAAGCACTATGGAATGGAACAAGCTCCGGTGACGCTTGAGGAGTGCGTTAGTGGAATCATTACTCAGGTGATCGCAACAATTGGCAGCCATTACAATTACAAGACAACTAATGCCATTACAGATTGAGAGAGCGGACCGCTCGTCCACGTCGGGCTCATTTGTCAATGCAAATGGAGAGTTTGTGGCTTGGTAATATTTCCGAAATGGAATGGAAAGAAATGTAGTCATCTGGCAGCAATACTTTGCAATCCAGCAAACTATAGACCAGTAAGAAGAGACAATTTCGTTAGTTACAGCTGCTTTAGTGCCCCAGACGCTATGACTTAGTATTGTAATCTCTATGCTTTTCGCTTTTCCGCTATTGCATTCCATACCCTGGATGTTTTCAAGTTCCACCCATAGTGGGTATTGGATATGCAACGCAGTCCCTGGCAGGACGGAAATACGGTTCAAGTCCCCGATTAGTTCCAGTACGCCCGATGATAATCAAGGATCACGCTTAGTCCTGTTGACATGGGACCGAAATCCTTAGTCGATCTAGGCTCGCCCCTATTTTAAGCTGTAAAAGCTCAATTTCTACCCCTTCTTCTTCTTCACGGCCACTCGTTACTAAATGCGCCCTCCTACGCGCTTGCCCTCACATGACCAGAATGCAGGCATACTTTCAATATCGTGCCATTCGGGACTCAGTCCGCAAACAATTACACGACTTCCCTCAATGGATCCACGATTCCATTGGCCAAGCAGGTTCAGGAAGCTCACTGCAGCGACGCCCATCTCGACCACCCCCGATCCCAGGAATTAGCCTGATCGACAACCCCAATAGCCGGGAAGAGCTCTCTCATATCTTTTTTGTCGACTGGGAAAGCAGTAAAGACCCGCTGAGTCCACGACAACTTTCGCTCGCCACACGAGTAGCAGCAACATTGATCGTTACTAGCCTGGCATTTGTAGTCAGCGCTTCGTCGTCGATCGAATCGGCAGTTGTGCCACAAAGCACCGCCGACTATGGGGTCAGTGAAGTCGTAGCCGCACTTTTCGTCGGGATATTCCTCCTCGGCTTCGCTACCGGATCATTAATCTCAGGACCTCTATCAGAGATCCTGGGCCGCAACGCTGTCTACCTAGTTTCCACATCCCTCTTCATGATCTTCGTCATGGGCTCCGGGCTATCCCCAAACACCGGAGCCAAGCTGGCATTTCGCTTCTTAGCGGGTGTATGTGGCTGTCCGCCCCTGACATGTGCTGGCGGTACGGTGGCGGATATCTGGGATTCAAAAGAGAAGACATTGGCCTTTCCAGTCTATGCAATTCTTTCATACGGCGGTGCCATCCTGGCCCCGGTTATTGCATCTTACATGGGTTCGGGGTCAATCTCGTATCGCTGGACTGACTGGATTGTGCTCATTATGGCCGGCCTTGTCTTATCCCTTATTGTTCTTGTACAACCAGAGACATATGGTCCACTACTCCTGCGGTGGAAATCTAAGCACCTACGGCAATTAACAGGCGATCCTCGGTACCTGTCAAAGCTGGATCTTGACCAGACTCCACTTTTGTCTCGGATTAGACGCGCCTGCGTTCGGCAGTTCACTCTACCAATCCGGGAGCCGATCGTCCTTGTACTCTCGTTGTATCTGACGGTGCTGTATATTGTACTTTTCGCCTTTTTTGTCGGGTATGCCGATATCTTCACAGACGTACACGGTATGTCCCAGGGACTGACAAACGTCGTTTGGGTCGCTATGTACGTCGGAATCCTGCTGACGGGTTTGATCGTACCATAGATATATCGAAGCCATCGGAAGCGAGGGCTGAAGGGAGATGGAGAGGTATCTGAAATGGCCAATGAAACCAACGTCTCTGAGAAACCAAGCACAATCCAACCAGAAGATAGACTCTGGTACGCCATGATGGGTGCTCCGGCAATGACCTTGAGTCTTTTCTGGATGGGGTGGACGGACTATGTGAGTTGCATATGTCATCCCCAACAAGTCCCAATTCTTCTCCACGGTAATATACAACAGATGCTAACTTATTGCAAAATCCAGCCATCTATCTCAGTATGGTCCCCAATCGTCGGCTCAGCGTTCTTCGGCTTCGGTAGTATCTGCATCTTTATTTCCAGCTATATGTACATCATCGACACCTACGAGGTCTATGCTGCATCTGCGCTGGGGTTCATGACTTCCTCGCGCTATTGTGTCGCTGGGGGTATGACTGTAGTCGGCGTCCCATTCTATCATAACATGGGGGTGCATTGGACATTGACTATTTTGGGGATTATCAGTGCTATTTTGACTCCTGTGCCCTATATTCTCTGGAAGTTCGGGCCTGTGGTTCGGGGGTGGAGTCGGTATGCTGTTTGATATCAGGCATTACAACTGTTCATTGTGGGGTAGTGGCGGTAGGTTTTACTATGTAAAATAGATTGTTCAAAAGAGAGAGAAGGAATAGGGAATCTAACGAGAAGGACCGATTATCCTCCAGGATAATCGATGAAGCCAGATTATAATGTAATAGAGGTTGTTTGCTTATCACAAGCATTTCAGATGTCCAGTAAGACAGGTTGCTTGAATTACAGGCCTGCCGATACGATACCGCAGATACTAGTTCACATTCTGATTCGAGAAAAGCAAGAATATTCCCAATATCTATCACCACAAAACGATGATCGATCCACACGTCTTTGCAGGGCACGGAGACTGTCCGTTGGTGATCTTTTCCCATTTTCGGCAAATGGTCGTATAGCTGTCGAAACAATGTCACTAGATAGTTAACTAGAACCCCGTCCCCGCTGACAAAGCGGAAACCATTGAGGTAGATACAACGAATTGAGGGTTAAACTACTGTCTCCAGGCTTGAGAATTCTCCCTTCATGCGACTTTAAGTTTTGGGAAGACGTGTTTTCGGAATTACGGGCTTAGTGATGTGTACATCGATGACCGGATGATTGCTAATGGCGAGAGCAATAGTTATCTATTACGCTCCTCTAACTAAAAGCACACATCACCTAACTAAACCAAATACTCCGGACTCTTGACAAACTTGTCAAAATAACTCTTCTCATGACCAAGACAAACCTTCGCATTTGTCTGCCGCACCAGCCTTCTCACGTAATCCCTACTCCGATGCCACGTATTATAGTCCCTCATCAGAAAGCCCTGCGGTTGTCCATCCTCATAATTCTCTTTCACATGGAACAGGTCCCCCGTCAGCACCACAGTCCCAGCCACCTGAAACTTGAGCTCAACTACCAGGAATCCCTCAGTATGCCCCGGACACATATGTAGCGTGACCCCGGACCAGAGCTCAACAACCTGCTCGGACACCGTCTTCCAGTTCAGTAGGTCAGCCCGTAAGTAATCTGGCCGGAACAGTCCACTATCGTGGCCTGTGGCCGAGGCCCAGAAGGCGTTTTTGAGTTCTTTTTCGTGACACCAGATCTCTACATCTATAGAAAAGGTTAAACTTTCGCACTTCTTTGCTATGAGAGCGAGTGTATGCCTCGACCACATCTAGTAGTCTAGAATGAGGCAGGGCCGAGAAGTAGACTACTCACCTGTCCCCAAAAAAAAAAATGTTCCAGCCCGCCAGCGTGGTCTAAGTGTAAGTGGCTCATCACCACTGCCTTGATATCCGTGATGTCTCCGGCCCCCGTGGCCTTCACTGCAGCTGGAAGCGAATGGATGTCCTTCACCCATGTGCGAGGCACACACTCCAGGAATTCTTTGTCCCAGGAGTTGATTATATCTTCGCAGGCGCCTGTGTCAAAGAGGATGAGGCCTAAGTCTGGGTGGTAGAGGAGGGCAGCTATCATGAGACATTGGCGAGTGTCATGGATCTGGGACGGTTGGTTGCTTTTCGGGACGTTGGCACCAGAGAGGACATACGAGGCGTCGATATCCAGAGTTCCTGAGTCGAGAAGCTTCGTGCGGTTAGCTTCTGTGGGTGTCCTTTTCCAAATGATAAGGATAGGTCAACGCTTACCCAGAGCTTGGAACCTACTGGGAGCGATGAATGAGGAGACATTGTAATGTGAAGTATGTTGTAGGGATGTGTTGTCTATGGACAATGGAGGACCTTCTTGTGCATCTCGGGGCTTTTATATGCGCAGGTCGAAACCGAGAACACCACATTGCAACGAAATTACTGCTCGCTTAGTTGTTGAAGATTTTCCAAGGCAGCTTCAGGGGCGACTGTTCAGTCTTTATTTGCTGGAAGATTACCACTCTTCATCAGTATGGTACAGCTTCTTCAGGGAGAATTGCCGGCCCAACTATCGACTCGTCGAGTTTTATTTTCGAGAATACTTTCGGCAAGACCAAAGGCCATGATAAAATAATGTTTATCGAGTCTGTCCGAAGGATGATCAAATGGGATCCACGAGAACAAAGCACACCAAGGGACTTACATCAGGATTGGTGGCTTCATACTGATTTTGAGGAAGAATAACGTCGAAGGTTTTTGAGAATTTCATGTGTACCTGTACATTCCAGCAAGCGCCAACTACTATGTAGGTTATACTCATTTCATCTCATCCATTTTGCTAGCTTATCTCAAATACACATTATTCGTTGATGATTATTCTGTCGATTGCTTAGCAAGGGCATGTTACTATTATCACGGCTATAATATAGGGGTGTGGCTTCAATTGTACAGCAGCCTGACCACTCCTGAGTCCCTTGGATTTGTCTCTAAGGGTCAGGTATATGTAACATTGTCTATTCATGCCTCCAGCGGAGTATTCGTGGAATGTGCCTGTTGGTTCACGGAGAGGTAAGGAGCCCTCTTCTTAGTATCCTGGAAACTATTGATTTAAATTTTATAACGGGCACTATTTTATTTGGAAGTACACAGCTGGGCAAGATAGTCCAGGGAAAGTTTGTTCGGTTTTCTGGAATCGGGATATGAGACCCAGGGTAAGGTATGTCTCCAAGCAGTTCATGATCTTTTGAAGTCTAATGAGAATTCTACTAATATAGTTTCGGGAATGGCTGCGACTCCAACCTGGTCCCGGACATCCCCCGTCTACTCCAGATAGGTCAGATGATCGGTGGACTTACGTCTGCTGATATAGTTATAACCGTAATGGCTGATCACACTGCATTTATTTCTCTCTTATCTTCTGGTACTGCAACATATGCGCAGCAATGGACCTAGTTGGAGCCCGCTGCCTCAAAGGCCGCATCATACTGGACAGCACCTTGTTTACGTCAAGTGGAGGAAAATACGCACAGCACACCCAATCAATAAGATAGTTTCATTATTCCCTATCTGGCTAACCATCGGCAACCCAGTGCCCAGCGCACTGAGCAGTATTGCAAGCATCCTGGCCCCTAACTAAGCAGTAACCTGCTCCTCCGTAGCCATCGGTACTGGCAGCGCCTTGGTATCCCCCACGGCCTGACTGCACATATACAATAGGAAAAGTGGGAAGTTCCTCTCCCTCGCCTCTGGAGTAGAGAAATCGTGGAGAGCGCTCTTCAGTACTATCAACTTCTTACCATTGAAGTAAGCGATTAGAATCCTCGCCTTTAGATTGTCTGTGCATGATGTCAAGAGAACCTGGGTTATGTCTATTGTTAGATGGGATGATTGAAGAGGAAGCTGGGGAAAGTCAACTCACCGGGGCCACGGAGTGGTCTTTCAGCTCTACCCTCCCAAGACGGGTCCTCATGACGCCGAGTAAAACAAGCAGTTCAGAACGGAGGATGTTATCATCGCACACTCCCTCAAGAGTTACGACCAGGTTTATGTGAGGAAGTTCCTGGCCCAGTGGCCGGTGCGGATACCAAGCATCTTCAAACCTGAGAGGTGGTGAGGCCAGAGGATTGTTACCTGGGTCTGTGAACATGGCCATGTTCATATAACGTTCCCTGATTATGGTATTATTGAAGGACCTGGCGGGTGGGTGCTTGTCAGTATGCACAGCTATCATGGCAGATTTGCGTATGTGCGCAGAGGTGAACTGACCTTCCGAACCAGCCCGACAGATCACCGAGCGTAGCTCCAGCCTCCGTGGTCTTCCTTGCGTAATATGTAAATTGACAGAGGAATACACTGGACAGGAGGAGCCCAGAGTCGTCACCATCTGGATCGCTCTCGGCGGTCGTTTCACGCGATTTCTCTTTATCGAGTTCTGCAAAGCACGCCTCGTCGCTTCGGACGTTGCTGCTGGTATCCGGGTTGTCAAGATCAAGGGGAAACTGCTCGAGCTTTTCCAACGGCCAAGGCTTAAAATACGTCTGTGTCGTAGCCGAGGAGCCGCCGTCGGTGCGCAGCGTGAGGTCATCGCACCTGATGTTGTACCGGGCGGCGTGTACGTTGGTGAGGCTGGTTAGCGGAAAAGCCTTGACAGACCGGTGCACTTCTCGAAGGTTATTCAGAATCTCCTTCCGCGCTTCTTTGGAGGTCTCATCGTTCTCCTGCCTTCTCTCCCTCGAACGCCTCAACGTGCCAAACAGGTTCCGAAGTGACATTTCGGGCACGATTTTCTGAAATGAACTTGTGAGAAACAGGAGGACGACTTTTGGAGGAAAATCGAAACTTAAATAGAGGTTTTGCCCCTTGTCTATGACTTACAAATGAGATAGAATGTGTGTTATGCAGGAAGAAGCGGAGTGGCTCTCACAACCATGGTTTCGACTGAGGTACTAGTAGTGAATGCAAACCAGTGTTTCCGTTCATTACCAGTGTTACCAAACCTTTGTATACAGTAATTTACTTCTCCCTGAGAAGCTTTGCTGCAGAACTTCTTCATTTTTCAACGCGTTGACCCTCACCAACCACCCTGACCTGACGCGTCCGCTTTCCACCGGACACCAGACAAGTATGACAGAGAGACGAAAGGCGTCTAAGGTGCCTAAGGTTGCTAAAGGAGAGCTACGTGTTTCCGGGTTCAAGATTCCAAAACATTTGGAACAATTGAAGAGCCTGCTAGCCAAAGACGGCCTCGGTTCGAAGACTATCCATGAGATAGAGCCTGGGCAGTTGGGATCTGGTTCAGACATAAACCAACGTCAGTATGTCATGTTTCGCGCGTTTTCTCCACCCATTCTCCGTCACAGCAAGTTCCTCAAACATGCGCACGAATTCGGGTTAGACCAGACTTTGGACCGGGCCAAGGATATAGTCAACCAGTCCGCCGAGTTCCGGAGGTACCTTGCTCTTTTACAGGGCGTGCAAACAGTGTCAGGTCTGAGTCCGTCTAGTGTGGCTTGGCCCGGGGCGTTCAAACCGACGCGTGATACTCAAGAGCAAGTCGTGACAGTCAAGGGCGTGTCGACTCTTGAGAAGAGCCAAAAGTCAAGACCTGGTGGAACCAGAGAAGCAACTGGGGCTAGACAAGAAAACTTGAGCACCGGAAAAAAGACGATTGGACGAAGTCTCGGGCGTAAAGTTGCCGATGTGCTCAAACGGGGTCGCTCTTCATACGACTCAGAATCAGATTCGATGTCCCGCTCCATATTCGATGATCAGACTATGGTTTCCAGTGAAGATGACGACCCGACATATGTTGACGATGACGACAAGCTGCCAGATGCTGACGACGAAACAAGCGTCAACACGGCGCTCATTCTGCTCTTGAAGGAGATTTCGCACCTGATTCCGAACATCAAGTCGGATTGGACCGTCGATCACCTCCGCTTCTCGCCGCGATTCCGTAAAGCGTCGTACACCGCGATAACAGACGGCGGACTACGATCAAAGACGAATCAGGCTGTTCTTTACATAGTAGAAGCAAAAAGAAGGGTTCGGTCGCGAAAATACGAAGAGATCGTGATGCAAGAAGCCGCAGAGCTTGTTGGCTGGATCCAGAATGGAGACTCGCCCCGTCCTGATCTCAAGGGACAGTAAGTCAATGTTTTCCCAACGGTTATGTTTGGCTGCGTCTGTACTAATTCGGTGGTATGATGGTGAGTAGTCTCGCTCTACTATCTGGAGACAGGCACGAACTATATGTGACATTCGCGTCATGCTCTCCCGACTACCAGGGATACTTGAACCCCAAGATCGGGCTCGCAACACCAGATACCCATATGAGAATGCAAACTTTTGGCCCTTATAATACGCTTAAAGGCCACCATATGGAAAACTTCGCCATCATTGTGATCAGCCTGATGCTTCTCGCAGAGGAAGCTTTGTAAGGTGGTTTGGGTTTGGGTTCCATGGTTGTATTATGGGTGCATACACGCAGATATCTGGAAAAGATAGTCGGAGGGGGGGTTGTTGAGTGTTGAGTGTTGAGTGTAAGGTAGTAGGGCAAACAATCTCAGATACATGTGAATAATGCATATGCTATGTACAGAGTGAACAAAGGAACTGAATGGCATCGTGACTCATATTGTACATTAAAGGATACGCCCGAAGTTAGTGTGAAGACATGAGAACATCCAGGAAGGTAAAGCAGTCAAAGTGAACCCTCCATATCCACATTAGGATTGTTAAAACTATTGATACTCCGGCATGGCGTGAGAAACCTCAGAATCTACCCACTCCAGCGAAGACTGCACGCCAAATAACTCCCACATCTGCGTGTTGTTCCACGACGAAATCACAGTGGGATCTATACTCCCATTATCGACGATCCCGAGGCGAACTGCGTCATCATATACGTAATTATTAGCATTCACCGGGGGCATTACCCCTTCTGGTGCAGCATTTGATAAAATCGTAGACATGTTGGTCGTGTCTGGTGGCGTAACCACCGTGTTAATGCTGTCCACTCCTTCCATAAGCGGACTGCATAAGTTGAGGAACGCGGTGAATAAGTGGTATAATTTGGAAAAGGATGGATTGGTGTCAACGAATCGATGCAGCCCTTGAGTCGTTCCCTGCATCAATTGGTAGTCTTCCGTATTAGATGTACCGACTACATTGCAGAATAAAATGTAAAAGGGAGTCGTGGGATAGAAGAGGACCGTCCTAGTAAATAACCCTGTTAGAATGATGTCAAGATGGAGTGAGGATGGTATACTAACCATGATAGAAACATCGAATAGGTACCAACGAAGCCATCGTCCTCGTTGAGAACTTTTTGTAAACGGTCGAGAGCTTTCAGGGCGTGGCGCGCTTGTGATAGACACTCTTCGCGAGCTGGAGGCTCGGCTTGCACCTTAGGGCTAAGATGCAGCAGCGTTGTTAAGATAGCGTGATATCGGAACTCAGTGGCAATCCATTCCACCTGTAAAGCAGGACTCGAATTGCGGCATCGCTTATAGAACCGTTAGATTACGGTCGGAAAGCGATGAGGATGTTCGAGGATGGATGGACAACGTACCTCGTCAATCACACTTCGCAACGAAATGAGCTTTTGTATGATTGTGCACAGGGTTATGTCCGGGTCGCTGGCATCACTGAGGCCATGTTTTCCGTGAACTACCTCCATTACAGCCTCTTGGATCTGGGCAAACTCAATCATCGTCTTAACAATCATACTTAGAGGAGTACCATCCTCCATTGGGATTAGTGATACTGGGTTTATTTTCAGCCTTGGCAATGAAGGAGGACGAAGGAGAAGCATGCCCAGCATCTTGTCAAGGTAGAAGCAAGAAAAAAGACAGAAACGAGCATCTTGATCCTCCTGACAACGGACTGGGGTACCGTCTCTGATTGTATGATAGTTCATGGCAACAAGGATCTGCGAAGCGAATGCCGTGAGCATCCAGCCTCGAGTTGGATATCCCCGCATTTGGTGCAGGAGCGCCTAAAGTGGAGTCTTGGTCAACTTCTGTTCGAGCGATAGGAAGGGTAACATACACCGGATAGCAAGGCCTGTACCAGAGTGATAGAGTGTGTACCAACGAAATTTATCTGATCCAATGCCTGCAAAGCCGCCGACGCATATTTCTCTTGGGTCTTTCTGACGTGTGTGCGGAGCCGCCCGCCCAAGCGTTGCTGCGGCACACGGGCGAGAAAGAACAGAGCTTTAGTGTAGACGCATACCCGATAATGCAGAGATGTCTGCCGATCTAGGTTGCCCTCTGCAAGCGAGAGGCTCATATGCTCTAGACATTTGATCGATATGTGGTCGGGCCAATAGAAGTGTCTCTGAGCGGAGTGCTGATGTGATATATCTATGCGATGTCAGAGTCCACCTGACTTGCTCTAACTTCCAATAACACGAACCCTTAGACATCATAAGGTAGACTTCCAATGGAAATTCTTCGCATACAGGTGTGTCATGATCATCTGCCCTTCTCTGGTTCCCACTGACAAGCTTAGGCTCTGTGGAAGATGCGGATATCTTATTGACCAGCGATAGAGCGTTCTCCAGAACTGTCCGTCTCTGGAGAGATAGGTGATTCCTATGCTGCAGTTCCTGTTGGATTAATCGTCGTGCTTCGGTGACTTGCTGAAGGGGCGTGTCCTCGTTCACAACTGGAGACTCGGAGACTCTCTGAGAAGGGGTATTCCCTTTAGCAGAATTCGAATCCCGCCGAATAACAGATTCCGGGACATGAGACGATATGGGCTGATCAATTCTGGTACTGTTTGATTCCCCAGCCTGAGATGGACCGTGGCTCTGTGAAGAGGTCGCTGCAGCACTTGGAGGGTAGGAAACAACATGCTCAAGAGTCGATAGCCTCTCCGACAGTCCGGCAATTCTGGACTGGGCGTTACAATCCGAAACCCCAGAGATGACCGAACACATTGAGTTTAGACCGACTTACCGGGAAACCCTGGGACGCATACTGCGTCTGGGCCGGGTTCGCCGACACTCCGCGCGGGCGTCCACGCAGTTCATACAAGGGTCCAGCCGGTCACATTTCACCTATGTAGGCGAGTGTGTTAGATGAGGGTCAATGAGAAGAGGCCAAGCAGAGCGATTAATTTTCATAGGATAACGCACCTTCCTTGAGTGGCACAGATCGCACTTGATAATTGCAGAAGCGAATGTTAGCCATCGAGGAAGCAAGCCACCAGCTGCTCCCAGTAGAAAAACAGAACCACATTGAAAGTAAATCTTTCACCGAGTGGGTATGCACCTCACAACACAAGAAACTTACAGCTGATCTTTCCATTACGATCGGGGTGGCCATTGTGCCATCTGCTATTTTTCTCGCTGCGGGATGATGGGTACAGCCCAGCCATCCAGCCAAGCACCAATGACAGTGATGGAGATTGGGGGCGATTGATTCTCGGTGGTCCGAACATCCGACTAAAATTGGTAACAGAGTGTGTGATAGTAGCCAGCTTTATGATAAGATTTCAAGTTAGGCCAAAGACAAGAAAGAGAATTGGGGTTTGGGACAGATGTATATAAAGGCCCGCCCCGAACCAGCAGAATCTGATAACAGGACTCGGCACAGGGTGGCGGCCACTTGTGCCGGGTAAATGCAATGTTGATGCCTCTTTAAAGGGCAAAGAAGTAGAAGTTTCTATGACAAATGTGGATCCGGATTTGTCAGTCGGTTATTGCACGGGTGCGTTTGACTCGCCTTCATTGGTAGAACATCCAACCAAACATACCTCATCAGGTAGAAGACGAAGAGATGGAAAAAGTTCTCGGTGAAGTATTGGGAGAGGAAAGGGGCAATTCAGCACGAGATCAAGGAACTACACAAGTCGATACCAACTCTGTCGCTTATTTGAGTAGCTTCGCCCTAAACCGGACGTGGCTTAGGAGACCGCCGGGCATAAGCACTACGGGGAAGATTACACCCAGAGCCACAACTATCGCATAGAGCCATGCACCAAGCATTGGAAACGGTCCCAGGTCGTGTTTACGCAGCTCTTGACGAAGAGCCAGTCTCCAGGTATTGCAGGTTAGAAGCTTAGATAGACCAGAGACAAGCTTTTTCAGCCAGTGGGGCCGACCGAGGGAAAGGAGGCAGGCGGTGTTCTTCTTACTTTCCTTCAATTAATGTTTGGTCTTATCTGCTAACCGTTCGCCTCGATGTTGCGGGAGTGAAGTACTATCATGTATATCATAGGCCTCTGTCAGAGACATGTGGCTGCGGAGCGCAGACACAGCCGTCCGAACTTCACCACCGGGCTCTTCTCTCAATTCCTGAGCATTCTGATAGTCGTTTGTACCCGACAATTAAGCGAACTAGAGCCTGCATTTACTCTGCAGTTTGGGAAAATAGCAGCCTTCAAAGATCAGGCTTTCGGCGAAACGGCTCACAAGCCTCGGAAATATCCAAACTTGGCTACGGCTAAGCCTTTGTAGTGTCTTGGTGGTACAATACAAGTGGGCCAAATGAGTCCGTATTGCGCTTGGATGCATGGGTAAACATCGGCTGACGCGGCCACTTGCCTCCCCGGCACCAGTAGTCAACCCTGAATTTGACGACTCGCAGTAGAATGTTCCGAGAAAACCTTGTAGACTCAATAGTTCTGGGGGCATACCAAATGATAATTCAATTGTGTGGTCCAACCAGTGGCACTGAGATGCCATTTCCGCGCATTCCAAACCCACCGCAATGCAGGTATGCTGCGGACCTAAGGTATGTAACTGTTTCATCAACACCAGATTAAGACACCTAACCCATAACCTGCCATACGTTACAGATGACATTAAGAAGTGCGTGACAATCCTACATATGGAGAGAGTGTGAACTTGCTGCGATGTCACTGTCCCTGGTTGTTACCTGCCACTCACCATGAGAAGGCCATCGCGCTTTCAACTATGTATTTGTTTATTATTCCTCATCCCATTGACGCTGCTGGCCAGCCACCTCGAAGATCTGTGCGATCAGTATCGCGCGCAAGAGTACATATTTGATTGGTTCATACTCGATCGGGCTGATCTAGAGAGGATACCTTCTCCTCCAGTCCGGACGGGCGACAAGGTAATTGTGGCTGCGAAGCTGCAGAATGAACAGACAAACTGGATTGAGCAAGAACTACCTGAGTAGGTAGTATGAAACTCACCATCACTATAGACTGTACACTAACCATACGAAGCTGGCAACGAGCTATCTACATCGTCAACCCATCGCGAGAAGTTGCAGCGGATGGGCGACAACTCACAACACCCCTTAACAAGGGCCATGAATCTATGGCTTACCTAACATACATTATAGAGCACTATGATAGGCTCCCTTCTACCATGGCCTTTGTCCATTCGCATCGCTCAGGCTTTCTCCGAGCATGGCATGTTGATGCGCCTTTGCATGATAATGCGTGGTCTATAAGAGCCTTACAACTGGACTTTGTGCAGCAGAATGGCTATGTCAATCTACGGTGTAACCTAAACCCAGGCTGCAAGGCCATCTACCACCATGTAACCCGTGATATCTTCACAGAGGTATTCGAAGGCACCAGCACACCGCCGCGCAATCGGACTGATATCGCGCTTGGAAGTGAAAAGCGCGCCATTGAAATCCCCGACACGGTTGCGGCAGCATGTTGTGCGCAGTTTGCAGTATCTCGGGAGCAGGTGCTTCAGAGACCACGTGAGGATTATATTAAGATCCGGCAGTGGGTGATTGATACGCCGTTGGATGATGCCCACAGCGGAAGGGTTATGGAGTATCTGTGGCATATCATCTTTGGCAAAGAATCTGTCTAGTGAGTTAGACGTTTGCTGACAGTAGAGTGATGCTGACCTCGGCTTAGTTGCCCGGATGAGGAAGTCTGTTATTGCCAGGTGTACGGGCTATGTTGAATGATTACGCGTTAAGCATTGTTTGTAATAAGCGTGTTATGAATAGATTAGAATGCTCTTGCTGCTCTCGTCCTTTCTATTAGCCCCATCGTACTCATACTAGAACTGGCGTTCATCTATATGGTGTGTATGTGCGCTTTCCAGCATATCACTTCAAGCAGAGAACCACAACCTACTAGAACCGATTTTGGTACGCACCCCCAGACAGTAATAGCAAGGATTCTAACCACCCCAAGCAATTAAACATCATCATTCATGAGCCACAGTTTTCTCATATTTATGGTGTACCCTCCACCCCTTCCATCTTTTCATGCACGGCTTCGTTGCATCACCACCACCACCTGCAAGCCCCAACCCATCCATCCTTCCCAAAGGATTCGGAAGTTCGGACGCCCGAACTAATTCCACCCCCAAAGTACCATGGCCACCTGTATGAAGTTCCTTGAAACACGACCAAGATCAATCAAATACCTCGGGTATCCCCCCATCAGAATCTTGTTGGAAAAAGTACACTTGGTAGATTGCCATGGGGCCTTTTCTTGTCCACGTGCCATATGCTAACACTCTCATTGCACGAAACCGGGGATTGAGTATTGTGGTTCAGGGAGATTTTCCACGGGTCCGGGCCCACGGCACACAAATTTAGTTATCTCCTCGGTAAGATCTGCGGGTGGGTCTCACTAAGCCCGTCCCTGAGTTGAGGTGCTCTCGAGACAGGTTGCCTTGTTGGTTTAGTTAACTCGTTTAGTTTGTTAGTTACTTCGATTCTCCGTGGAGAATGGAGTAGCGATGCTTGTTCTGGGACATTTAGGCGATTTGGTGGTTCTGGATGAATCCACTCTATCTTTGGAGCCGCGTCACCCGTTCACCGTTTGTATTGACAAGGCCAGAACTAAAATACAATTCAAGGAAAAAGAACAGAAATACATAGATAAACCAAATAAACCACTCTAGCTACGGGCTAGGCATCCCGTATCACTCCTTGCGAGGCATGCATAGCACCAAGCTCCAAATCTTGATACCCATCTCTACTACCTTCCTTATTCCTACTCCCACTACCAGCACATAAACCATCTCCAAAGCCAGCCCCAAATGCTCCATCGCTCTGTCTTGACCCCCAAGCCCATCCACCATATGCCAATCCTGCAGGAGCATGATACCACATAAACCCTAATATAGCAAACACAATCCCAATCAAACTGCCTCCCAGGATATCCCACCCAGCGTGCATGTAGTCCATATACCGCGACGCACAGATATATAACGCACCACCAACAGGAATGGCAATAAGCACAAGAAGATACAACGGCGGAGCTGCTATCGCCGACGCCCTGCTGAATGACGAGTCTGTCTTCTTATCTCTTCCCGCAGCGCTCAGAGCTGTAGAGCGGACAGGAACAGACACCGCAAACTTCGCACCCATCCATAGCGACAGATAAAGCAGACCTGCCCATGAGAAGGAAGAATGACCGGACGGAAAAGCAGCGAACCCGGCTTTGATGACAGTCGCGTCGGGGTTCTGGCAAATAGCCGATGTGACCATAACTGGTGACTCTGCGCGCTGGAGACCCAGTCCACCCACAGCGTAGGTGGTGAGATTGGTTAAATCGGGTTGGCAGCGGGCCAGGAGATCCGGTCGTGGTTTACCCACTACGTCTTTCAGGCCAGAGGTGAGGAAGAATGCACCCGCTAGACTCAAGGCTAGGCCTAGCCATCCGGCGTGCCATTCCCAGAGGCGACGATGCCAGGGGAGGGGAGTGAGGAGGCAGATGGCTGCGATGAGGAGGGCGGGAACGACGCAGCAGACGATTCCGACGGTTGTGATGGAGACGGTATCGGATTTGAGGGGGTAGGAGATGTTCGCATCGTCGAGGGAGAACACGTGTTCGGAGCCGGTGATTTTGTAGAGGATTCCACCTGTGACCACGAGGATACTGGTTTGTGTGAGGGTGTGTTAGTGGTGAGTTTATGAAAATGATGGGAATGTGGTAGGGTTGTTCGAACATGATGAATGCCCAATCGAGCAGGTATGAGGCTATCACACGCTTCGAAGTCCGTCTGGGCTGAGTGGATAGCATGTCGTAGTCTGCATCAGCTTGCGTTGCTGATGCCATGGTGGTGAGTCTCGAGTAGGGAGATGCGGTAGGGTGATTCCCAGTATTTCCCAGTGATTCTAGTAATGCTGTGTTTGCCGTGGGAATCTCTACTTATAACAGTGGGTCATGCCCGCCACAGATGTCAAAGAAATCCATCCATTGTCAGTCCCTGAAATTAGCACGGGATTGTTGGACCCGTTTTTACGATCCCAAGTCTGGTAGCTGTGATGGATGCCATAAATAGCCGAGTGGTACAGCCTAGTCCCGACCATAAGAGGCATGATTGTCATTTCAACACTGCAAGCATTGAGCTAAGCAATAGTCAAAGTATACATCTGAAAGCTTCTGCCTAACGTGGCTGAGCCATGTAATACAACATTGTAGGAGAGTTTGTAGAAATAAGCTCCGGGAGCGAGTCTTAGCGGAACTTTGTTACACGCACTCTACCGTTCACAGAGCTATGGGAGACTTATAACAGCAAGTGAGGATAATGAAGGACATACATCAAGTTCCAACTTATTGTAGTCGAGTGGTAGTCATCGACCAGGGTATCTGAACATAGTTATCTCTGCCAGGTTCGTCTAGGGATAGCCGAAACAGAGCCACTGCATCGATGATAGCTTCGCAAGGTCTTTCAACTTGGTCAAGATCGCCAGACATTGGCAGTGTCTGGTCCGGGGCATAAGTTGCACCCGTTCTTTGCTTTGAACTCCTTCCCATCCCGTGAACCAACCTCCACCATCACCACATCCGGACAAAGACACCATGTGTTCTACTTTTATGCTAATTCTAATCCAATGAAGTCCTTCAGTATTTTTCTCGCAACCCCCTCTAGTCTATCCCACATTCACATTAATCAAAGCCTCTAGCTTCGACTCCTGAAACCTCTTCTGCAACTTATAACGCCCCTCCACCCCAAACCAACACAACGGGAATATCCCCATGCCTATCCTTAACATCTAACAAAATGCCTCTCGTCCAAACAACTAGAGAAATTTCGCCAGTCATACGAGATCTAAAACAAGCCCATAAACAGAAAATTTTCCTCCCGAGCAACGGCATCCAACGACCTTCCTCGAATAGAAACAGACTTCGAACGAAGTACCCCATCTCCAATCTCTCAACTACCTCCTCTCTCCTCCGATATCCCTACCGTGATACCTTTCTACCCCTACCAGCGTCAACGACAGCACAACAACCCTAGAACCACCACCATCCCCGAAGCCGCAAAATGCAGCCGGTTGCACAATAGCCCCGCCAATATCAAGCACGATGACGCGCACAACTCCCAACCCCGATTCTCTTTTCAGAAGACATTCTTCATGGCATTTGCATTGAGGCGAATGTGTCGATGGATGGGATCCAGGGTCGTTGGGAATATCCGTAGCCGAGAAGGTCGTAGAGGTAGACTTAGTAGCCTGCCTGCCTGCATCCGTGAGGGGTGAGATGAGGTTGCGCTAATTAGAAGAGGAGATGAGATGTGGTGGAAGTAGTAATAATGTTTTGTGACTGGTAGGGTTTATATAGTATGCGGTTTTCCCTTGAGTTGCCTTCTACCTCATATATGATCTTTGTTAGGGAGGAGCTAGATAGTAAGTAGTATGAAACTGCAGGAATATTTGATCTTTGCGGCATCAATGCTCACTAGTAGGAGAGGGTAACTTAGAGATAGACGAGGTCTGCTTCGATTCAGACTGTTCTTAGGAGGACTTAAACTAGTGACCAACAACAGCATATAAGAAATGTATGTACGCAATCCATTCACATGTATCCGAACGGATTCAACTGCTGACAAAAGAGAATCGGCATCAAATCAAGCCAACAATATCCACAGGTATAAACAAAACAGGTTGATATCTCACTCCCAAGAGAGGAAAAGTAACTCCCAAACACCCCTGCCAAGGCCTGGATCATAAAGGCCACCCAGAACAGAAAATCAAAAGGTATCATAGATTAAGAATCACGAACGCGCGCTTGCCGTTTGGCCGTCCCAATATGCGTATTATGTACCTTGGTCGCAAATTTGAGACTGGTCAACGTCTCCGCCAAATGTGCCTGCAGCGGGCTGACCATGACAAACATGAGGGTCTTGGAGTTACCTCCCAGTGAGAATTGGAGGAGATATGTAAGCTGCATACAAGTCAGTCATTGCGCGGCCAAATGGTTGGGTCGAACAATACGAACCTTGCTGTTCCTGTAGGGAATGTGTCCGCCCTCCTTGCCCTGTCCAAGGGCAGCGATAACATCACCCAGACAGCTCAAGCTGCGGTTAATGTTTTGCGTCTCTTTCAAGCGTTCGCCAGTTGCACCACTGTGGCTCAGACGTTCACTACCGGCCAAGTCAACCAAGTTGAGGGTTCCTTCGCTGCGTTCGCCAGTAATGTCATTCTCACCGATCAACTTGAGAATGAAGACCGAGTGAGACCGGGAGGATCGCTCGTTGGCCTTGGTAGCTGCCACAGAGCGGTTGGAGGCGGCCCGCTTTAGGATTGTCTCAACCATCTCAGGAGACTCCAACCGGACAGTAGTGACATCCGTGATGATCGTCTTCCCTCTTTGCATGTCGTGGCGGATTTCCAGCTTCTTCTTGTCCAACTCTTCAGGGTTACCAAGGAGGTCGTTCAGATTCTCGTTGTACACTTCAACGAAGTTGCCCTCCATAGTGTACCGCCAGCCCTTCTCTTCCAGGCCCGTGGCTGTCTCATAGATCTGGTGCACTGCACGAGGAATCATACCGTCGAGCGAAGACATCGTATACGTCTTTCCACTACCAGTCTGACCGTAACAGAAAATGCACACGTTGTATCCGTCCAGGGCGCTTTGGACTAGTTGGCTGATCTCATCGAAGACTTCGGCATTCTGCGTTGACGGTCCGAAAACACGATCGAATGAAAAGTTGCTGTTTTTTCTTGTGATTGTACCAAGGCTGCTCTTCTCTTCTGGGCCCAGCACGGCAATTTCCTTGCTGTCTTCCGCCTCGTCGGGATACTCTATCTGAGCCGAGCCAGTGGCAGGATCAGAAGGCAGCGATGGGCGAACACGGCAGAAGACGCGAATGTTGCCTTTGAGTTCTTGCACCTGATTGTGAAGTTTCCTTCTTAGGGTCTCTTCCTTCCTCAGCTTGTCCTTCGTAGCGTTAGTCTCGGCCAACGCATCCATCATCTGCTGGTTCAAGCGCTCAAAGGCCTGAGATTGCTCCTCTCGTCCAGATTCGAGGAATTCGATTCTTGCCTTGAGCGCGCGAACAGAAGATTCCAACGTCACACTGTTGGAACTGGCTGTGTCCAGGTTCTGGCGAAGATCCCGGTTGCTCTTGCGCTCACGTTCAAGTTCCGCCCGCAGAGCTTGCATGTCATCGCGAAGCGTCGCGATTTCCCGTTCTTTCTTATCAAGCTCCATGTTCGACTTTTGCGTGTCAATGGCCGTCTGTGAGGTCATCTGACTGATCTCCCGAAGCCGAGCAGCTCTTTCGTCTTCCATTTCATGCTCGAACCGTCGCTTTAGTTCGCGGATCTCCTCTTGATATTGCGAGGCCAATGATTCCAACTCCCTTCTACCATCGAACCGCACGGACTCTAGTTCCCTGCGCTGACGAGAGCCAATTTCGTCAATTTCCATCTCATGCTCTCTCTGCGCATCCTTCAGGGCATCCTCCGACGCTCCTAGACGGACCTTGAGTGATTCCATCTCAACGCGAAGTGTTAGGTTCATGTCGGTGATCTCCTTTCGGGAAGCTTCCAGCTCGCTAACTGTAAAATACTCAGTTTCAAAGATGTCGAATCGTGCTTGTCGACAATTCGCTTACCTCTGGATTTATACAAGTCAAGCGCTTCCTTCATGCCGGTACTTTCCTGCCCCGCTTGGCTCATTTTTGTGACAAAAGTATTCATGAGATCTTCCATTGTCTTTTCGCGGCTTTCTTGATCCCACTCGGCACCTGTAGAAGAGTTAAACGTCTCAATCGCTGAATCTTTGGTAAGAAATTGCGGCAAAGGGGGTGGCTTTTTCCTAGCAGAGTGCTTTTTAGGAGACAGAATCTTATTTGGCGCAGGCTTGACTGGGGTAGTCACGGCCGTGATCCTCGAAGATAATGATCCAGTTGGCGCACCATGTGACGGCAAGGGGGCAGAATCCAATGTGTCAATGGGGGAGGGCTCCAGGTCCAACTCTTTCAGGGAAGTGCACAATAAAGTCGCAGGACTGGTATTGGACGACTTCCGCAAAGCACGATTGCTTGACATATTGCATGGGGCGCGAAAAATTGCAGCAGAACGAACAAAGCAAGGGGTGGGCCTACCCTTTCGTTTACCAAGTACAGTAGCGGCGGAGTCCTCCTCATCATGCGTATCCAGAGATGTCGCGGGGCGAGGGATGCCATGGCCGTTCGGTCTTCGGGAGCTGGCGACGGAGTGTGAGCGAGACATGCTGGTGTGCGGTCGAGCGTGGGGAACCCCGGAAATGGTTCCTTTCGATCGCGTGGATGTGGTGGCTGATCTGGTCAAGGTGGAGGATGAGTGCGAATTAGTGCGAGTGTGAACTCTTGTAGTGCTGTTGACGCGCGACGATGCTGCTCCGGCTCCGGCTCTGCCAACCTCGGGTGCTTGCGTGGTACTTCTGGGACGAGAGGGTTCTGTGACTGTCAGCTTCTGTTCGCTGCTCCGCTTCCACAGCTCCTGACACATACGCGACAGGCTCGTAGACTTGCTGGTTACGGCTCCCGCAATGGTACCGGGTTGCAAAAGACCGGAGCGGGCATTTGTCGAGGCCGGATTCATCTCTCTTAGACCAGTGGGAATTCGTGAACGGGCGGACGATCTGGACTGCGTCTGCCATTTTGTATCAGCACTCATCACCCGTCAAGCGCGGATAATGGAATTCACCATATGGTCGTTCTCCATGGCTTCCACAAGCGGGTCAACGCGACCCCTGACAATTCGAATATCGGTGGGTTCAGGAGAGTACAATGGGAAGAAAAGCGCGTGTAAGTGAAATACAAAAGCACAGACAATCAAATCCAAATCAGGCTGCGACCTGTTAGGGGCAGGACTGCATCGCAAGTCGGGCCGTCAGCGAGTCGTTTGGTGCAGGTCGAGGCAGCGCAGGTGAGTTTATCACGACGGTTCGATTGCCGGCCAGCTTTGGTGGGCGTTTCTGGAGTGACGGCGGGCGGTAAACAAACTTGGCTGACTCAGCCCGGCCCGGCGGGGTGCGCTATTGCCCCATCGGGCTAGGCGTAATGCTGGTCATGAATACCACAATACCATCCTTGGTTTGCTTGGTTTGCGACGAACTTCGCTGGTTGATTTTTGGGCAGAGTATCGCTGGGATAGACCAGGTTGTACTGCAAATTGTGGGATTGCGCTTACAGCAACTTCATTATCAACTCCGTCGCTCTCTGTTTCTCAGTATTTCCTTATCTTCCACACCTTCTCCTGCTGAGCCACACTTGTTCATCTCTGGCCCGCACGCGGGTGTGTCCACTTCCCACTTCCACTTCTCTCTCCCTGACTGGCTCCGTAACGGCGGCTGCTTTCAGACCGACAAGCTTTCCCCGTTCCCCCCATTCAAGGTCATTGAGACCCTTTTATCTCTCCCAATTGCCTCCATTTCTTTCATTGTTATTTGTTTTTGTGTCATTTCTTTCCCCCTGTGACTCTCTTAACTACCAGCATCATGTCTGGTCGATTCGTGCGTTCCTCGAAATACCGTGAGATCTTCTTCCCCTCCCCACAGGCTGCCCGCAATCTGACAGGTAGTAGGACACGTCTTCGGACGGCCAACGAGAAAGGTGCGCTGCGAACCCCCTGGGCCCTTCTCAGAGTCGACATTATCTCACACTCATCGCAGGAGCAATGCTATGACAATCTTCGTATTTCCAAGAACGCCTGGGATACCAACCTCGTCAAGGTTCGTCCGTTGTTGCCGCCGCCCCTAATCCACCACCTGCCAGGTCCGTCTGACACTACAACCAGGCCAACCCCAAATACCTCTCCGTAAACTGGGAAGCTGGTGGTGGAGGTGCATTTGCTGTTATTCCTCTGGAGGAGCGCGGGAAGCTGCCTGAGAGAATACCTCTTTTCCGGGGTCACACTGCCGTGGTCCTCGATACCGACTGGTGAGCAGTGGCTGTTGTGAACATCCTGATCGTAGCACACGACCAACATAAGTAGGAACCCTTTCAACGACGACCTGATTGCATCTGGATCTGATGACGGCAAGGTATGATCTCTCTTATCGCATTCGCAGACCACTGCAGGGCCTCTGTCCATTGGTACTAATTGATCGCATAATAGGTCTTCCTTTGGCGTGTGCCGGAGAATTTCACTCTTCGCCCTGATCTTGATCCCGATGAGATCCAAGATGTTGCACCCGTTGGCAAGCTTTCTGGTCATCCGAAGTGAGTGAACTTTTATACCACTTTAACGGTCGTGTTTCGCGAACGCATTCTGATGCCATCACAGGAAGATAGGCCACGTTCTTTTCAACCCCGCCGCCGAAAACATCCTGGCTACGGCCTCCGGCGATTATACCGTCAAGATCTGGGATATCGAAGCGGGCGCTCCGAAGCTGACTCTGAACCTGGGCGACATTGTACAATCACAGTCCTGGAGCGCGAACGGCTCCCTCTTGGTTACGACCTCGCGAGACAAGAAGCTGCGCATTTGGGATGTGCGTCAGGAACGCCCCGCGCATGAGACACAAGGACACTCTGGTGCCAAGAACAGCCGTTCGGTCTGGCTTGGTGAGCATGACAGGATCGCAACCACCGGTTTCTCGAAGATGAGTGACCGTCAGCTGGCTCTGTGGGATATCCGCGCTCCCCGGGAGCCCATCAACGGATTCAAGACCCTTGACTCGATCTCCGGTGTATGCATGCCTTTCTGGGATGAGGGCACTCAGTGTCTGCACCTTGCTGGAAGAGGGTAAGTTTACGGAGATAACCAGGTATTGGCCGTGGCTGACAATTTTTAGTGATGGTAACATCCGCTACTTCGAACTCGAGAACGACAAATTCGAATACCTTGCCGAATATAAGTCTGCCGATCCCCAGCGTGGTATCGCTTTCATGCCCAAGCGTGGAGTCAACACTCACGACAACGAAGTCGCTCGTGCCTTCAAGACCGTTAACGACAGCTACATTGAACCTATTTCTTTCATCGTGCCCCGCCGTGCGGAGACCTTCCAGGACGATATTTACCCTCCTACAACTGGTCTGAAGCCTGCTATGGGCCCCTCTGAGTGGCTTGCAGGCAAGGAGGCCATCCCGCCCAAGATTTCCATGGCCAACCTTTACGAGGGCGAGGGTCTGAAGGAGGTCACCGGAGTGCAGGACGCCCCCACTTCCACCATGGGTGCCTCCGAGCCCGAGGCGGCGCCGGCTCCCAAGGCCGCTGAGCCCAGTCCCGTGAAGAAGGCCCCCGAGCCCGCCCCCGAGCCGACGCCGGTGGCCAAGCCCGCCCCGTCCATGAAGGAGCAGGGTGCCTCGATGGCCGCCATGGTCTCTAAGTTTGCCGACGATGAAGAGGCCGAGACCGTGGAGGAGGATTCGAGCTTTGAGGAGGTGCAGAAGCCCGTGGAGCGTCCTGCACGCTCTCCCGAAGCCTCATCTCCTTCCATCAAGACCAGCCCATGGCACCAGAAGGAAGAGGAGGTCAAGACCAAGGCAGCAAGCCCTGCTAAGGTAAGCAATCCTACATCATCGAACAATACCCCTTCCCGAACTAACAATCCTTCAGTCTTCCCCCGTCATCACCCCTGCTGCCGCACCATCCGACATCTCCACCGGCGCTGCTGTCGCAGCAGACGCTGTTCAGCGCGAGATCGGAGCAATCAAGGACCTGATCGCCGAACAGACGAAGACGATCGCCTCCCAAGCGCAGCAGATGCAGAGCCTGACTGCCGAGATCGAGTCCCTCAAGGCTAAGCTGGGCTAGCCTTCTGATTTCAGCCTCCAGAGCTTTGGATCCTTTTAATGTACTGTATTGAATTTCCTTAGTCGTCTCTCTGTCTTGTCTGTCTTGTCCCACTATTATTATCCCTAACAATAACCCCTTTTTATCGCTCCAAAAGCCCTGCCCCTCTTTCTCCCCTTCTATGTCTATAGCCGTCATCGTTGTGTGTTATTATATTCTTGATGACCTGCAGCATGATTGCAATGCCAATGTCAATACGAATACCAGTGTCTTCTCTCTCTCTCTCTCTTTATTGTTATGTGTTGTCGATTCAGCGATGGCAGACTCCTTGAGATGGAGGCGAAATTGGATAGAATGGAATTTTTCCAAGGCTGGTTGATTGGTTAGTGGGGGTAGTAAGTAGTAAGTAGACAAGAAATATACCACCACGTTCTGTCCGCTTGATATATAGTTTTAGCCTACTAGTATCACTGCCTCACAGACAAGCAACAGAACGGATTATTAAAGACACGAATAGGAAGTTTTAACTTAGTATCTCACATTCTCCACGGCTTCACCTGACAACTAACTAGTAGTATGTGTACTCTTATCTACAACGCTGTAAAATAGCTGCAGCTGCACACTCAAGTATAGATAGTAATGCGATCCACCCGCAACGACCACGAATGCACGCCATGCAATTTCTGGAGGCTTTCTTTCTTCTTTCCTCCCCAAATCAAGAATTTGTGACACGAGAATGTAAGAAATGTTGGATGGTGGAGCGCTTGAATTAGAAGGATTTTGTTGGTGTTAGATTAGGAGGATATCCGTAGGGATTCTCTTTTTCTAAGCTCTTTGGGTGATAGGGGGTTAAACAGTAAATGGTACTTGTATGGAAGTACTCTTGAGGGAGGGAGTGATGGTAGGGAGTAGGATATAGAGATGTTGTGTGTGTTCGGGTAGGCGGGAAAGAGGAAACGGGAGGTGAACAGTTGTGGAAAGAATAGGAGTGTGGAGGAGAGTGATTACTTCCATCGACCTGCTTCACGCTCCTTCTCGACGCGCGCAGCCCGATCATCATCGTTTTCTTCATCCTCGTACTTGTAACTAAAGCGACGCCCACCTGCCATGGCGCGGCTGTCTCGCTTCCGAGAAGACTTTCCAGCATCACGGTCTGCATGCATGGCCTCACGACGTTGCTGCTCCTTCAGCATGCGCTCGCGATTCCGGGCCTCTCGTTCCAGAGTATGAGGGTCTTTCTCTGGCTCTGCTGCAGATGCAGCTGAAGGTTTGTCCTCGTCACGGTCCCGCCTGGCGCGGCGGGACTGGCGAGAGGAGTATTCACTGTTGACGGGGGATTCAGAACGGTCGCGGCGAGAGCGTTTGCGGTCTCTATCACGCTCCCTGTCGCGATCTCGATGGCGGTCTCGATCTCTGTCGCGGTCGCGGTCGCGGTCCCTGTCACGCTCTCGATAACGATCGCGATCCCGGTCCCGGTCCCGACGGCGGGAGTCTCTATCTCGGTCTCGGTCTCGATCTCTCTCGCGGTCCTCGTCGCGACGACTTGAGCGATCCTTACCGGACCGGTAACTGCGATCTACCGCATCGCTGGGCTTGTTTCTAGAATCTTTTTCTTCGGCCTTGGAATCGAGATGATCGGGTCCAGCAGAGTCGCCGTTGCGACTCGGGCTGCGGCTCCAGCTACGGTGGCGATGCGAACGATGCGACCGGCGACCGCTACGTCTATCCCGCTCTCTGTCACGGCGGTGAGTGGACCTTCTGGATTCAAGAGAAGGGGATCGGATACGAAGACCATCTCCTGCAGTAGATGGCTCTTCGTACTTGTCCTCCCGCCGAGGTCTCCTTGGCCGATCTCGCCTATGCTCAGATTCCTCTGCACCACGGTTGACACTCGGAGAACGTTCGCGATACCGGCGACGACTATCGGAGCGAGATGGAGGAGATCGTGACCTTGATGCCGATCTAGCTCTCGACTTTGATCTCGGGACGGACTGTGGGCGCGGGTCCTCTTGTCCGGGTGTTGGGGTTACACTGAGAAGAGAACATCAATATTAAACGGGCTTGCAATGGGTTGGTTGCATGTGGAACAGTATCCGTACCTTTGCGAGGCTTCAGGCCTCATGGGGGTCGCCGAGGACCGTCCAGGGAAGTTCCGTTGCCGGAGAATGCTGGTGTTGGGAAGGCCCTCTCGCATCGCTCGGGGAGCTGCTGGAGCACCTTCAACACCCTGTCCACGAGGCTCGGGATACATGTTAGGGCCAGTCATAAACGGGGGTCCGTTGAAGCCACCAGGACGTGCGCCGTGGAAAGGACCGCGCATATAGCCACCTCTGCCAAAGCCGGGTCCCATGGGGCCAGACATGCCCATCGGGCCACCCGACATGCCTTGTGCGGCGTGGACTTGGTCTAGACTATCGATTGTAGGTATCCCACGCAGCTGGTTATCCTCCTGACCTGGAAGCTCTTGTGTGGAGTCTCTATTGATGGGATCGGATTCTCCGTTCTCACCCATGTTTTCAGGGGGAGCAGCAGCAGCAGCAGCATCTGCCGCCGAAGCGTCTTGAGCAGAAGTCACGTCGCCGCTTGGGGTAGTCTCGTCGGCACCTTCCTTATTGGCTTCAGTACTGAGCTCTCCCGACATGTCCCCAGATACGCCATCCTGAGCATCACTAGGGGGATTATGGTTTGGAAAGTCTGTATAGTTAGCATTAGCAGGATGATTGGGCTGCATATGCCCTCCAAAACCACCGCGACCGCCGGCAAACCCTCCCCGGCCACGGCCACGGAACGCGCCTCGGCCATGACCGGCATAAGAGCCATTGGGATAATCTTGGCTAGGAAACTGCTGCGGCTGCATTTGAGCAAGAACTCCGTTGGGTTGAGACATATTATAACCGCCAAATCCAGAAGGGCCCCCAAACTGCGGACCCATACCATTTGCGAAAGCATTTGGATTGAATTTATCTTGGCCTCCATTCCACATATTGTTCTGTGAGCCGTCCCATCCCCCGTACATCCCCTGACCCGCGTCGAAACTCATTCCCATGTTCATGCCATTCATGTTCATCCCGTAGCCTCCAAACATACCCTGATTCGCGGCCATCGGGTCCATCGCCATACCAGGCATTCCTAGCGCGCACGTTAATTCGCCAGTCCAGTATCGCATCGGGGCAAGAGATGACGGGGGAGAACTCACCCATAGCGTTAGGGAAGTTGAACATTCCATTGTTCATGAATTGGGCCATAGGGTTGAAACCACCGTTGTTGTTCCAAGCCATGTTAGGGAACATCCCGGCGCCCATGCCGAAACCCATACCATTAGGCAGCATGGTCCCCGCTCCGGCACCTTGAGACGCCTCGTCATCGTTGACTTGGTCGGTCTTGGCTTCATCGGCTTCATTGCCTTCACCAGATCCGTCGTGTTCCGCATCCCCGGCATCATTCTGCGTGTCAGCAGGGACACTTGCAGACTGGTCATCCTGCGCGAATGGAATATTAGCCTAGATGCAGGCAATTTATGTTGGGTGACATACTTGGACCTGCGTCTCTGTAGGTGCTTCGTCACTGACACCTGGTGTGTTCTGCGCATTTACATCTCCGGTGTCCGCTGGATTGGCTGTTTCTGCCGGTGGTGCATCGACAGTTCCACTAAGCGCAGGGATTTCTTCAGAGGCTGGAACTTCGGCGGCGCTCGGCACCGCAGGCGTCTCCAGTTGAGCAGGAGTGCCATCCGCGGTTGTTGCACCATTGGTGGTTGCGGGCGTCGCAGGGGTTGCGGACTGTCGCTCTTTTTCACGCTTCTTCTCTTCGGTACGCAGAAAGGCCTTCAGTGTGGTGCGGAGCGCTTTGTTCGGCTTGCACAGATCGGGCGAGATGGGGGTATGCGCGCATACGGGGCAAGTCTCGGGGAGAGAAGCCTGGCCTGTCGGAACCTTGGTTAGAATGCAACGGAAGTATAACACGGAGTCGTTAACAGATGCGTACAATGTTCACAGATCGCTTGGTCGCAGCACGGTAAGCGGAAGGCGTTCACGGCAAGCTTATTGCACATGGCGCATCGCAGCTTGAACGGGATCTCATCTTGAGTGAGAGAGCTGTTTGGATTGGATGGCGGATTAGTTCCCGGGCCAGAGACATGTACGACGAAAGAGCGCAAGGCTGAAGTATGACCTACCTGGCGATGTCCATCAAGCCCGAAGGCTGATCTGCGACAGCCATCGGGGATGACGAGGCTAGAGCGGAGGGAAAGATAAGTCCAGAAGGAAGATGTCAACGTGCAGAAAAGGGAATAGTAGGCAGCCACACTGGCAAAGACAAAGAACGCGATCTAATTCGCCATCAATAGGAGGTGGCAGCCATTCCTGCTGGCGTCGCTCGGAAATGCAAGCCCGTGAATCGACAATCGGGGTGAATGTCGCGATGGACAATCTGTGCCTGTTTGACCAAATTTGGAGGCCGGAGGCGGGCCGGAGCGGAAGAACCGCCTGTCCGAGCCTTTCCGGCGCATCGCCCCGCCCTTCTGCTCCTCTTTCTCCAGCGCCTGCGTTCGGTGTGTTGTATCTCGGCTGGAAGGTGACATCAATCATCTGGTCTGCTGCTCGGTTGCCCGTTCCGTTACGCTGGGGTTGCTGGCGGATGGTGCTGGCGCTTGGAAGGAATGCGGATGTGGATGAGATTCTCCCTACGAAACACTTGCTGACCATACTAACTACGGAGGTCCAGCCTCACCATCGTCGTCCAGAACGTGCAGTTTCAGATGAGACTTTGTCATTTGCAGACCACTAATGAACTAAGGTTTAGGACAAGTCATAGGGATAATTCAAGGCGGCACGGCACACCGCCAACTGCGGCGACTGGACCCCTGGTTGTCATCCATCGTCCATCCCTGCTGCGCGCCACGAACTCAAGGCAGACGAGTTACCTTGCGACCACTGTGTAGGATAGGATTCCAGATTCCAGAACCCAAGCTGGGTTATGGAAGGGTCAGCACTAGACCGACTCTGGCAAAGGATACATTCCCTAGCTCTACCTCTAATTGCCTACTGGGTAACTGTCAGGGAGAGGCAGATCTGCCTCTCATCTCCGACGGGCAAATCAAATGGATGCAAAGTACCGCCCAAGGGAAATCAGCGACGCGCTTTCAGATTAGATCAAGTTATTTACTCCCTCACCGATGGGGTACTGCCATTAAATAGCAATAGCACAGAGAAATCCGACGGCGGCGATACCTTTGATGGGTCTCTGCGCGCCAAATCGTCCTTCTCCCCCGATCTCTGGAGCTCTGTTTATCATCATCACGCGTCTTGGTGGGGGATATCGACCAGAGAGATAGATAATATGATGAAAGGGAAAAGGAACAAAGACATGGAACAGGAACACAAGACGAATGATGACATGAGTGTCAGAGAACTGACTCACTAGCTCCCGCATTAGAGAGCTACCGTCTACAGGGTCAGGGGGACACCAACAGCCCGACTGAGCAACAAATGATACTGGGGGAGAAAGCAGTAGTATACGATCTGTGGCTTTTGCATCATTGACGCAGACTCGACGGGTGGAATCACGCGCGCCAAAAGCCAAAAACAGAGGGGGGCCAATCAGGGAGCGAACCATTTAAGCAGTGCCTCCGGGCGGGGTGGCGACGAGAGGAGTGGTTCGTTCGCAGCTGAGTTGACACCCCGAAACTTGAGAAGTAAGACTCATCCACGGCCTCACGATGAGGCAGCAGCGCGTCACCGAAGTGATAGACAAGAGGGGGTGTGTGTTAGTCAAGATGAGATGGCGGGAGTTGCCATAATTCGAGTCCAGTCAGTTGATAGGGCTGTGGGTAAATGGTGGATGATGCCGAATAACAACAAGATCAGAGGAGGAAGATGGCGTAGTCATCGTGATGATGGAGGATGGTTAATTAATTAAAAGTAAAGGATGGGGATGGATGTTGTAGAGGTTGTAGAGGAAGAAAGGATGAGTGATTGGAAGGTACCACCCGTCAGGTTAGAGTCCAAGCAGTTTCCGTCCGACCCAGGAAAAGGAAAATGGGGAAAAAAAAGAAAAATCGAAGAGTGAGCCTGAGGAACGGTATTTTTAGCGCGAGCAGTGGAACAGGCAGGCCAGGGTTAAAAGGGCCGCTGCTGCTGCTCCCCCGGAAGAAAGGGCGCCGGTCCTCTTCGTCTCCTCTCTGGATGCTGGGGCCACCCACGCCACGCACTTCCGTACACGCACTTTTTGCTCTCGGCCAAGATTCATTCAAAAATTACACCAAATTCGTTCTAAAGAAGCTCGGACCATCCGCGCCGCGCGATCGGCACAAACAAGAAAAGCATCCCCAAACAATTCGGTTTCACGGCCACCAGAGTATCTTCTTCATCGCGGAAAGAAAATTGTGGCATTGAATCTCGTCTACATTTTCTATCCTGGGCAGAAATTCCTCCAGACCCTGTATTCCAGTGGTGTGTTATGCCGGCCACGGTATCAAGGTCGATTTAAATCCCTCCATTCCCCAATCTGTTGTTGTCACTCCAACTTTGGCGGCCAAGGTACGAAAAAGACGTTCCCCATATTTATTCCATACTAGGCCGTTTTCCTGTTAGGCGCGCACGCGCATCGCCCATAACGCCCGGATCTCTTCATTAAGAAAAAAAAAAAAAGGAAAAAGAAAAAGAAAATTATTATAAATTAAAAACAGAAAAAAGAAAAAAGAAAAAAACAAGAAAAAAAAATATCCCCACAGCAATGACAGACCAAGACCAATCCTATCGTCCACGATCCCCTGATTTTTCCACCTTCCAGTCAGTTCCCCTCTCACCTACCTTCAACAACCACAACCTCAACCACAACGCGCACTATCAACATCCTCACCACTCCCCGGTTTACCAATTCGGGAATCCTTTCGCCCATCGCGCTTCCTACGACGCCTCGCCGTTCTTCACCCCGCAGTATCAACCACCACCTCTACCACAACAACCACCATCGCTTCCTCACCACCCGGTCCCGCAGACCAGGGTTCCCCAGCAATCCTCCTCATATTTCCCTCCCGATCCGGACATGGCTCGTCGTTCGTCGCGTATCGCCCAAGCGGCCGAGGTCGCGCCTCATCCGCCCGTCTCCAAATACGTCGACCCCGTCGACCCCGTCGACGAAGAGGACTATGTACCTTCACCACCACCTCAACCACAACCACAACCACAACCACAAGAGGAACCCGTCGCAATTATTGAGGAAGAAGAGCCTCCGAAGCCCGCTCCTGCACCCGTCAATGTGGAAGTGAAGACCAAGTTTCCCGTCGCGCGTATAAAGCGCATCATGCAAGCCGATGAAGATGTCGGTAAAGTCGCTCAAGTTACTCCTATCGCAGTGTGTAAGTTGCCACCCTCATCTCAACTGATTATTGCGAAATGTTTTGAATATTAATGCTAATCATAATTGCCTTACAGCCAAAGCTCTCGAACTCTTCATGATTTCCCTCGTCACCAAAGCCGCCCGCGAAGCCAAAGACCGCAACTCGAAACGCGTCACAGCCTCGCATCTCAAACAAGCCGTCGTTAAAGACGAAGTGCTCGACTTCCTCGCTGACATCATCGCCAAGGTTCCTGATCAACCGGCTAGTCGGAAACACGACGACGATAACAGTGATCAGAATGAACAACAACCGAAACGAAAGCGCGGTGGACGTCGTCCGAAAGAAGAGAGTGATTAATTAATGCCCACTACGATTCTTTTTCTCATTTCGCGCGTTTTCTTCGGAACGAACTGGCTTGAATGTCAGCTGGCATGCATTATGTGGTTCGAGGGACTTTTCGTCTGCTTACGTGATGGGTAGCCATTCGGTTCGATTCGATATCGATATGGATGGTTCCATCTTTCTTTCTTTTTTATTATCCTTTAGACTGGGTGGACAAGAGCGGGCGCATTCTTGACTTGACTTGAATTACTATCATACTCTTGCTACTCCTTCTGCTACCACCATCTCTCTCTCTCTCTATCTATCTATGGCGTTTGTGGTAACGGGGGCATGATCAGGTTGGTTGGATGGATGGTTGGGCTTGCATCGCGTGATGTGAATACTATTTGCTTACTTTCTCGATTCTTTATTCTCTATCATACCATTGGGTATTTTCTTTCCCTAATTGCTTGCTCGCTGGCTTGCTTGCTTCTCATACTACGTGAAGAGTGACAAGCACTTATCTGTACTGTACGTGTATCATTAATGGCTAGAGGGGATCTGGAAATGGACGGAAAGAGAAGGGCAAAGCAACTTACCACGTCTCACATGGGGTTAGTTGCGCGTGTACCTATATTTACCTAGTACTATACTCGGACCGAATGTATGATCTGCGCGTAACGAGACGCGTAGATACGAAATACGAAATATTTACCATATGGGACTAAGTAGGAGCGTATCAGGTTAAACTGTATAGCAACACTACTATTGTTCCTGACCATCAAGCCAAATATTAATTCAAAACAGTTCCAGCATAACTCTGCCATATTTCTTACTGGTACTTCGTGTGATACAAGCCAACTGAAGTCACATCACATGACTTCCTCATTATGAGCAGTCATCACTGGTGTCAATCTGGTTATGGAATTAGGAATTTACTATGACTATGTCCATTCTGTTATCCCTTGGCATTGTAATGTAAGATGGGACTCAAGTAGGGAGTATACTATTTAATTGTGTAGTTAGTATCGTGGTTAGTACGCTAACTGGCAATGCGGGGATAGTAAGTAGTTTCCATAGATGAGTGGTGCGTATATATTGCGGTTCCATCTCCATCCTATATCATACAATTGATAATGGCTAGGATTCACAATCTCAGTAGTAATAACGATTAGAATGTTTATAGTAATCATTGTATTATTGTAAAGCCTTCATTACTTACATTATGTAGTAGTCAAATCGGTTAGTGATCTTGTATCATTGTCTATAACGGTCTATTACTATAGTATAACTGAACCGCAACGGGTGATACTGATCTTCGCGGGTCACTATGAGTACCAACTGTGGTAGAAACATGAACTTCTTACTACTGTAGCATAGGATGATCGCGTTCTCCGATTGGGAGGAATGTCCAATGTCCATTTCAATTCATCACGATTGTCTACTAATACTACTATAATACTGCTTAATGAACTCCCTAGGCAGGCAGCTAGCTACTACGTACCATGTAAAAAGCTACATCGAGGTCTTACTTTCAGACACGCTATAATCACCAGGAATGAGAAAAACGAGCAAAATACAATAATGTATATATATTTTCATCCATACAATCACTCAGTCACCCATAATCGCAGGTCCCGCCCACGACTTTACTAGAAACCCCTATCAATAGACAGTAGTTGACTATGCCTCAACCGTAGCAGTATCTACAGGACCATCTACTCCAGGATAGCCCGCCTCCCCGAATAACGTTCCCCGCGCCTGCACGACAGCCGATGTTTCTAACAAGAACTCGTAGAGGATGACTACGTTGGTCAGGACATGTCCCAGAGTCGCGGTGCGGGGTTCTTCTTCGACGACTGCTGTGTCGCCGGCGTCATAGTTTGATTCGTCAGTTGCTTGCTCTGCTGTGGTATCGGTGCTGGCCTCGCGAGGTGCATCGTCTACTGGGAATGGCTGTTCTAGACGCTGGCGGAGTTCTTCGGCGGCGGATCTGCGCGCCGTGGAGACGTCGCGAGGCGGTCGGAAGGGGAGATCGCGAGAGGGGGACCCGATGGTGTCTCGACTGGGAGAGGAGGTGGCGGTGCTGGAGAACTCGAGGGGTCGACTTGACCGGCCGCGAGGGGATCCGTAGTCTGCGTCGAGGTTGGATGTTGGGTGTCGGGAGGAGGAGCGTGTTGGAGGTGCAGAGTTGCGCTGAGAACGTCCGGACCCTTTGATAGGCTCGTCGTCTTGGTGCAGGAGATCGCGACGCGCGGCGACGAGGATGTCAAAGTCTGGCACGTCCTTGCGCCATTTCTGGATCTTCTGCACGAGCTTCTGAAGTACCGAAGTGAGGGTTGGAGTGTCGGTGTGGGACCAGGATGGCTCTTCGTAGGCTCGCTGGATCTGTTCAATAAGGGTTGTCGAAGGGGTTTCTTCTGAAGATTTGTTCGTTGATGTGCTGTAGATGTACTTGGAAGGGTCCACGAGAAGCCAGCCGTCAAGAGCAATCAGGTGCGATGAGGCGATGCTCCCGAGAACTTCGGTCAACGCCAGGTTCACGATAACACTGTTCGTGAAGAAGTTTTCCAGGCAATTGAGCAGCTCGCGCACAATGGGGTCGTCGTGTCGCAGCTCGAGCGGCAGGCTCTCTTCCGGGTAATCTTCGGCTGGGGGAATGCACAGCCGGGCCTCGAGAATTGCCATCCCGTCCTTGAGGTAGTTATCATAAGATTCATTCAACGTAGGGTCATCAACAGTAGACGTGGCCATGTTCAAAAGCTGTTCCAGCTCGACGTTCAACGCCCCGACAGTCCGTTGTTTGGCATGCTGGCCGGGAACGGTGCGTATCAATGACCGTGCAAAGGTGTGGTGCCGTTGCAGGACGGTGCTCATTACCCGCAATGTCGCCAGAACAGTCTGTCTATTTGTCGACTGAAGCCCAAGGAGAGCAAGATCTCTCAAGTTGAAAAGCGACGGCGAGGGCCGCGCAGCTTCTTCGGAGAAAGCGGCCAAGACATCTAGCGACTTGCGTCGGCTGGCAGACATACCTATGTTCTTTCCGACAGTCGCAGGCTCCGAGTCAGAGGGAGACGCAAGCAAAAAATGAAGAATCCGATGGACCAAGTCTTCTTGGTGGACCGACTCGAGAATACGATACAAATAGGTAAGCACAGCGGCCGTTGAGCCCCCTTGCACATCGGAAGACTCAAGTAATGACGGGTACCTGCATGCAGTACAGTGAGCAAGCCGCATTTCAGCAACTACACAATCAAACTTACAAGAGTTGTTCCAGAAAGAGAATCTGGAAATGATCTAACAAAGTCCCGTTGACCTCCGCCGACTTGCAATGATCAATAGTATCCTGCCAGAACAACAGATACGACATGAACGAGTCCATAGACATGCCCAGCAGTGGCGGAAGAGCAGTATCTTGTTGCGCGTGATCCGACAGCGCAATGATATGTGGGATATTCTCGTCCGTATTCTCCGGGAAGGTCAAGCTTTGCAACAGATATCAGTCATTACTCCCCATCCTCAGCACGAACCACCTTAACAGCACTCACCTGCCCAACTGACTATACAGCGCACCCAACCCAGTAGCCATAAGGGTAGCAAGGTCACTTTCAATCAACCATCTCTCAAGATTCTTCGATCTGGAAGCCGTCTCGATCAAATAAAGCAATCCCGTACGAGCGAAATCTCCCGCTCTTCCAGCATGATGCACATACTCCACGAGCAGGTAGAACAACGGAAAGTCGTCCTTTCTCATTGCACCCGCAAACTCAGCCCCAGTGTTATTACCGTTACTCTGTTCGCGATCCTGGTCATCAGACCGCGGAGCGAACCACGCAGGCAGGATATTCGGCTGCAGACGAATATTGTTAGCCACGCCGAAAAGAAGCTCGACAAGTCGTCCCTCAACGTCCTCCGAGTGTTTATCGGCACGTCGCACTAAATCCACCAGGGCGCGGGCAAAGAGTCGATTATCGACAACACCATCGACCTCCGAATCGATCAGGGTGTTGAAGAACACGGTCGCGGATCGGAGCATGCCATCGTCATAGGAAGACAAGGCGAGCTTGGTGACTGTGACGAAGATCTGCGAGGAGGAGGCATATGCGAGGCATGGGTGCGGAGCTGGGCCGCGGGATTCGTCGCTCAGCACGGAAATGAGGCGATCAATGCAATTACGCGCGTGGACGGTCGCGGATTGCTCGCCGGTGGAGGAGTTATTGGAGCGCCATATTTGCTAGGTTGAATGAGCGGAAAGATCACGACGGGGGAACTAGGAGGAGGAAGAAGGGCTAACACACCTGAAGGGTATTGCATGTCCGTTTGAAGGACGCCAATCGCTCTGTGGGAGTGGAGGCCCGGAAGCCTTTAGTAGACAGCGAGCGGGAGCCCCCGATGAGACGAGACCACTGGAGGAATTAGCTGAAGGACGGCGGTAAGGGACAGGACGGGGGGAAGTCGTACAAAGTCCATTGTTCTGTAGGAACAGCATATTACTCCGGAATTGGAGCCGACCCAAGTGGAGTGGAGAGTCCGCGGGGAGGTCGAAGCTGAAGATTAATCTCAAGGCCGGCGATGCAATTGCTCGCCCGCGCAAAAAGGGGTTAGTGCCGCCTGCCATATCAGGCCTAGTTGTGATGCCTCATCAGTTTACCCCTTTCGGGTTAGACTCTTGGGACACCTCCACATGGATTTCCTATTCCAGAATCGTCTATAACTACCACAACGACTATGAGCTACTACCACAACCCATCAGATCATCATGACCAACAATCACAACCCCATCTGACATTCAACCAAGATCAGGATACCCATCACAAATATATACTACATTCAGTACCCCTGGTTAGCCAGTGGCACCCTTCCAGCTCCATTTCCCACCGCCAATCCCTCGATATACTTCGTCAGAGTGTCATCCAAAACACCACCCACGAGGTACTTGGATAGAACGTGGCCGGCCATCTGACCATGTGAGATAAACCCACATCGGACCACATCTTCCAAGAGCTCGGTGGTTGTGTGTTCCTTGATGGCACGCTTAATGCGTCCTGTTCACATACGTCGCAAACATAGTCAGCATCAAAAGACAGAGCAGGCGGACATATGCGGAAACCAAAGAATCCAGGCTCACATACGTCTCAGCGCCCGATGGTAGGGTTTGTTAATCTCGATGGTCCATTCCTGAATAGAGGAAACTGGATATCGGTTTTTGAGACCCACCTCGTGGCCCAAGCTTCGTACTTTGTACAATGTTGTGTTTCCAAACTCTAGACGGTCCAGACGTTTGTCATCCTTTGTGGGTTGGTCTGTGGCTGAACTCAGTTAGTCCTGACTTGTCCTTTTGCGGATGTGGAACACTGTATGCAACATGCCTTGTTGGATCTCCGACTGAGAAGACGAGCTCGGCGTCTCGCGACCGAGTTCGACCACCTCAGTCTGAATCACTCCCTCCTTGCTTTCATGGCACGGAAGCCTTGACAAGAGAGTTTCTGGGGTAGCAGAAGTATCGGAATATTCTTCGCTAGAATTCTCGAGATCTTCCTTGGAAGTCTTCTCGCCAGCTTCCGCACGAGCTTCATCGCTTTGCTGGAGGAGCTTTTCGAGGTCATACCTTTCCTCTATGAGCAAGTCAACAAATGCTAATCGTTTTCTATAGCAAGGTTTACCAGGGCATACTGTAGACAATGATTCCCTTCTCGAAACGTGCGTTGGCCGAGTAAGAGAAAAGGAAGAACACATCCACAAACCCGATTAGGCGGATCTTTCCTGGCCATTGTTCACCGTTGATTTTGATTTCCCATGGATGAATATCACTTGTAGAATGGTTAGCAAAGTTACCCTGATTTCGCGCAGCGGCGTAGACATACCAATCGCACTCCAGCGTTTTGTCCTTGACGGACTTGCCGAAAACTCCAAGAACTCGGTGATAGGAAGCCATGCTGAGCTTACAATTAGGGGATATGGGGTTATTCAGGGAGGCGCGCAGAGACTATTGTTATTTGGGTTGCACTTTCCCCCCCCTTTCCCAGAAAGTGCTAACTACACGATCGGTGCTTGGTCCGAAGTTCGCCGTCAGACTGCAGCTGGAGGGGTTGCGAAATGGAAGGTGACACTCGCGCGGCTGAGGGTTGCATGAGATAGAAGCTTTCCAGTGACATGTAGCGGCACACCATTGGCTTCAAGACTGCCAATAGCAGGCTGGATGCCGCTAGGAAGGAAATTGCGACATCAACATGCATACGATGGACGCGTAGTACCAATCTGCGACCCTATTCAGACGGATCTTCGTGGGCAACATGTCCCCGGGGACCTGCCATCGGGGATATGTGGTTCAGCTGAGGCGCACCGCTAATGCACCCGGGTCTGGTTCGGGAGATGTATCAACTCTTACGGCGCTAAATAAACAACACGGCGCTAGCTTACTGGCTGTCAGCATGTCGGATCCTCGGATCAAACATTACACGTTCGGTAGATCGCCGATCGAAGATGAGGGCTAGGCTACGGGCTGTCGGATATCTCCGTCAGTCGACCTGCAAGTGGTGGACAGCACGATGCGGAGATGGTGGGTGCGGTTGGCATGGCCTACAGCTTCGATAAGCCTTTCTTTGTGGATATAACTTGGCAAGATGACTACGGTCTTTCTTGACTCATCATCAGAAAGTGACTTTGAACTGCCATTCCCACTTCTACATATCTCGTGAATCTTTGATATCCATCGTCAGCCCCACTATTCGTTAAAATCCAGCAAGATGTTCAAGAACAAGCATAAGTTCGAACTACCATCTTTCAGACGCGAAAATTCATCAGACAAGGAGCTCGGTGTATCTATCTTGCCAGCTGCCGACGATAACTCCGCCGTCAATTCTCCAGCAATAAGCCAAGTTACCACAGCAAATGAACAGCTGGGTAGTCTACGCAATCCGCCAACGGACGCGAGCCTCGTTAGCAACGGCAATGAACCAAGGGAATCGGCGGACGACAAATCGAACGGTTCTACGCCGGAAGTAGAGAAGGTTGATACCAAAGATCAACTCCTAGGCAGCATACGCGATGCAGCCATGAAATCGAGCCTCGTTATGGGCGCTAAGGAACTGAGAGAATCTGCAAACAGCGAAATGGCCAGGGTAAAAGGTATCGTGACAAAAGAGAATAGCTCCAATGATGAAAAGCTCAGAGGTCTTCTTCATCTTATCCTTAGGTCTAGCACGGAGCCTAGACTTTACAACGATTACTTGGACAAGTCAATGGACGAAGACTCCGACCTTCTTATCAGCTCATTCGCTGGACAAGTAGATGACAACTCAGTTCCGCTTCGAATGTTTGACTTGGATACCATGAATTTGGTTGATACGGGCTTCTTTGGAGAGGAAGATCAATATTGCATGCTGTCCCATAGTTGGAAAGGTGCAGAAATTGACTATGCGCTTGTCTGCGAAGCCCAACGTGCTGAGGAGGCCCCGGGAGGATTGGCTGGGTACAATGATATGGATGCGGTTCTCACTCTCTGCGACCAGAAGATCAATACAATCGCAGGGAAATTGCGCAAGTTGTTACAGGAGAGACCAGATGCAGGGAAATCAATCCGGAAACTGCTCGTAACGTCTCTCAGGGTGTCCATGCTAGAAAGAGATGTGGTCGATACCAAGCAAAAGCGGACCGTCGAGGATGCAAACAAGAGACAGGCAGATCTGGAGCAAACCAATTACCAGAAATTGTTAGACTTCCTGAAAGAAGTTGAGAGTCTACCAAGCCTAGCGAAGCAACAAGAAGATGCAGAGAAGAGGGCCAAAAATGCGGCGGAAAAGTACTTCAGCGCGGAGCATGATTACGCATCAGAGAAATCTAGAATCTCGAAATATCGATCAAATCGCCAATTGTCATATGAGATGGACGATTTGCTAAGGGCTTTGCAGCAGAAGAGGTCGGCACGGAAGCTTCAAGAGTCTATCAGTCGCGCGCGAGAAATTTTTGAGAACAGACCCTTCTCCAAGACGGGTAGACGATATATTTGGCTGGATAACTGCTGTATCAACAAGAGACAGGACGCTGAATTGAGTGAGTCCTTAGCACGCATGGGAGAATGGTACGCAAACGCAGACTTTTGCCTGGTCCACCTGGATACTCCGTGGGACAACCGGGAATGGTTGGATGAGTGGGACCTGTGGTGCAAAAGCAAAGACAATATTGAAGAGGAGGAGCCGGATCACTCCGAGGATAGCGACGTGGTCAGTACAACTATGAAGACAAAGCCTCGGTGCCAGCCTGTCTCGCGCTTTGACGAAGTCAAAGAGTGGAAGCCAACATGGGCTACCAGAGGCTGGACACTGCAGGAACTGGTGCTCAGCAAAATGACGTTTTACGCCAACGCAGACTGGAAGATGCTGTCGCGGCCGGTTGACAGTTTGGGGTTCTATTATCACTTTTGCCCCTTCATTGATTTTTACACCCAGAACCTCAATTACGTCAACGGCAAGGCACCGAAAGTCGTCAATGATGTATTGAACCATCACCGGGTAAAAAAGGCACTGGAAGAAATGGCAGTCGCGGAGGAAAGAGAGATGAGTGAGAAGAAAAGAATCAGTTCCACCACACCGGGTGAGGCAGAAGAGGTAAGATAAGCATCCGGTAAGGAATACTATTTATTTTCTGACTGCGATATAGACGATTGGCGCAGAGAGCATCATCCGCGCTCTGAAGCTCTTTGGATATGCCGCGCCCAAGAACTTGGATAAGCAAACGGCGAGAGCTCGTATCAGCTACTCTGTCCAACTCGTTGTCGAAGCATTCAAGGACAAGCCAAGCTACGCTGACCCGGATGACATTAGAGAGCTGATCTTGAAGATGGTTTCTGAGCGCTATAATGGACTGACACGAGAGAAGGCAGTAAGGCGAACAATCAACCTGCTGCTTGGAGCCCTCGCACGCAAGGCAACCGAGCCCATAAGGAATGATCGTAAAAAGATCGCCGAGTTCAGCAACGTCGAAGGCCTGAGCAGCTGGTGGAATGGCACGGAGAGGAGCCGTTTCTCTGCTCATAGCGTTATGATGCTGGCATCGCATCGACAGTGCACCAAGGCTATTGATAAGGCGTACTCGTTGATGGGTGTCCTTGGAGTGCAGTTCCCAGCGTTCCCAGCCGAGGGCCTTACCAAGGCTTTGTCGCGGCTAATGGATGAAGTGGTGATCACCTCCAACGATGTTTCTGTCTTCAACTGGACTGGCAAGTACAATGGTAGCCCAATACGCGGCCGGTCTTTGTACGCCTCGAACATTGACGCCTTTTACACCGAGTCACGATTCGATGTCAATGGTGAACTCGTCAGATTTTTCCGAAAGGATCGCACCAAAACCCTGACTATCGCCAAAGGTATTACTGACATGCTGCTCAATGCTAGCAACTTCGTCTCAACTTTCTATCAGGACGAAAAAACGGTCAATTTGCTTCTAGAGCTGGTCAAACTCATCAGGAAATATGATAGCCACACACTGAACAGGCTTCTACATTTCCCTGAGCTCGTTAAGACACTGAATAATGCTGGCGACTATGCACGGAGAACTAAGTCGGAAGAAGATGCGAAACAGGATGGGAATGTGCAAAAGCCCGATACGCCCCTGACTCCTCAGACCCCCCAGACACCTGAAGCTCCGGGGATTGGGAGGAAGAAGTCATGGGGAGTTAAGCTACCAAACCTTCACAAGGGGAGCCTTTTCATGGAAGGTAAAGCAGCTGAGAAGGAAAAGTCAACAGAAAACTCCAAGAAGGCAGAACAATTTGAAGCCGAGATCCAGGATGTTGTCCGCATGGCGCTAGAAAGCGACCCTGCACACAGAGACAACGGAACTTCTGTTGGAAACGATAAATCTCCAGATGAAAGCAATGAATCTGGAGCGCAGGCCAACAAAGTCAGCGAGCGTGACGAGCAGATCATCTGTCCGAACCCCATTGTCGTGAACAGCTCTGGCATCAAGGGTGTATTTGACATTCAGCGCATTGTGGTAACTATGCTGCAGCCGGAAGAGCTTCGTGCGAAGGTCAAAAATGCCGCAAGTGATAAAGAGATGATCGATGGGTGGTGTACCATAAGTACTGGATTTACTCTCACGATGGTGGCCTTCTGCTGTGAGCGAAAGGTCCTTGAGAGGCAACTGGACTTGGTCGATGTAATCGAGCATACCGTCCTCAGAGAAGCTGCCCCGGCCAACACGCACACGCCCGCACAGGGTGATGAAACCGATGCACAGCCAGCAAACCCAAAGGACCAGCAAATTAAACAATCCAACGGCCAAGATCCAGCGCCGGATACGGCATCTTCTCAGAAAACAGAAAACGTAGACCGCGACAGTCGGCCCAAACTTAAAAACTACGGCTCTTCAGCAGAGCAGAGACGAGTTTCTCGCATGATCGACTTTGTCACAGAAGCCAATCTTCACGCTATAGCCGGAGAATGGGTTCTGGCACGTTTTTCTGGCACGCCAGGGGCGCAATGGTTCCTTTGCAGATTGGAACTGGGAACAGGCAATGAATTCTACGCCCGCCGAATCGCCACAGACCTGTTCAGTTTTTCCAATGCCGTTCCTGAGAAGGGCTTGGTCGAGTTTTGGCACAACTTCATGCACAAAAAGAAATTGGTTATGTGCGATATGCTTGACCATTACCTCGATGCGCAGAAGGCAGGGACATACGCAACTTGGTTTCACGAGAACCTCAAGGAGAGCTTCTCCTGGGGTGAGTCTAGTGATGATGAAGACGAGACTCAGCAAGGCAGACAAGAGAAGGCAAAACAACCAGATCAGGATGGCACCTTTACATCAGCCGGCAAGGCTTTCAAAATGGTTGGCTGGGGTATCCGGTTCTTCTATGATAAATACTATGCTGGATACTTGGAAGATCGCCTCAATGAAATGGCTTTAGCCAAGATACCGGTGAGTCTCCACGCCGCGATCAAGGACCTCCACGAGGACAAAGTTCTTCTGCCAGTGATGTTTCACTCTGGTAGGGACGTGCATTTCTTTTAGGTGATTGGTAGCAAGACAATGTTCGTTGGCCATGGCTAGGTTCTTTGAAGATATAGACAGAGCATTGAGGTAACAACTATTTTCTATGGTGACACGATGAATCGGGAGAAGTAATTTTGGATCTCTAGTAAAATCGCTCGATGGTTGTCTCACGTGCCTGTTGGACGTGTTCTTCTTTTGCTATTGCATTGCATGTCAGTGAGAAAACATGGAAATTATATCCTAGTAGGCTATTTGCTTGGGAACCCCTTTCCGTCCAGCGAAGCATGAAAGCAAGTTGTATGCTACAGCAAATGTTCCTCGATTGCGTAAAAGGGATACCAATTGGTTAGAATGGTCCGCAAATAGAGAAAGGATATAAGGTGGCTCCGCCAGAATACTGATATTTATCTACTTATGAGCAACTGCCTATCTGCAAGCCGTGATTGACGGCATATTACCATGTCCAATATGACTTCTTCCACAACTTCACAAATTCCAACTTTTGCGGCGCCGTAACGGCTACACGCCTGGCTCTGCCAAGCCGAGCCAGCGAATCCCCTACATAGTTCGGCACCTGCTCTTCCAGCACCATCACGGAGGTCTCATTGAAGGGCCGTTCATCGTCTCTGTCATGAGGGTATCCATTCTCCGTAGCACTAGCATCAAATATGGTAGCGTCATGCGTTGGCAGTTCATCCGCAGCGACGCCCACGACTGCCTGTCCAATGCGCACCCGAATGTAATGTCTCGGTCGACCCAGCAGACTCCACAGGAACGTCATGTACGACCCGGGTACTGGAGTCACCACGTCTTTAGGCTCATACCGCAGGGCCACAGGGAAGATCTTCGTCTTGTGAGGAGCGCTCGCCAGAACGGGGCTTAGCGGCAAGACGCCCTGTCCGTTGGTGGTCGTGCACTCTGGGAACAGGGCAATAGGCCGACCGGGGTACTTCCGCATGATGGTTTTCAGGTCAACCGTACGGGCTCGGGGCGGGGGCTTTGCTTGTGGGAGAGCGAAGGCGCGGATAATTGCTTGCCAGACAGATAGTTGTTCAACTTCGCGGGTGGAGGGGTAGCAAGATACGAAGATGGGGTCAAAAACGGCGGCTAGGTAGAGTGCGTCAATTGGAGAGGTGAAGGAGGAGGCAATGATGGATCCGGGACCGGGTAGACGGTTCTGATGCCGGTCATTGTTGAGGGTTCTAAAAGTCGAGGAGCTCAGTAGATATTCTACAAGATAGACATAGAGTTTGCAGAGAGGCGCAACTGACCCTTTTCTCACACCGTCCACCTGAAGATCAACCCACCAGACGCTGGGCACGCCTAGAATGCACCACAGAGCGGCCTTCCTTCCCAGCGATGTGATTGGAAGCCATTGAAAAAGCAGGAAGTAGCCGATGCAAACGGAGATGAAGAGCGGAAGGCGGACGCAGAAGAGGAAGATTCGTAGAACCCACTGGGGGTAGCTGAGCGATGGACGAGGAGTCGGGAAGAAGGGCGAGACACCCGTTCCTACACAGCGCATTATCGTCAGTAATCGAGCGCCGGTACGATGACTAGGGTCGGGGATCTGCATACGCACCTCGATCGCGAAACTGAGTAAATCTCTCCATGACAAGAGATGTTCGATGATGATGAGATTAAAGGGATTAGTGAAACTGCAAAGTGGACATGACCAGGCTTTGACAGCAAACTGCAGTAAGCTTGTGAACCAGGATGGGGTGTGTGAAGCTGTCCGGTTGGCGCGGCAGGCGGGGGAACCTGCTGAGCAAAGCCGATAGTATCTTATCAAAGAGAAGATATGGCGACCAACTCAAATCAGACCGGGGGGTTGTTGGCGGCACCAGCAGAAAGTCCCAGTGATTTGTTGATTTCAGCACGAAGGAATGGAATTGAGATGTTCACATGCGAGCTGCTGCTGCTCTCCCGCACTAGTCCTGCTTGGGTAATCACCTTCCCCGATCGGGAAACCGAGGCTGGAAGGTCACCGCCCATAGTTATAGTAAGTAAGTAGTTCATCCCTCACATCAACAGACTTCAAGCAAGTTCCTTTCTCTTTCTCATCTATACTATTTACATGAAGTGAAAAATCTTATAGTTCTATATATGTACATTGCTCAGGTCCCACCAGTTCAAAACACCTCGTTGTCTTCCTCCATCTTGTCATCCGACTGACGAGAAGGAATCCGAAACATCCAGATAGCTACACCTACCAGAGTGAAGGCCGTCGCCGTCATCATCCAGGCCAGACCAATCCAAGGCCCTCCGAGTTCCAGCCCAATTTGGAACACCGTGGTGATGGACAAACTGGCAATGACATTGCCCACCGACTGCAGAACCTCGATGATGGTGAAGAGACGTGCCGTTTCTTCTCGATTCACCAAGGTGGTAATGAGCGCACGAGTCAGGAAGACAAATCCAGACCCGGATGTCTGAACGAGCAGACTGGGAATCAACATGGCTACGCTAGGAGAAAGACCGATTCCCAACGTTCCTACCGCCAACAGCCCGATACTGATGCGCATGAGCTGCAGGTCTTTCTGCGTCGGCTTCATGGTTTTGAGCAGCTGTCGTGAAATAGCCGGTAGGATGAACAAGAACAACGGGATGGTCAAGGCCGGCTTGAATGACATGAGGAAGTTCGCTTCTGCCAGGGTCCACTTATACCGCGTGGAGATGTACTGGACCAAAAACCAGGACGAGCCACGGCTCAGTCGATAGACAAGAAACGCGGTAAGGAGGAGCATGATCTGTTTGTTCCTGAAAATGAAGGAGTAGGGCGCGAAATAGGCCCGCGACCGTTGTTTCGCAGAAGCGAAGAAGGTTGGTCGTGCTGTCTTGGTCGTGAAAGAAGCTTCCTCTCCTTGAAGAGTCTCTTCATCGCTAAGCACCTCCTGTTCTTGTTCCTTGCTGGGAACTTCCTTATACTCGGCGTTTCCCGGTGATACCTGACTCATCTCCATGCTCGGTTGCTTCCAAGTCGGCTGCGATGATACTACACGCATTGTTTCCGGTAGCGATAAGGCGAAGAACATGCCAATAACAGCCAAGCCCCAACCTAGTAAGAGAGGAAGCCACGGGTCTAGTGACATCAACCAGGAGCTGGCGGCACTGGAGGCGAAATCGGCCCCCATGCTAGCCACGCCGAACCTGAAGAATATCGCCGCTCTGAGAATCATTAGCTATAATCCCACCAACGATTGTGGCATCTAGAACACGCATACCTTTCCTCTTCGGTTGACACATCCGACATCATGGTCCAGATAATGGCGAAAGCCACGACAGGGCCTCCGCCAAACAACCAAGCCAAGGAGGATGCCCAGACAGTTCGCAGGGGGAAGACGTCTGGGCGCCACATCACCACCAGCTGAATGATGCAGTTCAGGGCGAATCCGGGAATGCTGAGACAAATGGTGGATTTCCGTCCCCGTCGATCAGCCAACAGACCGTATGGAATTGCTAGCACAGCACCTGGATGAGAAGGAACGTGAATAAGGGTCCTCGTCTATATGTCGCGCATGAAGTGCAAAAAGGGAGGCGCCCGATCGGTAGAGACTAGGGAACAAGAGATGCGACGTAGCCTCGTCCGAAACAGTGGTGCCTTCGTCGTGACCTACTGAGAATGCCATCGAAAAACTCCATATAGCCCTTCACTGCAGCCAGATCCTGCTGGACCGCCTTAACCTTGCACAATTCCTCCTGGACCTCGCCGTCAGCCCCAATCTGGGTGGGATCATGTTGCGCGTAGTACTCTCGACAGGCGATGGACTCGTATATACGGGTGACGGGGCCGTTGGACATGCAGATGCCAACTTCGACGGCCAGAATCATGGCAAAGAGGGTCAACATTAAGCGAAAGCGAGTTTTCCGAAGGTGTTCTTTCTGTGCATCCGACGGACTGGGCTCCCCTTCATCCACAGGGGACGAGGGCCTTTGACCCGAGGCAAGGAACGGGGCATCCTCGCGGTCGAGGGGTTCATTGGACTCAAGAGGCATGGTTCCAGATGACCATTGCCAGTCGAGGGAGAGAAGTGAGAGGGAGGGAATATACGGCGGGATTACATATGGGCGCAAGAACGCGATCAAATACGAGCATTAAGCGGTGAACCTCTCAGCCTAGCCACAAAACCCCGATAAGGGGAGAGGGGAAAGGAAATTGAGATGAAACCGGGAAGGGGAGGAAGAGATGCGCCATATAAGACTGCCGGGGGGCCCGCCCAGAAGATTAAAAATGGCAGCACAGGGGAGGCTGTCGTTGGCCTCGAATGGGGGGCGCGGCGGGCTTAGGCAGTTGTAGGGTGACTCCACACTATATGATTAGTGAGACTAGTCCACGGGGCCAACTCGGTTTCTCCTATTTCGAGACAAATCCATCCAGACCCTGGGACGTGGCAAGTGAGAAAAGAAAAGGGACTAAATCGATAGCCAAACAGTCTTTGGCTTTGGATCCTCAAGAATTTGCGTGTCCACTTTGGAGTCTGGGTCCCGCGGGCATCCGAACATTTTGCCTACCATTCTTCTCTCTGGACAGGCAACAACTGAAGCCACTGAACAGATCACTATCTTATGCGATCAGAGGACACAGACCGCGCAGCAGCTGTCGTCAGCCTCCACTCCCGCTGCAGTTGCAGCTAGTCACTGCCTGCCATTTGTTCAAACTGACAATCTACCACTAGTACCAAGAGTCTAGGGCTTACAAACAGTGCAGGATTGAAAAGGCCAACCACTCAGTTTTCCTGCTGATCGGGCCGCATCATTCTATTGGTCTTCTCGAAACCACATCCTTCAGCCTGAAGCCAATCAGGGGGTTGTGCAGGACGCGCGCCGTCGTCAGCGGGGGAGAAGAAACGAACAAAAACATTGGTTCTCTTCAGGGGTTTTCTCGGGTTCTCCTCCTGGAAGCGAAAGCCACCGATCCGCCCGCCATCCGATCATCCGCGCTCATTATTTCAACCTTCTTGAACACTAATATCTACTTGCTACATTGTAGATAGCGGTCGAGAACATATATTTACTAATATAAGTCACGTCTGACCGACTCTTCACCTGCACCACCGATTTCCTTTTCTGGTGAAAAATTATTAACCCAGACAGACAGAATATTGGAAATGATCATGTCGGTTGTTAGTAGTTGCTTACTGCATATGCAGATGCCCCTCCCGACCCCCTCCCTCGAAAGTACGATCAGTAGTAGCCTTCTTTCCAGATCGGCAATAATACTTTTTATAATATTTACTTTACAGTAAGTAAACAAGTAGATAGTTTGCTCTAATCTTACTACTTACTGAACTAGCTAGTTAAGTCCGATAAGGAGACGTGCCGGCGGACAGACCCTCAGTACTTGCTCGGTAATTAGTTCTTCTAGATTGATCGATCAATCAATCAATCAATCAATCATCTTAATGCAATGGATCAGGAGTGATATCATAAATCGTGTATTACTGCCGTACTTTAATTAATTATAATTATCTATTTTGTCTGTGACACCGGTGTCTCTCCTTTTCGTCGACACCTGTGGTATTGGTACTTATTATTGACTTGTACTTTGTTCACGATAGTACAGTTACAGTTAGGTGATCCCGCAATGGAGAGAATGCGTCTTTCCATGAGAGTATAGTATAGTATAGCATATAAAACCTGACAGGGTTGGTTGTATGAATAATCGTCAACATTAAAAGGGAACGAACAGACAGTAATAGTGACCAGGGTGGAAACACCCAAGTGAACGTCGGCTCATGCTAGTTAGTGAACAGAACTCAGTAAGTAGGTAAAGATAAGCGGTTTCGATGCTGCAATGCATGGTGTCTTCGACGACACAACAGGATTCATCCGTCTCCAAACCCAAGAATAAGAATTATATATGGTCGCAATGCGCCAGTAAACGAATGTTAGTAAAGAAATATAAGATGCAAGTCTAAAACGAAAGAAAAAGGAAGAAAGAAAGATGGGTAAATAAGTAGTGTAAGGTGAGGAAGAAAAGAAGGGAAAAAAAGAAGAAGATAATGTAATGGAGAGGAGGGGGAAAAAAACCACTGAAAAGAGACCAGCTCTATGGCACTTCCTTATCCCCCCTCTTTAGTTCGCCGGGTATGTCGATCGCCTCCTTAATCCACGCCATCGACGCGATCTCGTCCAGGCTTTTCCGTTTCGTGTTGCGTTTCAATAGCCCCTCGACGCAATCGCGGGCACCTTCTAGGTCTTTGCCTTTCTCAGGATCCCATTCGTCATCGCTGTCGGCATATCGGTACCAGGACCACTCGACTCGTGCGATGCGGTGGGGCGTTCGCGCGCGGAGTTTGGCAGGGTCGCCTCGGGTGCCCGGCAATGCGTCGAACGGAAGCCGATTTTCCATCATAGCGTATAACAACACTCCCAGGGCCCATGCGTCTGTTGATCGTCCATCGTACGGCTGTCCCATCAAAATCTCAGGCGCCGCGTAGTCTTCGCTCCCACACCGGGTCTGGAGAAGAGGGCTTTCGGGAGGCTCGGGTATTCGTCGGGACAGACCCAGGTCGCTGAGGGTGATGACGGCTCGATCGTACGTGCGCCAATCCGTGATCGTTTCCATTGCTTGCATTGGCAGGTTGACAAGTACGTCTGATTACAGGAACAGCTGTCAGCCTGGCTCGCTAAAGGAGAGAAGAATCAGGGGTTACTCACTCTCAAGTTTGATGTCGCGGTGCACAATGAAGTTCGCATGCAAATAGCGCACGGCCGCCACCAATTCGGCGAAAATACGACGAATGAGTTGTGGACTCATTGGCCGTGGACTCGATGATGCCACGTCAAAAAGGTCCCCTCCGGGACAGTAGTCCAGAACCAAGAGCGCGCGCTTCTCGTCGCTACCAAAGGCTTTCAACTGTACCAACGACGGATGGTTGACAGATTTGAGTATGTCGACCTCGCGCTTGAGGGAAACCTCCAAGCGCTCCTCATCTGCACCACCTGCCGGCCCGTACTCGATAATCTTTACTGCAACAAGTTTCTGTGTCACCAGATTCACGTCTTGTAGACTGGAAAACATGGTTTCGTCGTCGCTTTCTCGTCTTTCTATACGTGCAGCGAGGGAGACTTGACTGAATGTTCCGTGACCTAGCTGACGTATCTTGCGATACTTGCGACGTTGTTGCGTGTGCACAGAGCGTACCGAGTATATCTCATCGGGGCCGGAGGCTAACGGTGTTATAACGGGTTCGTCATCGCGTTCATCGGAGCCACTGCGACTGCTGCGAGGGGGCGTAGGAGGACGGACCGTGGGCAATGCGATCCCACGGTGGACGGCCAGATACTCTTCGCGATGAAGGTTATTGCTGTTGTTGTTCGTTTTCGAGTCGGTACTGACAGATGCAGTGATGCCCGGCGGCATTCCTGGTCCTGAAACTGCAATAGGCCGTGGCTTGACGGGGATAGCCCGACCGGGAGGTACATATTCACTGAGACTACGGTTGCGAGAATGCTTTGATCCAGATCCTTGACGGGGTTTTGTTGGAGACTCGATGGGTGTCTCAATGGGTGTGTCGGACAGCTTGTCGGGGAGCATGTATTGCCTGCTTCGTGGCCGGGACTCGCTCGTACCGAGCATTTGTGAGGAATCGCTCAGTCGCAAACCGAGACTGGAACCGCTGCGAGAGGTTACTGAAGGCGTCCGAGACAAGGACTGGGAATTGCGCCGTGGTAGTTTCCATGGCGACATGCCACCGATGGGCGATGGCAAAGGCGTGATGTCTCCCATGGCCATAAGCTGAGGGGAAGATATGAGCGAGGCGGGAGACAAAGTCAGGGATCCTGCGCTGGTTGGAGGACCGGCGAACAGACCGCGCAAGCTTGGAGTGCGCCGGGGCAGGCTGCTGGACGAGATGCTGTGGTGCACGAATGACTCGGGTTCTCTTGGCGGGCTCATCTGGCTGGCGTTTGATAGATCCGTGCGAATCTGAAGCGAAGGCAGATGATGTGGGTGTGAGTGGTGCTGCAGAGTTACATCCTGCAGAGGGTCTGCTGAAGACTTTTCGATATAAAGCGGAGGAGTATGGAAACTCCCTTGACCGGGGACTATAGCAGAGATCGCACCAATTTCATTGTCATCCGAAGCCGTTGGGTTGTTGGCTTCGTGTAACTGTGGTTGGTGAACAGTAGATCCTGACCTATCGGTCGGTTGGGTCGAATCCGAATGGACCATCGAACGGAAAGAACAGAGCAGCTGAAGATTGGAGCGTTCCTAATCTGGCTGTATTAATTTTGCTTTTAGTATATATTTTCCCTGGATTCTTGTCCTAGTTTTTGCTGTTCTATCTTTTCCCTTTGTTGCAGCTGACAAAAGGCCCGTAAGAGAGCCGTCGCGGGTGAGATGGTGGACTGGGAGCGGGCAAGTTCGGGGTCTAGATGCGAATCCCTCGGGTCAACCTTAAGTAAACCGCGTGGCACTTGGCACTGAAGGAGACCCTGGGGGGCCAAAAGATAAACGGAAGGAGGGAGGAGTGTTGTATCAGTGCATTAGCAGGAGAGGGATTTCTATATGGTTGAGGGAAAGACAACAGTAAATCGAGGTAGGTTCAAAGGAATGAAAGGTGAGAGAAAGTGAGAAGGAGAGAGAGAGAGAGAGGAAGAGAAGAAGAGGAGAGGAGAGAAGACGAGAAGGAAGAAGGAAGGCAGGGAAGAGGGAACGGACGGCGGGGAACACCGAAGAGATGATCCCAGAACCTCAGACCTTCTTAAGCAGGCGAAGGGAAAGCCAATCTGAAAAGCAGATCCAGCAAGAACTTCTTGAGTAGCTCGGCGCTGATGACGCTGGCGAACGAAAAATCCAGGCGGGGTCAGCTGATAAACCCGGCCGCTTCGAGATTAGCCGCCACGAGGAAAGGCGCTACCCCGCATTAAGTAATACCGTTGGCGGAAGGACCAGAAGAGGACCGGATCTTGCCTGTTTGGGATTAGCCTGTCATGGCTTGGCCCTATCGCAGTCCTCGCTGTATCGCCCCGACTGATACGGGACGCGCCACCCAAACCTGATATTAATACTCTAATCTCTCTCTCTCTCCCTTAATCTGAATCCTGGCAAAAACACTGCGTAAGCTATAATAGTCTGATAATCAATAAAAGTTGAAGAAAAGATAGCGTGGTAGTTCTTTAGAATTATAGGCTACTAAACTGTGATAAATCTTATCGCTGTTATGGGTATTTTCCCCCTTTTGGCATTTTCCATGCCCGGTTCCAGGTTCCTTGCAGGGTGCAATTTGCATTGGTGAAAACGGGGGGCTGACGATCTGCCATTGCGAACCTTGCGCCTCTCTTTCTTCTTTTTCTCTGCTTTCTCTCCTTAACAGCCACCAGCCATCGCTTCCTAACCCAAAATGTGCCAATCGTGGTGGCCCAATGAGGCAGGATTGAGGCACCACGACTTCCCAAAAAGAAACGTTCCTCGCAGAATGCGGGAGGTGTCGCGACAATCATCGGATCGTGGAATTACCTGTCACACCAACTTGTGGCGATCGTAGCTGATCACGATATAACTCCACGGCCGAAGCGGAACTTCTCTAGTATTTCCTTGGTTATTTAGCGAGACCAGGGAGATCAGTAAGTATTCTCATTCCCACTTCCCAGCTAGGCGTATGGTTCGTCCGTCCCCCCTCCACCTCATAGAATCGATCTATCCACCTATTCATCCTCCGAACTACTTTGTAGAATGTAATACCAAAAAAACAATGGCCAGTATATTCTGTTTCTATACCTACCTATTCGACACTAGTAGCCTTAGTACTACGTGGATGTCCTCCTCGCACAGTACTCCTATCGTTGACCCAGACAGGTCTGGATGCGCCGGTGTTTGAAATCCCAAACCTGGTTGAGTTTCCCGAAAAGATCCCATAATAGCAACAAGACTCCAGCGCAATTAGTGCCATCAGCTTAATCTCGTTAATTTCCTATCTGCTCGCGATCATTTGACGCACTGTGCACATCGCCGACCACGCTACTGTAGCGCATGCACTAGCTCGTCTGGTGTCCCCTTCCATCGAAATTGGGCCGTATCCATTCTTCTGCTGCCAATCTTTGGTTGGCCTCCTCTTGGTTCCCATTTCAAGGTTTGAGGTGAACGGATCGACGCGCTGTGCCACCCATCCTACGTAAGCTATCCGAATTTCATCATTCCTCAGGTTTTTGTCGACTTGTTTCGGATGTGGAACATGGTCCTTCGTGCCAGAAAAGCTGGCAGCAGCCACTGATGGGCTAAGAAAACGCACCGACAACTGCCAAGTCCCCGAACCAAGCGCTCAGCTGTCATGACTGACTCAGGACGAACGTCGGACTTGGTCTTCGCCAGTCCACAAGCCTGTCTGAAGAGTTTCCCGGTCCTCGGGCTTCTCTCGTCAATTTCCGTCGCGCACTCGAGCCTTGGCATCCCCCCGCCTTGCTGCGCTTCATCGACCCGATTGCCGACTAGATAGATACGGGCTGCTCACGCCGTAAGCTTCCGGGCATGGAATTACCCCCTTCTCCTCATCCTGGTATAATAATAGGCGATGGTATTTGATGCTATCATTCCACCCCTGTCTTGTCCGGGTCGGCTTGGGGGATTGCGACCGGGGTCAACTCCGAACCCGTCCGGCGAGTCTCCCGGCCACTCGCTGTTGACTGTGGCTCGGGTCCCTGAGCGACCAGCACCGCCCATGCGGCATGTCCGCGTTTGCGCCTTCTGGCATCTGTTGGCGACCGTCTCAACGGAATGCTCCGTTCGCGATGGGAAGATTGGTTGGGGAGGGTTTCCAAAGTACTTCTACCCAAAATAGCCCTTCTTTCATCCCCGGTTCCATCCAGACAAAAATTAATTGGCGCCCTCGATGTCTCAAATATGTGCGATGCAGCCGCCGACCTACGAGACTCGGAATTTATGCACGGTGTGGCACCAGGGCAACCTGCTGCTCCCTGTGATATTGCATGCATGCGCCACCACCGTCGCTTTTCAGATGCATGGTCCTTTCGCGTGTCCTGGTTGGGAAATGGACGCATACAGTTGGGACTCTTTGTCCTTGCTGTCGTTGGGGTCAAACTTCCCCAGCCACTAGTGTGCTTTCAAAGGTTATCGTTTCATTATGTTTTATTTATCATAACTAGATCGATCATAGTCCGTAACCATTGTCCATCATGACCATCTAATCTGGCGTGATCTTATCGTTTCAATCAGGATATCCGGCCTGTCAGCTAATAGACAGCTGGTCCGGAGCGGTTGAGAGCCCCAATGGCCTGTTCGATGGTAATTACATTGACTGGTAATTCGGGGAGTATGCCCTCCAAGATAATCTTCTGATTCAGGGGCGCATACGTCGAGGGAGTCTCGATCGTATTGTTCGAGATAACGTAGCTGTCGTCAAGCACGATGCGTTAGCAGTGCCCACTGTTTTCTCTCCTGATTGGTCTTGAATCGTGATGCTGGCTTACACATTATAGTTCATGTCCAACAGACGAAGCGCGGTGCTAAGCACTACTCCCGAAGTACGGATGCCGGACTACCAGTTACACTTGTGGTCAGCTAACCTGTTGACTGAGTCTGTTGACTTTACTTCCGTTCCGTTTTATGGCTGCACCTACCAGAATCACCGTATCAATCTTTTGACTACTGAGGATCTCCTCCAACTGATTCCCAGCACCAGCATAATACCGCGCTTTCTGCAGCACCACATCCCAATTATCTAGGGTCTTGAAAGCAGAATAAATTTGGCTATCGGGACTCGATGCTGTGGCATTTCCGAGGCTAGTCACCGCGCTGGCGAAGGGTGCGTTGCCGAGTTCAGGACGGTAAGTGTTGGAGAAGAAGATGCGAGTGAAGATACTCAAGGGAGGAGAGTCCTGCTTGTGCACGCTTTTAGAGCATGAGTATGATCCGAGATAATGTATTCAGGTCCAATGGAGTACATACGCATCAATCCAATTCGCAACATTGTCAATCCATAGCTGCCCGGCCTTAGTGGTATTCACATTTGCCACCAATCCATCGATAAGATCTAGATTAAGCACTGCATAGTGTTGCCCGAAACTGAACGAGGGGTCGGTAACGGTCGAGGTGATGTTCCGCGAGTAGCCTGGCTTGCTAGTGGTTGTGGTTGTGGTTGATGAGAGACACCCGGTTGCCAGGAGGGCCAGGCATGCAAGCGAGTATTTGAACATGGTTGTCGTGCTGCAGGGGTGTATAGTAGAATTCAGAAAAAAAGAAAAGGCTCGAGAGTGATGCAGTAGGATTGAACAAGCATGGATAGACTCGCTGATCTGAAAGTGAAATGCTGCTTAAATTCGAAGTAGGGGTCTTTATGTACAGTGCATTCTTCCATAATCATTGTTTTTCTTCTTCTTCTCCACCTCCTCATATGCACTATTACCCTCTAGTTAATCATTGCTTTTTTATTTTTTTCCAGGTCTGCAAGCAACTAGCTTCGCTAGTTATTACTTGAGCTGAGCTTTAACGTCACACCGGGGATGCCGACCTGATCGGTTATGATCAGATTGGTTGTTCATAAATGGGCTTTACATGGAACAGTAATTACTGGTCCGGATGACGGGATGATCATCTTTTTTTCTTGAAGAATCCATTCTCAAAGGGCGGCGACTTGTGCAAGCAACAAACTCACTACCTCATTGGGGTGTGATTGTTTTCCAAGGGGCCTCCCGGAATGGAGCTGATCTTCTTCTGTTGATCTCCCCCAAGTGGGGACCCTAAAGCTTAAGGGCGAGCGAGTCCGTTTGCCCAGAAGTCGATGTTACTTAGTAGACTGCTGCTGTATTCCCGTTGCTAAGTAGGTAAGTTAGGAATTTATTTAAGTTCTTTAATCGGAGGAGATAGTTGATTGAATAATATAGTGATTGTGATTACAGGTGATGGTTTTTGCACGATGGTTTTGCAGGGGTGTGTGCATCCTGATGGAGACAGTTGGCTGATTCAGTCTCTATCTGAGTCTTGCATCGAATCTCAAATCAGTGCATGACATGAATGGACAATTAGATGTTGTGTAACCTTGAGGTGGGAGGCTTGGGCCTCTGAAATCCCTTGTGCAACATACTTGCTTTGTATTGCTACGTGCAGGAGCGGAACTCCCTGCCCTTTCCACGGTGTCTTTCTCTGTGAATTATGTTTAACATAACTTTGCGACAGTCTGGATTATTAACCAGCTCTGCATATGACTCTTACTTATCATTCAGAGCCCAGTCCTAATCTTTGATTGAACAATCAAGCTGAAACTGCAGGGCAGACAGTCAACAGTGGAAAGGTGGGACGATAGGCAGCCCTGAATATTCTTTACCCGGGCTCTCCACAGCATCAACACCGTCCAGAATTCTTTACCGGCTGACCCGCTCTCCCAATCACCACCTATCTATAGATGGGCCTATTTAAAGATTTTCAAAGAGAACAAGACCCCCAAGGATGGCTGTGTTGTCTCTCTTCCACGGGTTACAATTATACCAGGCAACTTTGGCGATGCCAGCGGAGTTTCTTGGCTATCTGTCGCCAACAATTAAGCGACGCCACCCGACTGCGAATAGATCCCAAGACTATACGGCGATCTCACAACTCAGGGAAAAGTTATATCCTCACTCCTTGACTGGACAACCATAAGCTCATCTGCCAAGGCTGGCATCCGAAATTTTCAATTCTTCTTCGCCTCCCTCCCGTTGGGGCAAATCGCTCGTTTCCGACGGGTGGCTGATGACTCGGGACGGAGTGCATTGTACCTGCTGCTGCCTTGCCATGCATGCATCATGTACTTGGACGCATCATCTTTCTCGGACTGTGATATGATACTCATGGCTGCAGTTGACGCATAGTCTGGCACCATATGGAACGTCACCACGAGTAGCCCAATCATTCGCTTAACCATTGTCGTTGCAATATAACTCAAAGAGAAATATAGGCCAGGGTAAGGGACCGCTCTGGACGCAACATGGAAGTGACTTCATCCCCAGTGCCCCCATAACGCCCCATTCCGCTCCTCCAGAGTGGACAGGATCGATGGCCTCCACATGTCTCACTCCGTTGTGCTTCTGATTCGGTATATGTTCTACAATGCCAAGCAGAGCTAAGTATATCGCAGTATCATGCTGTCTAGTGCAGACGCGTCATCTAATAGCCATGATCAATATCGTCTAGAGACAAAGAGAGCCAAAAAATAGAATGCAGCATCACTATAGTCTCGCTTCCTAGTCTCCATGTGCGCTTAATCGTAATCCTGCCATATGCACTTCGCCATGCGGTAGCGCTGACCCTCAGGGATGCAGCCCAGCCCGTAGGGCTCGATCCGGTCTAGCGAAGACCCAGAAATAGAAGAAAGGACATGATTCAGCCAAAAGGGACTTAGGGAGGCTGAGGGTCTCTGGTGGAGATAGAGAGGAAGAGAAGGATCAGGGGCGAGCCGTAGCGGTGAACCTACAGCAATGTCTGTAACCAACCCATGGCTAGCCCTTTCCGGGTCGCTTCTAAGTTAGGTACCAGGCACTGACATTAAAAGAAGACCCATAACGAGTAGTACCGAGCAATTATAAGTAGTAGTCTAACCCTGACCTAACCTGACCCTCTGTGGCTTTCAATTCTCCATACTCCATCCATTTCAGTGGCTCATATACCATTCTCACACTCGTTCTTCAATCTTAAATCTCTTCAACCACAACAACATACTACCCTCACCAAATTCAATCCTTACCACCAATACCACCCACAATGTCTGTTACTACTACATCGACCGGCACCGCCGCCTCCGCCTCCTCCAGCTGCACCAACATGCTCTACGACATCCCCGTCCACGATGCCGCCTGCGCCATGCCCATGCGCAACAACAACTCCGCCATCATGAGCAGCTGCTGTGGCTCCGCCTCCGTCGTCTCCTACGATAGCTGTGACTACTACTGTCTGGCTCAGGACCAGACCGTCGGTACTCTCGCTGAGTGTCTCATCAAGGCCTCCGAGGCCGGTGAGGTCTGGTGTAACACCAACGCCAATGCTACTGCTACCGGTAGCGTCCCTACTACTGGTGCTGGTACTGTTGTCTCGACTGCCACTGCCACTGGTGGCTCTTCTAGCACTGGTTCGAGTACTTCGAGCGGTTCGACTGCTTCTTCGACTAGTGGTGCTGGACTGGCGGTTACTAAGAAGAGTGTGGGTGTGTTGGCGCTGTTGTTCTTTGGTTCGACTGCGGGTTTCTTGTTGTAGGGTGGGAAGTAATACTGGATGGTAGTTGGGGATTGTGCAGAACTGGGGGAATATCTTGATGTTGGTTTGGAGGATCGGATATTATTTGTATAGAGCAGAACAGGGCAAGGCTTGTACAGTAACTTGGAACTAACCATTTTGCTAGCGGAAGACCTTCTTAGCATTATATTGTCTCCTTTGTTTTTAATATTACCACTGATGTTTTTCCTCACTTCATACATTGAGTCTTGTCATGCGGTGTGCAATTACATTCAGTCTATTGATGGTACTAAACATACTCGACATCTTTGATTATATTTTATTATATAAATACTAGAAGTGAATACGTTCGAGACTAGGAGGTGCCGCGTGAGTACTAATACTACATACTCTGAGTGTCGATAAGAGTTGCGGAGTTCCATTGCTTCAAACCATATGTAGCTTAGCTCAGATCATCTATCTTCCATATAATACTTGACTAATTGCAAGGAAACAACACATTATCTAGTTATCTGTATATTCAAATGTAGGATCACAGATTGTCGATCGACCCCGCACCGGAAAAAGTAGGGTATCGGATGGAACTAAGGTGAGCACGGAATGGGGATGCAGAACCCCTCATTGTTGCTGAAAGAATGTGACCCAGAGAAATGACATTTCGTAACGCTCTTTAAGTGATCAATATCCCTTTTGTCGAGCCCCTCAAGGAGTCGAGTCGAAAAAGACCAACAGAAGAGCACAGGATGAAGGACATCAAGGTTGAGCCCGCAAAGGGCATTTCCTACTTTACTCCTGCACAAGAAACCCCAGCAGGAACAGCAGCCAACCCGCAGACCAGTGGGAAGGCAATACCAAAACTCTTCCAGCCGATTACTATTCGAGGACTAACCTTTCAGAACCGTCTCGGGGTAAAATAACCACTCACCACTAGATTACTGGCCTGTGCTGACAACAAACCGGTCTAGGTATCCCCAATGTGCCAGTATTCCGCCGAGGATGGACACATGACAGACTACCACCTCGCCCACCTCGGCGGTATAGCCCAGCGAGGCCCAGGCCTTATCATGATCGAGGCCACCGCCGTTCAACCAGAGGGTCGCATCTCGCCGCAGGATGTAGGGCTATGGAAAGACTCACAAATCGCCCCAATAGCCCGAGTCATCGAGTTCGCGCATAGTCAAGGCCAGAAAATCGGCATTCAGCTTGCGCACGCGGGCCGAAAGGCAAGTACTACTGTGCCATGGATGCTGAACCATGGCAGTATAGCAACAGAGAACGTCGGTGGATGGCCCGATAACGTGAAAGGACCCAGTGATATACCCTTCAGCGAAACATTCCCGCGTCCACGAGCGATGACACAGGATGACATCCGCGAGTTCAAGGAGGCATGGGTTGCGGCCGCGAAAAGGGCCCTTGTCGCCGGAGCAGATTTTATTGAAATTCATAATGCGCATGGGTATCTGCTTGCATCGTTTTTGACCCCTTACGCAAACAAGCGGACGGATGAGTATGGTGGATCCTTTGAGAATCGAATGCGATTGCCGTTGAAGATTGCGCAATTGACTCGCGATACGGTGGGTGAGCATGTACCTGTTTTTCTGCGCCTTTCGGCGTCGGATTGGCTGGGTAGCACTTCGACAGAAACTTGGGACCTGCAGCATGCGGTGCGATTTGCTGAAGCATTGGCCGATCAAGGGGCTATCGATCTGGTTGATGTTTCTTCTGGCGGTTTGCATTCCAGTCAAGAGGTGAAATCCGGGCCTGGGTTTCAGGCACCGTTTGGTATTGCGGTTAAGAAGGCGGTTGGGGAAAGGATGCTTGTTGCGACTGTTGGTCATATCAGAGACGGGAAGCTGGCAAACCGGCTGCTCGAAGAAGAAGGACTGGATGTAGTCCTTGTCGGGCGTGGGTTTCAGAAAGATCCCGGATTGGTTTGGACCTTTGCGCAGCATCTTGATGTCGAGGTTGCTATGCCAGGCCAGATTCGCTGGGGATTCTCCAAACAAGGACGGAGGGGGACGCCCTTTGTCGATCCGTCGGTCTACAAACCCTCAGTCATAGAATAACGTCGAGTATTTATCTTTTCATGTACGAAGGTTTAGACTTGACGGGTCCTCCGTCTAAGCGGCAAAACTCAGGGCGTCAAGATCCTGTGGCCTCCATAAATTTGAGACATATTTCACTACTCCGGAACACAACAAGTAACCCAGACATAGAACGCAAGATACCAACAACAGACACAGCCATAGTACGTTCAATAATAAAGATATAGCATTGAATTAACGTTAAAGTCGGGTCTTCAGCAGACAACTTATGGCCAGCCAAAGGCCTTGTGCAGTTTCCATTGGCCAACCTTCGCAACCAATTGGATCTCTTTGATGGCTTCATCGTACACATTCTCATCGCCGTGGAATTCGAGCTATCATCATTCTATCAGTCAAGATGATGGCAAATGGGGAAAGAACACCACAGCTTACCACCGCCAAACAACGTGGCACCTCTGCTGGTTTCTCGTTCGGGTACAACATAGCCCAGAAGACTTCATGAATGGCAACCCGCTGAGGCGTGCCACCACTGTATATCCCACAGAACCAGTCCAGTACAGCCTGGTCATCAGATATGTCAATGTGTGAAGGCAAGTCAAATTCCACAGTAAGAAGATGCGACGTTGGTCCTAACACATCCAACATTATTAGAAGAAGTGAATCAGCTTTGCTCTTCCCTTCTCTTCTCTCACATATACTCACCTGTTGGCATATCCAAGTCGTGTCGCTTCCCGACCTCGCGGTATCGCCTGATATCGAACTGCGCTATATCCATGCAACTGTGTGTTGGCCCCGGCAGAGCATCACTAGTCGCTGGAATGCTCGCGAACTCCTCCGTGTTTAAGAACTCAATGTCTGGAACAGGGTAGAGAGCAAGGAACGCCCACGGGGAACTGTCTTGGGGCACTACAGCCGTTTCATAGCGGACTGCGGTGTTGATTCCCGAGGTCTTAAGGACATCAGGCACATGGACGCCATCATACCAGGCGTTGAAGACATCTGCTGATATTTTCGATGGAGGATCGATTCTTGAGGCCGCATAGAGCAGACCCGAAGAGGTAGACATTTTGTTTTCGCTGACTCCTTGACTATCTCTTAGATAGTGATAATGTGGCTGGCGGGGGAAACTTGGTCGGATGGTGTACGCACTAGTTAGTAGCACAGCTCTGAAGAGGGGATCGAGTGGTGCTCGGCTAACGTGGTGTGGTGTATAGCTGAAGGTTGGGTCCACACTTGAACGAAAGCTGAGATTGTTAAGGCGGACACGACATGAGATTGACCAATAATGCCATTCTAGTGAACTTCGGCGTTGCCTCTTGGATGACTCATGTCCTTCTATGTCGGGTCTTCGTCAACAAGCAAAATGTATACCACAGCAAGATTGATCACCATTCTGACCCTCTATTTTCTATCACCTAGGACAGTATGGCAGCAAAATCTACACGATCACCGACTCAAAACAATGAAGATATCAACACAGCCAAATTAGCCTTAGGAGACTGCTGCTCCGTTCTTCCTATTAGTTCCAGTCCCGACTCCTATCTAAATGCCCAGCCACCGTAGTATCCTCCCGGCGCACAAGGAATTTACGCTGGCAATCCGATAGCCCAATGCCACATACGAAACTGTTTCTAACGCCTATACCGTTCACCGCATGCATTGTCACTTTCTACTCGGTTGGGTGTGAACCCTAAGTATTGACCAATTGTGATCTTCTGAGGACAATCCTACGGCTTGGGGGATTTTGATGTGTGCTGAATAGGTTTCAATAGCAGGTGCTTCTTATATGACCATTTTCGAATTGTGTTATAGGTCGATCAAAATTAGTTCATGGTTTCAGATATCAGGAATTTGCTGAACTCAGCATACCAACTTAGTTCCCGAACCTATCGCGTTCGGGACGTCCCGAGCTTCCGCAACAACAACATAATTATATCTGAACTAGTTGATCCGGTGATCCCGACCTGGAGAGACAAGAACCTCACAGTTGATCTCAATTCGTTTTTTTATTCTTGCTAGAGGCTTGGCCCAAGCTCCGCTGCATTGATGATTAGGTAAACCCCATGCCTTATGGTGGTGCTGGATAGGAAGCACGAATTCCGCACACATACCAGCAGATTTCATATTTATATAGACCAAGTTACGGTCCGCTACCAATAACCACGACACATCCAGAGTGCAACACCAAACATTAAGATCGTCTCACTGGCAGCTCAAGATCTACATTGTAATTTCACCACAATGAGCGATGCTATACATAAACCCTACACTATTTAGCAAGAGCGAGCTACAACCTCACAGTTCCCCGGTTTGATCTCCATTCTTGGCACGTTTCATCTATCAGCCACCCATTCTACTCCTGCATGCCTAGGGAGGATATAAATAGCAATGGAGAGTATTAGATTCCTCCTCTGTCCAGCGTGTGCCTCGATACAGGCCTGCAAAGAAGTCGGAAATCATGGGTCTGGCGGATCTCTGCGTGGACGTGGTCCTGGAGTTCCTGGGCTATTTCAGTCTGGAGGAACTGTTGCAGCTGAGGATGGTTTGTCGTATGGTTTCTCTTTCCCGGATGGTATAGTCAATCCTAGCCAAATCGAGGTACTAATCAGCATCATGTATAGGGTATTTGAATGAGGTTATTGTTGTGAACCTTCTCTACATCACAACAGTGGACAAGCGCATCAGCAATCGACTCTTGTCCCGGGTTCTACTCGAATATTTAAGCCAGGATAGAGCACTCAAGGCCCAAGTTACTAAGATTCGAAACTATATAAGAACATGTGCAAGTGAGACTGACCGCAAGAAATGCACCACAAGATGTTGCTTGAGAGCCATTAGTATCGCCCTGACTACATATAATGGTCGGGACTGGGTGCTCCAGAACTATAAGACTGCCGTGATTCCTTGGATAGAGTCGTGGAATGAAGACAACAGTTGCATTCCTTTCCTTCTGGCAGCTTGGATGGGCTTGCAGAGTATTCTTACATCAGCCCTGGATCGGGGCATAAACGCGAATACAAGTCATCCTTTGCTCGGGGATGCCTTGTTTGCTGCGGCCTACAACAACGATACCAATCTTGCTAAGAAGCTTATCCTACGCGGTGTCAATCGAAGAAAACGAGAAGGTGCCTTCGGTGACGCTTTCCAGCTTGCAGCTTACAGAGGGTCCGATCAGTTTGTCCACACAATGTTGATGGCTGATCCGGGTTTGCGACACTACATTACCCTTGCTACTACGCCGGGATATGGACCGTTTGGAAGTGCATTCAATGCAGCAGCAGCAGCAGGATGTAATCGAGTCGTGAGGATGCTCTTAGCGCACAATGCGACTCCTCATAAACTTGCTCCTATGCAGAGGAATGCATTGTTCCTAGCCGCAAGAAGTGGCAGAGCAAATGTGGTCAAGTTGCTGCTCCATTCCGGGCTGATAAACCCCAATGTCCCTGACTCTCATGGCATCTCACCCCTGTTAGCAGCCATCCAGGAAGGCCACGAAAAAGTCGTCCGCCTTCTTCTCCAGATCAGCGAAGTCAAATTGAATGACACCGGACGCACAGGCAACATCCCAACACCACTGGTGGCCGCTGCTAGTCAGGGCGAAGCCCGTATTGTCCGAATGCTCTTGAAGCGCCCCGACATCGACATCAATCGCTCTACGTACGGGACTTCTCCAATATTCGCAGCAGCAGGCAACGGACACGCAGATATAGTGAGCTTATTGCAATGCAGACCTGACATCTCCCTTTTCACCCCCGACCAGTCTCGATACCTCCTTAACTCAGCCGTTTCCCACGGACAGACAGACATCGTGAGAACACTGCTAAACAACAGCCATCACATCGATCCACACATCCCAGACAGCGACGGCCGAGCATCCCTTCACATAGCAGTCATCAAGAACCGCATAGAGATTCTGCGCCTCCTCCTCGCCTACAGCACCACAGACCCCAATCTCACAGACAAGCAAGGCAGCACGCCTCTCATGCTCGCCACACTCCACAACAACCATGAAATCATCCACCTGCTCATACAAAACAATCGAACCCGCTACGACACCAGCGACATCAGCGGCACGACACTCCTAATGCATGCCATCATCAAGAACAACGAAACCGTCTTCCACGCCGCCCTCAACCACACCACAGACTATCACCTCAACGCGCAAAACAAAACCGGCTCATCAGCCCTCCACATCGCCTGCATCACCGACACTACCTTCGCCCTCGAAGCTCTCCTCTCCTCCACTACCACCATAAACCCCAACCTCCAAAACACCCAAGGCCTCACACCCCTCCACTGCGCCATCCTCCACAAAGCCACCCAAGCCATCATCTGGCTCCTCCAAACCCCAACCATCTCTCCCCAACTCCCAGACCGCAAAGGAACAACCCCACTATGTCTGGCAATCGAGCAAAACAACCTCATCGCCACAGACCTTCTCCTCTCCCATCCCCTCGTGGACATAAACCACCCCTCTTCTTTTTCTTCTCAGATCCATGAACCCGAATACACACCCCTAATCCTCACCACCATAACCAACAACCTCCCCCTAACCCTCCTCCTCCTCGGCCACCCAACCATCAACCCAAATCTCCCGGACAGCAACGGCGACACGCCGCTCGCCCACGCCGCCAAACACGGTCATCTAGCCATAGCAGAGGCCCTCCTCGCGCACCCAGCCACAAACCCGCACTTGGGAGCTCAAATAGGAGGGATAGTAGGTACACCGCCCCTCGTCCACGCGGCGGAGAACAACCACCTGGATATGGTGCAACTTCTTCTGCAAAGCGGACGGGTATACCCCGATGCGCCGGACAGGTACCTCCGCACGCCACTGATCGCTGCTGCGGAGAAGGGGCATACGGGGGTAGTGAGGGAGTTGTTCCGGCTTGGTGGAGGGGATGTGGATGTTGAGCATATGGATATGAGGAGAATGACGGCGCTGAGAGTGGCAGCGAGGAATGGGCATGAGGGGGTGGTGAGGTTCTTGGTTGTGGAAATTGGGGTGAGGGTGGATTTGGGGAGGAGGTCTGGGGTTAAATTGGTGGAGGAAGTTAGGGAGTTGAGGCTTGAGGGAGTGGTGAGGTTGTTGGAGTCTGCGGGTGGGAATGGTAGTGGTGGGGAGATATATGAATTCTTTTAGAGGGGTAATCTGTTGTTGTGGCGTGTTATATCTAGATGTATGGATAATAGGTAAGATAGTAGTTGTTGTTCATTGTTACTCCCTAATTTCACATTAAGGTTTCAACTTAAGGTAGCTAAGCTAGCTTCCTGCTTTGCAATAACGGATATTTTCTCGCCAGCAAAGAAAAGACTAACCCGCAACCCCATAGGAGAACTCACGCTATATGTACAGAAGATAAACACTAAAAAAGTAAAGAATAAACCCATTGCCATGCCGGTTCCGAACCCATGGACTGTAAAGTAATGCGACAAACGATGCTTTGTACGCCAGAGGGAAGATGTGTGTGAGTCGACGAGGATAAAAGTATAAGGAGAAACCGTTCTAATACAGCGAGAAAACAAAACAAAACAGAGTTTTAGACATCAGGCAGGCCGATGTCCCTTGTCTCTGTCTTCGGTGAAGAGGCCATATACCATACAATCATATGGGGATTCCGAAACGCGTGGACGGATCAGGTGGATTGACTCAGTCGATATGAGTCGAAGTAGCGAGTCGAGGGCTAGAATACAGTTATGAGAGAGTGAAGGCGGCTGTAGGCGTTTACAGGATAGCCTTGCTCAGGACCTGTTGAGAGACACGACATATTAGTCATATGCTCAAGCACAAGATAATTAAACAAGAACAAGAATGGCAGGAAACTTACAGTCCAACCACCAGCGATGCCAGCAACGATACCACCAGAGATCACCATAGGCTTGAGACCCCTCGTACTCTTGAAAACCATTCCACTCAACGCACCCGCCACGATGCTGTTAGCAGCATCGTGCTTACCCCTCGCGTAGCCCAGACCGGAGTTAAACCCGTTGTAGACCATCGCGACCACACCAGCCGAGTTACCAAGGAAAGGTCCACGCCTCGTAATGGAGTTGAGAGCACCGTTG